CCGAGTAGCGGTTTCCTTAAATAGCTAGCGTAGCCGCCTATATAGTAGGATAAATATACTTAGTTAGTTACTTAATAGTATACTTTACGTAGTAGTCCTATATATATAGCTAGCTTCTCCATTTTAGTAGGTAGTTAGTTAGTTAGTTAGTTCTTAGTAAGTAAGTAAGTAATTCTTTAGTTTTATCGGTCCTATAGTCTTCGTTTAGTTATATAGTTATATAGTTATTTTTAATCGTTTTTAATTAATCTTTAGTTCGATTATTATTATAGGGTTATCCTACCGCTCGTAGAGAGATATCCTTTATAAAAGCGTTCGTCGTACTTAAATCTTTATCTTATTAGAGGTACTAATAAACTAGGGCGAGGCTCTTAGCTAGAGGTATTAACTCGTACGGCGGTGGGTATAGTAGTAGGGGTAACGACTATCGCTTAATAATAATAATAATAATATAGAAGGTCCTGATTAGATAGGTTCTATAACTAGATAGATAACTTAATTACTCTCTACTTGTATATCTATCGGTATATATATATATTTTTTAAGGAAAAAGAAAAGGAAAACTTAGACCTAATGCCCGTGTCCCTACTAACTAATGATCAAGAGTGCCTACCTATACATTATATAGGCTAATTCCACCAATCACGTTCTAGCTTGCCTTTCTCCCCCATTACAATATGAGTTGATACCTCTAGCTAAGAGCCTCGCCCTAGTTCACTATTAAGCCTTTGACACTACCCTAAGGTTAACCCCCTGAGATATTCCCCCCTTAATGTATAGCTGCATATTTTAGTTTCATATCCCTTGATTTTCTATCACCTTGTCGAAAAATGTAAAAGAAGAGGGGAAGCCAGAAGGAAAATCTAATAAGTCTTGTTAGTTATGGTCGACTTGAAGGGCTGTACTTCTCACAATGATTGTTAAACGTTACTCCAAGTTCACTCAGAGGTATATTGTCAAAATCCATCAGAAAGTCGTAGGAAGTGGGTGCGCTACCATCTTCGACTGGCGCTTCTGTATTTCCAAGCACGATATTCAGAGCTTTTGCCACTTTTCTGGCTTGTGGGGATGTAGTACTCATTTGAAGCCAAATCTTGAGTGAGATCTTTAGTTGTTGTCGAATCTCATCAGCTGTGGGCAACCGCTTTGACTCTCCTGAAGTTTCGAGAAATTCAAATTTATCGATGTCTTGAAGGTAGAGGCAAAGCATACTCGTTGCGAGGAGGACATCTTGGTTGAAAATATGGGTGACCTTCCATCTAAGCCGACACAAACGACCAAGTGGCTGGGATTCTTCGTGAAGCATCTGTTGAAATGATAGAATCCTGAGTGCAGATTCCAAGCAAATTCGCACTGACTCCCTGTCCCTATTCTGAGACCTTTCAGCTGGGCAGCTGATCCAAGCTCTCCGGTGCAGGAGGATGCGTGACTTATGGTAGGTCGTTTGCACGCTTACCCGTTGTACTACCAGGTTTGGGCTATCTGTGATGGGATGTGGCATAGTTTCCCAGCACAATATAGGCGGAATAACACGATTGTGCACGTCTTCAAGAAGTGCATCGACCTTGATGACCTCGTCGTAGGAAGGGGGAGTGATATTGGTGTTGACGTCGCAGATCAACCCAAGAGCTGTTACCAGTCGCCCTCGTGCAATGAGAGGTAGCACTGGGGTCCATTCTGTTTCTGGCCTCGGCATTGGCATCTCGGTTGTGTCCTCATCGAAATCACAGTCGCGTAGATTACTGGGCTGTTTTGTATCGTTTTGCGTATCTGTAGCGCTTCGAGGAAGGCCCATTTCCAAAGAGAGACTGATATCCAACTGAAGGATTGTAGTCCAGATGCGCCTACGCATCTCACCTTCGAATGGAGATATTTCTGCAAAGTGATCTGGGTCCCGGTGATAGCCCATCCGCACTGCAAGATGAAGGATCATGCTGATCAAAAGCCAGCCATCTGTAGCGCCATCTTTCAAAAGTATACATTCTCCAGTAAGGATCATTATGAGGGTTTCCAGGATATGCGGTCCCCCTGTCGTGTACCGAGCCAGAATCAGGCACTGGACGGACTTCTCCCGGAACGCATCCTTCATGCTAAGGTATTCCGTCTTGAGCGATTGGGTTCCTCCGTCGGTGGAATCAATGTTGAAGGTCTGCAACTGCGCAGCAATATGTAACATAGAGAACATGAGACCGATCCAAGCAATGGAGGTGGCAGAAGGATCTTTCCAAAAGGCCTCGTACTAGTCCCACGTCAGATGTTTGTAATTGGGCAGGTTAGAAGGGAATGTACCTCTCGGTGAAACTTCTTGCTATGAATGAGATCTGCAGAAGAGTCAATGTCCCTGAGAGCGGAGAGAAAGCTTGTGTGTACTGACACGGAGTAACAATGTAGGAATCGAAGTGAAGGGCCATGAGGCGGTCAACAACAGGACGAGGAGGAACGGCAGCGATTATTTCATCTCGAGTTGCATGTCGGTTCGGACCATAGAACAAGTGTGAGCCGGGCGGGGCCTTTCCATTCGTGGCCAAGTCATCCTTCAATCCTCTGATTTTGGCAAGGATGGCCTCCCAATGAACACTCTGAACATAGCTGGCTCCAGGTCCGTCCAGCTTTAGAGTGCCGGGGTCTGCTTTGGATGCAGATTCATCCTGGGATGTCTTCGATACATCTGCGGATGATAACAAGTTTGATCTCGGCGATTCCGGAGCAAGCGGACTTGGGAGTGACTGGCCCTTCATGAACGACACGACAAGGCTCTCCAACTCAGAGAGTCTGCCGTGGAGGCTAGGGGGCTGACACGGAGGAACGGGTTGCTGAGCATCGGCCGTAAAAGATGTCGTCGCATAATTGCAGGAGTCGGTCAGGCCACGTCTCAAGCAAGCTCCGCATGGGTGTTGTCTGTCACATCTGAGTCTGGAATGGATAAGCATGCATGACTTTGTGATGGCTATTGAGCGCGTACTTGCGGTGTCTGCAGGGGTCACAGGAAAGCTGGACTTTATCTCTGCGGCGATTTGGTGGCGGACGCCGACGTTGGACATTGTCAGCCATGGTGTAGCTGGATCGTTGCGCTTCCTAGATCATCCTTGTAAACAGGGATGGCCAAAGCGAGATTGTCCTCTGGTCGGCTCTCAAATAAATTCACAGCCAGTTCAAGCAGAGAAAGATGTCTATGGCAGCAAACCAAAATGCCACGGGGAAAGGAAATATAGTCTGATCGTCCGACCCTCCGCGTTGACCCTCCGCGTTGACGATCCACGGGTCCCCCACGAATCCTGCTCCAGGTTGGCTCCGGAGTTAATAAGGTCTAACTTGCGGAGTTAGTATCTCGTCCAAAGAATCACCCCTATGCCTCGTGTACGCAGCCCTCAGATATATAGCAAGCGAAACCTGGCACCAGTGAATAACCATGCGCCAATTTTCCAGATTCGCAAAACCCTCAACAGCGTAGCATGGCGGCCAACTTGGAATCCGCCCTCAAAAAGCCGGCCATTTCGGAAGACAGCAATCATGAGGAGCGATCTAGCGAGCTTGACCAGACAGTGATTGAACGAAAGACGAAGGAGAATATCGTTGATTGGGATGGTCCAGACGATCCTCAAAACCCGCGGAACTGGCCAGGGTGGAAGCGCATGATTCAAGTTGTCCTCGCCAGCGCCTTTTTGCTCACTGCGTAAGGCAGTTTCTCTGCTCCTTTGGCGAAGTACTCAGCGCACTGACTGCTACACACACAGTAACCTCGCCGCCACAATGTTTGCACCTGGAGCTGCCGAGCTCGCTAAGGAATTCCATATCATCAGTCCTACTATTGTCAGTCTCACTGTGTCCATCTACCTTTGTGGCTTCGCTGTTGGGCCAATGTTCATTGCACCACTGTCGGAACTGTACGGGCGCCTTGTGATCTACCACATCTGCAACATTCTTTACATTGGCTTCATCATCGGATGTGCTCAGAGCAAAAACACGGGCATGTTTCTCGGTTTTCGATTTCTTGCTGGATGTGCTTCTTCGGGCCCATTAACAGTTGGTGGAGGAACTGTCGCCGACGTCGTCCCGCCAGCTCAGCGTGGGAGGGTAATGTCTGTCTTCTTCGTGGGACCGCTTCTGGGACCAGTAGGAAGCACTACTTTAACGCAAAAAGTCATCATGCTGACGGTCCTGCAAGGTCTTGGGCCCAATTGTTGGTGGCTTTGTGTCCGAATCAATCGGCTGGCGATGGACCTTTTGGATCATCACAATCCTAGTGTGTAAGGGCCAATCACTCCTATTGTCGAGTCGCTGACGGAACTTAGGCAGCAGTATCATTCACCATATCGATTTTCTTCCTCCGCGAGACCAATGCCGCTGTGCTTCTCGAGAGGAAAGCTGCTCGCCTCCGGAAAGAAACTGGCAATGCTTCTCTGATGTCCAAGATGGACCAAAGCCTGCCCCCCCGCCAGCTATTCCTCCGCGCAATTATTCGACCAACAAAGCTTCTCATCCTGTCGCCAATCGTGCTGCTCCTTTCGCTCCTATGCGCGTTCCTATTCAGCCTCCTCTTTCTGCTGTTCACCACGTTTCCCACGGTCTTTGAGGAACGATACCATTTCTCCGCCGGCGTATCCGGCCTGTCATATCTTGGCGTTGGAAGTGGGATGATCTTCTCTCTCGCCCTGTTTGCCACCATGAGCGACAAACTGCACAAGGCACTTGGAGATTCACCCAAGCCTGAAGGACGCTTGAAGCCCATGATGTGGGTCATGCCCACCGTGCCCGTCGGCATTTTCTGGTATGGATGGGCAGCTGAAAAGCAGGCTCATTGGATCGTGCCTATCATTGGCACCTCCTTCTTTGGATTTGGCCTTCTCTGGGTCATAATGCCGACTCAGCTCTACCTGGTGGATGCTTTTGGCCCAGAGGCTGCTGCGTCTGCGTTGGCTGCGAACGTGATTCTCCGACTTCTCTTTGCAGCTTTCGTTCCATTGGCAGGGCCGTCTCTTTATGCAGGCCTTGGACTCGGTTGGGGAAATAGCGTCCTTGGTTTCATAGGCATGGCTTTTCTTCCTCTGCCCCACTTCTTCTATCGTTACGGAGGGTGGCTAAGAGAGCGTTTTGCTCTAAAGCTATAACGTTTCATGTCGCGATAGACGTGTTATAGATCTGCCCCCGAAGTTGCAGCCCAAATTTTGTTCTTTTCATGAACAACCTCGTTGGAACAGCTCGCGACATGACTGCCTCAGGCGCTCACCTTGATACTGTGCTTCGAAGCAGAGCCCCAAAGAGTGTCTACAAGGGACCGAAAGGGCTGCAATAAAGACTTGGATGGTCAGTTGTTGAGTGAATGGCATACCTTCCATCTCAGTGAGGCGAAGATAGAACTCAGCTAGCAGTGGCTGAAATATTGTCTGTACCCTTCATCCTCACGCAGGCCATATTTGACAGTTTTACACCGCAAAAGAACCGAGAGACCTTTACTGAAAGCTCCGACGGGCGTCTCTGCCTGTCGATCCTCTCAGGGCATGCTAGATCACCCCTCGAGCGTCTTTGAAGCGGCCACCGTCTCAGGCTGTCAACAAGAACATGGGTATGAGGTAGGCAGAAAGGTAAGAAAGCACCAATGGGGTTGGGGCCACCCGGGTCACTCAATTCATAATGCAACTGTTCCAAATATGGACTAGTGTGGTTTCGGTGCCACTTACCTTGCACGTGCTTTGTTAGCTCCAGGTAAGTGACGTGATGGACGACAATAACGCCCAACACCTCGGCTCAAAACCTTGTGGATATCAATCAGTTTTTCGATCTCAGTGTGCCCCATGAACAAGTGAGCCTAGTGACAAAAGAGAGAGAGTGTGTGTGTCCACCATGGAACAAGCACAAGCACAAGCATCTGTGCACCAGGGTACCAAACGTCGCGCCTCAAAAGCTTGCCTGAGCTGCAGGGCACGTAAAGTTCGTTGTGATGTTATCGACAGACTTCCCTGCACCAATTGCCGACTTGATCGTGTCGAATGCAAAGTGGTCGAGTCACTTCGGAGACACAAACTGCGCCCGACCAAGACGTCAAGACGGCAGCGGACTACGCCAGATACCCTGGTTGAACCAAACCGCACCCACCATTACAGTAACTTTGACAGTGTAAACGGTCTTTCCCGCGGTTTAACGGCGGCTCATGCGACCACAAATGTGCCTGATCACTCTAAACAGCATTCTTCGACTTCCATCGATCAGTATGTTCTCAATGGGCGCAATGAGGAGAGTGCAAACTTCGCTGTCGCTCCGCCAAGGCACAGTCGCGACAGGACGTTCCTGGCTGCGTCTGAATCTCCGGTTGCAAACCAGTCCAGTGTCGGGTCTCACGAATTTGACCCTTCCAGCGGGCCTCGTGGCGGAGAGAATGACATTCACAACGGGCTATCCTTATCGCAACCTTCTCACACCTCACCAGATCCCAGACTGAGTTCTGGCGGAGGATCAGAGGATACTTTGCCAAAGTATATTCGAACGACCTCAGCGCGGCTGGACGCGGTCGACATCGAACGTCTACAGGCAAAAGGTGCCTTTATCATTCCTGCCACGAGCTTGCGCAACGAGTTGCTACGCTGCTACGTCGAGTATGTGCATCCGTACATGCCGGTCCTTGAACTGGAAGACTTTCTCGACACGATCGAGAAGGGCGAAGCTACTAAAACGGTCAGCCTTCTTCTATTCCAATCTGTCATGTTTGCTGCGACCCCGTACATCGCGTCCAAGACCCTAGCTGCTCACGGCTACAATGACCGACGGAAGGCTCGCAGGTCTTTCTATCTCCGGGCGAAGTTTCTTTGTGATATGGACTATGAGCTTGATCGTCTTACCTTGATCCAGAGCACTCTCTTGATGACGTATTGGAACGAAACACCGGATGATCCTAAGGACGTCTGGTACTGGCTGGGCGTGGCTATTTCGCTGTCCAAACGCATTGGGCTCAACTGTGAACCTCCTCCATACCCTCCTCGCAACCAGCTAGAGCGACGACTTTGGAAGCGCCTATGGTGGTCATGCTATATCAGAGATCGGTTGGTCTCGCTTGCATTTCGCCGGCCCCCACGTATCCGTCATGACGAATTCGACCAGCCCGTGTTGAGGCTCTCCGATTTGGAGACACGACCCTTGTCTGACAGAGTGAGCGAGATGCTTGGGTCTCAATGTCCTATCCTCAAAAATGAAGCTGCCCGGATGTTGTTAGCCAGACTATATATTGGCATGGCTGAGCTTTGCGTCTGCCTGACCCCGATTCTTGAGATGCAATACCGCAAGTCAAATCATATCACTATCACTCAGACAACGAAGCTAGACGCAGCTTCAGAAGATATCATCAGCAATGCGTCAGATCTGTTGCAATGCGACCAGAGCTTGAAAAGATGGTACCAGACCCACGCGAGTTCTCTGCATTGCTTCAATGGTTTGCCGACAGATCACGCACCAGACAACTCAGATCAAGCCTTGGAAGTGCACAAAGCAGTTCTGAAGGGCTTATATTTAACATCGATCAATATCTTACATCGGCCCCAAATTCTCTCCAGTGCTGCTAACTTGGGCCTGGATCCGGAGATTCGAGATCTCTCACGGAGGAAGACTCACGAAGCAGCTAATGAGCTTACAATCCTGTATACAAACCTGTATGCCCATGGTTTGGTTCGATTCCTTCCCAATACTGCCATCACCTGCCTGCTTCACGCCGCCATTATCCACGTCCTCGATCAGGCAGTTGGCGACAAGGATATCCAACAAAGTGCTAGACGAAAGTTCGGTCTCTGCACGCAAACCTTGGATCAATTGGGCGAAACATATTCCTCTGCTGCATTCGCGTTCTCTTTTCTTACAGCTGCCGCCAACAAAGTGTCTTCTCGACCCGAGCCAACCGAGGCTCGTATCAGATTAAGTGAAAGTATGCTTGGAGTGAAGTCCCAGAACGGAAAGGATCTCTCGCATTTTGGATGTCAGTTCAACGTCCCGCCCCCAGCATTCCCACTGCCTACCGGCGGCTCAACAGCCATTTCAGCCGCCGACTCGGAGCTAAGCAGAGCCCCTTCTCGGATGGATCTCCGAGGAGCGGCCCAGGGACATGAGGATACAACGTCGACCATATGTAACGAAGGTGCTTGGAGACAACATCAAGTTAGTGTCGGCGCCGGGGATAACATTGCCATAGGTGATACAGATGACAACCAGAATAACATTAACCCCAGTATATGTGCAGTTCGTGGGGATGGGCGAACGGGCGACGGAATACAACAAGACTTCGACTGCTTCCTGGATATGGAAGGCTCTGCGGACTTTTTCAATCTGTCAGACGAACTTGGAGTGAGCTTCGAGACCCAATGGGGCAATGGGTTGACACTTTGGGACCCTGCATCGCTTGAGACGAGAAACTTTTCTCAGACTACACACTAACAGATTGACTAGTTGGGCAAGTCCATATCATGGGTGCTAGAGAGACTTGATCCAGACCATGGTTTACACCTGAAAGACACGCCGTGATGGCGGCAGCATCAACGATGAACACGATAGCATACAAGATGACAAGTTTCATATATCATACTATACGGTACTTTTGGTCCAGCTTGTTCTATGCGTGCTTGTATCCACATCACGATAGAGGCAAATCACCTGTATGACACACTTGCTCAGCACGATCTTCGCGTTTTGACTCTTTTATGCGGCCATGTTGATCAGGACGGTCTTCGGTTCCGTGAACAATCTCAACGCATACTCTCCAAATTCGCGCCCAATGCCGCTCTGTTTCTTGCCGCCAAAGGGTGCTTGCAAGCTTTGCAGGCTGATACAATTGATGCCGACGACACCCGACTCCAAAGCTGCGGACACTCGGAGGGCTCGTGTAATGTCTCGAGTGAAGACACCAGACATCAAACCAAACTCTGTATCGTTAGCCAGTCTGAGGACTTCTTCCTCCGTCTCGAATGTCTTGATAACACTGACTGGGCCAAAGATCTCCCGTCGGTAGATTTCCGCATCGTCTCTAGGGTTCAAGAACACAGTGGGCTCCATATAACACCCCGTCTCTCCGTGCTGGCCTCCTCCGACTATCAATTCAGCCTCTGTCTTTCCTCGTTCCACCATCGATTTAACTCGCGCAAGCTGCGACTCGTCCACCATTGGCCCCCACTTTACAGCTGGATCCTGAGGATCACCCATGTCGTTCGCAGCGTCTCCCATCCTTTTCTTATATTCTTGGATGAATTTGTCCGCGATGCTCTTCTGAACATACACCCGCGATGCGGCAACGCAAAGCTGGCCACTTCGTGTCAAGATAGCATTTATTGTCCATGTGAGCGCATTCTCGAGATTTGCATCCTCAAAGATCACGGCTGGACTCTTGCCTCCAAGCTCCAAGGTGACGCGTTTCAAGTTGCTTCTTGCGGCGGCCTCTTGAATCTTCCTGCCCGTGGCGACCGAGCCGGTAAAACTGACCTTGCGGATCCTCATATGTTCGGCAAGAAGGGCTCCAGTAGATCCAGGACCTGTAAGAACTTGGACAACCCCAGGAGGGAAGCCTGCTTTTTCGAAGAGAGCTGCCACAGCCAATGTCCCCAGGGGTGTCTTTTCGCTGGGTTTCACAATCAAGACATTTCCAGTGGCCAGTGCCGGAGCAGCCTTGAGGAAAAAGGTTGCTACCGGTGCATTAAAGGGGTTGATGGCAGCACAGACCCCAAGTGGCTCGTGCCGGACAATCTTGACAAAACCTGATACGGTAATGAGTACAGTTCTGGCCTACCAAAAGAGAACGCAGTTAAGACTCGCTTACCATCATCGGCGGGAAAATAGTCACCCCTCTGCTTATCTGTCCATCCTGCATAATACAGCAGACAGTTTCTGATATAATTTCGCTCACGAATCGGGGCTAAGGAGACTGGAATTCCAGAGGTGAGTGAGTCCAGGGTGAGAATCGGTATGAGCTCTTCGTCGAGCAGTGTGGCCAATTTGAGAAAACACTCGGTACGTTGAATGGCCGTAAATCGACTCCATGGTCCTTGGAAAGCCTCTTCGGCGTATTTGACTGCAGCGTCGACGTCTTCAGGGCCAGCGATTGGAATATTCTCGACAACAACAGTGTTATCCTTCGGGTTTTTGAGGCTGTACGTCTCTGTGGCCTTGGCCGCGACGTATTCGCCGTTCAAAAAGAGCTTGGTGTAGCTCTTCGGATCCAGGACAGTCTTATCCATTGCTACGATACCGTTTGATCCCACTGGTACGATGGTCTCAGTCGGAAAGGAGGTATTCACAGACACTTAAACCCCTTCCTTACCGGTGTGAGCTGGATCCACCTCGGCCCGATGGAGGACGAACGCCGATATGTCACGTGCTGGCATGTGCCGATGACCCACCAGGCGGTCGCCGGTGGATCCACTTGCACTCGGTCTCAGACTGATGGCAACTTGACCTCGGACCAAGCCGACAATTCTTCCTCCTCCCCACGAGCGGGGGTTCCTTTATTATACCGAGAACTTCGTACATGTCGCTGTTCCTCCGGCATACAAACATTTCACACTGTACGGCGTCCAAACCACTACCAATGGCGGACCAAAAGGACCAAATGGACATCTGGGCTTTGACAGAATGGGATACGCCTTTGAAGAAGCTTCGCCAACCCATCCCAACCCCCAAGGGGACAGAAGTGTTGGTCAAAACCACCCATGTCGGTGTTTGTCACTCGGATCTCCATACCGCTGAAGGATTCTATGATATGGGGGGAGGAAAGCGCTTTTATGTTAAACAGCGCGGTGTCGAGCTGCCCGTTGCCTTGGGCCATGAAATACTAGGAGAGGCAGCTGCGGTTGGACCTGAAGTTGATTCCATCGTGATAGGACAACGCTACATTGTCTATCCGTGGATTGGTTGTGGTACTTGTGGGCGCTGTCTCCAGGAGAAGTACAATCTATGCGCCGGACAAAGAGCACTCGGAGTCCTTCAGAATGGCGGGTTTGCCGAGTATGTGCTGGTTCCCCATCCGAAATTCCTCATCGACCTGGGAAACCTCGACCCTATGGTGGCCTGTACATATGGCTGCTCTGGAATCACAACCTTAAGCTCCGTCAATAAGCTAATGCCTCTCCCACCGGATGAGCCAGTCCTCCTGGTTGGTGCGGGAGGGCTAGGACTGGCAGCAATATCGGTATTGAAGTCATTCGGCCATGGGTTCATCGTTAGTGCAGACATCAGTGACGATAAACTAGCCGCGGCCGCTGCAGCCGGTGCGACAAAGACCGTCAACACCTCAGGTCCTTCTGCAGTCGAAGACATTCTCGCTGCCACTAACGGGCCGGTCACTGCAGTTATTGATTTTGTGAACAACACGGCTACCGCACGCATGGTCAACGATCTGGTTGGTAAAGGAGCTAGATGGGTCCAAGTCGGCGTCATGGGAGGCTCTCTTGAGTTGTCTCTCGTAGCCAACATTTTCAAAGGCCTGGCCATTTATTCCAATATCACCGGAAGCTTGGACGAGCTCCGGAGCATCGTGAAAATTGCAAAAGAAGGGAAACTGCCCTCTGTGCCGGTCCAGAAGATGCCGTGGGACTCGGTGAATGAGGCAATGGACTTGTTGAAGGCGGGAAAAGCATCGGGGCGAATTGTGCTCACCAAGTGAACGAGATTCTCACAATGAGAAGCAAATCGATGCTCACGTTAATTCTATTGGACTGACATCTCTATAATAAGCCCTTCTAAAACTCTAGAGTGCGACAGTAACTATCAGAGGATGCGTATAGAGTTGAAGGCCCGCCCTCGCTAACATTTGTCTATTCTATTCATTCAAGCCTGATCATGCTGCAACTGGCGGGAGTCCGAGTGCTATTTGACCTCCAGAGTGGATCGGGGGTTCTTTCCCTTCGACGTCAGCAGCCACGGAAGGCGAAAACCTCATGCTTTCCCATCCTGTCTTGGTCTCTTTGTCGAGCCACGAAGCCCAGGTCAGAACTCCGCCAAAGTAAAACAAAGGATCAATAGCCTTGCCAGGAATGTTGGCTCCCACAAACCATGCTTTCACTGCCTTGGCCGATTCTGCAAACAATGTGGCTTTGAAGGCTTCTCGTAGGTGATCAGACCACACATCTGCAGCCTTCTCGGACACGTCAATAGTATCGAGCTTGTTTTCTTCCATATGGCGAATGGTCTTCCCGATCCAGTTCACTTCTATCTCTTGAACAACTGGCATGTTTCCAAACGGCACATGTGGGCCACAGACGATGAACATGTTGGGAAAGCCCGGGACGAGAGCTCCGGCAAAAGTTTCAAGCCTCCTTTCCCAGCAATCCTTTAGGACTTTACCTCCAGTGCCTTTCACCTCCAACTCACTGAGCGCCCCGGTAGCAGCATCGAATCCCAGTGCAAAAATAATCATATCAAACTCATATTCGACCCCAGAGCCAAGACGAATGCCATTTTCGAACACATTTAACTCATCACGGCTGATATCTACTAGCTTAACTTTTGGGTCGATTAAACGTCTCGTAGTAGAAGTGGCCACATGGTGGACGTTTAGAAAGGAAAAGGTATTTAGGGCAGAGGGCTTCTGCCGTCTCTGGGTCCTGGACGATAGCTCGAATCTTCTGTCGTAGGTACTCAGAGGCAATTTCATTCGATTCCGGGTCCGTGACAAGGTCATCAAAGGTCTCAAACTGGAAATGGAAGCCACCGGACTCCCAGCCAGAGTCCAGGATCTGTCTGATCTTGTCGGCATCAGCTAGGCCCTTTACCACCTTCCCTGACGATACCATGGCTAGACCGAAGGGATGTTGGCTTGCGCGATTCCACGTGATATCATAGTTCTGTTTAATAGCGGCTTTTTGATACTCATCAAAGGTATAGTTTCGACCCGGTAGGACGTAGTTCGGTGTGCGCTGAAACACTATCAACTCCTTCGCCACAGGGGCAATCTTGGGGATGATTTGGACTCCTGTTGCACCGGTGCCTACGATAGCGACTCGCTTACCCCGAAAATCGATCGGTTTGTTAGGCCACCGAGATGCTTGGTACCATTCGCCGGTATATGACTTGAGCCCAGTGAAAGGAGGGTCTTTGACAATTGACAAAGGTCCCGTAGCGGGTACGAAGTAACGACAAGTTGTCGACGACCCTACTGGTGATGGTCCAAGTTTTCTGGCTATCACTGTAATGCGCGCTCGCGATACGTGTGTTAAACTCGATCTTCTTGCGCAAATCAAAGTGGTCTATTTGGCCAATGTTAGCTGGTGTGGGATTAAACACGGTTGTTTGGTGAACCATTTACTGACCAGTAACATGGCCCAAATATCGTTGGACATCATCCTGTGAAGGATAGCGTTCACGCTAATTCCATTCTTCCTTCAACTCTGGCGCGAAATTCATGCTGTATACCCAGGCCTCACTGTCGGTTCGAGCCCCAGGATACCGATTCCAGTACCATGCGCTGCCAACATCCGATCCAGCTTCAAAGCACTTGACGGTCAGGCCGGTCTGGACAAGCTCCCATAGTGTCCGAATACCACCGAAACCTGCCCCGACGACAATAGCATCGTAATCGGTAAGTTTAACCGACATTATTTGCACAGTGTAAGGTATGAGGATGATGATATTAGGTAATGTTTCCTGACAGGGCTGCAAGGGTCAAGTTAAGTACCAGATGTGGTGAACTTGGCTGTATCTGTGACGCCCCTTATCCCATGATCGTGCAGTCAGTCTGGCCGCTTATCTTATTGTCGGTCGAGACCGAACTGACGCCGTCGAAACAAGAGGTTCATGCCAGCCGTCGCCTCCCCATGTCATTCTATATCGCGAGTGGCCCGACACCACCCGAAAAAGCTCCACAAAATGAATGAGGATTCGTCCATGGTATACGAACGTAAATTTTTTATATCGCAATCAATCTTAATCTTGACTCTTCGGAGGTGGGGCCGGTTTCAAGATCATATGTGTTTAGTGGTGTTGATTACCCCAGTATGCTCAGTGTGGGGACGGATGGGGGACTTCAAAGGCCATCTAGACTCACTTCAACGCCATGGGCCGGACTTTGCCAGCGATACAGTTCTCTTGTTTCACCTCGGCCCGAAGAACTGATTTAGGTATCCCAGAACTTGACCCAGTCAACTCCTCCCTTGGTTTTCCTTTGGAACTGTTCGATGCCGTGCCGACCTTCAGAGCCGGGCAGCATCATTTGTGCAAATTTGGTCCGGATCACATTTTCCTGTATGTCCGTTTGAGGGTGTGCCCACGCAACCTTGACCAAGTCCTTACATGCGGTAGCTGCTCGCGGGGCCGCACGTCGCAGTTGGTCCAAGTATTTTTCCACCATTTCCTCCAATTCCTCGGACGAGCTAGCTAGGCCGTGAACGGCCCCGATACGGTGTAGTTCGGCAGCGTGGACTTCCCTGCCACTCAAGATCGCTTCCCGTGCGAACGAGGGACCCCATTCTCGGACCACGAATTTCGAGATGATTGCCGGTACCAGGCCGAGTTTGATTTCGCTCAGTGTCCATCGTGCTCGGGACGAGACCAGTCGCACGTCACAGGCGGTGCTTAGGCCGACACCGCCAGCGTAACAAGGCCCATCGACCACCGCGATGGTCGTTTGCGGACTTTCGTCGATGGCCTGGAAGAGGTCGTATACCTTGGTATAATACCCATCTTCTTTGGCGGTGTCGCTTGTTTCTGTCCCGCCGCTCAGGTCCATACCCGTGCAGAAGAATCGACCTTCAGAAGCCAGGACGATATGAAAAACGGTGTGGTCCGTAGCCAGGCTACGGTAGAGCTGGGTTAAACCTTCGACCATTTGACCGGTGAGTGCGTTGCCGTTTCGGTCTCGCGTGAGCGTCACCTTAACAACAGGGCCGTTTCGGGCGACCCGATAGTTGCCATTATCTTCAATCGTGGTCCAGTCTCTCCTGGTGGACTTTTTTGCTGCTGGTGATGATGGTAGCTGAGTTCCGGCTCGAGATTTGGCACTGAGAGCCGCACCAGCACGGCTGCCATTTGGTATTCCCAGCTGTCGTGAAATCCATTCCCCAGTCTCGACAAGCTTGTCTAGATTCACGCCTGTCTTCACACCCATCCTGTCAAACAGGTACACAATGTCTTCTGTTGCGAGGTTACCTCTCGCTCCTACGGCGTAGGGACAACCACCGAGGCCAGCGACACTACTGTCGAATGTTCGGAGACCCATATCGTAGGCCTTGACAACATTTGCCACGGCCTGCCCATAAGTGTCGTGGAAATGGCCTGCAAGTAACGATACTGGGTGCCGTGCAAAGAGATACTCGAGCAGTTTTTGCGTGTCGTATGGCGTTCCCACCCCAGTTGTATCACCTAGGGCGACCTCGTAACAGCCCATGTCGAGAAGACGCCTGACAACATACTCGACTTCTTGTGGCTGAGTGGGGCCGGTATATGGGTCGGCAAAGATGCATGAAACCACTCTGGATGATTTGACTCGTTAGTGAATAATCGAGTGGTCAATTTCAATCTGTTTGGCTATATTGCTCTTACCCTCGAACCAAGATCGAGCTTTCCCGAGCCTTCGTTGTGACGCTCTCGGCCTGAGCAAGTGCTTCATCGATGGTACAATTCTGATTAGCCTTGCTGAATGCTTGAGAGGCAGACGCGAACACGACGACCTCTTTCGCGTCGCTTTTGCTTGCATTTATCAACCCCTTCGCATTGGGCGCCAGCACGGGAAACGTCCTTTCGGCATCTGTCATCAGAGGTCGGATCTCCCGCATAACTTCGGCTCCGTCAGCCAGCTGAGGCACCCATTTGGGGGAGACAAAAGAGGTCGCCTCAATATCTCGCAGGCCAGTGGCTGCTAGCCGCCGGATGAGCTCTACTTTCGTCGCTGTCGGGACAACATTCTTGATGTTTTGAAGACCATCGCGAGGCCCAACTTCCAGAATCCGAACATCACGCCCTCCACTAAATGCCCCGACTGATTTGGAGTAGCAGCGAACTTGGTGTCTCGACAGCAATTTAATCCTTTGGCGGGATTGATGGGCGGACAGCCTGGTGTTGAGGCAGATCAGCCGTAGAGAACTGGAAGGTTGACGTAGCGTAGCCATCTACTGCTTCAGTGATACGATTAACAGGCAGCTGATGTGAAGGCCGTGAAGGGGTCGAAATGCACGCTTTAGTCACCACGAATGGGAATATTGAGGGGGTCGCCGACCGCTACCCGAGGAGGATCTAGTAGCAGAAGAGGCTGCGGGCCGAGAAAAGACAACCAACTCGTCAATGACACGACGATCTCTTCACGCAAATTGAGCCTCGGGATATGTCCGTCTCCAGAGCCTTTTCCTATTCTAATGTCTCGAGGCTGCGTACCTGATCCCCGAGCGGAGAAAAGGTGCATCGGGTGGCTAAAGTTCTCCATGTCGCCTGGGTATCGAACTTTCCGAGCGTCCTCCATCTCCAACGACACCACAATAGAAAAATATCCTGACACCACATTCCCAAGACGAGCCAGCTACAGTGATCATGAAACCACTTCAAGGTCCTTCGTTCTCCCGGTGGTTGGGCACTGCGAGCATAAGAAAGCATCCATTCCTGGCGAACTCGTGCAACTCCCCGACTCCCGCAAGATTCTTGAACACTCTATCAGAGACCAAAAACGAAGGGCCTCTCAAGGGCGTCAGAATTCTCGATCTTTCGCGAGTCTTGGCTGTAAGATCGGATGAGCAGAATCCGCACACGCGGGCTACCTTACCCGGGCCATACTCTGACGTTCATTTAGGCACCCCTATGCACACAAATTCTTGCAGACTACGGTGCGGAGGTCATCAAAGTCGAAGATGTCGGGAAAGGCGTGAGTAATAGCTCTTCGTCAGCAATTCATTTGGAATATTGACATTGAACAGGATGATACCCGATACTGGAAAGTGTCAGGTGAACAAAGCGCCTGGAAAGACGACAGTGGCCCGGTGTCAAACTACTTTGCGGCCGTCAACAGGAACAAGCGATCAATATGCCTGAATCTGAAAGACCCAAGGGGTCGAGATATCTTTCTGCGACTTGCAAAAAAGGCCGACGTTGTGTAACTATGCCCCTTTTTCTTGTTCTTGTTTTCCTTCTTCAATGCAGAAGTTTTGACTCCTTTATTGCAGCGTGGATAACTTCCGCCCGGGAGCGTTGGACCGGCTGGGGCTCGGGTACGATGTACTGTCAGCAATCAACCCTCGAATCATTCACGCCAGCGTCTCCGGTGAGAGCACCCGCCAGCATTTTCGTTCTGTAAAGCAGGGGAATGGCTAACCTAGACAGGTTATGGATCCGTTGGGCCCTTCTCGAAGCGAGCAGGATATGATATGATCGCTGGTGCAGAAGCTGGTCTCTTGCATTTGACGGGGGAACGTGGGGGTCCTCCTGTGAGGCCTGGTCTCGGTCTTACAGATATGTGCACAGGGTTATTTACTCACGGGGCCATTCTTGCAGCCTTGTACGCGCGAGAGATAACCGGCAAAGGACAAATGGTAAAGGCTTCATTGTATGAAACACAGGTCGCCCTCCTTACCAATGTCGCATTGGCTTGGTTGAATCTGGGCCAGGAAGCAGAGCGCTGGGGAACGCAGCATCCCAGTGTGGTCCCTTACGACGCATTCAAGACCAAGGACCTATATTTTGTCTGCGGAGCAACCAACGACAGCCAGTTCAGGATCCTCTGCAAGCAGCTCGGCTTGGCCGATCTGGCCGACGATCCCAGGTTCACGACCAACGCTGATCGTGTCAAAAATCGTGACGACCTCTACCCAGTCCTGAACCGTGCCTTCGAAACGAAGTCAACGGACGAGTGGATCGAATTATTTGAGGGGAGCGGACTACCATACGCACCGATCAACACGATGGAGCGTGTCTTTGATCATCCACAGACAAAGGCGACGGAAATGGTTCACCAGTTGCCATTCGATGCTGCCAAGTCAGGGCAGCTTAAGCTACTCGGTGAGTGTGGAACCTTTTTGGTTTTTGTCAGTCGTATGGAATCTCTGGCAGTCTCTGACATCCATGCAACAGGCCCAGCAGTAAAGTTCAGTGGTACACCGGCTTCTATCCGAACTGCGCCACCACTACTTGGAGAACATACCGATGATATCCTTCGAGAACTGGAGCTGTCACAAGCGGAGATTGATGATCTTCATGCTAGCAAGGTTGTTTGACGACTGCTTCGAGCCTGGTTTTGGGAGTTAGTAAAAAATTATGGCTTGGGCCGTTTATTGGTATATCTTAGCCGGTCACTATATACAGCTGGCATGCGATTGCGGTCTGTGGACATGACATCTACACTCACGTATTCTCAATTTCGAAATGAGGCCCCTTCTCACCATAGATAGTCCCGTCCGCGGACCACCGTGGCCTTTCTCGCACGATATACACCTTGTCATCTAAGGAGTATCCCCAACCCGGTAGACTAACTTGCCCGAGCGAACCTTTCCGTCTTGAAGGTCCTTTAATCCCCGGATAACACCTGCCAGTCCACCATCCCCAACCAACGCCGGGTGTGTCTTCAACTTGCCCTGTTCAATGTTTTAGTGAGGAAACAACACTCAACGTGAGAAAGCCGGTGTAAAGGGTGTGAACTAACCTCAGCGAGTAATCGTTCGCAAAGACCCATGAACATCTTTGCAAATTCAAAATCCTCTGGAGAAGCCGCAAATGTTCTAGGTCCAAAGACAAATGCCTCGCCGAACATGGTATACATGACGACTGAACTCGACTCAACATCATCCCTGGGTGAGGTGATGGGGTTTGTGGTCCCGTAGCGAGTACCAGCGCCCGTGGAAAGAGAATTGGCACAGATCTTGGCCGATGATTCTATCGAAACGGTATCCCATGCGTATTTGAGTCCATTGTTTGTCAGTCTCCGAATTTTGCTCGGAGTATCAGGATCAGTATAAGTGAAACAATAGTCCGCTCCGAGGCCTTTGAGGCGATCGAACTGGTTCTCAGAGCATGTGGTGATGACTGTATATCCCGACCTAACAAGTGATATGTCAGAGTGTAAAGTTGCTTAGGACTTTAGTTCTGTCTCACGTACAGTTTTGCAAATTGAATTGCCAGGCCACCAGTGGAAGTGCCTCCGCCATAAATCAAGACGTACTCTGAGTTCTTCTCAGGACATGTCGGGAGCTTCAACCTCAGGGATTTCTGATAAAGACCTTGTCCCACGGTGATTGCTGAAAGTGGCACCGTGGCAGCATCTTCGTAGGACAAGCCATCAGGCATCCTCATCTGTACGTCTCCCTTGACCACAGCATATTCGGCAAAGACGCCGTCCTCTCCATTCACGGCATTGGACCCATGTGCACATCCGCAGATTCTGTCGCCCTTTTGCCAGTCTTTGGTCACAGCAGGACCTACTTCTTCTACGATGCCGGCGTAGTCGCATCCCATCAATGCATCGTCTTTGGCTCTCCTGAAGGCCACATGTTTCCAGTCGGTCGGATTGAGCGCTACAGCATATGGTTTGACCAGGACATAATCGTCACGCAACCGTGGAAGTGGTCTATCCCGGACGAGTTGAGCTTTGTCTCCTTTGATGACCACGGCTTTCATGGTGTGGCCAGGATATGAGGAGATCCGCCGGGTCGAGCTGATACGAAACCCAAGGTCCGGTGGAATGGGACGAAGTTGTAATCGCCAATATCGATACGGGAAATACCACCCAGATCCCCTTGGCATCTCTCCCTCTGTCCCGAGAATTGCTGCCTGCTGTGGGGACGCCGAAAACTTGAGGATGGAAGAAGCCTCGACAGTATGATGGGTCGTCTTGGTGTTGTGAACGTGTGGCTATTTCGTGGAGTTTGACAATATACTCAAGGAGACAAATTACCAAGTGGTGTCTTGGGCGATTCGCGGCCTAACCATTGGGTTTAGGGGGCCGAGGGCCGGTCAGATTAGAAAGAAACTGTGGGGGCACAAAATGGCGTGGTGCAGTAGCTTTGAACAGGGTCGATTTGCATTCTATCAACTGCTCCTCCTTTACCTGTTGACTTCAACGTTGATGCAATCGTGGAATATCGTGCTGCAACCGAGCTTCAAGTATGTATTTGTACTCATCGCTACATAAATCCGAGTTCCGACGGAAGAGCCATCATATGCACCAAAACTATCCGACCGCTCAAATCCAACTCTCTCTCCCCCTAGTATGACCGAGGCAGCCCCAAGACTCTCTCACCGATGTAGTTCTTGATCATCTCCCTGCTAACAGGTGCAATTCGCGGGAGCATGGCTTCTCTCAGATAGCGTTCAACGTGATATTCTTTCGCATAACCCATGCCCCCATGTGTCAAGACGGCTCTCTGGCACGCGTCAAACGCGGCTTCTGCTGCAAGATATTTTCCAGCGTTAGCATATTCGCCAGTCGTGTGTCCTTGGTCATAAAGCCTCGCCGCAAGGTATAGTGTCAACCTTGCCGCCTCGAGCGACATCCACGACTCTGCAAGAGGATGCTGAATGCCCTGATTGCGACCGATTTGCCGATCAAACACGACCCGTTCTGTGGCATACGAAGCTGCTCGTCGGAGCGCGGCGTATCCTAGCCCCAATGCCTCTACTCCGACAAGAACTCTTTCAGCATTCATCCCATGCATGATCATCTTGAAACCGTCGCCCTCTTGGCCGATCAGGTCCTCTGCGGGCACCTTCCAGTTCTCGAAGAAGAGGATGTTGGAGTCCACGGCAGCACGCCCCAGCTTGGGAATCTCCGTAACCTGCACTTGGGTGCGATCGAGGTCGGTGTAGAAGAGTGACAGGCCCTTACTCGGCTTGCTCACTTGATCCACCGGTGTCGTTCGAACCAGGATCAAAATCTTCTGCGCAATTTGAGCTGTTGAAATCCAGATCTTCGACCCGCTGAGGACATAGTGATCGCCTTCGCGCCGCGCAAAGGATTGGAGTTTCAAAGTGTCGAGACCAGAGTTCGGTTCTGTTACGCCAAAACATGCCCTTTCCTTCCCGGCTATTAGATCTGGGAGCCAGCGTTTCTTCTGTTCGTTGGTCCCAAACTTGACCACCGGCTCAAGACCAAAGATATTCATGTGGATAGAAGAGGCTCCGGCCATGCCTGCTCCTGACTCGGAAATGGTTTGCATCATCACAGCAGCTTCGGCAATTCCAAGCTCAGAGCCCCCATATGCTTGTGGCAGGCAAATTCCTAGCCATCCATCTGCCGCGAGATCGTTGTATAGATCATGTGGAAACTCATGTTTGTTGTCGTGTTCCAACCAGTACTCGTCCGGGTACTTGGAGCAAATTTTGGAAACAGCCTCGCGCACTGTCTTTTGCGACTCTGTAAAGTCTGGAGGATCAAAATCCAACCTCCCCGCACCGGCTGATCTGAAGCCCCGGCTGGTGTCAAACGAAGCAAGACAGCCGGCGCGGGCATGAATTGTGCGTGCGCTGGCCGTACAGAGGACCCTCCTCGACTGGCGAAATAAAAAGCTCATGTTGGATAGCGCTCTCTTCGAAATTTCTGTCGGTCGAGCCTTATCAACACTCGTAACAGAGACTTGGCTTGGGGCTTCCTGTTGCACATTAGCTCTGGACACTCGCAAGCTACCAAGGTGTGAAAGTAAGGAAAGTCGAGCGTAGACAAGGCTGAAAAGCCGAGGTCGACGTGATTGGAGCTTCGGGTAGGGGCTGCGACATACAGGTTACATGGTCGGCCCGAGGTGTGGAACAATACAACACGGATGACCCTCTTCCCCATTTCCCCCTTCTATACCGACGACCCCTGCAGAGTGCTGGACACTTGGTTCCCCTTGGCTGTGCAGAGAAACAGGTACCCCAATGGCTGGCCCAAATTCCCCGCGTTCGGTGCTCGCCGGTTACGGCTGAGGAGGTCCTTGACCTTGGGTATTGGCAAGCAATTTCTAAAACACCTCTGTATCTATCGCCTTGGCTCCCCTGTTCCCGGTCAAAGTGTCCTGGAACGTATGATGTGGCTATGGAGGCTGCGGAACAGACCTCAGCCTTGAATAGAGAGAAGGCACCTCCAGAAAGGGTTCGAGTTCCAGCGGTTGGTTCGAGGGTTTCCAATCACTCCCTGTACAAGGTGGCACTTCCGTTCATTATCGGAGGGCTGTCAGGGTCAATTGCGACGATATGCCTGCAGCCAGTTGACATGGTGAAGGTGCGACTTCAATTGACTGGTGAAGGAAGTAGAAGTGGCCCGCGCGCCAGTCCGTTCACCGTGGCTCGAGATATTGTCAAACAGGGCAGACCGTTGGAACTGTACTCTGGACTGTCGGCTGCGCTCCTTCGCCAGGTGGTCTACGGCACCAGCCGACTTGGGTTGTTCTTCACATTCGAAGATGCTCTCAAGACGCGCGCGAAAGAGCGTGGAAGGCAGATGACATTCATAGAGCGCGCTGGGGCAGGTATCGCCGCAGGTGCCCTTGGGTCATTCATCGGCAATCCCACAGAAGTGGCCTTAATTCGAATGCAGTCTGATGGCATGAGGCCGATGGACCAGCGGCAGAACTATCGCTCTGTCTTCGATACGCTGCATCGGATCGTCAAGAACGAGGGTGTGCTCGCACTTTGGACCGGGGCCAGGGCGACTGTTGTCCGCGCCATGTGTACCAACTTTGGACAGCTTGCTTTCTTTTCCGAGACGAAGAACCAACTCGAAAAGTTCTCCAGCATCCCGGAGCAGGCACGAGTAGTAACAGCATCAACTGTGGCGGGATTTTTTGCCTCCTTTTTCAGTATGCCTCTGGACTTTGTGAAAACGAGGCTCCAACGACAATCCACCAACCTACAAGGACGACCAACCTACGCCGGTGTGTCAGATTGCTTTCGTCAAGTACTGCAACAAGAAGGGCCGCTGCGATTCTATCGGGGCTTTGGGACCTATTTCGCCCGAATGGCACCGCATTCGTATGTTACACCCGTCCTAGGTTTTGACCTCCTGAGTTGCTAACGTGGGCAGAATAATCTCGCTCATAGTCGCAGACAATCTGACCAAACTCTTCAAAATGCCATGATTTACGGATCATATGCTACGTTGTATCATTGTATAGGCAGTCTTTCTAAAGCTACAAGTCCTCTGACACGGATGCCATGACCTCAATATATCCAATGCTCTAGTCTCTTTTGAACAGTCCTCAAAGCCTTGCCGCGGTATCACTGGCTACTTGTCGGTATTGTAGATCACCTCAAATCCCTGTAATGTCTTTAGAGCTTGTCGACACTCCCTTTCGTACTGCTCAATGCCTCCCAGGTAGTTTAACTGTTCCCGTTTCTTTCCCGGGATATTGGCCCCCATGTACCAGGAGTCAGTCAATGGTAGCAGGGTTTTGTCGTTAGCCTCTTGGATTGCTTGCTTCCACTGCTCCTCAGCGTCCCTCTTTGCTTCAATCGACTTGATACCTTCCGCCTCAAGTTTTTTGATCAGGTCGACGACTATATCGACCTGGCTTTCAATGAAAACCGGTCCGTTTGTGAAGGCGGTCGGTGCTAGTCCAGTCATCAGCAGCGTGAATGCGAAACGAGATCGCCAGAGTCCTTACCTTGAGGTCCATATATCATAAACATATTCGGGCAGCCACTGCTGCATAACCCCAGGTGTGTGAAGACGCCATCCTTCCATCGCTCCCGGAACGTCAATCCGTCTGTCCCCTTGATGTTCATGTTCGTCAGGCTACCCGTCATAGCGTCGAAGCCCGTGGCCATGACGACTGTATCAAATTCACGTTCGACCCCGTCTTGGGTGATGATGCCTTTCTCAGTGAACTCTCGGATCGGGTTAGCTTTGAGGTCCACAATATCAACATTGTCCTGGTCAAGACACTCGTAGTAATCTTGCTCGAGACTGCTTCGCTTCGTCCCAAACGCGAAGGGTGCCTTCTCTGGCACTAGGAATGCCGCTTTGGCTGGATTCTTGAGCCTAGGACGTGTCTTCTTCGCCCAAAACTCATACATCAACTTGTTGGCCTTTTCGTCCACCAAGAAGTCTCGGTAGTTTGCCTGGTTGAAGTTGAATCCACCACGATTCCATAGTTCCTCCCAAAGCTCTTCCCGCTCTTGATCGTTCAAGTCAAAGACGGAGCCTGGCCGAGGATCGTACCCTAGTCCTGATTTTGATTGCCGACAGTAGGCAAACACGTGTCCATACGTGGACTTGTTGACTCGCTGTTCAAATTCGCTCAATGGGCGTTGGAACATAGGTAACGAGATGCTGGCAGTACGGATATACACGGTCAAGTGCTGTGCCTCCTTCGCAATTTCCTGTGTGCACTGCACCGCTGTTGCGCCTGACCCGATGATGGCAACACGGGTGTTTTTGGTGTTGGCCACTTTCGGCCAGCGGGTCGAGTGAATGAGCTGTCCTCGAAATTTGTCCAGGTTTTTGAAATCGGGGAAGTAGGGTTTGAATGAACTTCCTGTGGCACAGATGAGATACTTGCATCTCGCTTTCTGGCCACTCTCGGTCGTGACGGTCCATTTCCCGGTTGACTGGTCAAATTCGGCGCCGATAACATTGGCGGAATAGGTGATATCTTTAGATAGGTCTAATGTCGTATCCACGTGCTTGAAATACTCCTTCAACTCTTCTCCGCTTGGAAATCTCTCGGACCAGTTCCATTTGCGCCAGACTTCGGGCATCGAGAACTGATAGTATGGAATCTCCGAGTCGACACGAGCCCCAGGGTAGTTGTTCCAGTGCCAGACTCCGCCGAGAGTTGAGCCAGCCTCGAACAAATGGACGTTGAACCCTAGACGACGGAACTTATAGAGACCATAGCAGCCACCGAAGCCCGCGCCGATAATGAGAATGTCGACTTCTCGGACTTCATGGCTTCCGTTGGTCAAGGCATTAATTGAACCCATGTCGGAATCGACAGTCAAGCAGGGCGAAGGTAGAAAGTACCACGATGGAGGACGGGACGGGCGTTAGAATGGTTGATAGCTGTACGACCTACTGGAGGTAAAGGTGGTATTTCACTTTCTAATTGTAGTGAAGCCTATCAAGAATGTTCAATCTCTGTTTGGCCCTCCTGTCCTATAACCGGACTACGCCGAGGCAAACTTGTGTAGCCAGAATCCAATCACACGCCCGCGGACCGAATGAAACAAGCGAGTCGCGTGTTTCGGTGCCGGCCAAGGTCACCGAAATTATAGCATTTTACTTCAAGTCATGAGATATTACAAGAATGCCGCCGCCTGGTGCTGTTGGGGACAGAAACCGTCTGGTGATCGAGGATGAAGGAATAGCTATATCCCTAGATACGATCACCAGACGATTTCTATTCTCTTCTGTATGCCAAGGGTGTCGAAAAATGTTGAGCAATTATCTCGGCGTAGTCCATACCAAGAGCTGGAGGATACCGAAGCGTTCAGAATACCTTGATTTGTCCTCAGTGCGGTTCCCGGCGCTTGTTCTTTCGACGACAAGGTTTGGACCTCGTATTCCTCCCCGGATCAGAGTTCCGACTTCGGCAACCTCCACAGGAAATCCCATCCTCTGTCCCGGTTGGCAAGCTACTGGAATATCAAATATCTGGCTGAGAGAGGACAGTAAGCCACCAAATCTATCTCCTGTAGCCAAAGCAGAGATCAAGAAAGTGTAAGGTAAACACAACAGCAACTTGAGCAAAAATGGAGCCTTGGACATAATAGCTGCACGCAGAAAACAAGACTTGTAACAGGCAACCTGAAAGCAAGTTTTCCCATGCTCCCTCCCGCACATCATTTTGTGGGTGTTGCTAACAGGAATTAGAAGGCTTGAGATATGCGCCCACCTTGTATACCCCACCCTGAACCACCAGGATTGACCCTTGGTATTTTGTTACGGAATAGAAAAGCTAGACGAAGTAGCTAGATTACTCCAAATGTATAGGCCCTTGAAAGAAGCTGGTCATGCGTGCAGAATCGGGCGTCGCCGAAGCAGCAACAGAGCCGAAAAGACTTTTATATAAGCGTTGCCTCAGTGTAGCTGTCAAATGTGCGGTGTCTTCAATGATAGTTCGTTCTCCCCGCACTCTCACAGCGGGTATCAATAAGAGTTCTCTCATCATGGCATGGAGCGGCACTCACGAAAAGAACAATGGGGTCGACACAGTCGAAGCCGACCCCGTTGACCACGTTGAATACGATAGCGGTGTGGTCAACCAACAGCCAGTCCCCTGCTACGATGCTGCAGAGACACAGAAGGTCCTCCGCAAGATTGACTGGAGGCTCCTCCCAATACTGGCCCTGCTTTATCTCCTTGCCTTCCTGGATAGGGGGAACCTGGGGAATGCAAAAGTGGCTGGAATGGCAACCGATCTGAACCTCACAGGGACCCAGTATAACTTGGCGGCAACCGTATGTCCCTGGTCTCTGGACACTCTTTGTTTTTTTTTTCTTTATTGACGGAGTAACAGATGTTCTTCATCCCTTATGCCGTCTTCGAAATTCCGAGCAACATTGTGCTTAAGCTGCTTCGACCCTCCATTTGGATGACATGCTTAGTGGTCTCTTGGGGCACGGTATGTGAACAGATAGTCATCCAACGTACAATGCATCGTGGTTAACAATTGTTTCCTAAAGGTTGTTGTCTGCACTGGAATCGTCCAAAACTACCACGGGCTGCTCGTTTGCCGCATCCTCCTAGGAGTCACCGAGGCTGGTTTCTTCCCTGCGGCCACCTTTCTGGTCTCTGAATGGTACTGCCGATTCGAGGTCCAGACACGTATGTCCGTGTTCTTCTCGGCGGCCTCGATGGCTGGAGCCTTTTCTGGTCTGTTGGCATTCGGTATCCAGCAGATGGACGGCGTTGCCGACCTTGCCGGCTGGCGGTGGATCTTCATCCTTGAAGGCATTGTGACAGTGTTGATGGGGTTCACAATACCTTGGGTTCTGCCGGACTCACCCGAGCGTGCCCGTTGGTTGACCCCCGAAGAGAAGAGATTCGTTCGATATCGTCTCGAACGCGACTCAGGCACCGAGAAGGGCCGAGTCGACACCATGGACCATTTCCACACCAAATACCTGGTGGCCGCTCTCACAGATTGGAAGATTTGGTTTACCGTCTTTGTATACTGGGGCAACACGTAGGCAGCCTATACACCATCGGACCCTCATTCTTCGAACCTGTTGGCTAACATCAGCTGCACAGAATCCCCGTGTACGCATTCACCTTCACAGCGCCCACCATCATCAAAGACCTGGGATACACTTCGGCTCAGGCTCAACTTCTCACCATCCCGGTCTACTTTGCTGGGCTCGTTTCCACAATCGGGTTCTCCTGGCTCGCTGACCGGCGTCGTTCTCGGTGGCCATTTGTGGTGGTTCCATATGCGATATCTATGGTTGGCTTCCTCGCACTGCTGGTCATCCCTCACCCCAAATTGCCTGGCTTGACATACGCCTTCTTGTTCCCCATTACAATCGGCGTCTATCCTGCAGTCATCACGCTGGTGTCATGGGTGGCCAATAATCTAGCACCCACTTCAAAGCGTGCTTGTGGTCTCGCTGTCAGTATCATGATGGGAAATTTTGGCGGTGCCATTGGTTCCAACATCTACCTCGTCCAAGAAGCCCCTCGTTATTGGACCGGCTATGGTGTGTCGACCGCGTGCTGCGTGCTTGCAATTGCATCAACCTTTGTCCTGAGGTGGGCCTACAAACGTGAGAACACGAAGAGAGACCAGATATCCGAGGAGGAGGTCAGGTCAATGTATACCGAAGGTATGTTTTCTTAGCCCCATTCCAAGCCAACGGAAACTTCGCTAATTTGGACACAGAGATGTTGTTGGATATGGGAGATAAGTCGCCTCTGTACAGATACGTGTACTGATTGAGGTGGAGAGGCTGCCACAGGAGAAGATTGCGTGCTTCCCAAGTCTTCTGGCCAAGGTGGGCTATGGGAACGCCAGATGCAGTACTCCCAATGACGATGCCGATTACGCCACGCGGCAGTGGACAATGCAAGACTGTGGATCTTGAAAGGCTGAAAGTATTAAAGAGCGAGAATAGAGACTCGCAATTCTGGAGAGACCCGCCGCCCAAGTATTTCACTCCGGCAGAGGTTTTGAGTCAAACAGAATCACCATAGTCTGTTTCCCCCCTGCATGGGAATACCAAAAGCACCTTGAGGCACTAATGGCGCATCTTCGAATGGCCAATCTTGTGAAAACCCTGTGATTAGTTCGCTTGGCATAGGGTGGTCACAGCGATCAGGCATGTCCAACGCGCTCGTGTACTGTCTGAATTCGTCCGCGACGAACATGTGGTCAAACTGATTCATTGACGACAACAGGTCGAATTGGCCGGACCCCAGCTGCCATGAACCCTGCAGGTTGTCACCAACCGCGTGGCTTGAAGAGGAGGATCCATCGACTGTAGTAGCTGCCTGAAGTGAGTGGATGCGTCCAGACTGTTGGTTCTGTGCCGATACAGATGGGGCCAGATCCTTCTTTGCCGCAGCGTTGATGGCATCTCGGATCACAGCGTTGCTGATGCGGTTAAAGAGCTCGCACGAGCTGCGAGCGACGCTCCACCTCTCGCAGATTGCGACAAGGATGTTCGAGCAGGCACGCGTGTCGTTGATTATTTCCAGGTAGTCTGGGATGGGCGCAGCCTGACTGGGATCCTTCAATGCCAGACCGATTCCGTAGACGTAGGCGAGCCCGTCGATGAAGATACCGTGGAGTGTGATCCACGAGTAATTTAGCTGCCGTTTCCGGTGTAGCTCATAGTACGAAGTGATGGACGATTTGGCCGCTGAAAATAGTCGTTGCAAATCGCCCTCCTCTTCGCCCGGCTTAGTGGGTACGACGGGATAAGGAAGGTATGGTGAAGGGCGGTAGAGCAACAGAACTGCATTGTTGAACACAGCATCATACCAGTGCGCCGATAGGAAGCAGGATACAAATGCCCTGTTGTTGTGGTGGCGTTCTCCTAGTTTCAATAGGCTCGTGGCATTCTTCCACGCGACCAGTTCGTCGTAAAGTTGGCTTCGGACTCGAACCTTTTCCTCCAAAGGAATGTCGCTCTTCTGTTTGGCAGCGTACAATGTACTCAGTATTTTCCCAGACAAATGTCGGATTTTGATGAGGTGCAAGAATGGAGAGATGTTTGGGGCCGCTGGGTCGGGATCTGGTACGATGGGCCGATCAGGACCAAATTCTTCATCCTCCAAATGTGAAGGAAGTGAGATGTCGATGTCCTCGTCCCGCATGGCCACTGGGCGCCCAAGGGTAAAGCTAACTATCCTGTGCTATCCGCGTCAGATGGATATACTTTGACGACAGGAAGAAGGACGTCGCACTTACCTGTCAAGGTTATAAAAGCACCAAAATGCGCGTTTCCGCATTTCCACCTCAAACGTTATGGGCACACTATGTACGACTGGCCGTCCAGTCTGACGGTCTACCCGTTTTGGCTCCAGATGTAGGCCCAACTCGAAACAAATTCTTGCTCCAATGCCAATCAGGTGCCATATGCTCCCGCTCGTGTCTCGTAAGTTGCTGAATATGCCATGCTGGGAGAGAAGAAGAATTGTCTGAAGGGGAACCAGTCCGCTCATGTTCAAGAGCTCGTGCAGCTTTTTCTGGGCTCTGGTGTAGTGAGTCGCGGTACCTGCCATTGACTCCTCGAACCTGTTCACATTGGCGCTGCCGATTGCCAACACCATGTCGAATACGAAGGCATCGAACGGATGCGTGGAGTAATATGTCGGGTTGCTGTAGATTTGTTCTACGGCAGCTAGAAAGGTGGGCCGGTGTAATAAGGGAAACGTTATATGTGTGTGCTGGAAATATGCCTCGATAAATTGCATCGCGATATTCTGAGGTGGAAGAGGCGCATCGCTCGCGGTACTGGACATGCGCCAGTTATGCTCATCGAGGTGGTTCGAGTTTTCTTTCGGCCAGTATCCCTCTGACTGCTGCGGATCCAAAACAGAGCTGATGATACTAGCTAGGCCCATGCCACTGCTCGATCCGAGATACCGCGTCTCGCCCGCCGCGGTCAACGTGAGGTATCCGACCTCGGTGGCGACAGCATCATCGGCAGGTGTTCTTGTAGAAGCCATTGACGCCGCAGTCATGACAGCATTGCGCTCCTGGGTGGGAGACTGACCATCCAAAATTTCACCTCCATTCGACGTCTCGGTCTGTGTAAGATTGACCTGGGCCGAGGGATTGACGTCAATTTCGGCTTGTGCTTCCTGGATATTAATGGGGCTGCGGATGGTGCTGGGGTTGTTGGGTGTGGCATTCGAAACCTGTGCTTGAAGCGCAGCAACTTGTCTCTGAAGCTTGAGATTGTCATCTTCGATCTTTCGCAAATCGCTTTCGAGACTCTCCACATATCCCCGGGGAAGGTTGCGTGACCTAAGCTTGTCCACGTGAAGACACTGGGCCCCAGCCTTTTCACAAGCGCTGCATCGAGGGATACGGCGGTCACATCTCGTTTTGCGTAGGTGACATCGGTCACAAGCCTGCATTTTGGGGGGCCCTGGGGAGGTGGCCGGGGTACAGGACGTTACGGGGGGGATCTGCGGGGTTATGCGTTGAGCACGACCAAGAATTCAATGGTCAGAGAACGGAGGAAACCAAACGGGAGCAAGAGAGGAGGAAGAGAAGACTGGAGAAGGCCGGGGCACACGCTCCCAAATACTCGGACGCAGGCCGATCGCAAACAGCAAAGAATCCGCCGTGGCAATTTGTGGGCGGGAGGGGTGGACAGGCGGGGGAGGGGATGAGGCTGGGGCGGGAGAAGGGTCATTATTGGAATGGTACGGAGTAGACCGGGGGTATACCCACCTCTGGGTGTCCATGGTTTAGGCGCGTGGCAGCCTGCGTGCGAGCCTGGCTAAGGCTAATGGGCTGCACTAGCGGCTCGTGTGCGCCTAGAACGTAGTGCCCCACCCATGGCGATTAGGCACTTGGGCTATCAGGCCACGCATTTCGAACGGCCACTTGGCTACAAGTACACCATAAACGAAAAGGCGGTCTCGGTGACTTGCACATTTCAGCTGTTAGCCACACCCTCGGAGCATTCCCGCCTATTTCGTAGATACCAATTGGCAGCAATCGCTGCGGTCCTGATGAGGTGCCTGGGCTTGGCAGAGCTTCAAGCAAGCCACGTTCATTGCAGATCCCATAGACCGTCCAAAATACTACAGTCACAACAGAACACAATCAGAAATGCGTGGGAGAGTCGATATCGTACCTACGGCGAACTGGCTTCCAGTCAGCCAGTCCGTCGGTACTTGAAGACCGATCTTTGTCGTGATTGTGGAGCGAATATAGGCTTGTTCGGCGTTTACCGAACCACCCCCTCTCTTCCCAGGCTCGGATATGGCATGCCTTGCCACTTTGCGGCGACAGATTACCGAGTACGAGTCAATGGCACAGAGAATCGGGTGCTCTAGAGCGGCCCAAGTGGCAGGCGATTGTGCCTTGAGCAGACATTCAAATTTCAACTTTTTGCTTTCTCTCTCTTCCACATTATCCTTCGCTGAGTGTGAGTAGACATGGCTCCTGCATTGACGACGGAGCCGAAACGGCCTATCATCATTGGCAATGTGGCCGGCGCAATGGAAGACTGTCCTTATGCCATGTGAGTCGAGCCCGCCAACGAAAAAGACACCTGGGATAACTGACGGCTAGGCTAGGCATCGCATGGTGACAGAAGGCTACCTGGATGCAATCGCTGGGGACTGGCTCTCTGAGTTAAACATTGCTTGGAACGCCATTCGAAAGCACAATGACCCCACCAAGGGATACGAGGTTGGCTTCCTCGAACAACTGGACGACTGTATCGACATTATTGCGGAGAAGAAGATAAAATGCGTGACTAATGCCGGAGCCCTCAACACACCCGAATGTGCGAAGAAAGCAATGGAGATCTGCCAGAAGCATGGGCAGGGTCATCTGAAAGTCGCATATGTCCAAGGCGATGACATCTCTGAAATCGTTGTCGACCCAGCTAGACAGCAAGAACTCGGCGGTATCGTTCATCTCGACCACCCAGAACGGAAATTAGAGGATTGGGATAGGAAACCCTACTGCGGTGTAGCTTACATTGGCGCATGGGGAATCGCTGAGGCTCTACGACGCGGTGCAGATATCGTTATTTGCGGCCGTGTCACAGATGCTAGTCCAGTCATTGGGCTTGCTGCTTGGTGGCACGATTGGCCGCACGATGCTTGGGATCAATTAGCCGGTGCCTTGATCGCGGGACGTAAGTTTGTCGTCTCTTCTGTTCCATTCATAGATCGCTGACCACTTGTCAGACCTGATTGAATGTGGTCCCTACGTGACGGGCGCAAACTTCTCCGGAGTGCGACCATATCTAGATGGGCTTGTGGACCTGGGATTTCCCATCGCCGAAATTGCCCACGACGGCACCGTTGTCATCACAAAGCACCCAGAAGCTGCAGGATTTGTCGATGAGATGAATGTACGAGCACAGTTTCTCTACGAGATCCAAGGCACAAAGTACATAAACTCGGATGTCTGCGCCGATATTGAAAACGTTAAAATCGAAAACACCGGCAAAAAAGACCGCGTTCGCATCTCGGGTGCGGTTGGAAGCCCGCCACCACCGACGACCAAAGCCATTGTGGTTGCAATCGGGGGTTACCAGGCTGAAGCTACTTTCTACATGAACGGATTGGACATCGACGCCAAAGAGAGATTCATGCGCCAACAATTAGAATACGCCTTTCGAAACGCCAATTTCTCCGAACTTAGCATCGAACGCCACGGGTCTGCAGCTGTCAACCCACCTCGTCAGTCGCTAGGAACTGTTGGCTATCGGGTGCTCGTCAAAGGCAGGAAAGCCGAAGATATCAGTGAGGAGGTGTTTCGAAAGCACGTCTACGCACTCCGAATGCAATTTTACGCAGGTTAGAAGCCCTTGCTCTCACCTTTGATTCCCCTTGACTGACACTTTGATAAAGGGTATCATATGTCACTAGATTTCCGAACCATGGCCCCCAAGATGTTTATGGAGCTTTTCCCCGGGGTTATTTCTTATACTTCTTTGCCACATCGAGTGGTATTCGAGGGCAAAAAGATTGCGATTCAACACCATGGCATCACGGAACCACCGCCTGGTAAGAGACCTAGCAAGGAAACCGACAACCCTACGCCGCTCGAGACATTTGGAGAGACTCGATTTTTCCCTCTGGGTTCTGTAGCCCATGCGCGATCTGGGGATAAAGGAGACAATTGTAACGTCGGCTTCTTTGTCCGGAGTGCCAACGAATACAAGTGGCTCCAGTCATACTTGACCGTCCCGAAGATCATCGAGTTGATGGGAGAAGACTTCAAGGAAGGCACTACAGTCGAGAGGTGCGAGTTTCCTCAGATCTGGGCTGTCCATTTCCGATTTCTTGACTTTCTAGGTGGAGGTGCTGCCAGTAGCACCAGAATCGACATGCTGGGCAAAGGAGTGGCTGAGTATCTGAGGAGCAAGTTTGTGGATGTTCCCGTTCAGTTTTTGGACAACCCCATCTCGGTGGCGTGAAGGACGCGGGCGACACGGAGACGAGATATCCCATAGAATTTCTCAGGTGTTCTTCATTGGATCTGTTTCGAAACACGAAACAGCAACATGTCAGAACCGTCATTGAGCGGAATGGATTGATTGGTCGCAGGCTTGAGCCTCAACGGCTACACGGCATTACAGATAAGATACCTAGTATTTTCACAGGTGCTGCCAGTCAGTATTCGGCGACTACCGACACCCAGAAGATGCCGCATTCCGCTCCTTTAGCTGCTTCGGTGATTTTGGTCCTTCGTTAATCCAATCAGGCGATCCAATACATGGACATGTCCAGATTAGACAGCATCAATAGGCAGTAAACGATCAGGTCTGTCACTCCTCTGGTTATTGCTGAAGGCCTCATCCCATATAGGTATCCGTTGACGAGCCTATCTTGGATGGAAGCTGATATATCACCATTGATGCAAGCTCCCCGTACTTTCAACCGATAACAGTCTGTCCGTATATGAGCACAACAGCTATCTGGGGGGACCTCCAGTCTTCAAATGATAGCCACCATCAACGGGAAGAGTGATACCCGATATGAAGTCAGCACGTGGCCCAACAAGAAACGCCACAGCGTTAGCAACATCCTCTGGTAGAGTGTATCGCCCAAAGGGATGTTCATCGAGCAACGCAGAAAGGCTCGGCTGTGAGAACATGAGCGGGGAAACCACATTGACGCGAATTCTGTCAGTGGCGTAGTCATAGGCATCCGTCTTGCTCAAGCCAAAGACACCACCCATGGTTGCTGAATACACGTGCATGCCCGGCAAAGCCGCAGTTGAGGCGATACTTGCGACATTCACGATACTGCCACGAGTGATTTGTCCCTCGAGCGGTTCTTGCTTGACCATATGACCCAAGATCGCTTTCGAACAGAAGAATATCTTCATCCCAGAACCAAGGAATATATGTCAGTCGTTAAGGCGTATGGAAAGGAAACAGACTGGATTTGAGTAGCGACCAACGAAACATACACTTTTCTGGTTGTTCTCGAAAGCCAGGTCGAACTCTCGTTCCTCGACTTCATGCGCACCAGTAGCGGGCGGTTCATGCGTAGCCAGACTTGCTGCAAAGTCGATTCGACCGAACTTGTCGACTACCGATTGGATGAAACGAGAAATAGAAGCCTCGTTGTTGAAGTTGACCTCGCTGTGTAGAAGATTGAGCGTGTTATATTGCTTTCGCAGAAGACTGACGGTCTCTTCAAGCGATGTGCTATCCTCATCGCCAATGGCTAGGTTTGAGCATCCGTCTCGAGCAAATGCAAGTGCTATTGCTCTCCCTGTGGCTGAAAGGCTATTAGAAGTCCTCTCTATCGTTTTTGAAAAAAAATATGCTCACCAGAGCCAGCTCGGGTCACGACAGCTGTGCCACCTGCAAATGTTCCAGCCATATTAGCTATATGCTGGCCTTCTGTAATGTCTGATGTGCAAAGTGGTCTTTTTGTCAGGCTAGTAAGCTGTTCAGAATAAAAGGCTCTCTATACTCTCTCCACAAACCCTCGGCCCGTTGTATCTCCTCTTTGTACCATTTGGTCGGCGCCAACCGAGTGTCAACCCTAACCCATGGGCCGACGCCGAACCATAGCGGCCTAGGGCAGGTTGACCATAGATCCAGCAATCCAGGACTTCAGGATATGTGGCCAGCCGTATCTCGGTTCCCTAAATTTAAAATAGTTTGAGGAGACTCGAAGTACATCTAGTTGCTGCCCCAACAATAGCATATACAGCTGTGTATCCGTGACTACCTTTGAAATGGACCCAATTATTCAGAAGGGAGTGGGTTTGGTGACCGGCGCAGCCTCAGGTGAGCAGATATAAATTGCGTTGAAATGCCTCGTTGAGGCTGAACGTTCTATTAGGGATGGGTCAACAGATTGCAATCAAGCTCGCCCAGCAAGGCTGCACTAAGATCCTCTGCGTCGATTTGAACGAGGCAGGTCTCCAAGAGACCAAAAAATTGGTCGAGAAGGTATCAAGTGCTACAGAGGTTGCGCTGTACCTGGCAGATGTCTCGGATACCAAATCTGTCAAAGGAATGGTCGATGAGTGCGTGAGCCGGTTCGGTCGACTGGACTTTGCAGCCAACAATGCAGGGATTGGGTTGGGAGGGACGAGAACTCACGAAACCGATGTCGCCCTCTACGAGAAGCTGTACAGGGTCAACGAGAAAGGGGTAATCAATCCCTAGTCATTTTACCGATATGAGAGCTACCGATATGAGAGCAGTATGACGAGTCAAAGACTGACACGACCTCAACAGGTATACCTCTGCACCAAGTACGAGGTGCAGCAGATGCTGAAACAAGAACCCCTCGACTGGTCACTGGGAGACGAACGCAGAGAACGTGTATTTCGAGGTTCGATCGTCAACACCTGTTCCCTCTCTGGTACCGCGTCTGTGCCAACATTGTCGTGCTACAACAGCGTCAAGCACGCCGTGGTATCCATGACCAAGGTAGATGCACGGCAATATGCGCCTCAGGGCATTCGCATCAACGCTGTCTCTCCAGGATTCACCCTGACCCCGATGCTGATGGGTGGCGGGGCAGGGCTGAGCGAAGACTTCTACGAGGGCTCCAAAGCACAGAGCCCTATGAACCGGTTGACCTTTCCGGAGGAGGTTGCGGAAACAGTTTGCTTCTTGTCTGGGTTTCGGGCCTCGGGAATCACAGGTGTGAACCTCCATGTAGATGCCGGAGCTTCATTATTCCATGTGATATAGTCCTGAGAAGCCTCTGTGCCGAGAATGAAATCAATACATCTGAGATTATGACACACATGAAACAGGACTAGCTCCTACTCTCTCGGTGATTCCCGAAGCCCTAGACCAACCCCCCGCCCCACAGCCTGCGAAAGCAAGACTAAGCCCCTTGACTTCTTCCCAGCGCCCCTCTCTAAACCTCCTCTCCACCATATTACTCCACCTCGTAGTCGGTATTTTGTGCTTCAACGGCCTTGGCCAAACTCGGCCCGATCTGATATAGCTAGTTCAAAAAGCCCTCCCGTACCGAGGCAGACGCCGAGCTGGCGACACTTCTTCCGTCTCAAAGGTCAGACTCCGCCTTGGGTGGCCATAATTCAAAACACAGATGGCTTATGCAACTTGGCCTTAGCTATAAGTCAATACTGCGAAGTGGTCATAGCTATCTCACAAAATGTCGGGGCAATTGGTGAAGCTCTGGCAACACCCCGATCCTACCTCCACGAACATCGAGGCATTTCGACGTCTTGCAAACGAGAGATATCAGCTGAATATTGGTAAGGGCGACTTCCAAGTTGTTTTCACTCTCTACACAGCTTAGCTAACACAAACTCTACCTTCGTGCATCTCAGCCGACTATCATGATCTGTGGAAATGGTCAACAGAATCTCTCAACCAATTCTGGATGCTGGTGTGGGAATTTACCCGCGTCAAGGCATCAATTCACCCTTCATATGCTATTGCGTCTTCGGACGTGAAGAGACTGAATCCGACACCGACTTGGTTCCCAGAAGCACGCCTTAACTTCGCGCAGAACATTCTTGAGACGGCTTACGTAGCTGGAGCCGGGTCGAACATCCCCATCCTGACTGGTGTCAGAGAAGGAGGCGGCGAAATCGAGAATGTCACGCTCTCCCAGCTGCGAGATAGGGTTGGACGGTTGGCAAATGGCCTGACTCGAGCTGGTGTTCGAAAATCCGACTGTGTGGCCTGCATTGCCTCCAACAGCATTTCCACCTTTACCATCTTTTTGGCAGCAGCATCGATCGGTGCCATCTTCACGTGTTGTTCTCCCGAAACAGGTGAGAAGGGCATTCTGGACCGTTTCCTGCAGGTGCAGCCTAGGATCCTGTTTGCCGATGATTGGGTTCTGTACAATGGGAAGCGAATCCCTTGTTTGGACAAGGCGCGGACAGTGGCAACTCGGCTGAAGACGCAGGGAGTTCTAGGGGCCCTTGTCGTTGTGCCACGTTTCGGCGATAAGTATCCAGATCGACCCGATCAAGGGTTCCAGAGCCTCGATACATTCACTTCTGGGGTGTCTGAGCAGCTAGTGTTTGCGCAACTGGAATTCTCCCATCCTCTGGTCATCGTATACTCTTCAGGAACGACTGGGCAGCCTAAATGCCTTGTCCACACGCTTGGGGGGATTTTGCTGAAACAGAAGTTGGAGCAAATCTTGAGCATCGACTTGAACAACACCAGTGTCTACCTTCAATACACAACGGTAGGATTTCACGTATCCATGAAGCTGTTGTTTACGTTTCGCTGACGTCTGGGCTCAACAGACCAACTGGATCATGTATCTCTACTCGATCTCAGGTTTGCTCAGTGGGGCGAGATCAATTCTCTATGATGGTTCACCCATGAAGCCAAGCCTACTGGGATTTCTCAACATCCTCTCTTCTCACCGAGTCACTCACTTCGGGACCAGTGCCCACTACCTCTCCCTCCTGGAGCAAGCCGATATCAGAAAAGAAGGCATGCCGAATCTGGACGCCTTGAAGGTCATCACCAGCACAGGATCGGTCCTGACGGAGCAACAATACTACTATGTCTACAAGAACTTTGGACCAGTGCAGCTGAGCAGTATTGCAGGTGGCACGGACATTGCTGGAGCTTGTAAGATTCACAGTCCCCTCATGTTTCTAAGTCCTTCAATTAACATAAGATCATACAGTTGTGGGCGGTACTCCGAGTCTGCCAGTTTATGCAGGCTGGTGCCAGGCACGAGCACTGGGGATGAAAGTACAAATCTACTCAGATGACGGCCAGGCAATCGAGTCAACCGGCGAAGCTGGCGAGCTTGTGTGTACTGCACCCTTCCCATCCCAGCCGGCATTCTTTTGGGGGGATAAAAATGGTGAACGGTACCGCTCGGCGTACTTTGAGAGGTTTCCAGGTAAGTGTGACCGTGGTCAGACTCCGACCCCGGCCACAAGAAAGCTAAACGTTTCCTCTAGGTGTGTGGCATCAAGGAGATTATATTCGTATGGACCCTCATACCCAAGGAGTCCAGTTCCTGGGTAGAAGTGATGGTGTCCTCAATCCATCTGGTTTGGCTTAATCCCCCCAATTAAGTGCCTTAGTTCCTGAGCCTTCTGACGGGTCTTGCAGGTGTTCGATTCGGAAGCGCTGAGATCTACAACTGCCTGACAGGCTTCACAGAGATCGAAGAAAGCCTCTGTATCGGTCAGCGAAGACCACATGACGACGATGAACGGGTGTTACTGTTCTTGAAGATGAAACAAGGACACTCATTGGATGAGAAGCTGAAGAGTGCCATCAAGGCTCATATCCGAAAGGATCTGAGTCCAAGACATGTTCCCAAGTTCATTTTCGAGACGCCAGAGATTCCCATGACTGTGAATGGGAAGAAGACCGAGTTGCCCGTGAAGAAAATAGTCTCTGGTCAAAAAATCACTCCGAGCTCGACTATCATCAACCCCGAATCGTTGAAATGGTACGAGCAGTTTGTCCACCTCGACGAGAGAGGCTCAACGAAACCGTCTAGCAAATTGTAGAAGTGAGTGATCTATAGACTTGCCAATGCGAAGGACGATGTGCAGAGAAGAACAACTGCTCGAAGGTCGAGGGAAACCACTTTGGGGGATGACATATTCCCGAGCCGAGTATTGCATCGTTTGTATTCTAGATTGTCTGTCTATAGTCCGATGTGGATCACTGTGCTATGAGCAAAGCCGTTGGGTCGGTATTTCCCGGGCCAGTTAAGCTCTCATATACATAGGTAGCCAGGTCAAGTGAGTACTTAATATGCCACCAAAGCTTCTCCTGCACTATCAATTGTCCGTCCTGGTGTACGGCTTTTGCCCTCCTAGACATATCGAGGGTCAACAGTACAGTATGACTGGCTTTGGCGCCTTTCCCCTCACGAATAAAATAATCGTTGTCACAGGCGGCGGTTCAGGCATCAACCTTGCCTTTGTGCGTCAGGCACTGGATCTCGAGGCCCGTATCGTTGTCGCCGATTTGAGGCTGACAGCTGAAGCGCAAGAAATGGTCGATACGTCTCCCAACGCCATCTTTCAAAAATGCGATGTGGCAGATTGGAAAGATCTCCAGAATCTCGTGGGTACCGCTGTAAAGGAGTTTGGAGATGTCCCTGATGTTTACGTCGCCGGCGCGGGCGTCTTCGAGCCTGTATGTCATCTGATTAAATCCTTTTGTTCCCCATCAAACCCATGACTTTGGGAAAAGAGGCTCCTTGCTAAAGGTATTTGTCTTGAGATCAACAGTTGTGGTCAAGTTTCCAGGGAGACACCGAGACTGAACGCTACGCCCAAGTGGATATTAACGTCAACCACCCTATCAAGCTCACGAGGATAGCGATCAGAGAGTTGGGAAACAAGAAGAAAAAAGGCGTGGTTCTCATCACTGGTTCAGTTGCTGGGCTTCGAGGGGAGTATGCCGTCGCCCTGTACTGTGCAACAAAACATGCAATCACCGGCTTCGTACGATCTATGAAGAATGCCCAGTCGATCAATGGTGTCAAGGTCGTAGCCGTTGCACCCGGGTAAGCCAATTGGAGTATGGACCTCCCTCTTTACAGGTTGCTAATATCATATGTTCATGGCCAGTAAGGTTCACACTCCAATGTGGACAGAGGACGACGACAAGCTGAAGAAATTCAATTACGATGCGGGAACGGCCAATACACCGGACGAGGTGGCAGCGGCAATGGTCGATCTTATTGTGGAAGAAAGATATACGGGAGGGACAATCCTACAAATAACCAAGTCGGGGACCCGTGTAGTGGAAGACAACTGGGTGCAGACATGAATCCGCAGTCTCCCTTATTGCTGTCACATTCATAGTGAGCCTCAGATCAATCGAGTAGAGATACACGAGCAGCGTTAAAAAACTTACCACCAGGATTCCAGCAGTGTCGAGCACTATTTGTTGCCATTCCGAATAGAGACCTGCCTTATAGTCATCAAGATCCAGGTCCATATACCCTTCCTTTGCATGCTGGCGAGATACCACGCCTATACCCCGACCTGTAGAGATTCAACTTCTGGATTCGGATACAACCATACGATTTTGACTCACCGTTGATTGTGGGATCCGATGCAATGAACAACATGGCTCGACAACAGTCTTCAACCAGGGCAAACCCAACTCCTTTCCCGTCGAGGAACTCTTGAACCTTCTGAGACAGAATTGGAGTGCGGATGTACCTGTGAGTAACAATTGGATGGTTCCGTCAGCTACTCTGTATCAAGACGACGTTGGAGCAAACATCAGTGGTGACAACGTCTCACCATGGAGCAACCAGGTTGACCCGGATATTCTCCTTCCAAGAGGTGCGGCGAAGACTCCTCAGGGCTCCTCGCACGCCAAACTTGGATGAATTATACTGGATTGAGCCTGGAAGGTCGACATATCCTGCCAGGCTAGACTTGAGTATGAGACATCGGTCCCTGTCGCTGTCGACCGGTTGACGTCGAAAGTAGTGAAGAGCCAGCTTAACGGTGTAGAGCAATCCCATCAAGTTGATCTCCATGGTCTTCAGATTGGGCTTGACGGGAGGACCAGCAGGTTCTGGTCACCAGTCAATAAGGACAGTCTTGCCTAGCGAGGCCTTGAATCTAATACTCGCCTTGGAGGGTAAACATATCATCGTGCCCGACAATTCCCGCGTTTGCGATGACAATGTCGCAGCTTTTGTGTGGTGAATTCTTGGACGCGGCTTCAAAGACACGGACCTGGTCATCCCAGTTGGTAACATCGCATTTGATGAATTGAGAGTTTCTGGGTTTTTCTGTATGTTAATATCTCAGAAGTCTAAGAGGGCATCGACATGGTCATACTCTCCCAACTCGGCCACAGTCTCTGCCCCAAGCTCCTCATTCACATCGGCAATAGTGACATAGGAACTGGATCGCCTTGTAAGCAACCTCCCTCCCATCGACACCGAAGAGGCCAGAGGGAATGTGGTCTCACCCAGCTTGAATGAATGCTGTGGCATATGCCTTCCCAAGTCCACCCGCACCTTGTTTTCGATTTCAGAATTGGACGTTGTTTCCACTCAAATCAAGTCCTCACCTCCAGTAATCAACACCGATTTCCCAGCGAGACGCTCAAGGCTCAAGCTCTCCGAGACCTTCAAGGGTCCTTGGTCCCGATACTCTGGAACAGACATTTTGCAGGGTGTCAGTATGAATGTTTTCCCAGTCGAAAACGGTGCTAATAAAGTGGTAGAATCTCAACTGCAAGACCAGAGGTACTCGAGTCGTTGCTCGCTCTACCCTTTAATGCGAGCGACCAACCGACCGCCAAGGTTTCGATTTCCCCAGGCCAACAACGCGAGACTATCGAACAAGACTAAACTTCTCCTTCGGACCTACTTGCCGAAACAGGGGAAACGTGGCTGCAAGGTTCGCGACCTAGTTCTCGGCTATCACCGAAACACCTTCATGGTTTTCCTGTAATCTAACACAGTGTCCTGTCAATACCTCTTGCGACTGTTTGGGATATCAGAAAGGCCCCAGAAGCTTGAATCAACACGTCTCTGAGAATACCTCCTCGGGCCTCGGGCCCAGTTACATCTATCAGGAACTAATAGCAAAATACCGACTCGGTTCTGAAGAGAATACCTGGATACATGGACGTAGTCCAACAAGTTGATGCCTCACATGCCTCCCCATTGCTTGCTCTGACTTCACTTTTTCTCGACCTCTACACTCTCAACCTGCGCGGCATTGCTGCCCAAATCTTTCTCTCCGAGCCCGTTTTCGAAGCGTGATTCATCCAGCTCGCCCTGGAATACAACCACCTCCTCGACATCGCCGAAAAGGGCAGCAATCTCCTCCAAGGGCTTCTTCAATGTGTTGGGGAAGTACATCAGAACGGCCACACCTCCGATGAATGCCTGAAGGATGAAAAAGATATAGTACTTCCAGCCAATGTTGGCAAATGCAGCAGGGGCGGCCGAACTCCATACAATGTTGGAAAGATTCTGGGCAGCGATACCGATAGCAAATCCTTGGACCCGGACTTGCGAGGGCCAGATTTCTCCAATGTAGAAGAACATTGGGCCGTCCAGGCAAACCACATAGAAGAAAACGTAGAGGTATGTCATGGCCACGCCTCCCGCCAGACCAGAGGAGTTGGTGGTCCCAAGATAAGTCGCCTGCAGAGCTGCCTCGACGATCAAAGTGCACATGCAGAGGAAGAATCCGCTTGCCAAAAGCCAAGTTCGGCTCACTCTGTCCACGAAAGTCATGGAAAGCAAGGGAGCAAGCATGACAATGGTGACCCAGCCGCCCAGGAAGAGAAGAGTGTCGAGTTCGTTGTAGCCAAGAGCAGAATAGATGGCAGTGCCATAGTCTAGAACAAAAGATATCAGTCGTCCGTGTTCAAAAGGCAACGGTGCTTCAAATTGACTTACTGTTGATGACGAGGACACCAGAGCCCACCATGCACCATGTTAGGCAGATGGTGATGAAAGCTCGCTTCCTCATGGTCCGGTGCTTGAAGATCTGAACGTATGTCATTTTGTGCGCATTGTCCCATTCAATTTGCTTCCGAATCTGGTAAAATTCCATCTCAGCGAAGTGATCCGACTGGGATGCGCTGGAGTGTAGCGTTTTCAAGATAGACAATGCCTCCTCGTGTCGGTCTTTGGCGATCAGGTATCGGGGCGATTCGGGAAGCCAATACATGGCACCGAGCAGGAGGCTGGGAAAGAGCATCTGTAGTCCGGTGATGCCGCGCCATTGACTATCGCCCGTCACAAAGTAGAAACCGACCCCGCCAAAAGAAGCAATAACATAGCCAACTCCGATGTTGACCGCAATGATGTTCCCAAGAACACCGCGGTGGGAAGGTGGCGTGATCTCGGTAACCCACGTCGGGATGGTGCAAAGAAATTGATATGCTCTGTATGACAGGTGTTAATCCTGGATAAGACGGAGCAGGAGCTTGGACCCAGAAACTCACGCCCAACCGCAGAAGAAGCGGAATGCAATGTACAAGCCCATACTGTTCGCCCCCGTGCAAACTGCAGAGGCGACGATCATGATCACCGATGCGACCGAAGCAGACACCTTCCGACCATAGCGGTCCGCGAGCAAGGCATGCGTAAAGGCTCCGAAGACGCCCCCAACGAAGAAAACAGCCAGGACAGCCGCAACGAGATCATTTGCATTCTTGGCCGTATCCAGGCCCATGGCATGCAGAAACGACGGCTGTCCCAGGGTTGAACCGATGACGGAATTGGAAAAGCCAAAGCTGGCAGAACCGAAGCAGATGAAGACGACGATGAATACCAACTTGGCTCCAAAGTGGCGACGTCCATGTTCGAGGTTGGCGACACCATGGTCTCCGTGGTCAGGGACAGTCATGGTGCAGGTCGCAGCTGTAAGGGGTACTTGACGCAAACTGCGTGTTGTCAAGGAGAAGTTGAGCAAAGTGCCAACTCAGGGGGGCAATTGTTCGAAAGGAAGACAGGGCAAGACGTGGGGCAGATATACCAGAGAAGGATGCTTTTATAGCTTGTATCCATATATCTCAGAGTGATAACAAGATGCCGGAGCGCTTTCGGCGAACCCCTGAAGGATTTTGTTGGTCTTGCATTATTCCCCGGCCGACGTTCCCCAGAGAGTTCCCCATGGCTCCCCCAGAGATGACAGAACCACGTTTCTGGCGATCACCGAGTTGATTTCTTGGATATTGTGGGTATTGAATATTCCCGGTGGCCGCCGAACAATAAGCTTCCAGGCCGGAGACCAATGCTTTGCAAGAGTTTCGTCCAGTCATCCCTGCGGTGGGCTTTCTCACGGCGATGGCCGGAGTACAAGAGTTACCAGTTCATGCGATTCTCCTTCACGCGAACAGTACTTTACAGTTCACGGGCAATGCTTGTTCAATATCTCTGATACACTCTGCTAATGATGATTGACTCTCTACTTTGGAGCGTGGAAGAAAGGTCCGCATGCGTCTTTGCTCTCCTTGCCATGGCCTCTCGAGATATTGTTTCATCATAGCTTATTTGATTGACTCAACATCTCAAGGCTAGCGTCAAGGACCTTGATATTGTCGACGAGAGCCCAGTGACTGACTCGGTCGACGCGTACATTGGTGGCAGGCACGGACACCACTGCCCTCAATCTTCGTTTGATTCTGCAGGAGCGCGTTCCCAAAGCTCTTCGGTTACTGATACACTCAGCATACCGTCCTGAGATACTTTATTTTCATTCACAAATGTAGCTAGTCCCGGTACAGAGCTCCCCAAACTCGCAGGAGGTACGAGGTGATTATTGATCTACACAAGATTGGTACTCATTCCGCCAATCATGATTCTTCAAATGCGGTGAGATGAACGCCTCGGCAACTCGCCAGCAGTATCTCCTATCACGATTGTGCCATTTTCTCTCGCGAGCACGTCATTCTCAGATCAGGCAAAGAAACGATTCTTTGGCCGCGGAAGACCAAGATGCTCCCGCAGCGTGGTCCCTTCATAGTCCTTGCGAAAGATGCCACGCCGCTGCAACTCTGGCACCAGCCGTTGAGTCACGTCGTCCAGACCTTGCGGTAAAAATGGCAGTACAACTGTAAAGCCGTCACATGCCTCTTCGTTCAACCACTGTTGCATGCCATCTGCAATGCTCTCAGGCGTTCCAACAAATGCAAGTCCTGAATATCCTCCATATCGCTGTGCGAGCTGGCGCACGGTCAGCCCTTCCTCCTCGGCGACCTTCAAGACTCCCGCACGGCTAGTCTTGCTCGCATTGGTTTCGGGTATGTCAGTTGGGAGTGGCCCGTCCAGGTCGAATTTGGAGGCATCTGTGCCAAGTGCAATGGACAATGAAGCAATGGCGCTGTCGTAATGTACCAAGCTGTCGAGTTTGAGTCGCTTCTCCTGTGCATCCTGGTAGCTGTCGCCTACCACAATGAAGGCAGCAGGCAGGATCTTGATATGATCGCGACTGCGGCCGGCAGCAACGGCACGCCCTTTGATGTCCGCATATAGTGCTTTCGCAGATTCGATGTCCTTTGGGGAGCAGAAGACCGCTTCGGCGGTTTCCCCGGCAAGCTGTTTTCCAGGCTCGGATTGACCGGCCTGCACAATGACAGGCCAGCCTTGAACGGGTCGTGCAATGTTGAGGGGCCCCCTGACTTTCAATTCGTCTCCTACGTGGTTCAAGACGTGAATCTTGTCTGGGTCGACATATGTGCCGGACTCGACATCGCGCACGAATGCATCATCTGCAAAGCTATCCCATAGACCGGTGACAACATCGTAGAATTCACGTGCACGCTTGTAACGATCGGAATGATCCATGTGCTCATCACGCCCGAAATTTTTGGCGGATTCTGGGTTTCCAGTCGTGACAATATTCCACGCGGCCCGACCGTTGCTGATATGGTCGAGAGACGCGAAGCGCCGTGCAATGTGATACGGCTCATCATATGTTGTTGATGCTGTTGCTGCTAGTCCGATCTTGTCTGTGACTTGAGAGAGAGCCGAGAGAAGAGTAAATGGCTCGAATGATGTAACGGTGTGGCTCCGCTTCAGGGCTTCGATTGGCATGTTCAGCACGGCAAGGTGGTCGGCCATGAAGAAGGCGTCGAACTTGGCATCCTCCAGTTTCTTGATAAAGGATTTGAGGTGTGCAAGGTTGAAGTTGGCGTCCGGGTATGCTCCAGGATATCGCCATGCACCAGTGTGAAGGGAAACAGGACGCATGAAAGCTGTCAGATGGAGTTGGCAAGGCACGTCCTTGCCCCGGACAGCAATGTTGTCATGATCAGCCATTTTCTCGATGTATGTCAGTGTTGGTAGTCAACGATTGCTTGTCATGTATCATGTATATTATATGTATTCAAACAAAGAGAATCGCTGAGTCGCTGACAAATGCGGAGGTCGTCGCAATCACGACATTGTTGTACGAAAGACCTCAGGACTCGAGGTCCAATTAGAGTCTTAGACACACGATTAGTATTATCAAGGACACGATGGTTTTCCAACCACATGCTAGACAACTACCTATGTCGGGATCTACTATTCCAGAGTTCATCCTTAGCCCATTATGTCTAGATGGAGTTTAATATTTCCACCCTATTCTCTCCTTTTTTGCCAGCGGTGGAGAGCATTGGAGGGGCAGAACTCGAATAAATACGAAGCATTTTATGGCCCCAAGCTTGGGGTTTTCCCGAAACCCACCAAGCCTTTCGAAGGAGAAATTGGCAGTCTGACAGAAAGTAGATCGCCCTCTCGGAATCTAGGTAGTCACCTAACAGCGAATGAGGCGGGCGCCAGATCAAGGGGTGCTATTATGCCTAACGGTAGTCACCTTTAAGTCACTAGCGACTCGCTCCCCATTACTATTTCTCGTCAGACTGTGCCACTTATTGTTTTGACATCGGCTCGCCAGGTTGCCAGGCACATCTAATCAAGAGATCAGCATTTGACCCCAGGTTTGCATACCTCGGCAATATACAAACCCTCCTGTGCCTCCTAATTCTTCTCCTACTCCTGGACTTCTTCTTTTCCCCCTTCCTGATCTATAAAGACGACCAAGTCCCGAGCAAAGCATTTCACTATCACGAATATTTTGGGCTTCCTGCCACATCTTCACTGGTATCTCTTGTCCTGTCACCATAAACCACCCGTGACAGTCTGGGTTCCTAACACCCTCCGTACCTCTAGGATGGCATTTGCTCGCTCCCCACCCGCGACAAAATTCGCAAAACTCTCCTTTCCCGCCCCGGGGGTGGTTCTTATCACCATGTCCCGACCTGAAAAGCTAAACTGCACCACTGCGGCTGATGTCATTGAAATGACCCATGTCTTCCGCTGGTTTGACGAGGAACCTTCGCTGTCGGTGGCCGTACTTACTGGAGCTGGCAAAAAGGCATTTTCGACTGGCGCTGATCTGAAGGAATGGCAAAGAAAGGCATCTGCTGCAGCTGGAAAGCCCGGCGCGGGCCCTGGCGATGTCCCTGGGGCCATCCCACTGTCCAACCGTCTTGGAAAGAAACCGGTGATTGCTGCCGTCAACGGCATGGCGTTGGGAGGTGGCTGCGAGACCGTCATGAACTGCGACCTGGTGGTGGCAGCAGATACGGCCGTGTTTGGCTTGGTCGAGGTGAAGCGAGGCGTGGCAGCGTACGCCGGTGTTCTTCCTCGGCTGATCCGGACTGTAGGCTTGCAGAGAGCCAGCGAAATGGCTTTGACAGGAAATTACTTCTCTGCTCAGAAAGCCATGGAGTGGGGTTTCGTCAACAAGGTGGTTCCGCAACACGAAGTCATTGACGAGGCACTACAATATGCAAAGGTCATTGCAGAGAACAGTCCTGATTCGATCATCTGCACAAGAGCCGGCTTGAGGCAGGGGTGGGAGACTGCAAGTGTCGTGGAAGCGACTGCGATAACTGGAAGAAAGGAATGGGCAGAACTCCAAAAAGGGGAGAACATTCAAGAGGGCTTGAAGGCGTTCAAGGAGAAAAGAGCACCTGTTTGGGTGCCATCAAAATTGTAGTGTCTTATAAACACGAGGATCCAACATTGATGGGCTCTAGCATTATGACGGGCAACCGCCCTCGTATTTCCCAGCAGCAGCCTCTCCAGACCATTTGGCTCGGTCAACCCACATCGATTGACTTTCTTTCAGCTTTCCATCTGCCCAAGCTTGCATAGCGACGCCTTGCAATGCTCTCCCGAAAGAGAAGGTCAAAGCCCAAGGCGCCGCCGCTGGGTTCGATTGTTTCCTTTTGTTGATGGCATTGAGGAACGAGATCGAATCAGAATCGCTGAGTCCACCAGACAGGAAGACAATGGTTGGTACAAGCGGAGGCACAGTCTTGCTGAGAACATGCACTGTAGCGTCCGCCACCTGCTCGGGACTTGCTTTTTGTCCAGACATGTCGCCAGGGACAACCATCGAAGCCTTCAGGACCAGCCCAGCAAAGTCGACCTTGTGCAAAGACAGCCGCTCAAATAACGCCGAGTAGGAGACAATGTGAGCCTCCATCGAACGCTCCAAGGGTTGGTCATGTATCATCAGCACTTCAGGTTCAACGATTGGGACAAGGCCAGCCTGTTGCGAGATGGCAGCATACCTCGCCAGCACCTCCGCATTGTCCATAATCGCAAGATGTGACGGCGTCCGTGGTGAGACAATATAGGTACAACGCCATTTACTGAAGCGAGCACCTCGCTCGTAGTATTGCTTGCATCTTTCGAGCAGACCATCCAATCCCTGGGTTGTTGTTTCCTCTGGCACCGTCCGTGGAAGAGCCACTGTGCCCTTGTCGACCTTTATCCCCGGGATTATCCCCCGTTCCTTGATGATGCTGACGAATGATTTTCCTTTATACTGGGAATCCAGCTGGGCGTCATGTTTCATGAGGGTTTCTTCGAAGGTGATTATACCAGAAATGTACTTCTCAAACGGGCCTTCGGCTGTGAACATGACATCTCGCCACTCACGCCGATTGTCTTCGGTATTCTCCTTTTTCACCTTCTCCAGCCGCTTTTTGATACTCCCTGTGGACTCGTCTGCGGCGAGCAACCCTTTGCCTTCGGCGCCCAGGGCCAGAGCAGTCTTGTGGAGTTCTTCTCCATGTTCAAGCGGTGAAGGTGGCTGGAAATATTGAGGCAGCAGTGGCGCGGATCCGTGACTAGACATCTTCTTCTCCCAGTTAACAGTTGTAGAGATTGGGATATACGCAGAGCCTGCGAGCAGTTTTGGGGGAGGCAGATGAGTTCGAATGCCTTTCTTCCGCTAATCTCTTATAGTGGGCGACAAAAATCTCTTCGGTCATCGTGACGTTCATACCCACACGTCGAATGTAAGAATCACCCATTTCTTCCCCGCAAAATGAAACGACAAATGGAGTTCTTCTCTAGTAACGACCAGCCTTACGTCAGTTGTGCGGAGTCTTGCCTGCTGTCCGACTGGGTATGACCCGTATGGGCGCAGACTGGAGTGGGTCTTGTTCCAATATACCTCAAATGGCTTCACATTGGATAGATGGGCTTGCTTTCCCAGGACTACTCTGACATAATGGGTAGAACGGTTTCTCTCTTGAGCATTGCTAGCGGCGATGTGCATCTCTAGACCACATATAGGGAGACAACCTGCAGTAATCAATAGATCTGAAACAGCATCCTCTTTCCATGCCAACACTCAAATTCCTGCAGCCTTTTTCAAATGCTCATCAGACGCATATTTGCTAATCAGTTCCTGCTTTATAGACTCGACCTCTGTACCTTTCGCGGCGAGTAACGCGTCAAGGTGCGCCTTTGCCTCTCCAACAAAAATGGTGTTGGTGAGGTCTCCAAGTACGCAATAGAATGTTGCACCACTCTCGGTCTCCGGTGAGCTGAACTGAGTATACGTGCCATCTGCCTGTGTGCCGCGCATGATGAGAATCGTTCTCTCGAAACCTAAGGTGCCGGGACTCATGACAACGTGGACGCGGGACTGTTCGTTGACCAGAAATTTATGCAGCGTGTTTGGAGGAACTGGGACCGCCTTTCCCACCTCGAGCTCGATTGGTCTGAAGTTGGCCTCGTCCAAATCTTCTGAAGTCCAAACGGTCATTGAGCCGCTGACCAGAGTGAATGTCTCGGTGAAGTCGGTGTGATAATGCGATGGAGCACTGGCGCCAGGAGCTAGGTCGGAGTCGATAACGGTTCGTTCGCCTCCATTGGTCAAGGACGATTCGACAACAAGGGGTATCTTGTCAGCGTTCATTTTGCGTGCTCGGACTGCTACCGGGTAGAAAGATTGAAGGAAGAATCTCTTTTCAGAATTTCAGTATAAAACTCAGAGACAAATTGCACCTTTCGGTCGAGAAGACTCCAATTTCATGCAGAGTTTGTTAGCACGAGAGAGAATTCGCCCGTTTATAGGCACTGGCAGGAGATGCCCTTTGGATATATGTTTCTAGGTTATATCGCATCAACGAGACTAATGCACACTTTGTCCTTGTATTTTATATTACCTGCTATTGGAATATGCGACTCACCATGCGGCCGAATTGGGGCCTTCTTTGTGTATGCCAACTAAAATCTGACCGACCACGCTGCGGTTGGTTCTTGATGATGGCGAGAGTAGTCGGTTCGTCGCCAGGTCTCATCGACACGAGGCGTCCTGAATGTGGATCGAATAAGGGGGGAAATCCACTGGTCCACTCCTCCGGAGTAGTGGAGGTAACATACATATCGAGCTTCGGCTGAGATGTCGAGTGTCGCACGCATCGATCTTCGAATCCATCTGTATGAACGATTATACACAATACCCCCAAGTGGGAGCTAATCTCACCAATAGCATAGCTTGATTGTGAAAATGGTGGGGATCTAGACCGTCCTTGGGGCGCCACAAATGCCACTGGCTTATTCTGCCTGCTCCTACTCATACAGTCAGCTCAGGCCCCCTGTTTTGTCAAGATACTGCGAGTTGCGCCGCTTCTCAGTTGGGCTGGAAAGGTCAATTAGCTGCAGCAAACCTCACCTCTCGACAGATAATGTAATGAACCCTGGAATGATGGGCGGAAGGATTTTACAGTTGTCGTATGGCGCAACTACATCAAAAGGGTGACAAGTTTGAACTCAAGTCATAGCGCTGTGATGGGCGTTTGGCGACATGTGTTCCCACCGCCACACCCAGCCCAGCGTAAGTTCTCAGAACGGGCTCTTACCATAGAGCGACTGGCAACACAAAGTCTCACCGTCAGATATTGGCATTGCATGGATTGATTAGATGGTGCCTGAAAACGTTACGAGCATTGAGCTTCCCTGGAGACCGGGCCCGACATCAAGTAGGAAGTTCCAAGCATTCTCCAGTACCCAAACTTCCCCTCTGAAATCTCGACTCTTCCTCTAAAGACTGTCAGTGTCTCCAACGTAATTGAAGTTGAAATGGAGACACGCACAGCACGCTGGTACTACTTACACATTGACTTTGCCACATGAACTGCAAATTCACCGACAGCTTCGCGAAGATGCGAAAGGAAACACAATGATGTCATTTCATTGTGCATCGTGCAGTGTGCTCAGGAGGGCACAAATACTCGTCAGCAACTTGGAGATACTTCATGATCAGATGAAAGATTTATCACATCTGTGCAGTTTGCCAAAATGGCACGTCTCTGCCCATCAAACAGGGGCGGGAATATGACAGTAGTGAGCTAGCATGTAGCCAGCCACTACTTAGTATCCATTAGACACGCTAGCCCTCTACTCAGTCTATTTGCGGTTAGCGTCTTGGCAACGCCACTTGTTCCATTCCTCCCAGTGCATCTTACACCGTCTCAATTGCCGTTGTCTTGACTGTCCAAGTCCAAACCTACTGAGAGACAAATCATATCTGGAACTTCCGTGGGGCGATAGAGAACCGTGTTCGATAATACGCCGGCAAAATGAAATTGCAGCAATACGGCTACCACCAGAGTTCATTCGCCTGAGACATCTGTTGCCTAGAAAAAACGGACTTGTGCGCCAACCACAATGTCGAAACATTTCAGACTATGGCCGAGACCCTTTATTGAAGAACATATCGACGTCGTGGATATTGAGCCAAAAGGTTCTGCAATACCATGGGGCTCATCATGCCTCTTCATACTGTCATTGATGGGGTTTGTGACCCAGCTTGTCGTGGCCTTCAATGTACCATGGTCATTTGTCGCCGTTGCGCTTTGGGTTACCGCAGGTCTCCATATTGCAGCATGGCGCCCCAGAACCGGGTCAATATTTCTCTTTGTCGACTTTGTGGCTATCTTAGCCACGGGGTCGAGCTTAGTCGCCACTCAATTCTACAAGAATCCGAGTAGCAAGGAAGCGGTGCTTATGTGCTGCAATGTGGGACTCGCCGCCATTGCCACTGTTGTCGTCGTCAACATGCCGCTGCGTGACCCAGCCTTGGGCTCCGCCGAGATTGGTCGTCCTTCCAACACACCATCCTGTGCATTTCGGTCACCTGAAGATAACCTGACGCTTCTCCAATGGATGACAGTGTCCTGGTTGTCCCCTTTGATAAAGATCGGGAACAAAAGGCAACTCCATGACGAAGATGTCTGGGGCCTCGCCTATGAGTTTCAGCACCGACATTTGCACGACGCTTTCCGCGAGCTCAAGGGCACTGTCGTCACACGGTTGCTGAAAGCAAACTGGATCGACCTGGTGCTCCTCACAATCCTCGCAATTGTTGAATTGGCTGCCAACTACTCCGCTCCCATGATCCTCCAAAAGCTTCTGCAGGCCATGGAGACGATAGCTGTCAACAAACGACTGGCCATCATGTACGCGATGCTCATGCTTGTGGCCAGAGCCGTGGCCGCTCAGAGTGCAGTGTTTAGCCTCTGGTTTGGAAGACGTTGTTATGAACGATCTCGTGGGGAGATGATCACCATGTTATACGAGAAGACGTTGAATCGGAAAATACTGGGTGGTTTGCCGCAGCAGGCTGATATTGAGGCGGATTCTACCGTGGAAGTCACCCCTGGTGCTCCCGACACCGCAGAGGCTGGTCCATTACCGGCACCTGCAGGGGTCGTTAGCGGGCAAAACGAGCCACCAAAAACCTTCATTACCCGCTTGCGCGAGACATTCCAAAAAGGTCGATCCTTTTTCTTCAACAGAAAACATGCTGTCAGCGAGACGAAACCGCCGGCATCGATGGGCAAGATCCTCAACTTGATGCGAAACGACGTGTACGAAGTCGCACAACGTTTCTGGGAATTTCAAACTCTGATAAACAAGCCGCTCGGTCTCCTGCTTTCCATCTTTCTCATATGGCAGCTGCTCGGATGGTCATGCTTTGTTGGTGTGGCAGTGGTCCTCGTCGCACAGATCTTCAATTATGTCCTCGCGCGCATCCTCATCAGTTGGGAGAAGGAACGACGCAAAATAACCGATATGAAATTGCAAAAAATCAGTCAGTATGTAGAGGCCATACGGCACCTGCGATGGTACGGCTGGCACCTGACGTGGCTTGAAGGTGTCATGACGGCCCGGCAGAAAGAGCTCAACCTGAGAATCGTCACCTTCTTACTGAACTCAGCCATCAGATTTCTCAACTCATTCGTTAGCGGCTTGCTCCCAGTGGCCACGTTTTATGCCTACACAGTCGCGGCAGGAAAAGAGCTGCATGTTGACATTGCCTTCCCGGCATTGCAGCTTTTCGCACTTCTGCAGAGCAACATTCGAGAGCTACCTACGTTAATCACAGTCCTGCTGAATGCTTCGGTGGCGGTAGGACGAATCTCGGAATTCATAGCCGAGCCCGATAAGATTGACGAAACAGACGATCGAGAGTACACAGATGACCGATTAGAGCTGCATAATGCCTTCTTTTCATGGCCTGGTCTTCCGGGGACAGTTCTCAATGATCTTAATTTCTCGTTCACCCGCGGGTTGACGGTTGTGTTTGGACCTGTGGCAGCAGGCAAAACTGCATTGCTACAGGCTCTTCTAGGCGAGCTCGATCTGCGTCAAGGGAAACTGATGAAACCACACGCAGCCATCGGTTATTGTGCACAAACACCGTGGCTGCAAAGCATGAGCATCCGCGAAAACATTCTTTTCAATTCTCAGTACGACGATACCCGGTACAAGAAGACCTTGGAAGCATGCGCGCTTCTCCCAGACCTGGCCAATTTCAAATACGGAGATCTGTCCAATATTGGCGAGAATGGCATTGGTTTATCCGGTGGCCAAAAGGCTAGAGTTGCCCTAGCTAGAGCAGTGTACAGTCGAGCGCAAATCCTATTGCTCGATGACCCTCTGAGCGCCCTGGACCACCAAACAGCCGAGTGGATTGTGAAGAAATGTTTATGCGGCAGCTTGATGGAGGGTCGCATCGTGGTTCTTGTAACTCATCGGACCGATCTTTGTCAACACGTGGCATCACAACTGATCGAGATCATCGATAGAACAGCCTCGCTACATCGAAACGATGAGATATTATCCAGAGTCACATCGGCAACGGCATCGGAGACAGACCCGGTCGAAGCTGACAGCAATTCTCACACTATCGATGAATCTGCTGCGATACCAGAAAAATTCGTAGAAGACGAATACCGAGCCCATGGTGGAGTGCAGATGCGAGTCTATTGGGAATATATCAAAGCTGGGACACTGAGATGGTGGTTTATGGTGGTCTTGACAGCCATCCTTTGTCGCATCACATATGTGAGTGAGAGCTGGTTCCTGAAAGAATGGGGAGAAGCATACAACAAAACCAAAGTCCGGTTTCTGGCCCTGGACAGATCCGAGTTCGACGTGCATCTTCTCGAGAGTCCAATCTCGGGCCTATTCGACAGGTTTCCCGATCCAGGGGTGAATGTCCAACCATGGCTTCTCGGCTTTCTCATCATCGTGGTCTGCGAGACTCTAGCACTTATGCTTTCCCAAATGTCCATGTTGGTCGTTACATACTCTGCTGCGCGTCAAATGTTCAAGGTCGTCATGCATTGTATCAGCAACGCCAGCTTCCAGTTTTACGATGTGACACCAGTTGGGAGATTGATGAATCGACTGACATCTGACATGGGAACCGTCGATGGCAACATCGCCGAGCTGTTTCTCGTCGTTATTTGGTATGCCGTCGCTTGGATCACGTCTATGGTCGTCATTGCCAGCATTACTCCGATCTTTCTGGCATTCGCCATTTCGCTGACGCTGGCTTTTGTGCTGATCTTCCTGCAATTTCTCCCAACGTCACAAAGCTTGAGAAGGCTTGAGATGGTCTCTCTGACACCCTTGATGTCGAATTTCGGTGCATTACTAAATGGGTTGATGACTGTCAGGGCTTTCTGTGCACAGTCACAGTTTCAGGAAAGAAATATTCAGGTCACAGACGCATTCCAGAAGATGGACCATTTCTATTGGAGTCTGCAGGCTTGGCTGATGTACCGATTCGACATGTTGTCAGCTGTGTCTACATTCCTGTTGACGATGCTTGCGATTTTCTCCAGCCTATCAGCTGGCTTGACTGCCTTTGTCTTGATCTCGGCGAACAAGTTTGTCCAGTCCACTCATGCCATTTGCAAATCATACGGCCAGCTCCAACTCAATTTTGTGTCCGTTGAAAGAGTGGTCGAGCTGGTGCATATCGAACAGGAACCCCCAAGTTCAGTTCAGCCACCAGCTGCCTGGCCCACATATGGAAGCGATGTCGTCTTTGAGAATGTCACCATTCGATATCAGCCTCATCTGGAACCGGCACTGACGAATGTTTCGCTTCGGTTCGAGGGAGGATCGACTAATGCTATCACAGGCAGAACAGGGTCTGGAAAGTCAACACTGGCAATGGCATTGCTAGCGACCATTACTCCCGAGAATGGTCGCATCTTAATTGACGGCATCGACATCGCCAAGGTGGATAAACAGGCTCTGAGAAGCAGAATAACCTTTCTGGCACAAGAACCTATCCTGTTCCCGGGATCCTTGCGCCACAATCTTGATCCAATGGAGGAGCACTCCGATTTCGCCTGCGAATCCGTGCTATCGAGGGTCTGCGGGAAGTATGGATGGACGCTTGAGACTCAGATCGATGCTGGAGGGAAAAATTTAAGTCAAGGGCAGCGACAACTGGTTGGTCTTGCGCGAGCAATACTGCGGAGGAGCGCCATCGTCATCATGGACGAGGCCACGGCAAGCATCGATTTGGACACGTCTACCGAAATCCAGCGTGTACTGAGGGAGGAGTTGCAGGAAAGCACAATCATCACCATCGCTCATCGGACGGCGGCTGTGGAAAATGCTGACTTTTGCGTTGTACTTTCCGCCGGTCGTGTTCTTTACCAAGGTCCCGCTGACGGAGCTGGACTTTAGATCAAGGGCATCACGCGTTTAGCTCGAAGAATTACGAGTATGTAGATATGGACATAGACAAAATAGACTGGGAACGGAATTGATTGGGGAGTTGTGGGTACAGGATGCTGATTTCCGGGAAAAAAAAATTGCCAGCGTTCATTGCATTTACTTTGTCCAGCTCTTATGCACAAAGGATCACTATTCCATGTTCTGAAAATGTCTGTTTGAGTCCGTCTCGATTAGAAAGATCGATGAAAGCGCAGCACGCGTAAAATGTTCATTTTAGTCCGTCCAAAGAGGGGCAGCAGGAAATACAACGTTTGATGAAACATCGGCAGAGAACTGGACATTCTGCATCTTGAGGGCTTTTCATAATCAGCTCAATCTCGTCAGAAGCCGCAGCTCTCGCAATATCGATGCTATCAGAGGGCGCAGGAAGAAAGGACAGCGCGGCAATGGGGGGAGAACTTCTGAGGCTTTCAATAGGGGCCGTCGGTGCCGCTCAGGCTCATGGACGATGGCAGGGATCGCAGGGTTGCTGAACGGAAGGCGTGATGAATGCATCACTGAACATGGGGGTTCGGGAAGACCACGAGAGGGGGGAGGACCGAATCTACACTCAACAGACACTGTCAGCAAAGTTTGGACGCTGTAACGCTGTAACGCTGTAACGCAGGCACTCATCGTAGGCATGGCACGAAGTTTTGGAAACATCGAGAAACTGTGGCTTTGTTGTTTTTCGCCCTTGCGGGGATGGAGTTGGAGCCAATCGGATTCGCTGCTCTGAAAGCACAACCGTAGTGGAAATGACGTCTCGAGTTTCCTTCACCTCCATTTAACATCTTTGCCAAACAGCGTTTGACCATTCAATATCTGATATGATATGAGATTCGCATTTACCGTGAGCTCGCTCTCACAGCATTCAAAGAATATCCATTCTATGGAAGCAAATCCCTCATCTACCCTCGACCGAAATACCCACTCCCTTCTGTAGCACCGAAACTTGGTCAAATCTGATACCATGTCAGACACTCTCCCTGCTGTTAACGACGACCGGGCAGCGCGCGTCGTTGCTGGGCATCTCCCCTCGGGCTATACCGCTGACTTTGATGGGGTGCGTCCCGATGATGATGCACCAAGAGGTCCTTCAGAGCCCGAGCCCGAATCGTCTCTCAAGCTCCAAGGCGGCGACATACACCGCGATTTATACAAGATTCAAAATCGGAACAAATTACAGCGAGCCGCCACCTTTTCGCATCCAAATGAATCCTCCACCGCAATGGAGAACGAGATTTCAGTATCCGAACAACTTGCTCCGGGTGGCTTCCGGCGAGAGTTTGTCCGCAAGAAGTATGGCCGCTTCAATCCTGCGGTGATTCCCGTCACGAGAAATTTCGTCGAGTTTCTCTCCCTCTACGGAGCGTTCGCTGGTGAGGATTTGGAAGACTCGGAAGATGAATCAGCGCTTGAGGATGAGGAAGAGGCACTCTCAGAGACGAGGCCACTGCTTCGGCGAAGCACCACCATGGCCAAGGTGGGAGATGCAGGGATGACGAAGACCTTCTTCACCTTGCTCAAAGCCTTCATCGGCACTGGAATCATGTTCTTGCCCAAAGCTTTCAACAATGGTGGCATCCTTTTCTCGTCCATGACACTGTTGACAGTCTCATTGGTCACGACATGGGCGTTTCATCTCTTACTGCAGTGTCGTCAGATCCACAAGAGGAGCGGCTATGGTGAGCTTGGTGAAGTAATTGGCGGTCCTAGAATGAGGGCTATCATCCTTGGGTCGGTCACAATCTCACAGCTCGGGTTCGTCTGCGCTGGGACTGTATTCGTCGCTCAAAATCTGTATGCATTCGAAGAAGCAGTTACCAGAGGCCCCGCTCGGATATCGACCAATATCTTGATTGCCCTTCAGCTGATCGCTTTAATTCCGTTGGCATTCATCCGCAATATCTCCAAGCTTGGTCCCGCAGCGCTGGTGGCCGACATTTTCATACTGCTCGGTCTAGCTTACATTTATTACTATGACATTTCTTACCTGGCAATGAACGGACTAAACCCTACGGTCCAGCTGTTCAACCCTCAGCACTACACCCTTACCATTGGCTCAGCCATCTTCACTTTCGAGGGAATTGGTCTCATCCTTCCCATTCAATCGTCGATGCGCGAGCCTGAAAAGTTCGAACCACTTCTGTGGGTCATTATGCTCATCATCACCATCATCTTCACTTCCATAGGAGCACTCTGCTACGCAACGTTTGGCTCGGCAACCAAGATTGAAGTCATCTCCAATTTCCCACAAAGCAGCAGACTCGTTAACGCGGTCCAACTTCTGTACGCGCTTGCGGTTATGGCTGGCACCCCAGTCCAGCTATTTCCGGCTCTTCGAATTCTCGAAGGTAAGATGTTTGGCCATCGTTCTGGCAAACGGGACACGTCCATCAAGTGGAAGAAGAATGGATTCAGGACGGTTCTCGTCGTGCTTTGCGCCTTGGTTGCAATTCTGGGGTCGAGCAACCTGGACACGTTTGTCGCGCTTATTGGTTCGATCTGTTGCGTTCCGCTTGTCTACATATATCCGCCACTCCTGCACTACAGAGGGGTCGCACAGTCCAGATGGGCCAAAGTTGGAGATGTCGTGTTGATGATACTGGGTGTTGTGTGTATGATTTACACGGCTGTCATCACCATCGTGACCAGCTTCATGCAGTAACAGGGATTCCATCCTTCTGGGCGTGAAATTGATCTTTCTTGGCTTGTCTCTACCACACAGAGAGAGCGACCCTCATCAAATCCTGCTCTACACTCTCTACCTGAGTCAGCCTCACCAGGGGGATCCAAGTGTTTGGTTTGGACTACGGAGACTGGCAGAGAAGGAAGGATGTATCAGCTGTAAGCCGCTTCCGCCAAAGCTTATAGAGTATTCCCGGCATTGCCAAGAGCAAATGTCTATACTTAAGCCAAGCCTAGATCAGTCGAAAAAGGGGAAGGAGGGGTTAGGAAAGAGCTTAAAAAAGGAGTTCGTCGTTGCTGCCGACATTATTGGTTGGGAATGGAATCGCAAATGGCGACATGCCAAGCATCTCTGCTCCTTTAATCTCAGGACTTCCTGCGAAACCACTACTTCGAGGCTGTGACTACATGCAGTCCTGCTGACCTCAGACATCGTTGTTGACATCACTTTCCCCCTCGGATCAGGACAGAGACATTCTCCTTTTCCCACTGTACAGTCCCGCCGTCTCGTGATTCTCGTGAGTCAACGGTAATTCCAGCTGCGCCCCGTACTCGCAGGTCATACGAGGCACTCGACACAGAATGTGAGTTTGCAGCGACACATGGTCTTCACCGTCGGACAACGGCGGGTTGGGGAAATTGCAGATCGCGGGGGCGAACAGAGGGTCTGACCTTGAGCAAAAGGTCTGTGAAGCCTCATCCTGGGTCAATCTTTCAGCTAATTCGCCGAATCCAGGCACGATTGGCATGTCGATCCCAGAAGACCGATACCCGGACTTGGCCAAAACTCTATACCCCTGCCCTCAGACGAAGGTTGGGACGAACCTCGATGACGGTTGGCGACCTGTTCCTCCTGAACGTGGCTTGGACAAGGCTACGGGACAAGGCACGATGTTGCTTCATTCTGCCTGGCCGAGAAGAGATTAAGCCAATCTTCCTTCGGGTATACCGTATACGAAAGACCAGGTCTTATTGCAGTGATGAGAGGTACAAGGGCCTGGGCATGTCTCATGGCTGGATAGATACAGGATTGAGTACGAGGTACTTATAGCAAGCATCAAGTCACCCAAAGTCACTCTTCTTTCCTCAAAAGCTACTCCTACCACAAGTCACTCGTTCCAATCGTCCCAACTCGCCCAAGTCACTCTTTTTGACTCACTGTCATTCTATCCGGCTTACTTCTTCTGCTCCTCCTGTCGATCTTTACCAAACACAATCATCATGAAGTTCTCAAGCATTGTTCCCCCTCTCCTCCTCGCATCAACCGTCGCTGCTCTTCCCGGCTGGCGCGACTGGCATGGTCCCAAAAACCCCGAGAGCAACTGTCTTACTCAAGCCGACGCCGATGACATTGTTGCCAAATTCATCAGCATCCTTGATCACCCAGATGTTGCTGCTTCGAACGCCACTGCTCAAGCGTTGCTGACGGACGACTTTTTCGAAAAGTCTGACTCGATCAATATACTTGCTGGCCACCCGGTATGAATACACCCTTGGACACCAATTGACTACTATGACTAATTCGGAGTAGATTGGCGCTGTCACCTTCTCTGGCAAAGCTCAGTATATTCAAGGCGTTCTTCTGGCACCATCCATCACGAACATCACAACCTACAAGTCCATGGTCGCTGGCTGCACAAACGTTCTCTGGTTCTGGAACATGGCGGGCATTGGAAGCAGACAGATCCCGGTCAACGGATTCAACCTCTTTGAGATCACTCCTGAGAAAAAAGTCGCCGACATGTTTGTTGAATTCAACAACATTGGCTGGGGAATCGACACTGGCTTCACCGTCTTCAGCAGGGATGGCACCAAGCTTCCTCTGGCATAGAACAGGCATGCGAGAGAGAGGTGCTCGGTCTGAAGCCAAGTTCACTTGACGCAGATCACGGCTGTATTTTTCACCTTGATATCAACACTCTTCTAAGATTCTTCTAGGTGTGATTGAGATAGGGGCTGCCACAGATAATGCCTGCCTGCACTGTGGTCGAAATAAATCGGATTTCTTTTCACGTCATATCGTTTTCTGTCGACGTAGACTTCAGAAGGTCATCTCTGTGCGCCATGTCCGATCCTGTGATCTTTCCTGGCAGCGCTCCAGGGGATACACCACGCAATCAACTAAAGCAGTGTGACCTTGTGGACTGGCCCGTGTATGACTTGTAACCTGTGCCCCAGTAGCTCATGGAGTACAGCCTCAGTGGTCGAACGCTGCGATTTGGAATACTCGATTTGCTCGCCCTAACAGAATTTCCGTAGACCAGGCAAGTGGTCGTTGCCAGATACACTCGGCACCATCGCCTCTGAGTTGTCGATGTGTCTTCTTCGATCAAACCCCCAAGATCATACATCATCCGTCGCCGAAAAGACGTTGTAGACGGCCAGTCAAACGGCAGATGATCATCCCTTTTCGCACCCTCTCGTCACCTCGTTATTCTGTCAAACGGTGACTAGGACGACAATCTGCCCCTCATTTCCCAAATCTTTCTGGACTCGTGTTCCGAACTGGAGACACAGCCTTCTAAATGTATTCTCTACCCAGTCGTGATCCGGGTCGTCTGCCTCCAATAGATGTGCCTGGAACCTCTTGATCCTGTTCGGAAAGACCTCCAGCCTCTTTATCTCGAGCCCGCTCTCTCCCTCCTTCCTTTCTACCTTCTCACTCACGGAAACTCTCCAGGCGGCACTCAGATCGTTTCGGTAATTGGGATCAACCGCATAGTCATCCACAAAGTCACCACATCCATAGACGATCAGCTTCCCGTTGTATATCTCCACGCCCTGAATATGGTGGCTGCTATGGCCGTGGATCAGGTCCACGCCGCACTCGTCGATCATCCAATGCGCCAGGTCAATAATTTCCTGCGCGGGATGCCAGCGATAGTTTGGCCCCCAATGTATCGACACCACTTTGAGGCCCACCTTTCCCTGCCCCTCGCTGTCATCTTTGGCCAAGAGCTGCCCTTTTATCGTCTCCCTTCCCTTGCCCGTGTATGTGATGTAGTTGAAGGTGTCCATGGCTGACCACTCACTGGGGTGGTCCGCAAAACTCCAACACTTGATCTCCCACCCCTCCGGAACCCCGAGGCGCAGTGTCGCAGGTCTGTGAGCCTCCTCCTTCGTTCGACCAGCCCCTGCAAACTGTACGCCATTGTTGACCAACGTCTCGACTGTTTCTTGTAAACCCTCTACATCCCAATCCAGGGTATGGTTGTTTGCCAAGCTGACATAGCCTCTTCTCGCCCCACCGCCCAAGCCGACCTCGGTCAAACACTGGGTATTCCCAGGATGAGTGCGATAGTTGAATACTTTGCTCGGCCACTTCTTCTCGCTTGTCGTCACTGCCGTTTCGAGGTTTGCAAGCACCAGATCTGATCCTCGGATCAACTCGGCGCTGTTGCCCCAGGGCGCGAGGTAGTCATATGACTTGAGTTGGGGATAGCGTGGGAGAATGTGTTTGTCAATTGTCGATGCGGCCGATTCGGGGTCGGAATGCGGCGATTGGCGAGCTATACTAGTAGGTAGCAGAGCATCGATGAGACGTCCAATCATGACATCTCCGAGAAGAAGAAGAGTGTATGGTTTTGACGTGGTTGGCATGGTGAAACTGAAGTCTGGAGGTCTTGAGTGGGCTGGATTCCACCTGCTGTCCTCATGGCGTGTGATGAACGGCGAGATATCATGCAATAGATCCAATCAAGGCTCTATCCTTTGTAAGGGATTCTATAGATGACAATATGTAGGGAACGGAACGCGGGAACCACATTTGTCCCCATCGCGTACTAGAACAAGCTCGTAGGGAAAAAGGTAAAAAGGTGGAAAAAAATCCAGGTTGATGAGGGGTTCATTTGATTTTTATTTCTCCTCCTACACAAAGACTTGTGCTACACTCGAGATCCATCCGACATCTGGCATCTGACTCTCCCGAGACTCCCATACAATGATTGTCCTAAAGGAGCGCGACGTGCACTCTTTGCTCTCCAATATCTCGGCCCCAGAATGTCATCGCATCCTATCCGATTTCCACAACATCCTCCGCGCATACTCGTCGACCAAAAATGTCTCGCCGTCGGAACGAATCATTCATCAACCGGAGAGGGAATCCATCGTGACAAAAACCGGTAACACGTCGCTGTTCATGCCGTCTTCCATCACCACTTCGACGGGGATCAAGACTGTCACCATCAGCCCCAAAGGCCTCAAAGGCTGCATCAACGTCTTCACCCCGGATGGCGAACTGCTGGGCGTCTTGAACGCCGAGGAAGTCACTGCGTTTCGGACCTCGCTGGCTGTCATGATCCCTTACATCCGATGGCTCAATGGCAAGAGGAACCTCGTCATCTTTGGAGCTGGTCGACAAGCAGAGTGGCACTTGAAGCTGGCTCTGCTGCTGAGCGACGTGAAGCATGTCACCGTCGTGAACAGGAGCAGCCCTCGAAGGATGGAGCAGCTCTTCGCCGATCTACAGCAGCAACACGCCGACCTTGTGTGTCGCGTGCTGCTGAAGACGGCCGAGGATTACGATGCGCAGCTACGAGAATGTCTTGTGGCATCAGATATCATTTGCTGCTGCACGCCGTCAACGACGCCGCATTTCCCATTCAGCTACCTTGACAAGAAGCCCCGGTTCATCTCCCTCATAGGATCCTACAAGCCGTCCATGCACGAGGTTGATTCCGAAACGCTCTTGTCTGGGGGACACATCTACGTAGATACCAAGGAAGGCTGCCTCGTCGAGGCTGGGGAACTAATCACGGCCAACGTCCAGGAAAATCAGCTGATTGAGATCGGCGAGTTACAGGGCTCAGACTCCCTTGATATCCAAGGGAATGTCATCTTCAAGTGTGTGGGCTTGGGCATTATGGACTTGGTTATGGCAGGGAGCCTGCTTGGGATGGCCAAGGAGAAAGGCATGGGTTTGGTGGTCGATGACTTTTGATTCTAGACCTGACTGACGCATTCATTTCCCTCAGCAGACTGGAGGGTATCTTTCAAACACCATCTCCAAATGCATAGTCGTTGGCCCACCGGGTGTCCCATGGACGAGACTTGTTGACAAATCTTAGATCTGTACCCAATCGAATCCTGTTCTCCGGGTCATGGTTGATCGTCGAGGCATGGATCTACATTTTGAAGTCAGTGAAAGGCAGGGGAACAAAACAAAAGGGGCATCTATTCTTACCGCATATGCGTTGTGTAACACGACATCGCCAGCCTCGTATGCCGTCAACAGCCAGCGGCGATTCCACCGCTTCCCAAACTCAGCCGGACCATCGGCCAGCAGGCCTCCGCTCATCATGTTTTGATTAAAGGCGCTCTTGGCCTCGTCGTCCGTCAACCCTGAAGCCTTCGCTTTGGTCGTAAAATCCCGTTCAATCTCGGCACCAAGAGTGTGTCCTTGTTCGAGGTATATCAAGCCGCCGCCCTGCCTGGAGACATCTCCCATGGGCACCCAAGCAGTGATTGCAGTGTCCTCGCCATATCTCAGGAAAATCTGATCGTAGTGTACTCCGATCGCTTTATTTCCCGGAGTGTTGTTCCGCAAGAGTGTCCTTCGGATCCCCAGCGTGTCATCGCCCCAGCCCGTAAGCTGCGCGACGTAATTCCGCAACGCTGGATGTTTGCAGAAATCCTCCTTGTACCAGTTCTCGGTGTGTGCTTGGAGAGCTAGATCGACAAACAACGCAGCCACTTCAGGATGCGGCCCCGTTGGGCGGCCATTGGAATCTGTGAAGCCAGCTCCAATCCCAGGGAAGTCGAGCTTGTCCTTGGTGTCGTCGAAGATGCCCTCGACGGGCTTGGTGCCTGGTTTGAGAACGCCGCACGGGGAAAGGAGCTTGAAATATTCCTCTCTCGCCGCGAGCACGTCCTTTCGCGGCAAGAGGCCTTTTACAAAGAGGTATCCGTCTTCGCGGAACCGTCTGCGAGCCTCCTCAATTGGAGTGTCCAGCGAAGTCGGCCGCAAATCGGCATACTGGTCGGAAGCTAAAGGCCCGTCATTGACGAAGAATTGCTCTCTGGACGTCAATTGCGACTCCGGGGATTCTGCGTGGGGCATCCTAACCAAAGCTGAAGCGATTAGTTGAGCAGCTCAAATGGGTAGTGTCGACCAGGATTCTGCAAAGAGGTAAAATGTCAAGGGACGGCTGGCACCAGCGAGTCAAGATATACACCTTGACGCCGACACCAGGGCTGATTGATACCACCCGTCACTCGTGGTCAATTCCATATCGCCACCTTTGTCTCCGTGACACGCGTGATCGACACCGGAAACCTCCCAATTGGGGCGACGAAAGATGTCGAGGTTCAAGGAAAGGAAATCTCCGCCCGACAAGTCTCCGAAGCGAGTTGTGGAGAGACAGGAAAAGGCAATAGATCCCGGATCCAAATGTACCGTGGACGTGTCCTTGATGCCGATTCCCCGCAGAAATCCTCCGCAAATGACCAACTTCTCCGGATTGTCTCCCTCGTCTTCCTCTCCCATACAACTGACATGTCCTGTGATTTCTGTCGCAAGAAGCATATCAAATGTGCGATCACGTTTCCATCCTTTGCGGCCCCGCACAAGTCATTCCTATTGCTGACCTCTTTCAGGTGACAACCAGCATCCGCGATGTGCGCACTGCGTAAAGGCTGGTCGACAGTGCATCCGTAGGCCAACGCAGTATCGCCGCATTTCCAAGCCACAAAACTTCGAGACACAGCAGGTTTGGGTGCCAGTTCCTCCAAAGGGTAGGTAGGGAGCGGCAAGATTACTGGGTGGATGCTAATATCTGCAGTTGATTTCGTAGATGAAACTCCGCTGTTACGACATGGGAAAGCAACGAGCCACCCCTCGGAAGAGAGAGACATTCAACAGGGATCTATCCACGTGCCACAGCTTGAACAGCTGTCGAATGAGGTGGTACTCGCACTGAATGATCCAATGCCATTTCTGGCTGGACAACCGCTGCGTCCTATACCGAGAACACACGAGGACGACACACCCTTTTCCACCAAAGAATCCGCCGAGTTAATGAGATACTTCATCGACAATTGTGCTTGCTTCTTCGACTTCAGCGATGCCGACAGACATTTTGCGTACGAGGTCCCACTCAGAGCTCGCCAGAATGCAACGTTGGCCAACGCGATGCTGGCACTGGCTGCTCGGCATCGAAGTCGAACGGGCGAGTTTGAACATTTCGCGGCCGATCGATATTACAACGCGTGTCTTCAAACCATGATCCCAAGGCTTGGGGACAAGTCGGCGATCCAAGACGATGAGCTTCTTGCAGCTATAGTCATTCTACGACTATTGGAAGAGATGGATGGTCAGTGCGTTGCAGGCGTCTCGTTTCCACCTGACTGACTCTCGTACAGTACCAATCGTGGGATCAGACCCTCAGAAACACCTCTTCGGGACCCAGGCACTTATTAACGCGTCCCAGGCTCGCCCTCAACTATCAGCAACGGCATTGAGAAAGGCGTGCTATTGGGCGGCTTTTCGCCAGGAAATTTTCATGTCCATCACTACGCAAAGACCTTTCAATCTGATTCTGCCCGAGATGCAGTCGCCTTCGAGCCCTGCAGATGACTGGTCGTGGACAGTCCAGGCCACGTACCAATGTGGCAAAGTACAAGCCTTTGTCTTTGGCGAGGAATCTACCACGCTGTCTAGGTATCTGCAATTGATGGAAGATATCGAGACATGGCAAAGAGATCGTCCAGCATCTTTTGACCCTGTATACCAAGGGGTGAACCGTCTGGAGCACGCTTTTCCAGATATTCGGATCCAGATGGATTGTCACGGTAAGTGCCACTGCGAGGACCATCGTGGATCTCATTGTGATGATAATGTTGCAGTCATGGGTTGGCAATACATAACCATGGCACACCTGTTGCTCAGTGCACACCGTCCATTGCCCCGTGTTGGTCCATCCCATAGGCGAACAATGATGGACATGGAAGAGGTCGTCAAACGAGACGTCAGGACACTATGCGGAATAGCTCAGTCAAACCCACAAACCCCTCCGGCTAGCCTAGTGGCCTGTATGGCCGTAGCATTGTGCAAGTTCGCCTCTCCTAGCATTGGGTCCTAGACTTCTGACATCCCCACAGTCGGCGATCGCTTCGATTCCCAGCGGGAGCAGGTGCTTCTGAGAGATCTCCTGGTCCAAACAGAGCTTCGCACAGGGTGGCCAACTTCTATAGCACGGGAACAGCTCGAACGGACCTGGAATGGGGCATGAACGACCCCGCACCCACCCGCATCTCGGGGAAGAGACTTTGGTCTCAAGGTACGTTGCTGAGATGTGCGTGGAGACCCTGTTGTTGAGGCCGGAGGCTAACCGTCTCGAAGTCAAATCCGGTTAGCGACTCCGAATGATCGACCTTGACATGTCCAGAAGCGAGCGGCGGTCAAACTCCACATTGAAGGGTGCCGTGAGAACTCCTTGACGTTGGTTCATCCCAGGTGTATAAGAACTCTTCACTTGCTTGTCTTCACCTCGACAACTCCTCGAGACTAGCAGTTTTCGTTCAGACTTACGAGCCCCATGCGCGCATCTTCGAGGATGTTATCAATCAAGCAAACCAAGGTCATCGAGCGTCCCCCCAACTATGATTTTACCAGTCCCCGTCCCGCAAATCTGAGATATGTCTACCTCGTAACTGCTTTCGTATCCCTGGGAGCCTTCCTCTTTGGTTACGACCAAGGTGTGATGGGAATTATAGTGGCTGATGACCGCTGGATCCATCTCATGAAGCCAGCCAATTCTTGGGTCACGGGTGCTGTCGTGTCCTTGTACGACGTGGGCTGCTTCATGGGGGCAATGAGCATCGGATATTTGGCGGACCAATGTGGTCGAGAACGAACCTTGTCGATTGCCAGCGTTGTGTTTGTCATTGGAGCCGTCATTCAGGCGGCGTCCTACGACGTCCCGACCATTACTGTTGGACGGGTCATTCTTGGATATGGAGTAGGGGCCTGTGCGGCGGGGGTGCCCTTATATGTATCAGAGATTGCTCCAGCAGGGTTGAGGGGTCGAATCATTGGTATCGAACAGATGATCCTGTGCTTCGGTGAGCTTATCGCCTTCTGGCTCGACTATGGATTTGCATACCTGGACACGCCTGACTGGTGGCGCATACCCTTGGCCATCCAGATCATCCCTGCTGTTGTTCTGGCTGTCGGATGCTGGGTGTGGGTTCCCCCAAGCCCACGTTGGCTTGTGCAGCAAGACCGACACACTTGCGCGCGAGAGGTGCTGGCGAGACTGCACGGAGATGAAGCCGCGGAAATTGAAATGCAAGAAATCGCCGAAAGAGTCGCATTTGAGAAGAGGGTTGCAGTTACCAGGTGGAAAGATATGTTCACTTGGCCCATTCTGCGTGTCACGCTCATTGGAACCGGTGTGCAGTTCTTCCAGCAGATAACGGGCACCAACTCTATCGTGAGACCATGACTCTTTCCCCCTAAAAGTTGCCACAACGAGAGAAAACTGACAATTTGAGCACTGTAGCTATACTATACCCCAAGCTTGTACGAGCGCGGTGGGATCAGCTCGGCCCATACACGCAACTTGGCGACAGGGGGGGTTGGGATTGTCTTATTTGTTTTCGCATGGATCCCCATTTTTGTCTTCGACAGGCTCGGACGGAAGACGTGGCTTCAAATCGGTGTGATCGGTATGATGGGTGCGATGATTGGGATCACAGGTAAGGCGCTCAAGAAGTTCCAGCACGGCGTGAGTCTGACGCGGACAAAGTCCTTCAGTGGCATGCAGAGAAATATCCAGGTGCGAGCGGGAATTATGCCATCGTCGTATTCCCGTACTTGTTCTATGTCTTTTTCAACATCAGCTGGGGCGTGGGGAGTTGGACGTATGCCAGCGAGATCTGGCCAGTTGCGCTACGGGCCAAGGGCAATGCGTTGAGCACCATGAGCCTGTGGACGGGATGCTATATTGTCGCTCAGGCCAGTCCTCCGATTGGAGATGCCATCGGCTGGGGCTTGTATATCATCTACTCCGGGATCTGTGTACTGGCATTCTTGTTTGTCCGGTATGCCATGGTTGAAACACGTGGGCGCACCTTGGAGGAAATGAGCCAACTTTTTGGGCTTGAAGATAAGTTCGCGGCTAGGAGGGGCATCGACCTAGCGACAGCATCCGAGTCGAAGACTGGGGATATTGTGCATGAGCAGGTGGAGGAAGTGGGCAAGTGAGCCCAAGTCATAGGACGGCGAATGCAGCAGCGGTGGTGGACTGACTTCGAGTTGAGGTTGAATCGCGGAAAGATTGAGATCTCCCAAGGCTGAAAGAAATATCGAGGACTGGAACTCCTGCACATGATGTGGGGCGGTGAGGAGGATACTTTTGCCCTTGCCCTTGACAGACAACTTTGGCCGAGGGTCGGGAATACCCAACTCTCATGAGGAATCTGTTAGCAGGGCGTTAGGAAACAATTAAATCTCCTCAACGGCCATCGGAAAGCACCATGACTTACGTTTCTTTCTCTTCAACCTGGATCATCCCGTGCTGGAGTTCCCTGTTGCTTGCTGGACAGCATGATTCTTCTTGTCAGTCGGGTTTCTCGAACATCACGCCTTGCAAACATGAGCAAACTCCGAACATTTTCAACCGCGAAGTCACTGCAAGCACAGCCTGCATCCATACAGGCCACGCTGACCGAGAGATCTCAGGGCAAACTTAGCGAACAGAACCTCGAGAGGGTAGTCCGACATGTTCATCATGACGGGCTTGTAATTGTCCAAAATGCTATTGACACCGGTGTTCTGTGCAAGTTGAACGAGAAGATGGTCAAGGATGCATTCGAGTTGCGGTCGAGGGGCGAGCATAGTCCCTTCAATTATAACAAAGGGAATCTGCAACAGGATGCGCCTCCTGTGAAGGAATACTTCCATCCGGAAATATTTCTGAGTAAGTGGTGAACCCGAACCCCGGTGATTGCTGGCTGATATGCGATATGTTAGATCCAATTGCCACCCAGATAACATCGGCCGTGCTTGGGCCCCGTCCCAAATTGACCTTTTGCTCTGGGAATTCAGCCATGCCCTCCATACCAGGCTCTCCTGCGGAGAGACAACCCGTACACTCAGACGCAGATTTCGCACACCCTGACCATCCCTTCGCGCTGGTGGTCAACGTGCCGCTGATTGATATGAATCCTGAGAATGGGTCGACTGAAGTTTGGCTGGGCACACATGACGCTTTCGGGATTGAGGCGCAGGAAGGGGCACACGGCGAGCGAGCGTCGGGGAGAATTCGTGCTCCATTGCTGGCAGAAAGGTCGAAAACAAACCCACCCATTCAGCCATCCGTTCCCAGCGGTAGCATCATCATCCGTGATCTGAGACTCTGGCATGCCGGCATGCCAAACACGACTTCAGACGTGAGAATCATGTTGGCGATGAGTATGTCCCGTTTCTTTCCCTTACAGGCCCCTTCCACTAATCAATAACAGTCCATCTTGCTCCTTGGTATCGCAATCAGATGAGGCTGGAGCTTGCTGAAGAGTTACGGCCGCTGGTGGAGAGTGTGCGGGACCTTGACATCAAGACGGACTTTGTGGGCGAAGACGAGGCGCTGAGAAGATACCTGAGCAGAGGTTTCGGGAACAGCTACGACTTTGGGCAAAGTTAGACTGGAGACGCCTGTGTAGGCTAGGGGTCTGCGTAAACTTGATGCATTGGTTAGCAACCTTGTGGAATCAGATGAATGTAGCATGCGCGGAAGGTGGGAAATGCGCTGATCCCGAGAATCCGTCGCTGCCGTGACAAATGCTGGATCGCATTAGGGACGGCCTTGTAGAGGACGGCTCGTCCAGACTGTGATGACTGTGGTATTATGGCCGCGTTTCATGGAATCCTACGAGATCAGATCTCCAGGTGCCTGAATTCCAGGACCGCAGGGGAAACGAATAGACATTAGCGGCCGGGTGGGTTCCCAATGGCTTGGCCCCGTGGCCCGAAGGGACAGATTAGTTTGTGCTCTCCTGCAAGTATCTTGATCAACCTCAACACACCCACAATTTTCGTGTCGCATGATTTCTTGATTAGGCGCTCGTGAACAAGAAAATATGGCCAAGATAGCAAGCAAAACATGTAAGTGGTCCATCCTTACCCTGTCGTGTGCTCATGGCTGATTTGACACAAAGCATGGTGAGCCCAAATACTCCTCGACCTGCGTTGGAGACTCATGAATCGGGAGTAGTAGAACATGCAGACTTCGGAAGCTGAAATGTAAGAAGACACTCACGTCGACCGCTATTATCTCACAGTGGTAAAGGCGACGAAAAGCTGCCGACGTGTTCTCGCTGCGAAAGAAGCGGCCGTTAGTGTGACCGCACAGCGCCTTTGAAGATCCAACCCCAGAAGAATGTTGGCAGACGAACGAAAGGCGCAAAGGGTACCAGCAACATGATAGAACAAACTTCTATCGAGCAATTCGACGAGCCTCGTGTGAGACTGCAGGACGAGGAGATCGCCCACTACTTCGCACACTACCTGAAGACGCTGGCTCCGTGGTATGACCTAAACGACCTTGACCAAGCCTTCAAAAGTATCGTGGGAAGCAGAGCTCAACAGAGCTCCTTGCTGCTCAGCGCCATCATTGCATTTGCAGCTATACATAAGAGTCGCACGTCTCACGATGTGCCCAAGTCGCTGCCAGAAAAACATCATGCTCACTGCTTGCGTCTTTTGATCGGACTCACCGAAACAGCCCCAGCAATCAAGGACGGGACAGCCTTGGCTGCAACGTGTCTGCTGCGATCGTTTGAAATCCTTGCAGGTAAAAGCACAGGAGTTTCCAAGCTGATATTGGCTAATCGGCGTCAGAGGAGGAGGATCCTAATCGCCACCTTTTCGGGGCATTCTCATTAATACCATCTCTGTCTTCTAACCTGCCAGAAGAACCGCTGCTCAGGGCCGGTTTATGGAATTATCTCCGCGAAGATATCACCTTCTCGCTCATCAACCGCTGTCCCTTGAAAATCGAGGTTGGAGCAATAGACATCGAACTGCATCGCAATGACGATTATGCAAATCAAATCACAATCCTTTTGGCCCGTGTCATCAACGCCGTTTTCGCGGGAGATTCAGACCTTTTTGTCGGCTTACAATCAGCCGTCAGTGCTTGGAATTCAGCTGTACCATTCAAGCCTTACCATGAGTACCACCAAGGCGTATTTCCCAAAATCCAGATGGTCGAGGATTGTCACGGTGAGCTGATACACTGTGAGTTTCGTTCCAGACCTGACCAGATTTAGTCGCTGCAAGGCAATATTGGCATGTCGCGCAGATCCTCCTTGGTCTAAACACCGGTAGTACAGGGGACTTTGAAGCACACGCCCGCACCATATGTGGGATGGCCTTTTCTGCCAATAGTGACCCTGTCGTTGTAAACTCATATGGTCCAATCTGTTATAGTGAGTCTTCTGATGAGTTTGGGGTCATCGAACTGATTTTGTGTCACTCCAGGCGCACAATGGTTATCGAGAGACGACGCTCGACGGGAATTGGTCAACCGCCTTCTGGATAGCCAAAAGAGGACCGGTTGGCCCGTTCAACACATAATCAAGAAGCTGAACCGGAACTGGGCCGGAGGGGTAGGGGAATGACTCTGTGGATCCGCTGTGGAAACCAGGCATTATGTCGGTTGCTTCATTCCACGACCATTGCTTCCGCCATGAGCAATTCCTCATCAGCAATAACCTCGTCGAAGTCATCCACACCACCAACATGACCATTGGTACCGTTCTGCGCTGGAGCCCCATTCGCTTCGCTGCGCATATAATCGTGCATTGTCGCATCTTCTCTGCCCATGTCGCCTTCGCCTCGTCTCGCCTTTTGCTCTTTCTGGAAGTTTTCCAGCTCCTTCAGGTCCCAGCTATCTTTACCTTTAGTTGAGCCGTCGGGCATTTTCTGCCCGGGTCCCAGAGGCTGAGCTATACTCCGTAGGAACTTTTTTGCCATACCCACGGCGGCATCAGTGCTCAATCCGGTTTGAGCATCGGTAATCTCTTCCGCGATCCATCTAGGTAATTGGGTACGTTTCTTCTGAAACCTACGGTCGGCCAAAACCATGATCCCGTAGTCATCCTTCCCCCTCAAGACTCGCCCCAGGCACTGGGCCGCGTGCCGCATTGCGTCGAAAGACAGAAAGTCTTGTTCCTTAATTCTGTAATTCTCTCGCAGGAACTCCAGGCGTGCTTTCAAGATCCTCGACTCCGTGTACTGGAAAGGTGCGCCCATGCACAGCACAGTACGTCCATAGTGATGATCGAAGTCGATACCTTCAGACACTTTGCCCCGAGCGACGCAGAGCAAGATCGCGCCTTTGCCATTTTCACATGCAGTGCGGTAAGTCTCCAATGCCAGGCTAGTCTCCTGGGCGTCCGGTGTTTCCACCAGAATGAGCTTGTAAGTCCAGATTTGATCCAGGATACCCATCCCCTGCCACATACTGATGATCATTTCCATGTAGAGATAAGAAGGGAAAAAGACAACGATTCCGTCCGGGGTGATCTTCGCAAATTCGTACAATAAAGCGCCATAGTTCCGTACCACACCTGGATCCGACCGAGATTGGAAGCCGGATGTTATAGACTGTTGATCAGAGCCACGCGTGACGATCATTGGCAAAAAGGATCGCCTCGCAAGTGACATCGGGTAGGACTCCTGTGTCACAGTACTGAAGTTGAGCATTCTCGGATACATCTCCAAGGGCGAAATAGTTCCAGAAGTAATGATGACAGAGGAAAACCGTTCGAAGACAGGCTTGATCGCGATTGATGCATCAAGGCATGCGAAGTGCAAGATGGGGTTTGGAACTGTCGCTTGCTCGGTCTCAAAGGGCTCCAGAATCAAGAGAAATCCGGTTTCGTAGGTTGCAACAAGAGTGGCAAAGGTCGCTACTTCTTGTAATGGCTGGTAGTCTTCGATGTTGGTCAATTCCAAGGTGCGGACAAGGGATGTTAGTCGTTCGGCACAGAACCGCAATGGCTTGCGCTCGATGAAGGTCAGCTCTTTGAGATGTGCGAGGAATGAGGGAGCAGTTTCCTGAATGACGTATAACACTTTCATTCGGGTCTTGAGATACTCGATAAAGCGTTTGAGAAATGCGACGAAATGCTCTGCTCGACGGATATTGCCAGGAACTGCTTCCTTCAAAAGATCGTCAGGTAAGGTGGGATTCGCCATAAAGGCATCCTCGGCTCGTGCTTCGTCTGCCTCTCTCAAGCCTTCCACGAGCTTCTGATATTCATTTTGAAGCTTTTCCTCGTCCGAGGCCTTCATCTCCTCGATCTTCCGTTCCAAGTTGTTCGCTCCCCGAGTCGCTTTCCTTAGCGAGTCTTCGGTCAAATCAATGGACAATGACTCGATGCAGACGTTGTCGATATTGTGGGCTTCATCGAAGACGACTATACAATCCTTGGACAGTTCTTTTGAGACACGTTCCGCAATCTTGGGGTCGAGCAGGTAATGGTAGGAATAGATGATGACGTTGCAGAAGGGCATCATACGCCGTGCTGAGAAGTAGGGGCACTGCTTATGATCTTCACCATACCTTATCAGTTCATCCAGTGTGAATACCCCCGGAGGAACCAGGTTGTGTGGTTCGAGGAGATCCAGATTATCATGATAGACGCAGATCTCGACATCCTCTCCTCGCTCTCTTTTTTCTCTTACAAAGCCGGCTGTGAGACTCCGACATCTTGCATCGACGACAGCACCGCTCTTCTCCCGCTTGACGGAAGGATGTAGGCATAGATTCTTTCTGCTGGTCAGGCCTAAACCGCGAAAGTCCTCGACAAAACCGAGTTCCTTGGCTCGATATTTCATAAGTGCTCTCAACTCAGCTAGAGCCTTCTCGATTTCCGACATGGTACGGGAGCAATAGATAAGCTTGCGATGTTCGGGATAGTGTTGCTGGTATGCCACAATGAGGGACAATAGGGAGACGGTCTTGCCAGTTCCTGAAGGCATTTCCAGTACACAGTGACCCCCAGCATCGAGGGTCCTTTTGAGATCGCACATGTACGCATATTGTTCGGGATAGATTCGAGGGTAGGGGAAGAGAACAGGCAGATGGCTATCAGCTGTTAGACACGCTATATCAAGGGAAGACAGAGGCGACGATACTCGATGAAGAATTTCATGTTAAGACCATGACCTGGACTGGCCACCACCTTTTAGCGTCCGTTTCAGCTGAGCGATTCTGTTGCGCGATCAATTCAATAGCGACATGTCCTGAGCTCAATACCCTTAGAGCAAGCTGAGTTGAGCAGGTGAGCAACAGGCGAGCAACAGGTGTGGCGATGGTTGAGATTTCGATCTACTTGCCCAGTAAGGCTGCAGGTTCACCACTGTTTGATGTGGGCACGCGTCGCAGGCACAGGCAGGCGACAAAGCAAATGTCCCGGCTAACGACGTCATTATCAATCTTCAAATTCGGAAACTTTTTGTCACCTTTCCCACCCCACGAGGCTGCCTGCAAGTCTACGGATAATCGTGCGCTTCATCCTCTCAAGCACCACAAGACCCAGGAGGACGACCTCGGCGGCATGAGCAAGAAGTTCAAGTCACAGGCCTCCGCCTCGAGTGCTCGTGCCGCTTCTGCTGCCTTTGGATCGTCCTCGACCCCGGCCTTCGGCTTCGGCGCACCACCCCAGCCATTCCAGACTGCGCCCTCTTCGCTATCTTACATCGCCGAACAGCCAGATCTCAGCAGTGTCTCCAACCCGAATCTGGTTGTGTGCTTCCGAAATCTTGGCAAAAAGGATAGCACTACAAAGGCGAAAGCCCTTGAGGAGTTACAGGACTATGTAAACTCGTTGACCTCGAGTGACAGCATTGATTCTGGCCTCCCGGAAGCATGGGTAGGTCTTTTCGTTTCATACTTTGACCGGGAACTGAGTCGCTGTCTGCAAAGGTCACCCTGTATCCACGTACTTCCATCGACAATGCACGCAGAGTACGCCAACTTGCGCATGCCCTGCAAGGCTCGATCACTGCTCTTATCGGCAAACGAATCGCACCTCATCTACCAAAGGTGATAGGGGCATGGCTTTCTGGCTGCTATGATAATGACAAGTTGGTGGCACGAACTGCCCAGGAATCGGCGGCGGCTGTGTTTTCGACAGAGGATAAGAGACGGGCTCTATGGAAAGTGTACAGGAATGCCCTTTTACAGTACGCCAACGATGCCATCTTAGTCCAGACACCCCAAACCTTGAGTGATGAACGGTCGACCACGCCAGATGATTCAGAAGCAAAGTTTGTTCGAGTTGCCGGAAATGCCATGCAGATGCTCAGCCAAACTATCAAGGTCAACTTCGTCCCAGAGTCGGACACCAGCAAGCCTGTAATTCCCGAGAGTCTCAGAGGGATTGTGGTGGACAAACGACTTTGGGAATATTCGTCGCACGAGGATCCCAATCTTCGAAGAGCAGTTTGTGGCCTCGCCAGCGTCTGCGCAGATGTGATCCCTGAGCAATTGGACTGGAAAGTTCTGAGTGCTTGCTTCATTGGCAAAGCCTTGCACCACAGCCAGCTGGGATCATCCCGTCAATTGTCCGAAGCGCTTCTGACTCTTACCTCAGTTCGGCCAGAGGTGTGGACCGAGGACTACTCATCGAAAACAACGGTGTCGAAGAGAGTTTCTCAATACCTGCGGAAAGGCTCACAACGAGGTCCGGCGGACTTCTGGGTTGACATTGCGTCGCTCCTCAGGAAGATTCCACTTCAGGCTTGGAGCGCGGTTTCCACTAATGGGAGTGTCCACGTAAATGACGCTACGACATTGCTTGAGTCGTTACGAATGGGAATAACTAGCAGTGAAGAACCACGCCAAAACCTTGAAACTGCTTGGACCTCTTATGTTGATCTCTCCTTCTGGACAAGCCGCCTGTTAGGAGATGACGAGTCTAGGGCCTTGCTACTGGAACAAAATGTCCTGCCTTTGGTCTACCAATATATTGTTCAAGATCCTAAGCAAACTGCGTGGAATATTCCCAAAACTTACAACGTCAAGATTACGGCTTCCATCCTCGTCCAACTCATTCAATGCGATTGCCAAATCTTGTTCAAGAAGGCATGGGACCATTGCTGTGAGCAACTCACTACCAGCATGAAGCTATCTCTGCCTGGGAGTTCGAAAGACTTTGCACAATCACAGGACAACGTGATCGCGCAGGCCCAACGCATGTTCCGCCTCAAGCCCTTTGTTGTCGGAGACAAATCTCTGTCCTCATCTGGCCTGGCGTATGTGGTGGACGTCTTTCAAGAGTCAGATAAGTCTCTACTGAATGCTGCTTTGCAACTCTTGAAAGCCCGAAATGGCAAACCATATGGAGCAGCCGCAGTTCTCGAAGCAGTCACGTCCCCAATGGAAACAATAACGTCAGATTCGCTTGGAGAGTTCCTTGACTCACATGCTGTCGACCTCCTTACAAGCCCGTCTGCCGAGTACTTGTCCTTGGTCCTGCTGCATTTCCATCGGAATCTGAAGCAAGCATTCACGAAGTTGATGAGCGCACAAACGGATGCCAGCATTAAAGCGTTTGCACGACTTCTAGGTCAATCTTCTGAGGATGATCTCTTACAAGTTCCTGAAATCGAGCCTTTCGTCATACACCAGATATCCTCACGACTCGAGAATGGCTTTGCACAAGATATTGTGAGAAGTGTACTAATGAATTCCAAACTTGTTCCATCCAGTTTGCACAAGAATTGCTGCCAGACGATTCTGGCCCAATTGTCACCCGACGCCGACCCGGCGTCACAGCTCGCACTTCTTCGGTTCCTACTCAATATATTCAGCGATCAGCGGTCGGCTCATTCTCTTTTCGTCAACGGTATAGAAAGCGTTATCGTCACGAAGTTACTTGTTCTCTCCGATTCTGACAACGCGGAAATAGCAGACCTAGCGACCTCGCTCATAACAAAAGTCAAAACATTACCTACAGGGGCATCGTCTACGGTAGCTTCTTCCACTGCTGTCATAGCAGACCAACTATCTGGGAAGGGCATCCCTCTTTCCATCCTCTTGCTCATTGATCTCGCGAAAGACACCCTCAAAGCTGCAAAACCGCACGAATCTAGCGTGATTGCCACCCTCTTCCCGTCTTCCGGTCAGTGGAGTGCTGCTCTCGAAGCTCATATGCACAATCCACCACCTCTTCCACTCTCAATCACAAACCCCCTTCACGGACTAGTTTTCATGATTCAGCCTGCGGACGCTGTCACGCACAAGAAGTCATTCGAAGACCCCGACCAATTCTCTTTGTTATTTCGGCTTGTTCTCTATGTGACAAAGATACTACTCGACACCGAATTGATGACCTACCAATCAGAGGAGCAACTACAAACGCTGTGCACTTATTATCCCCTTGCTCTACAATTTGTCAATCAGAAGTTGACATTTGAAGCTGCAAGTGATCTCTGGCAAAACACGAGCGACGAGATCATGGAAGAGGCGGTCGAATTACTTGCACGAGGTAATTCTATGATCCAGAAGTGGGTTCAAGACGATAGGATGCTTAAAATATGGATTGAGGAGGTCCGTTCCATAAAGCTCTTAGACCCGCGGGCTTTCTATTACAGCTTGACCTTCACCGATGTCGTATCGCGTTACATTGACGAACACGGCCTTGCATCGATAACGTCCACGCTCAAAGAGGAAATGAAGGACATGTACCGACTAGAAGAGGTTGCGCGGTCAGCTAGTCTGATTTGCACCTTTCGGGACCATCTTATCAACTCACAAGAAGGCCGTAAACTACTCAATGAGCTGATTGCCACCGGAACCGACTTAACCCCCCCTGACACAGGCGGCAAGGGTTTACAGGCACTCATTTTGCTAGACCTTGTCCTAGATGGACAAATTGGACCGCTACAGACAATTCCTAATCAGCGACAGATCTTCTTGATGCAAACACTTGAACGTGTAGCGGGCGACGCTTCCGCTGGACTAGCTTGTCAAACAATGGCCATGAAACTTCTCGAGCCAATTGTTGCAGCTACCAAAGATATCTATGGCGATCACTGGGAACGCATTCTGCAAAGCTTGGATGCCTTGTGGCGAACTGGCAGTGACTTGAACAACGATCTCGCTCTGCTGCATGCATCACTACGGGTATATGGACGTTTAAGAGATCTTACCACTGCTGAGGACGCGAACGAAGACTTGGTTGAAGCCTGGAAAGTCTCACGGCCGGCTCTAGAAGATGGACTGTTGCATTGTTTAAACAGCTTCAATAAACCAAGCAACAAGGTCAACCAGCCGCGTCAGATTACAGCTGAACTACTTCGAAGGCAACTTTCACAGGTCAATGTGCGGCCTGATGCACATTTATACGCGCTTGTATCGTCCCCAGAGGCTCCAGTCCGAAGAGCTGCGTATGACCTTCTGCACCGGTCCATCCCCTCTGAGCAGGAACAAATTTCACTAGACATTGCCCTCGAATCAAAAGTTTCTCACCTCCCATCGGAACTCTTGAGTGTGCTATTAGATACGCCACGAACGTTGAGCCCAGGAGTCGCAGCGTCGCTTCAGAGCTATTTGCTTTCGTGGCACTTACTCTTTGATCACTTTCCAAGGGCGTCGTACAAGCTCCGGGCGTACTACAGTACAGATATCAAAGAAAATGCTACACTCGGAGGCCTTCTGGATTTACTTTGCGATTTGTGCCGGATCACGAGCAGCCGCCCACTTGATGCTTCGAAAGTCGACATCAGATCCTTTGAACTTGATAGGGACGAAACAGATGAACAAGAGCAACAGCACCTGGCTGTGCATCTCTACTACTGCTGTCTGTTATACCTTCCTGGACTCACGCGAAGCTGGTTCATTGAGCAAAAGAACCGAATCAAGTCGCCGTTGGAGAGCTGGACTCAGAGGTATTTCGCTCCAGCCCTGATATCAGCGGCGGCAGCAGCGGTCAGCGATTGGATACAAAGCCAATCACAAGAGGAGACGGATGCCCTGATGACAGTCAAGACATCACTCAGTGGCTCTGAAGTGGTGGCATCGATTGCCATAGATCCTGAATCACCGCCCATATCTTTGGCAATTTCTCTGCCCAAATCGTATCCTCTGGACTCTCCGACCGTGTCTTCCCGCACCCGAGTGGGTGTTTCGGAGAAGAACTGGCAGTCGTGGTTACGGACTTTTCAGATTATCATCTTCAGCACCGGCAGCATTATCGAAGGTCTCATTGCCTTCCGACGCAATGTTCAGGGTGCGCTGAAGGGCCAGAGTGAGTGTGCCATCTGCTACTCCATCATCGGCACAGATATGCAGACCCCGAACAAGCGTTGTGGAACCTGTCGCAACACGTTTCATGGAGCCTGTCTCTTCCGATGGTTCAAAAGTTCCAATAGCTCGAGTTGTCCTCTGTGTCGAAACAATTTCAACTACGCCTAAATGGCAGATCTAGGGGATGTTGTCGGCACAAAGAGCAGCATGCAGACATTGGTGACTTGGTATCTTGAATACATGAGGTCGACGGCATTTCTCATGCGCCAACCTTTCTTGCCCAACCTTCATGGCTTTACTTGTACAATTGCACGACTTCTACCTCTAATGACATGGAGCTTTCACCCACCATGTCTTGTGTAACTCACCTTCCACCACACAAGCTTCGTGCAAGGGTCTGAACTGGAGCCTCTGTTAGTTGGTTAACGTGAAGATGGACGATGTTCCCAAAAGCTTCCTCTCGTCTTGAGTTGAGTCAATGAACTTGTATAGCTGAAGAAACGATTTCTTTGTAAAGGCTTGGTCAGGCTTACTACAAGCTCTGACATACCATAAAGTAACCGGCGGCAAATGCTATTTTTTGGCGTCTGTGCCTCTTTAGTTTTTCACTTACCAAAAACCGTCGTGGCATTCAAATTCTCGAGTTGAGTTGAAGTCGGCAAAACTACCAGTTACGGTTTGTCTACATAGAGCCGCGCATTCTCTCAAGTTGTTTTGCCTGTAGCTTTTTCGGCGCATTAGTACATGTCGAATGCCTGACAGCTTATTTCCTCGGCAGGTACAGGTTACTCTCTTATAAGTTACAATTATGTCCGCGCCGGCTATCCCAAACCTCAACTCTCTTCGCAGAGGGGGCCAACGTGGTCGGGGGAGGGGTCGAGCAGATCACAACACACAGGCTGGTGTCGGGCAAGGATCAAGTCGCAACCAACTTCACGATGAGATTGTGCAAAACACGGATACAGACGCTGCGACCTCTCGACAAAGCGCCGTAGATGCTGGTTACCTCGAAGACCCATTCTCTGCGCTATTGCAAACCGGGGGTCCTGTCTCAAGACGATTACCACTCATGAATAGAGGTAGGTGTCTGGCTGTGAACATGGTCCATGTCCTCAATTTACCGGCTGCAGGAACTTACGTCAGGACGACGAGCATTGACCGCATCGTCGACACTTTCCTATCTTCGGCAGGAGAGGGGCGCAAGCAGATCATCTCCTTAGGAGCCGGCAGTGACACCCGATATTTTCGCTTGAAGCAGAAACACCGGAAATATGACGTGGTCTACCACGAACTCGACTTCGAAGCAAACACAAGGCGAAAGATCACCCAACTGCGCAGCCCAAGCTTTGAAGCCGCAGCCAAGCAATTGGCTGAGGTAGATATGCGAGGAGCAGACGTGCGGGTTTCCCACGACGCGGCTGCGTTGGTCTCCTCTGACTACCTTGTCCATCCCCAGGATCTCCGACATCTCCCACAGAAGGAAGGATTGCTAACCGGCATGGACATCGCTCTTCCCACCTTGATACTTTCAGAGTGCTGTCTTGTCTACTTGCCACCTGAGGGTGCCGACGCGGTACTCAATTACTTCTCAAAGCTATTTCCGGAAACGACGCCTCTAGCCATCGCCATCTATGAGCCTATCCGTCCACATGACGCCTTTGGAAAGACCATGGTAAGCAATCTGATGGGTCGAGGGATACAACTGCAAACTCTAGAGAAGTATGCTGGTCTGAAGGAGCAGAGAACACGGCTGAGAACATTTGGGTTTGGGGAAGGCTCTGGCGGAGGTGCTCAGGCCGCGGACATAGACTTCATTTGGCAAAAATGGATAACACCGGAGGAAAAGGAACGCGTTGAAGGCTTGGAGTGGATGGATGAGGTGGAGGAATTCGTCCTTCTTGCCAAACACTATTGCATCTGCTGGGGTTGGAAGGCGTTTGAAGAGGAGTCCCCATGGAAGGATTTACCCGGGCCGACGTCTTAAGTGGTCGTTTTGATCACATTTCTGCTCGAGATCACTCGATTCGATGAAGGACTGATGTCATTGAATCCATGACGAATACCCAAAGCAGAGCATTTAGTCGTATGTACTCAATATACCTTGTGTAGAGTTTCCCATTGATGGGGCGCAAATAAGTGTCTATCACGTGCACCTCCACATCCAAACTGTGGCCTTGGCACCTGCCTGCGCTCCTCATCAACTTACCATCCCCAAATCGTTGTGGTTGTCCAAAATATTTCTGAGATCGACATACCGCGATAGCGCCCATTCCACTGATGGATAGCCATCTGGCGGCTCGAAAACTATGAGACTCGCATCCACACACGCTCACTCGCCTCTGCAAGTGGCTAGAACGACAAGCCGTGGCGTAACTCGCTCCAATTTTAATCCCCGCCCCAGCAACAATCAACCAAAACAATCAGTGTTTCTGTGCCAGGAAACCTATCAACCCTGTGGGCCAACGAATTTCTGTACCTACTCGTTAGGTAGAACGAGAAGCAAAGTCAAACGGTGTCTAGGTCACTAGTTGCAACAGTTGTTTCCAACGAAGTTCCTACAACAAGTGATGCAAGATTCCCGCGACTGTTCTCGCCCCCTGAGCAAGGACTTTTCTCCTCGAATCTGGACCGAGGAAAAGAGTGTCCGATAATGACTGCAGGAATCGACGAGATTGCCAGCCAACATTCCAGGCAAAACGAAGTCGCATCGCACAGCAACGACCCTGTAGGCGAAATGTGCCTCTGGTTGATTTCCCCGTGACGATTCGATAAGACAGATCACTCCCAGGCATTCACCTCGAGTCGGAGGATTTCTGATTCGTGCCGTGAGATTGACAATGCTCCTAAGTGGACTGGGGGGAACGCGATGTCAGGGATGGCGCCCTGACCTTTCCCCATTCACAAAACAAACAGTCTAAATGTGGGCCTACTCCAAACTATCTGGGCCTGCCCTGTGGGCCAGCAATGCGCCAGCCTTGCATGGCTTCAGAGTGGCTCTGCCCCGGGCCAGGCCAGCGTCACGGGCAATTTGCCTTTCTGGAGCTTGATCTACATCTCATTTGCCGCATCGACATAGCTTGGACTTCTTTCTCGTTGTCTACTTGTATTGTATCTTTCTTTTTGCTTTTGTTTCTGCGCTCGTCGTCGTCGGGGTCGTTGTTCGTCGTCTTTCGCTATCGCGCGCTCTGCGAGCACCCACGTTCCTTACCAAAACAACTGACCCCTAGTCACTCATTCACGAGTCCTTATCGGCGCTGGCGAAAGCTCTCGAGGTGTCGCAAGGCGATGCTCATGCGTGAACAATTATAGCTGACGATCTCGCTGAACGCGAACCAACCATGCGCAAACGGACAATTACCTCGAGCGCAAGCGCTCTACTATTTCTCATCGCTTCTCTTGTCAGCGCGAAACACAACGGGGTCCATGAACACCTCGAAGCCCTTCACAAACGGCATCGCGCAACTCGCGAGCTAGCCGCCAGGTCAACAGCTGAGGATGGAGAACAAGGGGTGGAAGTAAGATCAATTCCGGAAAGTGCAACATCTGCGATCAGTTTGGAGAAGCGACAGGCGCAATGTGCTTTTCCCACGGACGCTGGTTTGGTCCCAGTTACTCCAGGGAATAAGAATGGCGGATGGGCTATGAGCCCGGACCAGCCCTGCACGCCAGGAAACTACTGCCCTTACGCTTGTCCTGCTGGTCAGGTGTCGGTGCAATGGGATCCTAGCGCGACATCTTACTCATATCCCAAGTCAATGGTTAGTTACTCCTTCTGGGATGAGAGCGAATTGTGCTGACCGGACTCAGAATGGTGGCTTGTACTGCGATCAGAATGGCAACATACAGAAACCATTTCCCAACAAACCCTACTGTCAGGCCACCAGTTCCAACATCGGCGTCCAGAACAATGCAGGTGGCGTCGTAGCATTCTGCCAGACTGTGCTTCCTGGAAATGAAGCTATGCTGATTCCCACCTCCGTCACCGACTATGCAACTCTCGCCGTCCCCGATCCCAGCTACTGGTGTGAAACTGCAGCGCACTATTATATCAACCCTCCTGGTATCAGCACAGATCAAGCTTGCGTTTGGGGTACCAATAATGATCCCTGGGGCAATTGGTCTCCGTACGTCGCCGGAGCCAACGCGGATTCCTCAGGGAACACATTCATCAAGCTCGGGTGGAATCCCATCTACCTTGAACCAACTACACCTTTCCGCAACCAAATGCCAGATTGGGGTGTCAAAATCGATTGTCCCAATGGCGGATGCACAGGTCTACCATGCGAAATCGATCCGACTCAAAACAAGGTCAATGGAATGGTTGGTTCCTCAAGCACGGGAGCAGGAGGTGGTGCCTTTTGCGTGGTAACAGTTGCGAAGGGCTCTACCGCTAACTTTGTGGTCTTCAATGCTGGAGGTGATACCAGTGGCAGTAACAGCCATGGAGGCTCGGGCTGGTCAGCTACTCCTTCGGGTGGCAACAATGCCGGACAATTCTTCCAAACCACCAGCTCCTGGCAATCACCCACAGATTCTCAATCGTCCTCATCTAGCGAAGCATCGACCTCTTCAATCGCATCTTCTACAGGCTCCTGGACTTACCAATCGGTTGTAACGACAAGCTCTGCTCCTACGGCATCGGCTTCGACCGGACATAGCACAACCATCGGCGGCTCTTATGGACTGCCCACTCACTCTCCGTATTACTCGTTATTCAACCACACCACTTACGCGGCTCCCACAGAAGGAACTACTGGAGCAGCCATCGAAACCACCGTTGAAGCTACGGCAATCCCTTCAGGTCCAGCCTCGTCAACTGTCGCTCCCATCTTGCCTGCCACTGGTGGCTCCCCGACGATCAAACTCTCTCTTGCTAGCCTCTTCTCAGCCTTGGCAGTATACGCAGCCGCCATAGTATGACACCCACGCGCCCTCCAACGTTCTGTGGTCTGATCTCGCAAGGGCAAGAGAGCTCCGGGTCATTCTATGGAACCTGAACACTAGTGCAGCTGGTCTTGCAGACCTGATTCCGACCATCGACTCGGCTGGACGATCTGACCACATCTCTTCACTTCTTCCTGGAAATTTTCGTCTGAAACTTTGCTACCTTTTTTTGCAAGGAGAACATATTTTCATGTCCGTATCATTCTGGTAATGCCGGCAAAGGGGCGTCGCATTGGGATTGCCGCCTGCTCGCCCGGGACATTTTTTGTTGATAGTGCCGCAACCTCAGAGTATCTACGGTTTGGAGACCCTGTTCTAACGATGCCCACGTCTGTTTGCTGCGAGTTCATGTTGGGACATAAGTATCGAGGTGGGCTTTGAGGAAGAGTTGATCGTCCGAGATTAGCACTTGGCAGGTGGGAATATCAAACGTTTGACGTTTGACGTTTGGCTATGTGGGCTGGGGAGGGGGGAGTACATAGTTGATTTCCAATCAGATCTGTTTGATACCCATGTTACTCGCGAACAGCGAACATTCTACCAAGTAGTTGAACATCCACCACGGATTAGGGCACCCAGTAGGTGTCTATGAAACCTGTCATCGTCCTCAGGAGAGGTAGATTCATACTGAGAACACTTGTACATAACCCATCTTATCTCCCAGGAACACTAGGCCAGCCGGAATAAAGATAGGGAAAGTCTTGTTTTCTTCTCGCGGAGAATATCAACTTGGATTATTTCACCTTTCACTTATAAAGACCAAATTGCCTGGCTCCCCATACTATAAAGGTTTCCAAGGAAATGAGAAGCAATTAATATTCAAAAAACTCAGTTGCTTCGGTATTTCTATGTGTTAAGGCTCCATTTAATTTGTGTACTTTGGATTCCAGAGAGAAAAAAACGCAACCCACTGCTTTGCCAGACTAGAGACCGGACAGGCCGTTTGTCAACGGCAAATCCACACACTCGCTGATCGCTCCTCCAGTCACCGACTGCTCGAGAGTACCCTGCTTCAATATGTCCAATCCCGCATCAAAGTCCTGGACAACGAAGACTTTACTGGGGGTGCTGCCATCCGCGTAATTGCACAGCACGGTCCAGTACTCGTTGCCTTGGGTGTCCATGGCCACAAAGACGCTGTCGAGCGCTCCATCGTTCGTGCCATCGTCGACAAGGAACGGTACCAATCCAACAATCTCGGAGGAGATGGGGATGTGCTCGGAATCGCCAAGGCGGAGGCGCGAGACGCCGTAGTTGGTCATCTCCGGTGAGTAGTAGAACAGGGTGCGACCTTGACTGTCGCCCACGATGACTTCGTCAAACACCTGGAATAAAGCACTACCGTAGGTTTCCGAGTCAATATCCTGAATGCGCAGATTACCGTCGTCGTCAGCCGCAAGGTTGTATTGTAGTCCTATATCGGAGATGATGGTGTAGTTGTAGTCCGGTCCAGACTCCACTGAATCATCGAGGTCTAGCGGTGTCGTGAAGTTGGACGACGTGTCATCCAAGAAATCCGAGACCTGGGAAGGGAAGTTGTACTCGTCTGAGTCGTCAACACCGTCACCATCTCCGTCAACCGCAATGTCGATGTCCGGGAACGGATCAGTGCCGGCTGCGTACTGGGACAGCGTCAGCAGCGAATCGCTGTCGTAATCATAGCTGCCCTCAATAGTAGTTGTGTTATCAGATTGACGCTTCTTGATTCCCGAGAGAGTCAAGCATTTGGTCGCCAAATTGAGTTTATATGGGCTGAGCAACTGTTTGTCCTTGGTCTTATACTTCTCCTTCCCGAAGAGTTTGGCCACCGCATTTGCCTTGAGCTCGTGCTGCAGGTTGATGTAGAAGTTGATGCCATTGCAGGTCTTGTTCGTTGAAGCACCGTTAGTGGCCCCGTTGGCCGTGGAGTTGACACCGCCGGAAAAGGTGCCGTTGGAGAGACTGACTTCGGCTTGAAAGCTTGCACCGGCGTGCAGCGACGGGACACTGGTGACGGCAACCTCGGCAGTGAACTTGGCGTTGGCAATGTCCAGACCAAATGCTAGACCGATCGGGAGCGCAACGTAGGTATCCATGATGATCTCGCCCTTGGCTTTGAAGGTTGGCTCGAATTGTGGCTGCCAGGTCGGTGTCTGTGAATTGCCAGAGTTCACCAGGTCTATGACTGCGCGAGCATTGGCAACCTTTACTGTGCCGCCCACGAGGATTTGACCCGTAGCGTTGAAGGTAAAACCAGCTTCGGCATCGAGGGTGATGTATGGTCCAATAGTGATGATGTTAGGGACTGAGAGACCTGGAATACCCTGAGTGAAAAGTCGCACGCTCTTCTTGTCGGCGTAGTTGACCTCAGCCGCTACGCCCAAGTTGACGCCTGCTTCCAGGCTTCCCAACATCTCAAGTTGGCCCATGGTTAGGCCCTTGGTGATATGGAAAGCCGCGCGACCTGCCACCTTCAAGGTTCCCGTGACCCCGCAAGAAACACAGTAGACATGGAAGTGATCATTCTCCCAGATCTTGATGGCATTGAGTGGTTTGTCGCTGTCATCTTTGAAAAAGTCCTGCTGCACGTACTTGACCTGAGTCGCGTTGGGGATGGTAAAGGTTTTGTTCAGTTGGTATTCGTGAGGGCTGCCATCCACCCACGATTTGATGTCAGATGCCTTGGAGACAACTTTTTTGGCAAAGCCGACAATCTTGTCCTTGAACGACGACTTCTTCTTGGCACCTTGATCTTTGGATGCCTGCCTCAGTAGTTAGTCTATGCAAGGGGTTTGTCTCGGTGTTTCTGGGTTCTGAACTTACAACTGCGCCCTTCTTGCGAATATCTGAAACGACAGCGTTGCTTCGACTTCGCGTAGTGGTGGCACGCTTTCTAAGGGACCTCTTCTTGGAGCTTTGTTCAAAAAAGTCCCCGTCATCGGTGTAGATGTCAATATCATCGTCGCTGTCCTCGTCGTCGCCGTCATCGTCAAAAATTCCGTCGGCGTCGTCGTTGTAGTCATCCTCGTCGTCATAATCATCCCAGTTATAGTCATCCAGGCCACCAGCAAATTCACTGAGGTCTTTCTGGAAGTCCGATTCCTCCCATACGATGTATCCCAGGGCATCATCAAGTTGTTCGTCGAATGAATCGCTACCGTCAGTGCCTGTAGGCAGGGATGTTGACGCAGCACTCGTCGTTGACGTGGCGCCTGAACCAGAGTATCCCTTGCTGGTTGTTGAAGATATTCCACCCGAGCCAGGATATCCTTTGCTGGTAGTGGAATGGCTTCCACCCGGACCCGTGTAGGAGACTGTTGTTGACACACTTCCAGTCGGCCTAGTCGAGGAGGAGTGCTGATAGGTACCCCACTCGAGGTCGAAACTCTCGGCCACATAGTTGAGATCCACGGGCTTCACGTTGCAAGTGGCTGTAGATGTAGCAGAGTTGAAACTTACTGACGAGGTCAAATAATACACATAGTGGCCATCATCGGATCCCTCAGTGGTTGCGAGGACGAACCATGTGCCGTCAGCAGGCCACGATTTGGTTGCGTAGCTGTAGGCTTGTTGAGAGGCAAAGACAACGGTCAATGACGATCCAGATACGGTAACTGTCACAAAGGCCGAATGGTCAAGCACGACAGTGGGATACTGAAAGGTTGTTCCAGCCGAAACATAGAGAGACCCGGACGAGATACCAGAGTTGGGAGCACCTTGGGTAAAGAACAGATTCTTTGCGCTGCCCGGCCTCAAGTGCGAGAGATCTTGGTCATTGTGTGAAGGGCGAAAGCCAGGTGTCAAAGTGTGGATTGGTGCTGGAGCCGAAACAATTGCTGGGCGCGCGCCAGAATTTCCAGAAGAGTATGACCATCCTCCAGACGAGCCACCAGACGAAGACCCACCCGAAGATGAACCGCCTGAGGAACCGCCTGAGCCAGAATGGCCGCTGCTTCCCCAGTCGCCCCAACCATTTGATCCTCCATCACCACCGAAGTGGCCCGAGGAAGAGCCATCTCCATGAGGGAGCCAGTCTCCCCAATGCACATCTGGTGCGCTGTGCGTGTACGTCGTACTCACCGAGGTTGTGCTCGTAGAAGTGGTGGTCGAAGTAGTCGTAGTGATTGTAGAGGTGGTCTTCTTGGTGGAAGCGGTCCAGTCTCCCCACGAAGGGTCAGTTTTGACTGTGGAAGGTATAGCAGAGGTGGTCGTCGTTCTTGTGCTTGGCGTGGTCCATTCGTCCCAACCCGCTGGTGAAGCAGCTGCCAGGGAGAGAGTGAGGGCAGATACAAGGAGATGCGCGGCCATATTGGTGTTAGAGTAGTATCAGGTATAAACAAGAACAAAGAAAAGAGAGCGGACGACCCGAACGGGGTCAGTAATGAGTGACTAGAAACAGCAAAAGGATCCAAAGCAACAGCACAAACGAAGGACTGGACTGGTTAGAAGTGCTCACCGTTCACACCTATCATCGTATGGGAGGTGTATGTTATATACAGAACCCCCAGAGCGAACAGAATTTTGAGTTTTGAGCGGTCATGTTCCTCACGCGCTCGACGTTTGGTAAAGTTTCGACTTGGACTCCTTCAATGCCGGATTGGGATGGCAATCTGGAGCTCAGGTGAAGTCAACGAAGCCTCAAAACAAGATATCTAGTCCATCTCGACCATCGAGATGTAAATAAGCGACGGGGCAAAGCTTTCGGCGAGATTGTGTATGGTCCGCTTGCTGCACGTGGCGGCGAGGGGTTCTCACTCTCGGCCTCGCCGAGTCATGCTCGGCTGCGGGCAGTACACTGGCGAGCCAATAGATCCAGTCATCGAATAGGAATACCATACTGGGTGGACGTTTGAGGGGTTTCGAAGATTGGTAGGCCTTCCAGAAGTGGAAGCGCCAGGGGTGCTGCCTGACACAACGGGCAGCTACTGTGCTCATAGAAGTATAGTGAATGGCGGATGCACTAGCGAAAAGGAGATTGATGAACAGCCTTGCGTCGTGCGCACCTGCGCTGGGCTTGCGCGCCATGGTCGGTTGGCCGTGACTTCACTTAGTCTCGGTCTGGAATTCTTGAATCCTCTGGCTGAGTCCAGACCATGGATGGAGTGGGCCATAAGATGAAACAGTCGGTAAGCCACCAGTATTGTTGACATGCTTTTTCGGGATAGGCATTTTGCCTCGATGAGGAACAATGGACTGCGCACACTTTCGTCGACATCTTCCGTGGAGGCAGCTGGGGACAGCTTCGAGCGGTGGAAGAAATGGTTGACGAGGTACCTCGTACACGAAGTTCTGGCGAAGTCGAAATAGGGCTAATCACAATGTCACGTGGCCATCGCGAACTGGCGTAAGCGAAAAAGGGGATTCGACACGTGATGTGGCTGGCTGGGGATTGCATCGAGAACAAGAAAACCGTTCAAGTGCCTCCACAAACAGAAAATGCCTAACGCCGCGCCAACTAGAAGTACCACCACGACCGAGTTCCGCTAACCCCTTACCGGCGGCCCTTAGTTTGCAATTCAGCTTCAGCCTCTCACGCCTCCAAAGAATGAGTGCAGGGGTAAGGGGTAACCGACACCGCCTGCACTACTCGGTACCTTCTGACCTATGAACAGAGTGAGAAAGAGGCATCGAAGGGTAGTTTCCACAGGAGCGGAGTAGGGGATACAATACGGCAAATTTGATATTGCCATTCCAGCACATCCTCACGAATATTATATGCCTATGGCTGATACAATGGTCTTGAAATATCAACGACATCTCGGCCAGTTGCGTGATTTTTCATGCACATACGTGGTGGGCTGACCTAGCTAGCACTGCTAAAAAGATCACAATCGCATGCCCAACATCTTCATTTCTCCATGGCGAGGTCTGCACCTTGCTTACACTAACTAACACTTTTGTACTCCCTACTTGAGCGTCCACGAGGCTGTCGGATGAAAGTGAAATACAATCACACGCCTCCAATCAATATCAGCAAACTTCCATCGACGCGGCCTATGGTTCGAGATCGTTCTGCGTGTCCTTCGCCTGGCCCTTAGCAGCTTGCTGCAGATGTCCTCGAAGAATCTCAGCATGTCGATGACTTCTGATCACTCGCTCCCTACCTTTTACTGGGCACAAGTTCCGTCGCTGTGCTGGACGATGCCATAGAGCATTCTCCGAGGCGGTCTTGAAAGTCGGCCGGCTGTTCTTGACAGAGGAGTGGGTATTGTCTGCTCGGTTTCTTGAGGCCTCTGCACCTGTCATCAATAATTTGGCTCCCGATACCTTTTCTCTCTGGCCGTCTGCAGGATGCGGGTGTATCACCTTTGTCTCAGCATACATGGAAGTAGAGACAGAAAGCGTCCAACTGCAGGCCACTTGATTCTGGGAATGAGTATATCACCCGTGAAGAATTAGGTTTGTACTTTGGCCGGATACTCGCCTCGCCTTCCTTTCATTCGTATACTTACCTGTGGCTCTGCTCTATGATTCACGGACGATGTCTTGTATGGTCCTGGAATTTTAGGAATAGCATGCATACTTTGCCTAAGTGCTCCTGAATCTCAAAACCTACCCTCGTCAGGACCAGCGGCAGACTGACCCGGATAAGGTATTTTAAGGCCTGATTTTAGAATTTCCATTGCAGGCGAACGATATTAATCCCCGGCTTGGGGCACCCCCTCCATGTCCCTGATGATCATCCCATCTTATCCCCCACCTTTAACCCGACCCTGCGCGACTGACACAACTCACCCACCACTTTCAACAACAAACGATCAATCATTTGGATTCTTGCAGCAACATACTCGCTAAAAGATATATTCAATACACCGAGTCTTGCTGTCCTATCCCTTCTCATCCGGGCCTCAACCTGAATCTCCTTCACGCCCGAACAAGGTTTCTAGAACGCCCAGGTCGTGCGGCTAAATAAAGATGCCGGCCGCATCACCTCAGACAGTGAGTCTTTATCTTGACCTGGATTACATGGTCCAGGAACACGGACCCTGGAAGAGCAACCATCCCTTTAATCGAGTGTGATGTTTATTGCACTTTGGGACCGTCATTGCAACTCCCCTCTCCCCTCTCAGATGACACCCAACTTCCCAGCCGTCTCTGATCTAAGGATTTTGCACAGGTCAAACTGAAATCGACCCTTCGCCTCCTCATCCCTCGTCTTCGCAATGCACAGAAGAAAGACACCGCCCTCTCCGTGTCGGCACGCCGCGAAATGGCTGAACTGCTCGCCCAGTCTCGCGAGGCGTCCGCCCGCATACGTGTTGAGAACATCATCCACACCGACATCACTGTGGAGCTGATGGAGATTCTGGAACTCTACGCCGAACTACTCCTCGCCAGGGCAGGACTGTTGGATGTCAGGGACAAGAACATCAAAGAAGGCACGGCGCAGGCCGGCGATGACACCGGTCTAGAAGAGGCTGCAGCTAGTATCATCTACTCCGCACCCCGGCTGCCCCGGGATGTGAGGGAGTTGGGTATCGTGCGAAGCATGCTGATCGAGCGGTTCGGCAAGGAATTTGCGATCCGGGCGAACGAAAACGAAGACAACTGCGTGCCCGCTCGAGTGGTGGACAAGCTAAAAGTCGACCCACCCAGTGCGAAATTGGTGCAGGCATATCTGGAGGAGATCGCAAGGACTTACGGCGTTGAGTGGCCTCCGCAAAGAGAAGAGAACCAGGTCGAAGAATTGAGCAAGGAAGTTGATGGCGAAGATACTGGAGATGATGACGGCGTAGGTGGTGGTATGAAGGAGCCGCCTTTGCTAGCAGATGGAGGCCCACCAAACCCAACGACGCCATCACGGCCGAACAAAATTGATATTGGGTCTCTACAGAATGCTACACCGCCGTCAAGCTTGGAGCCTGGAGGTGCAAAGAGTCCCGTCTCCATAGCTCCCCCTGGCGCAACATCTGACAATTTAAGCCCAAAGGTCAAGTTGCCTGGCGGAGGAGAGATTAGGAAGGGATTCAACAATGCGAAACCCGTACCATCCGCCGGGACTGCAAAATCAAAGAGTCCAGCTACGGGGGGAGGTGCTGGAGCAGTACCCGGAAATGTCCCAACGGTGGACGATTTGGCAAAGAGGTTTCAGGCGCTCAAGAGATGAAGATCAATCATCAGCGTGAAAATTGACATCGAAAGAGTTGAGAACCTAACAGTCTCTTCCATCTCTTCAGTTTAACGCAGAGTCGCTGCAGGTCGCACGACTTCTTTGGCATCATCTCCCCGTGTTCGCCCTCCGACTCGATTCACACAAACTCCTTTCCCCAAAGTGACTGGGGATCTATTCAACGAGACCATATACTCTTCAGACTGAACACACTTCCCCCCGAGATAGGGTGGTCATCTCCCACACGGAGACTTCAGCTCCCGGTCTCCATCCTGTCGTTTTGTGTGAATTTTTGCAGCAAGTCACTGCATGGTGTACGGCTGCTGAGCTTGTATGGGGGTTGTGTCCAGAGATTCCCGGTGGGCGAGGCGTCATTCGAGTCATGCCCAGAACGCTGTACTGCTCTTTCGATTATAGATACCTCTTAGACAGTGCTGATATATTGCAACCGTCGTTGCGGCCTCCGGAACCGAGACGGCAAATGAACTGCACAAATTTCCGCCGCATGTGACTCACAGCCCACCTTCAGAAGCGTACACCAGAGATGCAGGCGTTGCATGACGCCAGCCTCAGGGGCTGGTCGGGGAGTACATTGCAGTTTGCTGACACGTTCATTGTGTCCCATGCTTTCGTCTGGGATGTACTCCTTCACTCCAACTTATCCAAATGTTCAAGTCTCGTCAAGACGACCTGTTTGCTCGTCTCCTCGATCTCGCCGGCTAAGAAGACCTCATCGAGAATGGCGTAAACCTTGTAGAAGTTGAATACAAGATCCAATTCGCAGACATTGCCGAAAAATTGGTCCAAAACCTCGACGAAGAAGTGAATGGCCTCGAGGTAGGCGAGCTCGTTGTCGTTTGCGTCGACACAGACGCAGAAGAAGAGGCCGGCGTACCGACGGTACACAATCTTTGTCGACGACAGGTTCTGACGGACAAGGGGTTGGGCGTGGGATGTGGAGGCGGACGACGAGGGCGCAGATCGGAACTCGACGAAGTTGGATTGGTATTTCTGATCACGAGGGGCAATGAGACGATGGACCTGCGGGCCGTTCGGACAGTCAACCTACAAAGTTTTCTTGGATAGAGCGAATTGCTTTGGATTGCAGAGAGGTAGATTGAACGTCGTCTTACCTCGCCCTTCAGTTTCACTTTCTCTTCGTCGGTGTACGGAGCGTACCACTTGGCGAGCCTCGTCTTGCCCTGGCGATTCTGCACAAGAATGAAGGAGAGCACCATGTTTGGTATGGAGACGCAGATAACTTCGGAAGACAGTGGTTGAAGATCAACGAATAATGCCGGTGATAGAGTGTTGTCACCTTTGGCAATGTTACCCCCATAATATGTCCACCGAGTTGCCCGATGCCGAGTCCGCGTGAGATTGGACTTTCCCATTTTAGTGACAAGTCAATACTTCACCCCGCAGCGATCTTCGACTCCTACATCGACTGGACTTCAGAGTGATTGCGCCGTGACCCTCTACGCTTCCTCTCTATCTGCACGTCTGCAAGAGTCAAATTCCAGTCAATAATCCCTCTCGTCACTACTCATTGGACAGCATACTTCCGGGGGAGCGCGGGTTATGGCGTACAGGCAGACGACCATGAGCAAAGTGTCACGGCAGACGTACAGCCAGAGGGCGTTTACTTTTGTTTCGGTTTGTCCCAGAATTTGGTCAGGCGAAATGCGGATGAATGAGGCAATATATGGTGAGTACATATCCGTCTTTCCTCAGAGCTCTTCCGATCCTCTGGCTTTCCATTACCGATCCTATACAACATATCGATCTACACTCAGACAACAGTTTCAATTCTGCATCAAGTTCGCCACCAACTGTACAACCAACGACGAACCTGAATCCATAGACGCGCTCAATACCTTCAAACCCAAGGATGTTGAAGTCTCTCCGGACAGCTGTCCATGAAATACTTGAGGTGGACAAAGAAATCGTGCATGATGACCGTCCAGGAATTGGCCCTGTCCATACCGGCTCCTCTGGATCCAACGCTGGGCTTGTGTCCTTTCCACGGGCTCCGGGCAACTCGGAACACGAACATGTTGTGCATTTGCGAGGGGGAATCACTAGCGAGGGCTGGGAGAAGTCCGATGGGTGGTGCAGATGCTGTGTCGTGATGTGAATGACATGGGGGCTTGGTTTGTGGGGCGCTGTCGCATGACACAGGGCATAATGTGAAGTTCGGCGGAGGGGGTTTCTGCGGCTTCTGTGTCATTCATAGCCGCTGTCCCTTGAGTATAGCGAGAGGAGACAAGCACGGGGCTCGTGTCTCTGCCTTTCGCTTGAGGGAACTCATGACTCTCTTTCTTTGCATCACACACAAAACAGCAATTGTTGAGGTCCTGGAGAGACAATAGCAAAGAGGTAACATTGTACCTTGGTGCGCAGTACCCCATGTGGTTGTACATTGAAACTGCTTCTGATCCTCACTCGGCACATGCATGAACAAGAGAACTCCTCCAACGCCGGGACGGATGGTCTGCCACCTCAATATCAAAGGCCCATCCGGCAATACTGGTAAATGCCGGATCCAAAAGCCGTGTAACCCATTTTCCTTCCTCTTAACCCAACAATGAATTCATGGCCTTGTGCGCCAACTCGACTCCCAGGAACGTAGCTGCATTCGCCGGAACAGCCCTTGCCAACGCCGGTCCAAAGCCTGGGAAGAAGGCTTTGATACCACCACTTCTATACACCTGCGAGACAACACCGCCGATGGTCGGTTTTCCCTCCGCGGTCTGGATCCTGCTTTTGATGGTGTCTACGGGGAAGACGGGAATCCACATGGCCACGCCTGCACAGCCTCCGGCGGTCATGACAGCCGTCAGACTTAGTTCCCCTGTGGCGTTGCCGTCGGCATCTTTGGGGGACAGGTTGCGTTTGACATACTCGTAGACCGCAAAGTACGCAGCCGAACCTGGGCCATCTCTGGCGAGAGTCATCGCGCTACCCCTGAACACGGATCTAATACCTCCTTCCTTGTACAGCTGTCTCACAACGTCCAGCCCACCAGAGTACTTGGGTTTCTCCCCTGGCGCGAGTTGTTTCTGACCTTGAATCTGCAGGAGAACTTTGACACGCTCAAACGGTGCGGTTATGAGCGTCATGGGTATAGCTGAAAAGAAACCCGCGGCGGAGATTTGCCCAATTGAGTATTGAGGCGTATTGTTTTTGACGGGCACCGTAGAGAATGTATCCACGAGCCGTTTCCCCATGTCATATCCCCAGAAGCTGACGGCAAACATGGGCGTCACACCGACCAAGGGAGCGGAGACGCCTGCATAGAGGCCCCTCGCCAATCCCTCCCGAGCAATGGTCTTCTTCACCACATCGATGGCGCCCGAATAGACCCCCTTCTCCGCAGTCTGTAGGCGGACTTTGACCAAATCGAAAGGGTGCCCGACGACGACAGCGCACACGCCTCCTACTCCGCCAGCGACGAGAGACCGTAGACCGGAGACTGCGCCTTTAGCGTTCTCTTTAACTTGCTCTTTAACCTCCTCCGTGGAAGGGAGTTCGTCTATTGAAGTTGGAATCGTGGCTGGAGCCATTGAGATAGGATGGGAGAGAGAGGAGGAAGAGAATTCGGTGGTCCTAACGAAGGGTATTGAAGAGCTCGAATTTTCGTCTGTACCTTTATTGTTCTTGGTTGCGATGTGGCAGAAGGCAACGGACGGACGGAGCGATGAAGGGATCAACTGCGAGCCTAGAGGCTTGTCGGAGGGGTTGGCACAGTCGCGTCAGGACGAGAGGGCACTCGTTTTAGCTATGTGATATCATGGCAGGACGTCTGAATTCAATGTCGGACAGCTGGTCTCTAAAGCTCAAGATATAAATTATTTCTGTGGAAGAAGTTTGCACAAAAATTTGTTAAGAGAACGCGGGACACGTCGCATGCTCTCTCTGCACCTTTGAATCGCCGGACTCACAAGCTTGCGACGGAGCAAAAACCCACAAATTCCCGGTGGTTGACAGCCGAGGTTCGGGCTAGATTCGTTTGCCTCGCAGCGCAAGTTGCCTTCGAGCCGTGGAGGTAATAATCTGGAGGCCCCTCGGATGCCCCGAAATGTTTTCGTTTACCAACAGCATGCACTGGACGAATCTCGGTGTCCGGATGCACGGCGTATACATTCTCCATCTGGCTTCTCTAGGCATGTGTGGGTATGTACGAGGTACAACTTTCCAAATAGACAACCGTTACAATGATATAGTACTCCAGGTTCCTCGAGCCCAATTGCCAGCCCCTCCCCCTCTTCCCATAGTATACAAATATCTCATGTGACGACCAAGCAATAAGCGAGTCTGAACCCCGTGCAGGAAATCCTGTTTCCCTGGAATTTTGTCCCTTACTGATGAGAACGGGCGATCCCGTGGACGGCCTTCATCATCTCGCCCAACTTGTCCCCGAACAGGATGTGAGATTCAACGACCAGAACAATGGTGAAGATGAGCCAACAAGCAAGGAAGATAAGTGTCACCTTTGCCATCAAGCGCAGGAGCCGCATTCGGCTCTCCCAGGGGAAACTTCTCCATGCCTCGACCAATCCGATCTTGCCCTGTCCACCAATAATAGCAGGAGTAGTCTTCCCGCCAAAAGTGCGGTCAAATGGGACGATGGTTTCATCCTCCTCGGGAAGCATGGATGCTGCAACCCGGACCACGGTAACAGTAGCAGGAATCTGGAGGAGTACATATAGAGCAACCATAAGAGAAAACCCAAGGACTCCCTGGGCGCCCACGGCGTAAAGATCTTTGCGGCCTGGCTCATAATCCGGATCATTCATATGCTTGAGCGACCCAAACGAACCACAGACCAACATGGGTAGAACGGATACGGCCTGGTGAGCAGTGGCCCACAAGGCGACAGCCGGTGCAATTTTGGGCCAGGTTCGCAGAGAAGGAATTCGTTTGTACCATCTCTTCTCGCTGGGCTCAGAAATGGCAATGTGGACCCAAGCCATATTGAAAGTAGCAAGAGCGGTTTCAGCAACAATGGCAGCCAAGGCCAATCCCAGCCGGTTGGGAAAGATGTTGGCCAGGATGGAAATGAGGATACCAGCGGTTACATTCCAGACGAGGAACATCGACAAGCCGCGGAAACGAGACCAATAGCCGGCTCGAGCGCGCAGGTGCAGAATTGTCTGGCGAATCGAGGCGGTAAACGGCTTATTGCGGACGAGAAGAACTTCAGCATCACCATCGGTGTCGTCTTCGAGGTCATCGGGTTGTCTGTGTGTAGGCTTGGGCGCAGGAGTGGCAGTATAAGCGGGAGGGTCTGTTGGATCGATAGTGCCGACAGGGACGTAGGCTTCGGTTTCAGGGCTCTCAACCATACACAGGATGGGTAGTAAATGGCCGTATGTATAACCAACCTGCGGGTTCGGTTAGTGAGTCTCTTTGGACAGCAGCTGGTGGGGGATAGATCCCTACAGAGAATAAAAGGACAATGAAAGCCAGACTGGAAAAGACGAAGGTCATGGCAGCAAGAGGTGAGATTCGAGTTTCATCTCCAGCTGGCTGGTCCGAAACCCCCGCAGCTGCAACCATCCCATGATGAGCGGCTTCTATGCCACGACGGACCAGGTGGGTAGATAGACTCATGCTGAGAAGCAATGTGAGGAAAGTGAAGACAAGTGACAATGGGCGAGGAGGAAGAAGGACTGAGAGGGATAAAGAACAGGACCGAGTAGTCAATGTCCGATGGCGCTCTTTATTTGGGGAATGGACGGAGTGTCGAGGGTGAAACAAACGGATGGATCAGGCATTCCGCCATCACCGAAGCCAGCAAATCAGCGTCGGTACCTTGTAGGCTGCCGCGTTTTCCAACAAAACTGACCATGTTTGCACCCACGCACTGCCTCAGGGGCGTGGTCTGCAATGGGCCTTTCTGACGCATATAGAAGAAAGTTCTCCGTCCTCTTCACACACCGGCGAAATAACTGACCGAGTCTCACCTTAGAGTGCGTAGCCATTTCACCAGATCCTCCTTGTCAACGGGTCCCGCTACAAAAGGGTTTATGACGACCTTGTATTCCCCTTCACCCGTCAGCCAGACCTTCAAGTAAGAGGGTGGCATGCTGTCCCAGAGAAAGTGAAACACATGAGGTGAAACAAGGTGCTGACAAGCCTAGAATACGCTGTATTGCGCGGCCCAGGTCGCTATGGGCAAATAATGCGAGCGCTTCGTGGAGGCAACGGAGCTGTTTGATGTCCTCGGCACTTGATCACAGCTGAAAGGCACGCGGCATCTCCTCCACGAGACATCCTGCCAACTAGTAGATATGTCCCCTCGGCAATATTACGTCTCTCGTTCCAATACGATACCGCTCCGTCATGTTTGGTGCAATGCAAGTTGTATCGTTCTCCCAAGGACGAGAAGTCGACGCAGTTGACACCCCGTGCAGAACTCCTGCAGGAATGACCATATTTGGTGTCCATAAAGCAATCCCAGGTGTTACCCTCCCATCTCGCTATGCAATCCTGAACTGCTCAAGAAAACTTCAAACTCCCTACTCGATCCAGTATTTAGTCGTCCCCTAGGCTTTCCCTCACCAGTCTTTGACACTTTCTTCGGAAACCTTTGGGATCTTCCCTCCACATCTTGGCTGCATCGACATTGGCGGGTGATTCGTCGTTCGGAGAACTCAGCATACTGATGACAGATATCAGAATTGTCTCGGGACTTTGTACGGGACTCCAGCGCTCAGCTGCAGATTCATATCCGTATTGGTCATCCTCCTGAGCACTCCATTAGCCTGCGCTGTCATCGTCGAAGTAGGACGGCATCAATTCCCCCAACCAGCAAGCGAGACGAGTTGTTGGGAGAGGATGTGCACTTACTGGAGGGTGGAGGATAGATATACAGACCTCCCCTGTCGGGTAGACATTTGGGTGAAATATTGGGGTTTCGAACTTCATCTTGGGGGGCATCAGAGGGTATTCGTGAGGAAACGACAAGCGAGCACGGAAGAATCCTCCTGGTTTGATCGTTAGCTGGGTTGGGAATCAGTGGGGGTATGTAGAACCAGACCGCCATAATATTTGCAGTCGTCATTGATCATGAGCATTACTTCCCACTCGAAGACATTGTTATCCACGAGCCCACAGCTGATACCCGGTATATCTTTGTCTGACTGCATCTGTTTCAACTGTCTGCCGAGTAATACAGCCGCCGCCGATGTAGAAGCCATACTGGCACCAAGTATGACAGGGCCCCGCGGGCCTGGTTTGGCGCAGTCTGGAGAGAGGAAGGGAAGATCTGCCTCCGCGTGATCGGTGTCTTCGAGAAAGTGGTGTAGGATTTCGAAATCGAATATGAATTCGGAGCAAGGGAGAGAGGTCGCAAAATAGGAGAAGAGGGTAATAATGGTAGTGACTGGAATTATTTGTTCGTTCACTTGCAAATCAAGAAGTGGTTTGAGGAGGGTTTGGATTGTTTGCAGCGTGGGATGTCACCAGGCGGATGGCGTTGATGCCGCAATTTGTCCGCTATATCCGATCGTGATCGGGATCTGCGCTGGGCCTCGCTTCGACCGGGCCACCGAATCTAGCAATATGTTTGTATGTGTACTCGCAGACTCGGTACCTCGTAGTGCTCATATCATTGGAATGAGTAGGTACTCAGGATCTGGGTCCCCCACATCGTGGAGGAGGTCTGCTCCTTCCTTCTCTACAACTATATCAAGGTGATTTGTACTACCTCCAATTATGTCTATCCCCTATGATTTGGGGAAGTTGTCTGAATAACATAAAGCAGTTGGTGACCAACCTAGACACCGGTCGGACGGATTGAAAAGCAGAGGATCATCGGATTCTTGCCTGCCCTAAGGTGATTGCCATCTAACCATTGCTGAACATGTACATTTACAGCTGTATTCTTCGTCCACCCGCGAGTTCCAAAGCAGGTCTATACGCGAATATACTTTGTAACCTGATATTCTGCTTCATCTAATATCTGCGTTCACGCCACAGCTCCGACGAAATCTTGTGATTATCCGCGGGCAGAAACATTGCCGATGGACGCAGTCGTTAGAAAGTAATGGGTATTATCTAGCCTTAGAGCAAAGGGCCCAGGGAGAAAACCCTCATACGGGAATTGTCTCCAAAAAAAAAGGAAGCCAGATCTCGACTTGGCAAGAGTGAGATACAGCGATAGAGAGAACCCAGCTAGAGAATCCATGGCGGCAGATACCGCAATCCAATCATTTAATGGACTGAGTGTCTATACTTGATTTCAGTATTGATTCGCTTTGCTCAACAGGTCCGCCGGTCAAAGTCCAGAGTACAGTATGCCACCACCGACATAGCCCTGGCCTGCAAAAAAAAGCCACCAATTCATGAAACATCAAATCCTACTCAGGGCAACATTGCTCTCAACCTAGGATCCCTTCAGTTGCCGTATCTCCAACCACCTTCTAATCTCATTCGCTCTCGCTGTTCTCGATCTGCTCTGACCTCTTCCAGTGTCAGACCATCGCCGCTCAGTGCCCAGTTGGCGCTGCTTGTCCGGTCTCTGAGCCGTTTCAATCTGTCCTTATTACCCTTGGAGAATATCTCTTCTATTTTCAATGGTGCAATGGGCCCAAAAACTGCATCGCCATCCATACCCTCCTGCCGGATGAGCTGTTCGGTGAGATGGCCCGGTGTCGCCCAGTCAGGAATAGGGAATGCATTGCCGTCATCGTCTGAGTCTTCATCCTCCGAGTCAGTTGGAATCTCGGGGAGGTGAATGGCCTCCCCATTAGGATACTGTGGTGATGACTTGACTGTTTGGATCGTCTTCTGTTGCATGATTGACACAGGAGTTTTTGTTTGCGCTGGTTGGTTAGGGGCATCTGCAAAGGGAATCTTTCCTCCCGTGGCATATTGTTGCATCTGTGGGGGCGCGGCTCGACTGGGAGGCTGAGGGAATTGGCCCACGTACGTTGACGATTGGACTTGCGTATAGGTGCTATGATTGAAGATTGATGGCTTCTTCCCAAGTTGTGACTGCCGGATGGGTGCACCAGAAACAACAGGACGCGGAAGAGTTTCAACCACGGTTTCTTCTTCAGTCTTCCGCCTCTTTGTGTCACCTTGGGATGTGAGAACGCCGTACTTTGAGTTTTGGGGACGTACTGTGCCCTGTTCTTCCTCCAATGGCCGCTTCGCAGGTTTCGCGGGATTGGTAGGCAGCGGATGGTTGAGCAATGAACGACCTGTAGTTTGACCCCCAAGACGTGAGGACGGCCTTATCTGAGAAGCTTCGTTCGCAGCACGCTCCAACCGTTGCTGCTCGGCCTTTCTTGCCGCATCTTGACGTTTACGCTCGATGGCTTGCTGCTGAGCCTGTCGCTTCGCTTGTTCTGCTGCCACTCGTTCACGTTCACGCTTCTCTGCCTCTGCTCGTTGCCTCTGCTCTTGCCTTCGCGCCTCTTCCTGTTGAGCTGCTCGCTTACGCTCCAATTCTCGCTTCTGTTCAAGCTTTCTCTGTGCCTCTCGTTCGTCCTGCTCTTTTTTGCGTTCTGCTGCAAGCAATGCCCTGGGCTTCGGAGGCGCGTGGACCGATGATTTCATGTTCGTGATTGTTGATGATTGCAATGAAGCAGTGCTGGCCTTCTTATTCAACCCTGGGCGCTTAGGCTCTGCAGCCAGGGTCTCCTGAGCGTTCGGAGCCGCTTGAGACGTATTGGCCGGCATTCGTTGAGAGAGAGTTCCAACCCGGATGGATACTGGCGCAGGTTTAGCCTTGTTGATCGGATGGTCTTTTCCGAGTCTAATCGGCCTGGTTGGTCTTGCTGCCGATTCAATCGGTTCATGCTGCTCAACCGTTAGGTGTTTTGGGCTTGAAGGCTGGCATTGGTCGGAGTCCTTTTTCGCCTTTTGTTCACGCGCGAGCGTTTGCTCTGCAACTTTTCTTCTCTCTTCTTCTCGGGCCCTCTCCAGTTGCTCATCCATTCGCTGCTTCAAGTGTGCTTCTTTTTCCTTTCGTCTCTCTTCTCTTTCTCTCTCGGTGGAACTGCGGGTTTTTCTCGCCTCTTTTGGAGGATTTGCAGGTAAAGGTTTATCTTCAATGAGCGCGTTCAAGTTAGGGTACATTCCAGGCATTGCATTCGATGCCACCTTGAGAGCATGTGGAGACAAAGTTTCCAACTTGGCTGCGGCTGAGACACTTGCGCTGCTGGTGAACAGACCTTTGGCGGTCTTCATTATGGATTGCAACTTCGACTTCGAAGCACTCAGATCGAGATATCGCCTCGGCGAACCCTGCGGAGTTGTTATTCCTTGAGTTGGATTCGACACCGATATGGATTTCGCGGGGCTTGGCGGAGGTGCCATGGATGCCTTTGCAGGTGAAGCCAGGGTAGCAGTTGACGCAGATTTCGTGTGCCCAAAGCCTGGCATTGTCTTACCAGGACCGGGTGACGTGCGTGCAGGAGACCTCATGCGTTCGTCGTGCGCGATCAGTTCGGGAGCCCGAAGATCGAATTCCTCCTCAGAATCTGATTCCACAGCTGGGGCATTCCTCGAGGGACATGACATGGCGCCTTCTGGACCATTCAGGGGCTTGATCCAGTCGTCATCATCGTCATTAACGACCTGCGTCGGTTTTTCATTCTGCAATTTCTGACGCTGTTCGTCCAGTTGCTTCACATCTGGCAGGACGACAGTAGAATGGATAGATTTGGACGGTCGTGGCGCAGCAACTCTTCCAAGCATGTCGATCTTTTCATGCAGTCTTTGCGTGGAGAATTTGGAGTGGTCTTTGGTGACTTGGTTTTCGCACTCGGAGTCATCATGGCCCAAGATCTGCACATTCGAGTCAGTTTCGTCGTCTGCGTCGTCCATTTCAACGTCTTTGTCGTCATCACGTGATGGGTGTTGTACATTCTGACTCGAAGGAACAGCTGGTCGTATCCCATATGCACTTGATGGTGGTCGATGAGCCTGGTCGACATGACTTGTCCGGGAGATTCTTGTCCCAATACTTGATTTCAGTGGCTCTCGTGCCGGCAGTGAGGCAAATGTTAGACTGCTCTTCCTCACCAAAGGTCTTTCAGGAGTCGACTCATCGGAAGGGGAGCCAATGTCATCCAGGTCGGGATGTATTTCTGCTTGCGACTCATTTTTTGCAACGGTGCTTTCAACTGGATGAGCATCCAGAGACACACTCTCAGATGCACTTCCCTTCGTAGCACCCTCTAGTCCTGTCATCTTCGTTGTTTGGTCTTCTTTTGCCGAATGAAACGATCCTTCCGTAGTACGATGTCCTTCGTCCATGGCATCCTCGACGTTATGCTCTGAAGTCGGTACAGTATTGTCAGAGATTTCTTCACGTGCAGCTCCTAGTACATTTCTCGAATAAGGATCTATGCCAATGTCCACATCGTCCTGGCTTGCGGTGTGGTACCCAGAGTCGGTCTGTGATTTGAGGGGTTGTTGTTCCGTGTGGTCAGGATCGGTCGAGATTTCAAAACGTAGTCTGGGTTGATCAGGCCTTTTCTGAGGACTTTGCCTAGGTAAGGGCTTTGATGAGAAGACGTCGCTCAAAGGCTAGGGACAGGCATTAGTTTGTTGTCGCATGTGGTAGTGGGGGTTTGGATTGCATCAGCTTACTATTCGAGCGTCTTGAGCGTTTCGTTTTCTTGCAGTACGAGGAGTTTTCCCTCGAAGCTTTCCAGGTGTCTTAAAGATGTTGGCAACATCACTATTTCTGGTCAGAAACCTCGCAGACATAGCAGTTCATGAGTTAGACATACAGATGACTCTTATTGAATATCTCCGCCATATGCTCGTTGAGCCATTCGAGCTGGTGCTGGGCTGGAAATATGACTTCTTCCTTCTCATTTTGTAGGAGATTAAGAGCATTCTCTTTCTCAGCAGCGATCCAGGACACTGAACCCACTGCTGCACCTTTGTTGGCCATTGTGCTCGGAGATGTCGACGCGCAGATAAACACGATAAATGGCTGGATGGGTTAGCTTTAAGGCTCTTGTAAAAGTATCTCCCTGGGTTTGAAGAAGTGCATTGTTGTTGTGGCAAGATAGTGGACTATCAGGAGCCAGTTATGAGGGTGAGAAGTCGAGTTCAATGAAGCTGCATGTGGGAATCATTCCGTATGTTTTGGTTAGAGCTGCATTGGTCTTAGCGCGGAGCACGTGGTCACGTGCTTTGTATGGCACTGTCGTGTCATAACTCTGGAACAAGTTTATTAGTGTGTTTCACTACACCTCCAAAAGAACATTTCTTTTTCTTTCTGATTTTTGCGATCGTACCTAATCAGCTATACTCTCTAGGCTAAACTGTGTTATCGATTAATTACAATCGAGAACACTAATAGTGGAACACGGCGATGTAGTGGTGGCTGCACATGATGATGCCGACAGTACGGCGAAACCCCTGACAGCATGCCCCTGTTTCCGAGATACTCCGTATTTACCGTCTCGAAAACTAAGATAGTATTTTCGAGACACCCACGAGAGGCTAGCGATTGGCTCGGTGCGTTACACTCGAAGCAAGGCGCTCCACACCTTCAGAGCTTACTTGGAGACGGGCAGCGATCTCGGAGTTGTCTCCAACCGGGACCGTCTTCATATTAAAATAATTACATCGCTCATTCCTCTCCAACTAGCGTTGATCGACTCTACAGATTCCACCTCCGTCGCCCTGGAATTGAAGCTCCCTCCGCTTCTTGATCGCCACAATGCCTGCAAGGCAGTGTCTTAATCGGCTGTCGCGACAGCTTACATCGAAGTCACAGTCGGCTGTCTCCTCACAACCTCGGTTGTGGCAACAAGCACTTGCCCACGATGGAAGAAGGTATTTCTCTGCAACTAGGAAAAGCAGTATCATGGAGACAAGCTGTTTCACCGAGGAACAATTGACCGTGCGTGAGGCTATTCAAAAGATCTGTGCTCGATTCCCGAACGACTACTGGCAGCAACATGACCAAACTGAGACCGATCCCAAGGAATTGCATGCCGCACTGGCGGCTGATGGTTGGCTTGGTATTGCACTTCCGGAAGAATTTGGCGGCGCAGGACTGGGCATTTCCGAAGCGACCATGATGCTGCAGACAATATCTCAATCCGGTGCAGGCATGGCAGGTGCTCAATCCATTCATGCCAATGTCTATGCGGTTAGCTGATTCTCCTGATCCCTATAATTGTCGGAAATTAGTCACTGACTGGTCCAACAGACGCAACCACTGGCCAAGTTTGGAAATAAAGATCAACTACAATCTACAATCCCGAACATTATCAGCGGCAAATGGAGAGTGTGCTTTGGTGTGACTGAGCCAAACACTGGGCTGGACACGTTGAGGTTAAAGACAACCGCCACCCGGAAGGGGGACAAATACATCATCACCGGTAAGTAGTCACCAAGATCTTTCCATAGCGGAAGGGATATTTATAGTCGCCACAGGACAAAAGATCTGGATCACGTGCGCACAGGTCGCTTCGAAGATGATCCTCCTAGCCCGGACAACCCCCTTGGAAGAGGTGAAGAGGCCGAGCGAGGGGCTGTCCATGTTCTGTATCGATATTGATAGATCCAACCCTGCCCTGGAACTCAAAAAAATAAAGAAGATGGGCGGACGAGCTGTTGACGCCAATGAGGTCTTTTTTGATCACTATGAGGTGCCAGAGAACACTCTCATTGGAGAAGAGGGTCAAGGATTCAAGATCATCCTGCATGGAATGAATGCAGAAAGGTGTCTCCTTGCGGGAGAAGCGCTTGGACTTGGTTATGCAGCGGTCGAGAAGGCTGCACAGTATGCCAGAGAGAGAGTTGTCTTTGGCAGACCCATTGGGAAGAACCAGGCCATTGCACATCCTCTGGCTGACGCCTACATGAACCTGGAAGCGGCCAAATTAGCAGCGTATCATGCTGCTCGGTTATATGATCGGAGCAGAACGGATACCACCATCAGCCCCCATGCGGTGGGAGTCGCATGCAACAGCGCAAAATATTTGGCGGCCGAGGCAGCATTCAAGGCTTGTGAGAGAGCGGTCATGAGCCACGGTGGTATGGGCTATGCCATGGAATACGACGTGGAGAGATACATGAGGGAAATCTTTGTTCCAAGGATCGCTCCGATCAGTCGAGAGATGATTCTGAACTTTGTGAGCGAAAAGGTCCTGGAGCTACCTAGGAGTTATTGAAAAAAACCTCTATCCATATGTATAAAGTTGTGTCGGTTCAGGTCACTGATAGGTAATAAATGGATTTCCGGTGTTAAGAGATTTTGGGGAGAGATGAATTTAATTTCGAGATCAGGTTGTTTTCCCCGCACCAATATTTTCTGTTCAGGCACCCAGGTCTCGCCTCTTAGATTCCTAGTGACTGCGACCATTCATCCTATGCCCGAACATGTCGCGGATAGAAGAGCTTCCAGATGACTTTGATGAGCATGTCAGTCTCAATGATGCGCCCAAGATCCTGCCCTCAATCGAGGAGCTGTACGATCAGCACATCTCGGCGTCTGGTCCCTCACAAAACCAGATGTCTTCCAAGAGCTTCGAAGAAATCGTGCAGGATATGAGCAAAACCCCGCTCTTTATGAACAGTCTTGACGAAGCGACTAACGACGGTACGCTTAAACCTACGGCTGCTCAGGCAATTGGCTGAGCAATGGTGTGCAGATGGAGAGAATATAATGCTCGAGGCCATCAAAGCCCTGCAAAACGAGGGAACAAAAGCGGAAGTGGCACAAGGATTTAAAGAGCGTGGGAACGAAATGGTCGCGGAGAAGAAATGGAAGGATGCCAAAGAGTTCTACACCAAAGGGCTTGCAGTCCTAACAGCCAAGGACGAAGATAAGTGGGACAAGCCTGAAGACGAGACCGCAGAAGAGAAGCTTCGAGTCCTGCTTCACGAACAACTACTTGTCAATCGAGCCCGGTGTAATCTGGAATTGAGTAGGGATGCTCTAACGTTTACAGTGGAAGGTATGCTAACTGATCAGAAAACTACCGGTCAACCATCCAAGACAGTGCTGCTGCACTACGTATTAACCCTGCGAACATCAAAGCGTATTATAGGTCGGCCTCCGCCCTGCTCGCTCTGGACAAAGTTCTCGAAGCACTGGATGTGGCATCTCGTGGATTCAAACTCGATCCAACCAATACAGCTTTGAAGAAACTGTTGGACCAGATCAGAAGCCGGATGGCAGTCAAAGAGGCAGAAGACCGCCGGCGCTTAGCAGAGCTGAGAAGGAAACAACAGGAGAAGGCAACGTTAGACGCGGCGTTGAAGGCGCGAAAGATCGTTGTCCGTGGATCTAAAAACCCTCCGAACTTGGAAGACGCGACCATTCGGTTATCGCCAGATCCGCTATCGCCCAAAAGTCTGCTAGAATTCCCAGTAATGTTGCTCTATCCGATGCATAACCAGACCGATCTCATCAAGGCCTGGGCCGAGAAAGATGCCATAACACATCACCTGAGCTACATACTACCCTTGCCGTGGGATAGCAAGAACGAATACAAATTGTCGACAGTAGACTGCTACATGGATACCATCAGCGGTGGGCTCATGAAGGTCGGTAAGAAGCTGACTTTGCTGGAGGCACTCTCCAATGGGAAGACTGAGGTGGTGGACGGGCTGGTTAGGATTTATGTGGTGCCAGTGTCACTTGCACCTCAATGGATAGAAGAGATGAAGAAGAAAAAGGGCAAATAGAGACAAGTACAACGTGGACCTGGCTGTAGGATCTGTTCACCTGTGCTGTTCTCAGCACTTAACACATAGCCGCACCCTCCGAGGTGGTTTGCCAAGGGAACGGGGTGCAAGGCAAAGGGAAAGGCAAAGGCAAAGAAAGCCCATGGCCTTGGAAGCCTTCTTTCTCACCTTTAGTCCCAATCGTTCTCGCTCGTCCACCCACACCATCACTGATCATCTAGGTACAAGCACCTATCTGACCAACCCTGTATCAGCCTCCTCCCGTCCCAAAATCCCGGCTCCCACCACCATAGTGCTTGACCCCTGTCAAAGACCCTCTTTGCCACGGACCGAATGACGCCTGGCGCACGCTTTTAGCCTGTTCCGGCGACAGGATTTTTGGCGTCAGTTGGCGGCGACCAGCCGCTACCCGCTGCAGCGCCACCCTGCCTTAGTCAAAACACACACACCGCATCAACCCACGTTTGCTTCAAGGCTACGCTACGCTTCGCATCTTCACAAATTCATTAGTTAGCTCATGGGCCCAATCAAACGACTGCTAGCACTTCCAGCAAAGCCATGAACAACCCCGCCTTACCCTTCTATGATTCCCAAAATCCAGGGCCGTACGCTTTCAGCAATCCCCAGCCCAATGTCGGCTACGCCATCCCTCCCGGAACTCCCTTTGATCATGCCCAGACTCCATTTCAGCCGGGCATGATCCCAAATCAGATCCAGAGGCCCTTATCCCACCCTCATCAGGCCCAGCAACCTGTTCCTCACCATCTCTACCAACAACATCTCGGCCAGATCGGTACGGCGCCGCGTCCGGAGAGTCGATCCAGCTACAGCCCGCAGGCCAAAGGTCAGAATCTTCTCCCTGACCGTGGACTTGGACAGAGTACTCACTACCAGGCAGGGCATCCTTCCAATGGGCAAACTCCTGTCCCCGTCCCAGTGAATCAAGGAGCCAACCTAACGTCCAGTCCTACCCAGTTACAGACTGTAACAACTTCAGCTCATCCCTTACCGCCTGCCTCTGCGCCCACGTCACTGGACATGAACATGGCAGCAAACATGGCCCTGGCGGGCCAATCGAGTTCCACATTGGCTCAACAAGCCCAAATTCACAATGCGACACAAGTCGCTCGTGCTGCTCCGCCCCAGCAGCATCCACAACAACAGCACCACACAAGCGCTGGTGCGGCCATCTCAGCGCAGTCTGCTGCGAGGGAGCGAGCACGAGTCTCGGTGTTGCTGGAGATCAATACCCATTTGCTGCAGGAAGTTGTGTCGTTACAGGCCCAGGGAAAGGCGGGAATCACGTCTAACCAGGGACAACAATCACCTACCTCGCCCACCTCGGCAACAGATGCGGCCAACACCATCACCAATAGCCCAGGAGAGCCACCAAAATCGGCAGGAGGGACACCTCAGTCAAAGCCACCATCACAAGAATATGCAGAATGCATGCGGCGACTGCAGGCCAATCTATCCTACTTGGCCGCGATTGCGGATGCCAAAAAGAAGGCCAATGGAGCCCTGCCTTCGGGACCAGCAATTATGATTCCCCCACCTCATTTGCCGCAGGTAAATGAGCTGTATAAAAGGTTGAACGCTCTGTTCCCAGAGGCAAGCCACTCGGCTATCAACAAAGCAATGGCGCAAGCCGCCGCGCAAAACCCGAACACTGGTCCCAAATCGCAAATACCGTTCACTTCTGCGCAAGGCTGAGTGTGCGCGGTTTGACGCCGGGACACTGCTAGAACCGTCAAACTTCCAATGAAGTTGCGTCCACCCTCGAACGGCTCGCTTGATGAAACTCCTCAAGCCCGTATATGTTCGTTGAAGGAATAACGTTCAGCGGATCATGTGGAACACGTCTCACGGCTAACATTTTTGTTTTCAGAAGATATGATATAATTGGAGCACGTTGGGCCCCAAAGCTCACGCTACAGACCCGTCAAACTGGTTATATTCCAGGCTTGGTGAACCCCTTTGCAGTGGCGCTCAAATACAATAAGCCGCGGCTGCCTGCCAGAAATATCTTGAGGTTTCGGTACCACTTCAGCGGGTGGTCGCGGTCGTGCGAAAACGACGAATCTTCCAGCCTATACAACAGAGAAAGCCTTGCGGCATTCAGAAAGGGAGGGGCTCAGAATAGGATGCTATGTAGATTATACTTGCGGTATTTGGAACCATTTACTGGCTCAATGTGATACTCTCAATGATTGAAGTCGTTTCAGGTGCAGCAATGACCTTTGGTATCTCCTTGTGATATTGGATTACTCAGGAGGTTGACGATGACAATTCAATTCACTTTCTCATGTAGTCATGTTCGTCAGTCAGTCCTCGCTAACGGAAAACCTGTAACGAGAGTCGAGGCTCAGTCACAAGGCGCCAAGAGTCGACGGTGGAGGGGAGTTGCCGCATTTGTTCCTGCCTGAGGCTCGAGGCATTATTATTTCCAGCGCAGCTCAGCCTTGTCTTGGTCGGAATCAACACTGCATTGCTTTTACTGGCGACGTTAAAGTAGTTGTTGCTTCTGGAGCATCTGTTGACCTTTGTGGACTGTATTTCATAACCTGGATGATATCCAGGATCTGCCCCAACCTCTCTAGGGCATCTTCTACTTTCAATCGGGTTTGCGATATTTCTGCATCGAACTTTTCTCCCAGTGCCGTCTTCACAACCCTCTTACGCGCCCAACCCCTCAGGACATCCTGTCAACCTTTTACATCCATACATAATCCCTCCGCTCACCCCAGGATACCGTCGGAAGGTACCGCTGCATACTTCCGATCTGCAACATCCCTACTGCATACCCGCCTCCGACGCCTCCAAAATCCTTTGGCAACATCACAGCGTTCTCGCCCTTTCTCTGCCTCTGCTCTTTCCGATATGTCTGCCAATGGCGAACTGAGACTGAAGAGAAGGACAAGCCCCACGTCGGCGTTGGAGAGACCCAAGAAACAACTGAAGCCGGAAAATGGAGTGCCTACCCCCGGAAACGCTACTCCTCAAAATGGCTCTGTCTACGATATCGAGGCCGACTCGACCTCAGTCCCCATCATCAATCCCGTTCCTGCCGCAGGCGATTCACCGGAATGGCAGGCTACTATAGAGCGAGTCATTAAGAGTGTGGTGTCCATTCACTTCTGCCAGACGTGCTCTTTTGACACCGACTTGTCCCTTTCTTCCCAAGCTACGGGGTTCGTGGTTGACGCCGAAAATGGCTACATCATGACCAATCGCCATGTCGTCTGTGCCGGTCCGTTTTGGGGTTATTGCGTGTTTGACAACCATGAAGAGGTGGGTTACCGTTTGCTCACCCCGGGTGCCTGCCAATTTGACCGACTGCTGACAATAACCTCACCTAGTGCGACGTGAAACCTGTCTATCGCGACCCTGTCCACGATTTTGGCATCCTGAAATTCGATCCTAAAGCTATCAAGTATATGAATGTCCAAGCACTCAAACTACAGCCGGAGTCGGCAAGAGTGGGCGTGGAAATAAGGGTAGTCGGCAACGACGCTGGTGAGAAGCTCAGCATTCTCTCGGGTGTTATCAGTCGGCTCGATCGCAATGCTCCAGAGTATGGGGAAGGCTATAGTGACTTCAACACCAACTATATCCAAGCTGCTGCCGCCGCTACAGGCGGAAGCTCCGGCAGTCCCGTGGTCAATTTAAATGGACATGCGGTTGCTTTACAGGCAGGCGGCCGTATCGATGGTGCCGCCACTGATTACTTCCTACCGCTTGACCGTCCCTTACGTGCGCTTCAATGCCTTCAACGAGGAGAGCCAATCAACCGAGGGACGATCCAAACCCAATGGATGCTGAAACCCTTTGACGACTGCCGAAGGTTAGGTTTGACACCTAACTGGGAATCAGCAGTCCGAAAAGTCCATCCGAAAGAGAACAGTATGCTTGTCGCCGAGATTGTACTACCTGAAGGACCTGCCGATAACAAGATCCAGGAAGGGGATGTTTTGATCAAGGTCAACGGGGAGTTATTGACGTCCTTTGTCAAACTTGACGCTATTCTTGACTCCAGCGTTGGTGGCAAGGTCGACCTCTTGTTTCAGCGCGGGGGCGAAGATCATGAAGTGACACTGGCGGTGGAAGATCTTCATGCAATTACCCCAGACCGATTTGTCACCGTGGCTGGCGGAAGCTTTCACAATTTGTCCTATCAGCAAGCTCGATTATACGCCATCGCCTGTAAAGGGCTGTATGTGTGTGAAGCTGCCGGCTCGTTCAAACTCGATAGTGCTCTTTCTGGGTGGATCATTGACACAGTGGACCAGAAACCGACACCCGACCTTGACACCTTCATTGAGGTTATGAAAACCATTCCTGACCGATCTCGAATCGTCATTTCATACCGACATATTAGGGATCTTCATACTCGGGCCACTACGATCGTCCATATCGATCGACATTGGCATCCAAAAATGAGGTTGTCCGTGCGAAATGATGAGACAGGACTCTGGGATTTCAAGGACCTTGGAAAGGCGCTGCCCTCAATACCACAAGTGCCAAAGTCGGCAGATTTCATCCAGCTGGACGGCGTCAATCTGCCTGCTGCTGCCGAAATCATTCGATCCTTTCTTAAGATCACATGTTACATGCCCGTTAAAATTGATGGGTACCCTCAAGCACGGAGAACGGGTTTTGGACTGGTGATTGACGCCGAGAAAGGCCTGGTGGTGGTGTCCCGAGCCACAGTTCCATACGACCTGTGTGACATTACTGTGACGGTTGCCGATTCGATACAAATCGAGGGGAAGGTTGTGTTCCTTCACCCGTTGACCAACTACACCGTGATTCAATACGATCCCTCACTGGTACACGCACCGGTGCAAACTGCGAAGCTATCTACCGAGATGATCAAGCAAGGCGCCGACACGATCTTCGTGGGCTTCAACCAGAACCATAGAGCCGTCGTTGCGAAAACGACGGTCACGGACATTACAGCGGTCGGGATACCTGCAAATGCAGCGGCTCCCAGGTATCGAGCGGTCAACCTCGACGCCATTACCATCGATACGGGTTTATCTTCTCAGTGTGCATCTGGCGTACTGATGAGCGCGGACGGCACAGTGCAAGCTCTGTGGCTCACCTACATGGGGGAGAGAAGCCAAGGCAGTCATCGAGACACGGAATACCATCTCGGCTTGGCTACGAGCATGATCAAGCCAGTCATCGACCAGATCCGATCCGGCATCATACCCAAACTTCGGATTCTAAATATGGAGTCCTATGTGGTTCAGATGTCGCAGTGTCGGATCATGGGGGTCTCAGAAGAATGGATCTCGAAAGTGGCCAAGGCCAATCCATCACGACATCAGTTGTTCATTGTCAGGAAAGTGGACTGTGGTCCAGCCAACGGACCTAATGATGGACAATTACTACAAGAAGGCGACATTATCTTAACTCTCAATGACCAACTCATTACCCGGGTCAGTGATTTCGATATCATGTATGACAAGGAATGGCTCGATGCGCTCGTCGTTCGGAAGGGCAAGGAGATTCGCCTTCGCGTCCCGACTGTGCCTACAGAAGACTTGGAGACCTCACGGGCAGTCATCTTCTGCGGAGCGGTCCTTCAAAAGCCACATCACGCCGTCCGACAGCAGATCAGCAAGCTTCATTCGGAGATCTACGTCAGTGCTAGGAGTCGCGGGTCGCCAGCCTATCAATATGGGCTAGCACCTACCAATTTTGTGACTCATGTGAACGGAGTGAAGACCCCGGACCTGGATGCATTCGTCAAAGAAGTCAACAAGATTGATGACAACACGTACTTCCGGTTGAGGGCAATGACATTTGACAACGTGCCATGGGTGGTGACGATGAAAAAGAATGATCACTATGTAAGTTACCGGGATGCAATGGCAGTCTTGATCGATACTAACGATCTCAACAGTTCCCAATGTCAGAGTATGTCAAAGACCCTACCAAGGCCAACGGGTGGAAAGTGATCTCCTACGGTTCCCGAGGTCGCAAAACAAAGGGCGAAGACGGAGCGCCCTTGACATCAGATTCAATGAGCGCGGAAGATGACGGCTTGAGCGAGGGAGAAGAGGGCCCAGATAGAGGCGAATATTAGAGGCTAAGCGATCTAGAGTCGTCTTAGAATGTCATTCTTAGGCCCGTCACCTGGGGGACAACTCCAGTGTAAATCCTTAGAGAGACACGATATGAAAAGTGGGTTGACTCGAGGCAATTGAGGACCGCTGAAAATAGGAGACGGGAGCTCGAAAGCCTGATGCGGACGCAAGGCTGGAAAGGCTGTGTGTACAAAATGATGCCAAGCCACGGGATTATCACATGTCAAAACCTGCACAATCCTCATTACCCCCATTGGTACGGAGTACCGTTCTCCAAACTCGTAGTATGTAATCGGATCGCCGGCCAAAATAAAGTGAAACCATCGGTGGTCGGTTGGCATCAACCAACGCGGAATGAGTAAACCAGGTTATTTTGAGGACAGACGGGAAAAGATGAGATGGAGCTTGTCAAGATCATCAGATGGGAGGAATCGCAGAACACTACTTGTAAGCCCAGGGCCAGAAAATTCATGAGATGCGACAGAGAACAGAGGAACAAATATTATTTGATTGATTGTTTATGCGCTAAGGCGGGAGGTGGACTGATGTGCATATCTGTACAAAGTACGAATACTGGAGGGAGAGCACGCGACCATCTCGACCACTGGTATCACTTGGTGTCGAGGATAGCAATGGAAGGAGGCAGAAAGCAGGGAATGAGGTCAACCCCCCCAGAACCCCCTCAGGGCTGCCTAGGACGAATAGTCGCAGGCCCAAAGGGAAAAGGTTCCAGTGGTGCCAGGGCTGTTGCGTCAGAGTGGCCCAGGTGCCGCTTCCACCCAACAGGCGGGCGTTGGTGATGCAGGTGCCAGGGATGGAGTCGATCAAAATGAAACCGCCTGCAGCTCCCGCAGGTTTTCCCAGAGATCACCACAAACTGACGTCCCACACATCAACCTGTCAACTCTCACAAACAGAACACCTCGTCCTCTTCAAAATTCATCCTTTGGCCTGCTGCAAACTGCTTCCTTAATTCATCCATCCTCATATCTCATCACTTTACTGCTGCCCGTCTCCCAAAAGTCAGTCGACGACCCTATCCCATTACCACACCTCCTAGTCTGCGTTACTTCCGACTTCCTCCTTTGCACACCTTCCTAACAGATGTCTGCTGAAGGCTACGATCAATCCTCAGAGCTACCTACACATACCGACATGTCTACCGCGGACGATTCTACCCCTGCTCCCACCACCAATGGGACCAGTGAACCCACCCTGAAAGATGCCTTTGTCAACAGTAAGGTATGCAAGATACTACTATACGTCACACTCTTGTCCAAACAAGCCAAAGATAGCTAATATCTCATGACCAGGATTTGACTTGAGCCGATGCCTCCTTCGCCCACTAACAGATTGCCAGACGCCGCCTCAGCGGTCAACACTGTGACAGAACACCCCATCACTCAAAATGTTGTCAATGGTAAACTTGCTGGTGTTAAATAACAGAAAAGGTGCCCCTAGCTGATTCCTCAATAGGTCCCGTGGCAACCTCCGTCAAGGACCAAGCTGCGTTCACGAAGTCCGAATTCAGCGATCTTGCCAGCTCTCGACAACCTCCTTCGTACACTGCTGCCAACGATACTACTTTGACGCGTAGGCCAAAATCGTTGTCCTTGAAAAATCACTCAGCTAACTTCGTGTCAGACTACCATTCCTTTTTCTACACTTTGTTGAGCGTAAGTGCCTCTGATATTTCTCGGATGAAAATTGTGGCTAACTGATATGTTCCAGTGGAAGAACAAGCGAGCCACCGGGATCACGTTTGCCTCCGTTGTTGCCTTCATCTTCGCTTGCCGCTACCTGCCCATCATTCGATATGTGATCAAGATTACTTGGATGACACTTGGTGGTATGTCTAAACAATTGTGCGGTTGGGACGGGGCTTTGCTAACTTTGGATACAGTCGTCACGCTCGCAGAGGGCTCGAGCAAGGCGTTGATGGGCTCTAGTGTGGCCGGTACTCTCCGACCCCGACGGTACTACAAGATTCCCAAGGAGACCCTCGAAGCTTCCCTCGACGACCTAGAAAACCTGATCAACTTTTTCGTCATCGAGATCCAACGCATCGTCTTCGCCGAGAACGTCCCTGTAACTGCAGCTGTAAGTTGGGCCAGGCTTAGATGGAAACATGTGATGCTGACCGTTCCAGGCTTTCTTGACTGCATTCTTGACCTACTATCTCATCAAAATCGTCCCTTTCTGGGGTATGGCATTGATTGCCAGCTGCGCCCTCTTCCTCGGTCCCTTGATCTACATCGAGAACAAGGAATTCATCGATTCTCAACTCGAGCACGCCGGAAATGTCATTGGCCAACAGACGACCCAGATCCGCGACTTGACCGCTCAACACACTAGCAAGGGTCTCGACACGATGAAGCAATACACTGGGACATATGCGGCCAAAGCTCAAGAGATGGTCGGGGGCGCCCGTCAGAGGATCCCTTCTCCGACCACTGGTAAGGCTCCAGTGAAGGAGGGTGATTTCCCCTCGGCACCCAAGACAGACCTCCCAGATGCCTCCAACAACATGCTGCACCGCCAGGCTGAACCCCTCAGCTCCTGAAGGAAGGGTATTATTGCAGCAGCATGACGGTATGATTGCGTAGTGCTGCGGCCGATTTCGTTTGGGTAGCAAAATCATGGTGCACACTGAAATATGACAAGTGGAATGAGAGGGTAACGAGCACATGGGGAAAATCCCCTCCAAAATTGACAATCTGGTGCTGTCTTGAAGGGCGAATATGGATGTTTTGTTGGCCCAACCTTGGGCGATTCTCTCTTATTGGGGCTGTAGAAGCATAGCAGCCCAGCACAGAGAAGCCAAGGATGATGAAATAAAGGTGATGGGTGTTTTCTTGTACTGTATGATAGAGTCCAAGTATGATTTGGAATTCCGATTAGCATGCTTATTGACCCCGCCTGCGTTCATATTGCTTCTGACTGGTGAGAGAGAAGTTTCCTGGCATCTTTGCTCTATGGAAGCACACAGTCAGTGGGAGTGGACATAGATAGTATTCCCCTCCGCTAGCAATATGCAGGTCTATCAGAAGCATTTTCCGGTGTGCTCCGTACCAGTGATGCCTTGACAGAGGCTTACTTTCTCTTTCGGGGAGAACGGCGATGGAAAAGCAGATGTCAAACATTGTATGTGTGTATGTGTGTATCTACCCAAGTATTGGAGACATATAGACATATAGACAAATAGACTATAGATATCGCCAAAAGCACGAGGTATATAGGAATGTATATATCGACGGTCTCCTACGCATAGCTCCAGCTCAACCGAATAACCATGATGATTGATCGACGACCAAAAGACCTATATGGGAGCCAGGAAATACATAAGAGGCACACAGCTAACGCAGGCGCAAGATCTCAATCCTGTGGACCCAATTCCAAGGTCCTGGCGTCGTGCTGGTTTTGACGAGTCGGTTGTCGAGACTTGGGCGACTAGGGTTGCTTTGGCTGGGGAGAAACTCTGACTCCCTCACTCTTTGTCTCTGTGACCTATCTCGACACCTGTTGAATGTCACTCGATAGAGCGCATCTTTCCTCCCTAGCCTCCACGGTAATGCCCTGGCCTCTGCATTCCATTCCTCCATCTCTTCCACGATTGCTTGAGCTGCCTCGATCGTCATGCTCACTGCATGACCAATTTCCTGTCAACTCTGGCGTCCTTGGTCTCTGCTCTGCTTAAACCTATAGCCTTGCTCTTTCTCGGTCGTCCTTGACAACGACACCTCTCTTTCCGGTCTTGGCCATGTCCCGCAATACTCTCCTGAGGATCTTCCCGCTGGGGCTCTTTGGGATCTCGTCGACAAACTCAATCTCGGTGATCCACTTATGCCGCACTTTCTTCTCCTGGACGTATTTGATGATCTTCTTGCCAGTGGCTTGTAGGTCGCCCGATTTCTTGGATGCTTTGAGCACAACGTAGGCCTTGGGTCGCTCGCCCGAATAGTCATCGGAGATTCCGAGCACGGCGACATCTTCGACGTCTTCGTGCCCAAGGAGAAGATCTTCGAGCTCAGCAGGCGCAACGCCGATCCCCTTCACCTTGATCATCTCCTTCAACCGATCCTGGGACACCCCGTCAGCCTAAATCGAAACGACAATGATGTTCAGTACTTACTGTGATCGTGATCAGCCCTTCTTCGTCGATGGTCCCGATATCGCCGGTATGCAAGAATCCATCCTGATCAAATGTCTCCCGGGTGGCTTTCGGATTATTTAGATAGCCCATAACAACCTGTGGACCTCGCGCCCAGATCTCCCCCGGTTCGTTCAGTCCGCATTCCCGTCCTGTATCCGGGTCGACGATCTTCACCTCCGTAGACGCGACAATTGTGCCTACCCGGAACGCATATTTATAGTCATACTTCTCGGGTGGGTGTGCAGTAATACACGAACATGACTCAGTCATGCCGTAGCCTTGCTTGAAGCCCGTCCCGGGGAAGCGTCTCTTGAGGAGTTCGAGGATCTCTGGGCTTACGGGAGCAGCGCCTGAACTGAAGCGGCGTAGAGAGCTAAGGTCGTACTTTGCGAGAGTCTTTTCGTCGCGAACCAGCCGGATAATAATCGGTGGGACAAGAAGCATTTCCTCGAGTTTGTAGTCTTGGACGGTTTGCAGTGTAGCCTCCATGGTGAATGCCGGCAACATGTAGACATTAGCGTTGAGGAGGATAGGTAGATGCATCTGATGCACAAGACCCGTGATGTGGAAGAGAGGCAACACGGCAAGAATACGTCGTAAGGTTGCCGGCGTGATCTGGCGAATTTGGAGACACTGAGCAATGACATTTGAATGTGCAATCATGACAGCCTTCGGCAAGCCAGTGGTACCGGAGCTGAAGGACAGGAAGCCACAAACGTCCTTGTTCTTCTTGCCAGGTGGGAGACGGAACTGTTCGACCTGTCCCTCTGGGCCGTGTGAGCGACCCATCTCCAGCAGCTCCTTCATGGTTGTGAAACCCTCCATTTGCCCCTCGAGCAGAAACACTCTGCTCTGGGGGATTCCCGCATTCTTGGCCGCGGCAGCCGCCACCTCCATGGAGCTCGGTACCGTGAACAAGAATTTGGCCTCTGCAGTCTTCAAGGCGTACGTCATTTCCTCGATGTTGTAGGCCGGGGAGGCACCGCTGATAACGCCTCCAGCGCGCAACACGCCAAACATCGCGCACGGGTACCACACAGTATTGGGAGAGAAGAGAGCAACAGTCTGGCCTTGCAGGAGGCCGTAATTCTTCGCGAGGGCGGTGGAAAGGTGGATAGTGTGCTGTCTAAGGTCGACATAGCTGAGGTGCTGTATGCGAATAGATCAGCCATGCCGTCACTGAGGCGGATGTGGGAGGTAACACGCGCATTACCTCTTTTGTGGCAGCATTTGTGAAGCCCTGGATGTCTTCCGGCTTGTAGTGCCGCATTGGACTATATTCGGAATCGAAGAGCCAGGTCCATACGGGTAGATGCCATGGCACTAGATGTAGGAAGACGGGTGTGTTAGCTCAAAGATCAAGCAGAGAATGGGGGGTAGCAAGACGGGGAGGACAAACAATCAATTGGCGGCTGCAGCGATTTAAAGATAGGCATCGTGACTGTCCTTTGTGAGCAGTTCGTTGGAGGGTAGCTGGCTCGCTGGGTAGTTGGGTGGTAGTACGGTGTGAGGGAGGAGCGCAGCGGTTGATTTAAAAAGCAAGGTCGATCACCACGAAGATAGAAACAGGTAGATAATAGACTTGGGAAAAAATTGTTCAGACCGATCGACTGATTGGCAGCGGAGGCACGAGGTACAGCTTCCCATCAACCCAGCCTTAGTCCATGGTTTGTGAATGATTGTCCTGACTCGAACATTGTAAGCATCCACGCATCCACGCATCCAAAGGTAGACAGCCTCGGTTATAATCCAAGTGCGGAGAATCACTACCAGCTTTCCAGAAGTAGCCAGCACCCAAACACCGGCGAGAAGGTCACACAGTTGTCCGTGGCACTGGAAAGTTGGGGGTCAGTGGGGCTGGATGGGGTCGTGGGGGTAGGAACAGGCAGGGGACAGGCTGAAAATGGAAAAGAACCGCAGCACCTGAGGCCACTGCACCTGCGCCTCTTGGATATGTGCCGAATAGCTGGTACGGAGAACACACAATCACGAAAGTGCTGGTAGATATCTACGAGTCCTATTGTTCCGTCTCGAGTACCGAGGTCCTAAGAGATCCGAGATCTGACGGTGCACTGATCTTGTTTTGCTAGCGAAATCAATCTCCATGTCCAGCCTCCAACCATATGTCCAGAACCAGAAACCATGTATCTGCGCCGAATCCCAATCCAACCTCTGTACCGAGTACATGACCATGTCGATCCACCCGACGGTTATTTCCTTTGGTTCGTATCTGGATATCCATGGCGCCTCCCATATTCTGTATTCTGTCCACCCAAGCTGTCTTAAAATGTGTTTCTTCCGTCGAGCCCATAATCCGTGACCCTAATGCTCTTTGCTCGTAATCATCTCTCCAAAGGAAGCGAAGTAATTGCTGGTTGTCGAAAGATGGTGGTGGGCCTTCACACCAAAGCATCAACCACCCAACATGCGGAAATTCTCCACTCCCAAGGTCGGCGTCTCTACCAGACTGTCTCGTGGAACACCTTCCTGTTTGCGTCTGCCATAGAAGCTGCGACATTCGTTCAGCACCTGGTTCCACTCCGCTAGTGATCGGCCGCTGTATCGTGCCGTGCTCATTTCATGGTCCCTTGGCTTTAGTGGCTTCACTTCCATTGCTCTGGCTCGAACTCGATCGTCACTGCTCATCGCGCTGCCTCTGCTGCTGCCGCTGCCCGGACCGCTACCAGTGCTGTTACTAGTATTGCTGCCGGCACTTTCCGAGCTCTGTCGAGCAGTGAGGATACTTCGGGCATTGGGCGGAAGCTGAGGCGCTGTCAGTACCCGGTTCTTGCTCTCCATGCTTGTGCGCCCTGGCAGGAGTTCCAGGGAGAATTTGAATGAAAATGCCTGATGGGGAGGCGTAGCTGGTCGCTTGGGTGCAAGGATGGCGTTGTTTGGCCCCGGACTATCATTGGCAGGGGTGACACTGTGTTCTTCGGGGCTGCCGGGCGGTGTTACTTCTCCTGGCCGGTTGTTCCCTGGTGTGCCAAAGACATTGAGACCCCGGAACAGACTCCACCGCTTTCTGTTCCCTTGAGCTGGAGAATCTGCCGTGGGGATTGTGCTAAGAACTGAAGAATGGTTTTGATAGGGCGAGCTCTGAGTGACAATCGCGGGGGGCAAATATCTTTCAAAATGTGTCTTGGACGGGGTCATAATAGGCTGGCTGTCGGTGCGGATGATGAGGAGGACACGGCTAGGTGCAGGCGAACAAGGCGCTGACGATGGTGCCACAACCCCTCGCATCTCCGCTTCCGCAGCGAGATATTGATAATTGGCCCAACACTTATTCAATCTCGCTGCTAATGTCTGCAAAATTTCCCTGCCGTGGAGTCAGTGATTATTTCAAAACCAAGTCCGTCTCCGACTTACAAGTCCAGGTCCGACACGTGCTCGTCGTAACGTGCGACCTTCCAGCAGAGAAGGCGATAGAAGTAATGCCGGACCATAGGTGACCAGTGGCAAAATAGCTTTTCGAATGTGTTCCGGTCCAGCAAACATTCTAGAACCAACTGGCGCTTCCGTCCTTCATTATGTATTAGAATGGACCAAGTACTGTACAAAAATGCAATCGACCGTATCTGGGTTAGGGTGGTTTGACTGTGCAACATCCGATTGCAGACCTCTAGCCAGAAAGGCCAGTCGAGTACTGGGGTATCAAGGTATGACTGGTGGTAGCGGAACATGATGGGAAGAACTTCCTCCATAAAATCACAAATCACAAAACATGCGTCGTTATTGTACAAGGAGATTTGGACAGTGGCTGCCTTGGTGACACTGTCAAATGAGGACAAAAAGAGGTTGCGTAGAAGCGAATGTTCAGGAGCCAGATCTCCCATGACATCCCGCAGCAACATAATCAAGCGGTTCTCCGCTATCGAGCGAGTTGCATTTGCGATTGTCATCGGCAGCGGAGCCAAGGCATCTGGGTTGTCCAGATGAGGTCCAGTACCAGTGGCATAGCTTTCGACTCCAAGTTGACCGGCTTGTCGGTAGATCGTCGTCTCCAAAATGAGCAACATTTGCGCGCAGACCGGGACCAGACCAGGAACAGCTGCGCGGTCTTTCAACGAAATCTCTTCCGTCAGAAACTCGGAGGCCAGAAGGTGGTACTGCTTGGTGAAGACAAAAAACAGGTCACTGTTGTGACCAGACCATCTCGCGACCCATGGTTGATACCAATTAATCCTTTCCGAACCTGCGGGAACTGGTCCGCGTTGCTGAATTCGGCGTGAAAATGTTGCTTGAGATCCCACACATAGACTGCGGACTGACGGCGGAAAATTCCTTGCCAATGCACTGGATACCAAGTCAAGCTTCTCTCCATTCTCAACGCCGAATTGTCTGAATACACGTCTCAGAGCGCGTGAAGGCAGATTCCACAACCTAATCAGCATCTCGCCCACACCGGGACAGAAGAAAAAGGCATAAGCACATGCTTTTCCGGCAAAGGTGACGAGACTTTGGGGAGCAGTACGTAGCGACAAGATGCTAGTCACAAACTCCATCTGAGAAAGTAAGTTCTGGACAAAAGTGTTGCGCACATTTTGGTGGATAGAATCGACCAAAAAGTCTGCTTCTTCCGATTCGAGAGAATTCGTCGACTTTGACTTAGGAATTGAGTGGCGTAGGGGACTTTCTCCCAGAACAGAAGCGAAGCCTGGTATCCTCCATTCTGGCCTCACCATAATCCTGGTTGCAGACTCCAGGAATGCAGGCCTGTCCGTACCAGAGATCGACTGGTTATTTGCTCCGTGAAGCATCTCCAGCAATGCGGTCCACCATTTATTGAGAATAACTACTCGTCGATCCAGATCCTCGGCTCGCAGACATTTATGGGACGGGTGGTGTTCGTACTTGACAAGAAACGGGATCAGAGTTAATCGAAGCACTTTGGCCTTCTGAAGGCTCGTTTTTGCTTGAAATCCACTGTACTCGCCATCCAGAGTCCTGAAAGCAGTCCATAGAGGATCCTTCCTCCGTGGTGCCTCAGCGTTGAGAGCCGCCAAGCGATCAGCGGATAGTGAAGATGGCAGAGGGGGGACCTTATTCAGCGAAAGTCTCGATTGTGACCTTTCGTTCGACATAAAGCTCCGCAAAGAAGTTGTCGAAGAGTTTCTTGACATACGTCTCATATTCGGGTCACTTTTGCTCTTTGGTTGTATGATGGAAAGTGGCCTGTGCACAGGGCTAGGGACCGGACCACGTCGGTCAATACTTTGACCTTGTATAGCATCCTCTAATTTGGATTCGAGTTCTTCGGGAGACGTCCGTAGCGGAGGACTTGATGCCACCGGCTCCGGGACTGTAACGGAGTTCGCAGCATGGGCAAGTTTTCGCTTACTGGGTGACCAACTTCGCTTTCTCTCTGGAGTATTGCTTTCTTGTCGAGAGGGAGATGAAGGTCTTGAAGAAGAGCCAACCCATGATTTCCGCGCAATGGTTCGAAGAGTTCCTGCGACAGAGCGGCCGAGGCTCTTTGGCTGTCCATCTCTATCGCCGTTGGTGTTGCTCGATTCCCGCGGCTGCGGCTCGTCGTCATCGGGAGAGAGGGAGAAGCGAGCGCCAGCTAGCATTTTCCTCTTCGCTTTTCTGGAAACACGTCGGAAGAGTTCCAAATTTGCTGAATGCATACTGTCATTGACCTTGACTTTAGGATCGGAGGGGAGGGAAATGATGTGTTCGGAGAAGGTACGTTTGATTGTGGAAGAGTCGGAGTGCTCGGTATCTAACGCAGGCAGGTAGGTGAAACTGGCTGAGCGTACGAAGTTCCTCGGAGGATCAGGTTGAAAGGACTCTGGAGAAGACACTGTCGTGCCCGAGTGAATTGGCAGGGGACTCATGGCATGAATTGGGAGGACGGGCAGAATCTGCCCTTCGACGTGCGCAGCAACGGCCATGATGTCGTCGTGTCCAAACTTCACAAACTATAAGCCCCGCGTGTCGTTTTGCTCACGCCAATGCCAAAGATGTGAACCCTTCCCTACTCCTCGCCATCAGGCACAAATCAACAGAGAAAGAACATCGACATGAGCCGAGACGGACAGTAGATTCAGCCAGCCGGAAGGAGCCGATCGATGGACGCAAATGAAGGGGTTGGGGGAGTGATAGGCACACTGGGGGAGTGTCTGATATACAAGAATTCCGAAAGCCAAAGAACAAAAGAGGGAGAAGAATCAGAGGATTGGTAAGTACATTAACGAAGGACAATAAGAATAGAGAGAAAGGCAAAGGATGGACGACGAAGCAAGCAAGCAAGGAGCAGTATCAGTTCAAACAGTGGAAATCAAGAGTGTCCCAGTCCTTCAGGCTCAGGGTGCACGTTTTGGAGGTCGCAGGTGGAGGATTAGACTCAGTGGAGCGCCTTTAGGGCGTCGGGCGCTTGCGAATGGTTGTCCGATGAGCCTTGGGTGAGCCTGAAGAGAGACAGTCGGCATCATCAACCCCCGACGGGCCTGGACTTCAAACCAACTATGGTCCCCGCTTGTATGGTCCTGTTCTCGCTTGCTCGGCGCCTGTCCAGAAACAGCACAGCAAAACTGGGTTATCATACAGGTTGACGCCAATAGTGCCTATCGCATCATCGTCGCAGGAACATGTACTCTGCTTTTTCCGTCTGATGTATATCCACTCTTTGAAGATCAATGATACCGTTGTTCAGGTGCGGATATTATCCTATCCTGGCTGAAGGGATCATGCCAGATGGAGCGTACGCATGCCCCTTGGGACCTGAGGATTGGAGGGTGTCGTGGGCACTCCGTGACTCTCCGCTTTTGTGGCATACCTCGTACCGCTGGTTTGCCCATTGGCCTGGATATTACTCACGGAAATGCTTACACCGCAGCTGTTCAATCGGCCTGCCTTATCGTCACCGAGGATTACGTAGATATGAAGCACCCTTACCCAGCCGCTACTGCGGCCTCTATCTCCTGCAAGTGGTCTTTACCCTGGACTGTCAGATTTTGTGGGGTACAATTGAAGGGTTTCTCAGATCATGGCCTGCGGACCTGGAAATGGAGGGTGAGAGGGACCTGGATGCGCACGCTTTCAGTCTGTTGCGCGGCGCACCTTGGCAATGCATGGACAGACTTGGCGTATCACGTCAAAAGCCTCGTCTGAGGCAGCTGGTAGAAAATATCCGCATCAGAAGCATGGTCACGAAGAGGCGTAACATAGATGGGACTCGTGCTTAGAGGCCGGGAGACGGGGATGCCACGGCACACATCGATCTCACAAGGCGTTCCACTGCCCAAAGTCAACCGGTTTTAGAAATCTGGTCAATCCTTCCGAGGCTCGGGCTCACTTCAAAATTCTGGATATGCAATTCTTTTGCGGACATGGTGAGTGATAGGGCTGAGATGCTGCGTAGCATCTTTGTTCGTTGTGCAGGAGAACAGGATTGACCACTCTCTTGGAAACCGAGAAGCACCAGATGTTTTATGTCATGTTCTGACTGATTGTACAATCCATTTTATCTTGGTTCTTTCCAGCGATATCAATGGTGTGCTGGTTCATCCTCCTCCTCAATGTCCTCGAAAAAGTCTTCTTCTGGTTGTGTCTCGCCAGGCGCAGCTTGTCCTTCGATCTCCACGACTTGATCCTCGTATTCCTTCATCTCGCTTGCCAGATTGGTCTCTTCTGGTGACTTGGGCACGGCGGGAGGTGTGAATTTGTGAACCTGCCCCTCAGCATCTGAGGCTTTCTGTGGCGGGGGTTTATACGCTCGTAATTCTTTGAGGTACAAATCTTGAATCAAGTCCGCTGCTTTTTCATGAGTAGGTTTCTCGAAATGGGAGAGAAAATGTACTGACGCATCCTTGAAACTGGGGCAGCGACGAAGCTTCGGCGAGAAGCTGGGAGCGTTCTGGAGCTCAACCGAGCGAAGACACGTGTCTGGATACCTTGTCAACAGCAGCAGGGACAAATGAATGTAAAACTTACGCTGGCCCTGAGAGACTGCGCCATTGCTGATGTTTGATAAAGGTATAAGAGGTTCCTCTCGCTGGACAAAGAAGCTCTTTGTCGAGCACGAAGGAAAGAGTAGCTCCGAGAATAGAGTCTAACCGTTTTTGGACTAAGCACTCGAGCAATCTGTTTTTAGTGTCACGTGATCTAGGCTAGCCGCCTGCCACTTCACTAGGTAGGCTGACATACCTTCTGATTTCCAACCTGCGCCTCACCTTGACATTTCTACCACCTTCTCTCCACCATCTCGCCATCTACATATCGCAGACGCCGTCAACCCTGCCTCTGTCGCCGTTCATCTATCACAGAACGCATCTTTGACGATCTTGCGCAACTTAGAACGATCCACTGACGACGACTTTTCGTGTTCAGAAACCCTCCGGCTTTCACGACTCACGAGACCTTCACTGGTTGAACGGTCACAGTCAGAACCTCGTTTCGTTGACGCCTGCGCTTATTCAAACACCCTGCGATAACTACACCCCGTACCCCGCTTGGGCTTCACGCAAGAAAGGTACATGACTTTAGATAGTTGAGAAGAGCATCGTTTGGCTTTAGCGTTTGGGTTGTCTCATTCACTTGTTGATGACCTGACTGACAAACTGCTTTATCCAGTGTACGACGATCCTCGACCTCCGAGTCTGCGTCTACACTACCTATTCGCTCATTCAAATTGATTCATAAATTAAAACTCGTTTTCTATCGGTTTCACATTTCACCCTTCACTCCATTCCGCGTGTGACAACATTCGACTAGGTGGAAGGAGCCTACAGTCTGCTGGGACACAATCCGGCCCCACCGGCCTTTACCTTGATCACCGCCAAACTGTATTCTCCGCTGTTCGTCAAGACCTTTGCAAATAATCACAACCTCCGGACGACTTACAAGGGTATCAAGCGACGCCAAACGCAACGCCTGCAAGGGAGAATTGGTGGACGAGTAACGAAGAGTATTACCAAACCACCCGCTCCCAAACCAAACAAGATGTCCACCGTGGGCGTCGAGAACCAGCCTCCCGAAGCACCAGCATGGCGCGAAAATCTCAACACACATCTCGTTTGCCCTGATTGCAAGCAGATCCCTCCGGATCTTATCGAGGAGAATGCTGATACCATCTGTGCCAATTGTGGAATGGTCCTTGCCGAGCGTCTAGTCAGCTACGAATCCGAGTGGCGTACTTTCAATTCCGATGAAGGCAAAGGCGATGACCCTAACCGTGTCGGTGAAGCCGACAATGAGTTATTTCTAACCAACAACGCTGGTACATTGATTGGTGGCGGCGGCCCAAATGTATCGAAGGAGACACGGAAGCTCAAGAAGGCACAGGCCATGCAGCAGGAAAACAAGGCGGACAAGGCTCTGCAAACCGCTTATGCTCAAATCGAGGCGTGGGGTGAAAAGGCCAAGCTCACCGCTACGATCAAGACTACCGCCAAAATGTACTTCAAGCGCGTCTATGAAGCCAACGCCCTCCGTGGTAAGCAGACAGAGGTTATTTTGGCCGGATGCCTCTTCATTGCCTGTCGTCAACACCAGGCTCCACGTTCCTTCAGTGAGATCTTCGGATTGACATCGGTTCCCAAAAAGGAGATCGGACGGGCATACAAGAACCTGGAGAAGTTTCTGACAAAGTCATCGAATGAAAATATTCAGGCTATCGAAGAAAGTGGTGGCATAGCGAATCGGAACCTTCTCGGTTTCAAGAGCACTCAGTCAACAAAGCCCGAGGATCTTTGTGACCGGTACTGCAACATGGTTGGACTGCCTTTCCGCGTCTCGACCATTGCACGGGAGCTTGCACAAAAGATACCTACTGTTGAAGGATTGGCTGGGCGCAGTCCATTATCCAACGCTGCCGCATGCACCTATTTTGCCAGTCACTTGCTAGGTTTTGGGAAGTCCACGAAACAAATCAGCGAAGTTGCTGGTGTGAGCGACGCAACTATCAAGCACGCCTACAGATATCTTCTTCAGGCAAAAGACTCCTTGGTTGAGTCTAGCTGGTTGGGAGAGCAGGGAAACGCCGGCGGGTTCGGCGATCTGAAGAATCTTCCCGGTGCTTGATATTTCCAAGATACCGAGTGTATGGCTCTGTGAGCAATCACAAAAGCAGAATCAATGGGGTAGCGATTCTCGCTGCATGGGCGGCGGGTGTGCCTAGGCGGGCACTCAAAAAAGTCCGGTGTTCTGGTGACGGTGGCAGGGATGACTGGGTGGTCATTTGCTTCATGATACAATCTTGCTTGTTCTCACGCTCTCCGCTATGGGCATTCTGTTTGCCAAAAATGATTTATCATTGGCGTTGATGCGGGAATGATACCCGCCATACTGGGAGGCGCCGCCGTGTATGTAATGCTAGAGCCAAACGGCAGAAATACGCACAGGTTAGCAGAACATTGTGTTAATCGATCTCTATATCTTGGCCGTCCGATCGCTCGAGAAATCTCATCAGTGACAGCAACATATGAATATGTACAACCTTAAGTGCTTCTTTGGTTCATTTATACGCTCGATCCAATCAACGACACTATGTGCGCAGGCGCCACATCTGGCTCTCTTGTTTCCAAACATTTTGGACCATTTCCCACTTCAGCAGCCCCACAATCCAATTGCTATGATGACTATCACGGGCGTATTTAAAGCTGGGGCCCTTGACGCTCAGCCGGCAAGTAGGTTCTGCTACTGCAGAGGCGCCAAAGTACGTCGGCTGGGTTTCTCAGGTTGGTATTTTTTTCTCGTCAATAACGTCCCCTGAGAAAACACCCTGTTATAGAGGAGCTAAACGACTATCTTGTATAAGAGTTGGCTAACCTCTCGGCTTAGACCTAATTCCTTCGCCATATCGACATATTATATCGACACATCGGCCTATCAATGCAGTCATCCCTCAAAATGTCCACACAGTCCAGCCTTAGATGCTACTGCGGTTCTGTCTGCGAACCCTCTTCATTGCTGGCTAATTCAGCCACGCCAAATGAATGCATTATGTGCCACTGCAACATATGCCGGCATACCACAGGAGCCCTGGGTGTATGCTATCTGCCACTCAATGGCTCGCCCAGTGAGGAATCACTCAGTTGCACTACTGCCTACAAGTCTTCCGAGAAATTCACTCGGTTTTTCTGTCGGAAATGCGGGTGCAATGTCTTTGTTCGTTCGGAAAGGGACGGGGTGTGGATAGCTTGCTCGGGGATCCTAGAGAGAAGCGAGAAAGACAAGAATGAGTCGAGTCAGATGGAAGGGCAAAGAAACACCACAAAGGTCATGTGCCACTGGTATTTGGGCGACTCAAACGATGGTGGCATCGCGCCCTTTCTCAACAAACTAAGCAGACGGGATATTCCATGCTATAGGACCGAGCCGGACTTCCAAATTGAAGCTCCCTTGGGGGAGAGTGACCTTTTGCGATACCAGAAGACATCGCTTACTCAACCATCCTCCGCCCCAGAGAGGGGGGAAATGCTAAATGTCTCTTGTCACTGTGGAGAGTGTCAACTTCTGATCGCGCCACCGCCATATAATGCCAGCAGTGAAGGATGGTATGTGCCTAAAAGGGACCGCAGCAAATACTACGCCCGCCTCTGCTGTTGTCGCTCTTGCCGCCTGACCTTGGGCTTCGCGCTGCAACCGTGGGCGTACATTCCTCCATCACAGTTCTTTACTGTGAAGAACGAGCCGATCGTCTTCGGGCCCAAGATCAAAGAGACGGTCCAAGTCGCAAAACTCAAACACTATCAGTCCTCAGAGTTTGTGATACGGAGTTTCTGCTCCGTTTGTGGGGCAACGATGTTCTACCAGAGTTTTGAGAGGCCTTATATCATTGACTTAAGCGTGGGTGTTTTGAGGTCCAATATTGGGAATGCGATGGCGGGGGAGTGGCTGGATTGGGACAGAGAGATTGTCAGTAAAAGACCCGAGGCTGTGGACGAAGAATTAGTAGAAGCTTGGATGGAAAAGTAACACGAGGAAAGGTGCACAATTTGATGACACTCGAAAGATACTAGGTAAATGATCGATACATAATGAGGGTGAAAAGGAGAGTGAGAACCTCAGCCTTGTATATAGCCTTACGCCCCTCGCGATGCTTGGTGTCAACGGCATGATTGGACGGATTGCTAATCCTTGGCATATTTGCAGCTATTGCACTTCCTGATACATCCTTGCGAGTCGAGCCACATGTGGAAAACGCCGCTGTGACTACCTGCTTCCTTGCAATACAACCACTGCCATTACGCTTTCATCTGCGTCTGTCGCAGCATTACTGTGACTTGTTCTGAATTTCAGAGTCAGCTGGAGAGGAGCGCTTGATCATGGCCGCCGCTGTGAAGCCTACCAAAAATCAGTTAAAGCGAGCAAAGAAGAAGGCTGAGAAGGAGAAGAAAAAGGTATACGTTCCATCTTACCACCTGTCTTCTAATTCTGACGGCACGCAGACTGGCGCGGAACCAGCCCCAGAAGATACAGTTACAAATGGAACATCCCCAAAACTCGACGCCGAACAAGAACAATCTGCAGTGTCGAAAGGTGGAAAGATCAAGTCCGAAGATGCGCACTATGACGACCCCCTCGCAGACCCACTCATTGTCGACGAGGAGAATCCTTTATATGATATGTATAAGAACGTGATGGAAAAATTCGAGGAGGCAGATAAAGGAGATCCCGCATTAAAGGAACCAGAGAAGCCAGAAGTGTACTATGACGACGACGACGATATTCCAGACGAGGACGAAGAAAACGCGGCGCCAAAGATTTCCAAGAAAAAGAAGAAAGAGATGACAAAGTTGTCCGTGGCAGAACTGAAGGCGCTTGTGAAGAGGCCTGAAATGGTGGAATGGACAGACACCTCAGCGCCCGATCCTAGGTTGTTAGTCCATATCAAGTCATATCGAAACGTTGTCCCAGTACCGAGTCACTGGTCGCTCAAGAGAGAATATCTATCTTCGAAACGCGGGATTGAGAAGCCACCGTTCTCGCTACCGAAATTCATCCAAGAAACAGGCATCGCAGAGATGCGAGACGCGATTTTGGAGAAGCAGGAAAACGCCACGCTGAAGCAGAAGCAACGCGAGCGCGTACAGGGAAAGACCGGAAAACTCGATATTGATTACCAGAAACTTTACGATGCGTTCTTCAGGTTCCAGACGAAACCAGAGTTGACGAGGTATGGTGAAGTGTATTATGAGGGCAAAGAGTTTGAAACGAACCTGCGGCACTTGCGACCTGGGGAGCTATCTGACGAACTGAAGGAGGCGCTGAACATGCCCCCCGGCGCACCTCCTCCGTGGCTGATCAATATGCAGAGATACGGGCCACCTCCATCGTACCCAGCTCTCAAGGTACCCGGCGTTAATGCTCCTCCCCCGCCGGGTGCAAGCTGGGGGTTTGCACCGGGCCAATGGGGCAAGCCGCCTGTGGATGAAGCGACGAACAGACCTCTCTATGGTGGTGATATCTTCGGTGTCCTACAGCAGACACAGAACGCTCAACAAGGCGAGCCTGTCGAGAAAGAACTCTGGGGTGAATTGCAAGAACAAGAAGAGTCCGAAGAGGAAGAGGAAGAAGAGGAAGAAGAGGAAGAGGAAGAGGAGGGTGGTGCTGGGCTAGACGCTTCAACCGGTATGGAGACACCTAGTGGCATGACCTCCGCCGTGCCCACGGAAATTGGCGGCACGGAAACCGTCTCTGAATTTGACTTGCGGAAACGTCGAGGCACGGAAACTGAAGAATCGTCTCATCCACGATCAGCCTACCAAGTCATCCCAGAACGCCAAACTCGTGTTGAGGGCTTCTTCGGAGGTGACCGCGTCTACGACCTCAAGGCCGCTCAACAACACTCTGCGTCCGGTGTGCCCGTCCTGGGACAAGATGACGCGTCCCGCAAACGGAAGAGGCCCGGGGATGTGGATGTGTCGATGGACCCGGATGCTCTTGCTGCACATGATGGGATGGATAAAGACGACCTGCGACGCGCATATGAGCAAGGTCGTAAAGCAGATCAGAATCCCAATTGGGATTTCCAAGAGGACTTGTCTGAGATGATTGCGTCAGAACTTAGAAAGAGGCAGAAGCGGGATGAAGAAAGGAAGGGGAAGAGATGAACCGACGGCAGATACGCCGCCAACCAAAACTACACCCGGTGGTTTTTTATATCAAAGCATGAGACAATACTTCGGTGTTGGTAATGAAGGGCCGTGCGGTTCGCGCTCCTGTCAACACATGGCTCTCATATGCCATCCATCAAGGCAGCTTGCAACGTGGCGCTTAAGCATCGCCAATTCGAGACACCGCTGTCGCTTCATAGCTGCTTTGGCAGCGGAGCACTACGAGGAATGAATTGCTTGCGCACTCTTTCCAAGCGCCTCGCTGCGAGAAGCTAGCCTGGATTACTGAGGTCCAGCGCGTCCGAGAGAACAGTGACTGTCCTCCCGCCTTCATTTCGGCAAACATGGCAGAGCAGGGTGTCCAACTTTGGCAGGTCAGACTGGCTTGGACCTTGGCAAAGGCCATAACACACTCAGAGTATGCTCTTTCTCTGTCGCAGGCGACTCGCCTTATTGCTATTCTACCACACCTAGAAGCCAAACAAGCTCCTTTGATCAATCAAGACAACGAACATGTGGTCCAGCATATCTTGCACCATGAGCTGAGGACTTGCTGTTGGTCATTATCTAGGACTTCAACTCCAAAGTGGAATTACCGTCGATCGGTGCCAAAGATGGTCGATGAGCTGTACATTTCGATCTCTCCTGGAGATCAGTTACATCAGACGGGGATTCTTGGCACCTACCAGCCTGGCGTGTCCTGATTGATTCCTCTGCTCGGTAGAAATTTGTGCTGTTTGTGGCCAGGATAGGTACACCGCTATAATCAGATACCTTGTCAAATACTGTTACTGGCTCCGCCGTGTACTCGTCGGTCTGTGCTGCGTGATAAACAAGAGTTATGTAACCATTCAGTTGGACTCTGTAGATATTTTACGTCGTGGACCACGAATACTCTTGGACTCTACGCGTGAGGCACAATAAACCAACATCGAAGGATACTGCCAAAGCCTTGTGCAGGCGAGGCTGAAAGCTTGGCATATAATTTCTGGTCCTGGTGAGCCTGCATACACCCCAGATAGTGAATTTGCCTCGAGGAAGCTCCTCGCGCATCTGTCAAGCCGCAACCCATCATGTGGGATACTTTCTACCGCCAATTCCAAATGAGATGAACTTCATGTCGCGGCATACCACGTTAGCTTGCTGCGGACATCTCTACTGACAGTCCTCATGGACCGCTACCGGGGGTAATGTTCTCCGCAGTCCTGATCTTCGTCGAGATGACTGACCCATGCTAGGCCACGGCGGTCGCCCGCACCCCGAGATAGAGGACATCGAGAACGAGATTCGCACCCAGATGTCGAGTATTTTGGCGAGGGAGAAAGCTACAGGCCCGGTGGCGCAGGAGGTGACAATTCATACAGACCTCCGAACCGCGATCGGGAACGTGACCGGGACCGGTTTGCTGCAGACTCGTGGACCGCCGACAGAAGAGACGGACGACGGGATGAAAGAAGAGATGACATTGACTCTTACGTGCCAAACACGAGTGCAAGGGCTACAAGGCCACGAAGTCGATCCCCAGCCTTTCGACGACGCTCACGAACCCCGCCGAATAGAAGAGAAGATTTATTTGCCAATAGACGTTCACCCATCCGCCGTTACTCTCCACGAAGATCGCCACCAAGGAGGAGATCTAGGTCACCGCCTGGTGCGAGGACACGAAGTCCCCCGGACACAAAGAGGTACAGAGAGTTTTCTCCTGACCCTGCGCGACGCTCACCAAAACGCGAACGTCGATTTTCCCCCGAACGAAATCGTTTCGACCGCGAACGGTCCCCTGTCAGAAATTCTCCTAGAGGGGGCGAGAGTTACAGACCCAGGTCAAGAACGCCGCCGCGCCGACGGCAACACGACAACTGGGTGAGACGGTCTCTTTCGCCGAGAGATTCTGGCCCAGCATCACACAACACTTCGCGAAGGTCATCTCCTCCTGTTCATCCGGACCGCGCGAGCTTGACAGGTTCTCAACCAAGATCACCCCCACATCTCACTCGAGATCAATATGACAGTGCCGACGCAGCCAGCCTTCGAGGCAGATCACCTGCTGCAACTTCAGCTGCAGGTGGAGAACCACGCCCCCGGGAAACTGATGTGAGCACACCGCGGGATGAGGTACACGCGAACGGCGAGACCCGACAACCGCCCTCCGGTCCCAGCAGTTATCGAAACGGCACGTACGAGAGACCGCCGCCCACCGGTCCATCACGTAGTTTCAGTCAACCCATCCAATCGCCACCCACTGGCCCTGCAGCATCGATGTCAATATCCGCTCACAATCGTGGTGGAGGCGCGTCCGCCCTGAACGCTCCTACCAGACCCCGTGGCTCTGTTGGTAGATTCGACGGTCCCCCTTCTCGAGATTTCTCGGCTCCCCCGGTGCGTGGTCGAAGCGGCTTACCATTCAGGGGGCCCGCGCCCTACGGACCAAGAGGAGGCTCTTACGGACGTGGAAGCGACTTTAGCTCAAGCAACCGTGCTGAATACAGTGGGGGGTCCAGCTACCGCGGCGGATTTGGACGCGGCGGTCCTGTTGGAGGAGAACCCACATTCCCATTCAGAGGCAACAACAGTTCCAGCATGACGTACCCTCGTACACAGCGTTTTAACTCCGTTCAACAACATCTCGCTACCAACGAGAAAATTGTTCCTGGGGGCAAATTGCTCCCTTCCGGGCTACCCCCTGAGCAGGAAAAGCGGATCAAGATGCTTGAGGCAGAGGCCGAACGAATGCGGACTGAGATTGCGGAGAAGCAGAAACTTAAGCGCGAGGTGCTGAATGAATGGGACGTCAGGGAACGAGAGAGTGAGAGAGACTCTCTACGCAGTGACCTCGCAGAACAGCACTTGCAGCAGTTGATGGAAGGCGACGATGGGATTGGGAGAGCAGCATTCTAGTGGATTTTCCCTGGTTGGAAGGTCAATCCACAAACAAACCTGGTGTACCCGACCAAGGACAGCCTGTTAAAGAAGGAAATACCTTGGAGGGCGAGTCCGTTCCCGGAGGCACAGTCATTTTCTTCCTCGTCAAGCGCCCCCCTATTATTACCGGCAGAAAAAGCCATGAGCGGGAAAAAAAAAGAATCTATTTGAGCGGGCACAAGGTGTAATTCGAATCATAGCGTTGCACCAAAAAAAGTATGACATGGGATTGGCAAGGCAAGGCATGGATGGATGGGGGCAATTCACAGCTCAAGATTCGTCTACTCGGGACACAATACCAGCTGATACTGGTTCAAAGAAGTGGAATTTTTGGAGGAACAGGGACGGACATTTGGAAATGCATACGCATACGTGGACAGCGCTGCTTGTTCTTGTTTCTTGTTTTTGTATTTGTGTTTCCTTTTTCTTTGTCTCTTTCTCCCTCCCCCCCTCTCTGGCCCCCGTCTCTCGTATCCGACTCGCCGACTCCATCCAAAGAGTCTGTGCAAAAGGAGTTGTGGCATCCCGCCTGAAGAAAAGGGAAAGAGGATCCTTCACTCCACTCCAGGAAATCATGACGGTTCCCACCGAGCAAAGGGGAAGCCCAAAGAGAAGGGGAAAACCAACATCATCCATCAGTCGATATCATGCCCATGTTCCTACTCAAGAGTCCAAACACAAGCTTGTAGACTTTCATCTCAAACCACCGGCCACCGGCCACCTGCCACTCCACTCCTCCAACCTCCGCGCCCCTCTCTCTGTTCCCAATATATTCTTCTGTCCACAGGGTATTCACGAGCCCACCGCCCTGCCGCCGTCAACCTCCAAATTCACTCCTGTGATGAACCTGCCCTCGTCGCTGGACAGGAAAGCCGCCACGTTCGCCACGTCCGAGGGGTCCGTCAATCTCCCCAGAGGAACATTGAACAGGAACTTCTTCATGTTGTCCTCGTTGTACGGGACTCCCACGAAGGACTCGAAGAGGCCGGTGCCGGAGAGGAGAGGGCACAGAGCGTTGACGCGGATCTGGTCCTTGCCGAATTCGGCGGCGAGACCCTTTGTGGCCTGCGTTGTGTCAAGAAAGAAATTCATTAGCTCCCTCCCAGCCAGCCAGGAAGCAACTCCACGATGAGAGGCAAGATAGATAAGAAGATGGGGGACAGATCCAAGTATTTAGATGGCCGGAACATAGGGGACAACTCACATTTGCAACAGCACCCTTGCTCGCATTATACCACACCAACCCCGGCCTGGGTCTCATGGCCCCAATACTTGCAATATTGATGATAGAACCCCCTCCCCGATTCTTCAGCGCAGGGACCGCTGCTGCTACGCTCAAAAAAATGCTCTTGACATTCACAGCCATGACCCTGTCGTACTCTTCCTCCGTAACTTCGAGTGTAGGCTTATTCTTGTACGAGGTCCCGGCGTTGTTTATCACAATGTCCAATCCACCGAATTTGGAGACGGCGATGTCGACCATTTTGCTCCAATCACCCGACGATGTGACGTTGGCGGTGACAGTGGCAACATGGCTGCCAGCGGCACTGGCGAAGGCTTTCTGGAGACCTGCCTCGTTCATGTCCGCGGCGACGACTTTGGCGCCTTCATCGATAAATTTCCGGACACAAGCTAGACCAAAGCCTGAGGCGGCACCTAGGAAGCAGAAATGTCAGGCATAGGGACGTGATGTCGAGTTACTTTTTCGGAAATTCTTGCGATGTTTTGGCCATCTTCCATTTTCAAGCAGACCGAGAAGCATTGACGCCCGAGGGTACTTACCCGTGACAATGGCCACCTTGTTGGCTAGCTTGCCGGAGCCTGTTTGGACCTCATGGAGACCTGACATGGTGAAAATCGTTAATCTGAGAGGGCGAGGGAATCAGATGAGAGCAGTGCACAGCAGGTGGGACGGAGAAGAACGAGAGGGAAGAACTGGCAGCAAGGTGCGCTGCCACCGGAAGTCGAGCGTGAAAGATATATATGCCATTGGACCACCTCTATGCCCCGCAGTCATCCAAAGAATGGGAAAAATTCTGAGGACCATGATGTTTGACCAACAGGCACGACGCAACAGAGGGGTAACGTTGTCCGTGGCTAAGGGAGTGCGGAAGAACCTTGCGGGGAAGAAGCATGGATGTGCATGCGGAGATGGGATCTCGAAATCTTTTCCTGGCGAATAACGGTTGACGCTGGCCGGGTTTCGTCTCGCTCTCGAGAACCGGGATGCCCGGTAATACCCCGTCCTCTCGGAATTGGGTACACACAATTTCTAATAGCGCCAGATAGGGCTGCAGGTCACCAGTCATTGTAGCGACAGGCTCGGCCGATCTCGACGTCCAGTCCCGAGAATGCCGACTTCGGTCGCCGGTGGAACGGATCAACTCGAGGCGGAGCTGATTCCGAGCAGGATTGCCCTTTGCAGGTGGACGACATATGTTACCACCAGGAGAATACACGGGGTTCTGCAACACCGCTAGAAAAGTTGAGTACCGAAGCATTGACTTGAATGCAATGCTAACAAGCCAAGCGAGGAAGGGTAGGACGGTCAAAAATCGAACGTGGATCAAGTCCATGTTGGGTATCTCGGTGTTGATATATAGCAATACAGGGCTGTGTTCAGCTAAGGTTATTTCCTCTTCTTGTTGGCGCGTCCCTCTGCAACATATATTAGCTTCTTGCTGGCTCCCAGCGATTTTGAACACCATACCTGCTGCCGACTTCTTCTTTTTGGGCGCACCCTTCCCTCGCAACTTAGCAAAGGCCACATTTTCCAACCTGTCGTCCTCCTCTTCGTTGAAGCCTTCCAGGTCAAACTTTTTGAATTCGTCTAGAACGTCTTCCACGGTGGCTGATCGTCTGGGGTAGTACGAGGCTAACGCTGGGCCTTTTAATCTCTGCCGGAGGACTTTGTTGCCTAATCTTTGCTGCATCGGGTTGAAGGTAGTAGAGAAGATTGAGCATTGAAGCTGCAGAAGTATGGTTGTTAGCCAGTGCTCACATGGAGATGATGGTGACAGCGAGGGACGTGGTTGCACGTTCGGACAGGGATGAAACGAGTCGCGGGGTTCAGTCATACCTGCATCAGCTGTAATAGCCGACCTCTCGACGGAGAAGCCATTGCAATGCAATACAAAGGAGGAATTGGTAGATTTGAATGTTCTGTGGGAGACAAAGTAGAAATCATTGAAAGAACCAGATAATTGAGGCTGCGGAATGCGCCCGGCACAAGTTGCCCTCAGAATATTCAACTCGCTTCCACTTTCCCTTTTTGTAGTGGCCGACGACTGGCACCCTCGTCTTCAAGTTTTCTGCCTCACAAGTATACCGTTTGTTTGCCCGTCCATTGCTCTCATGGGGTTTCTGCTGTCTTGGACCATAAGGATATATCGTTTCTAGTCATTGCCCAGATAATGCCGGAATTCGGCAGAAAGCGCAAGTTCCAGGACGACCACAACCACCGCCCCAGGAAACCATCTCGAGAAACGCTGAAACAACCAAGACAATCCAGCCTTGAGACGTCCATCAATAATGGACTTCCTCCTTTGCCTCAGATCCATGACAAATATCGAGCCATTGTCTTCACACACCCTAGCCATGCGCCCGGCAATGTCCATGCGAGCTACGACAGACTTGAATTCCTAGGGGACGCCTACCTGGAACTCTTTGCTACCCAGTTGATCTTCGACCGATTCCCAAATCTAGATCCAGGGAAGATGTCTCAGATTCGAGAGTCTCTAGTCCGAAACGAGACTCTCGGCCAGTATGCCAGCCTCTACGGACTTGATAAGCAAATACAAAGCTACAAGCAATTCCAAAATCAGGCGACACATGCATGGCTCAAGATCAAAGGAGACGTTTTTGAGGCTTATGTCGCTGCCGTGATTTTGACTGATGCGGACGAGGGAAAGTTGGCTAAGAAATGGCTTCAACAGTTGTGGGAACCTAAATTGCAGGTAGCACTCGCTGCCAACGACGGCGTATCCAAGAAAAGTAAAGAGGAGCTAGCCAAAAAGATCCTCACAAAGGGTGTGAAGATCAATTATGTCGACGAAAGGGAACCCGTTGTTCACTACGGCCAGGGCAAAGAGACATACTTTATTGGAGTATACGTGACTGGTTGGGGATGGGATAACCAGTACCTTGGCAGTGGAAAGGGACCCAGCAGGGTTGAGGCTGGACAAGCAGCTGCAGCAGCCGCACTCGACAATCACCCTCTCATTGACGAGATGGCAGCCAAAAAGACGGAGTCTCACGTCCAGAAGGATAGGGAAAGGGAAACTGTCAAGACGGATGAGACGTAAGAAGTCTAAAATCGGTCTATGGACAAGTTGACCTAAAGCACATGGTCAAACCTGCCCAGTTCCGACAATAGCTACCTCTAAAGCGACGGTACTATGATGTCTGAGACAACGACTGGCCAGGAGATCCAATCGGCAGATTTCGACCTCAGAGTGGATGGGCCACCAGTTCACATCACCCACCGTGGGCCAACCGGGCCAACCGCATGTCTCCAACTGTCATGGCTCGAGGCACGCTGGGTTCAAAATCAACCTGAGCAGACATATGCCTTTGCTGAGACAAACATGGAAAAGAAAGTTAGGTCATTGCTTGGTCTCACGAATGCGTATTCAGATGATGTTGGTGACCACACGATTACCTCACAAACTTACAATGTAGAATGGAAGGGTGTAAAAAAGATCCTAAGACTGTGAAGCCAGACTCGGGACTCTCAAAATAAGCCAGGTAGTAGCTTTCTCGGTTCTGGTGGACTTGTACGCAATCCATCTGAAGCCGTGGTGGCGTATTACATGTATATCAGAGGGACAAACCCCCTTTTCGGGGCCAGCCTCGTTCGTTATTTGTTACAACGCGCCTGATAATACATTTCAGACAAAGCAACCATTGTTCAAGACCAGTCAATCGTCAAATCGGAATGGAAGATGCCCCATATTACCAACAAAGTAGACAAGGGGGAATAAGAGACAATCAATCTTTATCAACTTGACAAAGGAAACAGCGCAGACTCGAGACTATGAAGACCTGCAATGCTGTCTTTTTATTGTTGTTTTGACCAATTTTCCCCTCCAAAGGAATATACATACCAGGTACATACATACCCCTCCTATACCACCTGTTCAAATAGATCACAGATCAAACCCCCCACCTTCTCTATCAAACCATACATTGCTGGAAATCTTCTAAACAGAAACGTCCAAACTCCGACAGAAAAGCATGCCCAAGACGAATGCGAGGACAACGATGCTCTCCTCCTTCACCACCCTCCTCCTCTTCCTCTCCTACACCACCCTCTCCACGGGCTACCCGTCCCCCTCGGACGTAAAGTACCTGGCGAAAGGGCAATGTTCCTACGCGGGCCAGATCGTCTGTGCGTCCGAGTCGACATTTGCAATCTGCGACGCGTCTCTCACGGGTGTCGTCCAGCCCCTGGCGGTGGGTGACACACGGTGTGGTGCCTTTGGGAGCGGTGGTGGTGGTGGTGGTAAGAACACGCCTCCACCACCAGCTTCTTCCTCCACCACAACGGCAGCGGCAGCCCTAGATACCCTTGCGTTCATGAAGACAGTGGCGTCGATGATGGCCACGGCACTCCATCCGTCGTCGAAGCTGACACCGACACCGAAAACGACGCCACCGCCATCCAAACCCAGCCCGAAACCTTCGTCGTCGACAACCACAAAGAAACCATCCAAAGAAACCACCTCAAAGGCCCAACCGGCCAAGTCTTCCTCGTCCTCCTCAAAATCCAATCCACATTTTGCGTCAGGCACAGGTCTTCAGGTCATTCCCATCACTATCCGTGGCGCAACTCCCACGGCTGGCGGTTCATGATGGTTCAATCTCCAATAGACTGGATTGAGTCTGGTGGCTAGCGCAGATTTGAACAATACCAATGATAGTTGGATTAAATACAAGAATGTATAACACAGTAATTACTAGCAAGCCGTGTAGTCTTCCCACACTCTAACCTCTAATGTAGACCGCGTGGAACATTGATACCTTTACGCGTTCATTTGTTTCCCTTTCCTTAATAGCATCTTGAACGGATTCTTTGCCTTGACCCTTAGGAAGGTCATGGTGTAAACCACGGCATAGTTGAACATGATGAACCCGATGAAAATTCCAAAGTCGCGCCAGCGGTGAGAGTAATAGACCGAAAACCCGTGTCCAAATTGGTCCCCAGTCTCATACTGACAGAACTCGCAAAGACCATCTGCTCCGACCTGGACATAGCCGCCAGCTTGAGCAATATATTGTTGTGTATAGGATTGACACGTGTAGCCAGGCGGCGCACTCTAGACCAGGGTATTAGCCTCCCGACCACTTGATGTGACATAGATTGACTTACGAATCGAGCAAACTCTCCCCGGTTACAGCGAACGGGTTGATTGTGAATGATTGCCTACAAAGAATCATCAGTATAACTTGCAGAATTTCAGACGGAGATCACAGCTTACCCCGAGCATAGCCTCAAGAAGATAGTGGAAGGGCGTCAGCCAATACATCCTGATGATTATCAGCAAAGCCCTCATTGCAAATTAGAGGAAAGCTTGGCAGAAATGTGCTTCTGCCAAAAGTTACTCACCAACTTCGCCAGAATTCTGGCAACTGCTGCGGTGGGACCACGACACCACAGAAACTCACGACGAACAGGAAAAATACTGGGACCAACAGACTCGCGAGCAATTCGTTTGGCGCAAACGAGGCAATAGCCTGGCCAAAGCTGATATAGTATAACTCGAAGAGGAGTATACACAGCAAGAGGAATCCTGAGGTGAAAGACGAGGTGGAAGAACGATATCCGGCGATTCCAAACCACCAACAACAGTAAAAGACAGCTCCGGCGACCAGCGAATAGGGGATTTCAGCCAGAACAGCACCCGTCGTCCAGGCAAACCAGCTGTATATCTTTGCCTTGTTCTCTCGTGATTGGAACGTGTCTCGAGAATGAATGAAAACAGGTTGTAATTGCTGGATGAGTGGTGGAGAGATTGTGAGCACCAGGAAAACAGCGAAGAGACGTGATTGCATGTCGATAGAGGCAAAGCCAAGGTGGTAGAAGGTGAAGGTAGTGAACAAGCCAGTCATGATATGCAGGATGAATTTGCCGAGAATATAGTTGGGCGTTCGCTACAAGTATGTCAGTCAAAGGATGCATGGAGTTCGACAGACGTGTATACCTACCCAGTATGCAACGAACGACCTCTTGACTACCGCTGTAGTCTGTGTCCCGAGCGGCATGGCGTATTCTCTGTCGTCCCTGACATTCTTGCTATGTTCCACATTCTTCCTGCGTTCGATCATTTCGGAGATCTCGTCAGATCGAGCTCGGTAGTTGGTGCTTTGTTCCCAAACATCACCCCAGTCTTTGCCTTTATAGTTGGGGTCACCTGCACCAATCACTTCGAGCATGTACTCTGCCGGATTGGCATCTGGAGGACATTTTCGCGCTCCATTGTCCTCAAAGTAATGAATGAGCTCTTGCGAATCATGGCCAAGAGGGCCGTGGTATACAACCCGCCCGCCAGATTTGAGCAAGAGTAGCTCGTCGAAATGTTCGAATAGCACGGCCGACGGCTGATGGATCGTGCAGAGAATAGCTTGACCGGCATCTGCCAGCTTCCTCAAGAATCTCACAATGTTGAATGCTGCGCCAGAGTCAAGGCCCGAAGTCGGTTCATCCAAGAACATGAGAAGCTCGGGTTTACTAGCTAGCTCGACGCCGATCGTGAGCCTCTTCCTCTGTTCCTGGTTTAGGCCCTCGCCAACTGTTCCGATCGTCGCTCCGGCAATGTCTCGCATTTCGAGCAGATCGATGATTGTCTCACAGTACGCGTACTTCTCCTTGACCGGTACCTCTTTCGGTTGACGGAGTAGAGCCGAAAATTGAAGTGCTTCTCTTACTGTCGAGGTCGGTTCGTGAATATCCATCTGTTCGGCAAATCCCGTAGCACGCTGGAAAGACCTGGGCAGCGGCCGCCCATCGACTAGAAATTCGCCGGTGACAGTACCAAAGTTAATGCGCTGAGCAAGAGCATTCAGCAGTGTCGTCTTTCCAGCACCACTGGCACCCATCAGGGCGGTGAGTTTGCCAGGGCGAACATATCCCTGGACATTCTGGAGCAGCGTCCTCTGACTCTTCTCATATGGGATCGTGTAATTGATGTCACGGAAGGTGTAGACCGTCTCGTTCTTGGCCACATGTTCCAGCAGAGTATTGTCCTGCGTTATGCTCGTAGACTCGGTGCTTTCACTACCAGGAGTGAGAACCTTCTCGACAAGATTTGCAGGAGGCGAAACAACGGACTCCTCGTCCCCTCTAGAGTTCTTGTCTCGGCCGCCTGTTTCAATAGTCTGTTCCACTCGCTTGGGAACTTGACCACGCTTGAAGACAGTAATCGCACCGCCACCCGCGTTAGGCTTCATTCTCTCCATGCCGTAAGCGGCCACTGCAAGGAAAAATGCGAAGAAAGCCCATAGAAAGCCGAAATTGCGCCAGAGATGAGACCGGCTATACCCAAAAGCCTGTTGGATGTATCGAGCTCCATTCACTGTTGTTTGACCCGGTTCACTTCCAGCTAATGTGCATGACTGATACTGAGGCCGTGCATTCGGCCCTTGGGGGACCAAATACGGAGGTACACATTCCATAATCAGGCCAGTAAATTCATTTGCCATGAGGCATTCGAATCCATACTGTATCCAGTTGATTCGTCGAAGCCAGCTGAACCAGACACGCATTTGATCGGGTGCTATGAGACCATTAGTAACTGTAAGCACATTCGGCAGGGTGACCTACGAATGAGGTAGCCCGTATACACTACCAATATTTGGATCGAGACGCCGGTAAATCGCGTAGCATCGTCTAGAGTCTTGCAGAGAGCGGAGATCATACGGAAATAAGCGTAGGTGACCATCGTGACAGTCCAGATAATGAAACAGGAGATAAAGAACTGAGAAGCGGAAGCAGCAAGCCCAGCCATCCAGTATATAATGATGTTGAAAAGGAGGACCTGGATGGCTATCAAGGGTATGTCAACGACTGTTTGTGCAAAGGCGTATGCTGCAGGACGATAGAAGGAGAAAGATTTGTGCTTCAGAAGAATCGGTTTCGAAGTGAAAGCAGCAGTCATTTCTGCCAAAGCCAGCAGAGCATTGAAAAGAAGGACGAAGAAAATGGCTCCACCCCTGGGAAAGGCACCAGCAGTTGTTTCTGGCATCTGGAAGAACAAGCTTCCCACGATCAGTCCCTGTAATATCGTTAGCAGCCAATTTGACTTGAAATTGGGGTTGCCGTGGGTGTAGATACCTGAAATACAATACCTCCCCACTTCCCAATCAACGAAGCTCGGTCGCCTAGCATGACCAAGAACTGTCGCTGTGTACACGCGAGCACTTGCTTGTGAAAAGGAATGGCATAGTTCTTCTTCTCATGCTTCGAGACTTTCTGCTCACGAGATTCCCGTTGTTCCTTTGACTGTGCTTCAAACTCGCCTATATCTTGGAGATTGCGTTGATAGACCTCGGATTTGCGGTAGAGAGCGGCGAATTCGTTTGCATCGCGTGGGATTCGATCTTCCCACCCTTTCCTGACAGCTCTGGCATGTGGATCGGTGACCGAGGTCAAGAAATCAGATGTCGTCCAGCGTGGTTTGCATTCGAAACCAAGGTTGATGAAGTATTGTTTGGCGTCATCAGCAGAACCGAAATACAGACACTGTCCTTCGTGAAGCAGCAGGACCTTGTCCACAAGTTGGTACAAAGACTCTCCAGCTTGATATAGGGACACCGCTGTGGAAGTACGTGCCATGTTGGTAAGTGTGCGAATACACTGAACGTATTCAAGAGCGGTGCTCGCATCTAAACCTCGACTGGAGTTGTCCCAGCCCTGAACCGAAGCTCTGGTGATCATAGCTGCATTCTGTCAGTGACAAGATTCACACCTCAAAGATAGGGAGCGCACCCTCGGCTATGCTGACTCGTTTCTTTTCACCCCCGGAAACTCCTCGAACAAATTGATCGCCGACTTTGGTACCCAGAGTGTGCTCAATCCAGAACAGTTTGGTTACTACCCGTAAAAACTCTCTCTTGTAATCTGCACGAGATTCCCCTTCTAATCTCGACTCTTTGCCGGGAGTTCGAGTCTTCAGGGCAAACATGAGAGTGTGCTTGACCGTCAATGTGGGATAATGAAGGTCGTCTTCAGGGTTGTAGATGACTTCTCCGCGAAAATCTCTTTTCATGGTCTTTGCGTCGATGCCACCATAGGTAACCTCTCCCTGTACCGCCTCGAATCCCTCTCGCTGGTTGCAGAAGGCTTTGAGAAAGGTCGAACAGCCCGAACCCGGCCTTCCGAGGACCAGCAACATTTCCCCAGGTCTAACACAACCATCCAGATTACTCAGTAGTTCTCGCACAGGGGGCTTACCGAGGGCTGCTTTTGCACCTTTGGTAAAAAGAGTTTTGAGCATCCGCGGCAGGCCAAGGAAAATATCGCCGACAGTTGGTTGGAGACTGGCGCCCAACCCAACCCCTTTCACGGTCAACCCACGGAATATCACTCCACTGTGACGGGTTTTCTCTTCTTCACTGTGCTCCTGTCGAGCCTGGCCGAACATTCGAGACATGAGTCGCTCTATCTCGTCATTTTCCTCTTGAAGCTGGGCCTCAGACTTGCCAGAAGCACTTGTTCGCCTACGAGACAAGACATTGAACAAATCGTCCTCGGATTGAATACTTCTCTCAAGTCGGGGCCGCTTGTCTTCAGCTGTAGGGGCTGCCCTCAGCGGTTCGAATCTGGAGTCGGTTCTTCCTGCTGCGGAATCATCTGATGTATCAGTAGCCGATGACGCGGACGACATGCTGCGAGGGTCGCTATGGCGGCTTGCGGCTGCTTGGTACGATGCCTGCCCCGGCGAGTTGGGGGCGACGGCTGTCTCTTCAGAGGAAGTGGTATCATTGTTTCGATGTCCCATCACAGTGGCACCTGGGGTAGTACGTTGGTCGCTGTCATGTTTGTCACGGTCGGCAAGAATATGCTCTCTCATTGACGAGATTGTTGATTGGGTAGGAAAGCGACCTGGCACATCTGGAGTCGGCCGGTCGTCCATGGCTAACGAAGGGTCATAGCGATACTGAAGAAGTATGAATAGGCAAGGCAGAGAGGATGCCGTGGTGTGAAAATAGCTCATATGAATAGGAAAGCCATGGTGTGATACGAGCTCGCATGAAGAGCATGCGAATCTAGAGTATCCATGTCACTCCGGCTCAGCGGTAAAGTCATGGACACGTACTTGGGACCGTGCTCCATCGAGTAGCGGGAAGTCCCAGGAGGGCAATATCGATGTACTGCGGGACGGATGCTGCAGGAGCCATGGTGGAAGCTTTGGTGGAGGAGCAGTGACATGCAGCTAGATTACGTTTGTTGTCGCGAATACGCAGGCAAGAAGCTTGATGAGTGGAGGAATCGCGAAATGTAGTTCGACTAGCCTGCGTCTCATGACGATATGATGAGGCTTGTTTTGGTCTGTATCGGGACTGAAATGTTCCGGATCCGGACGACGGAGAGGGATTCGGTGCCGAGTCGCGCACCTCAATTCTCCCATTATTCCCTTCTGCACCTCCTCGTCATCGTCTCTGCCTCTGCCTCCGCCTCTGGTTGATATCTGCCTGCAGCAAATAGTGATCGTATCCTTGTCATTCTCCTCGCCTGCGTCCATCTTCTCTTCGAGAATCTCGGCCGAAAGCGCAGCGCAGCCCTCCGAGATCACCACCACCATTCACATCCGATTGGGAACAAGTCCTTCTCTCATCAAGTTCAAAAGGTGGGGAAGGGTGTGCCTGCAGAGTTCCTATCAGAGGATAATGAGAACTGCTTCATATAGGTGGTTGCAAATGTTCCTCCGGGCAGACGGACCTACCATTTTGCCTAATCACACCTCTGCTATTCAGCTAGTGCCACCGACAACCGCCTGCTTGTCCCGGCTCAGTCAACGCTTTGGCCAGTTTCGACGCGGGAACGTGGCGACAGGGACATCTGGGCGCCGGCCCAGGCAATCAGTGCAATCTTGCTACCCTTTCCATCATATTTTCAGGCATCAAGGGACCCCTGCAGCAGGTTTCTTCGTGAAGAAGTCACTCATCTTCTTCATCCCTGACACATTGACCTTCTTTAGCTCGCGCACTCCCTTTGATTCTCCCAGCTTCTTTTTCCTCTCTTCTTCTTCCTGCTTCCGCTTCTTCTCCACTCTCATCTCCAGCGCTTCATCATCTTCCAATTCACGCTTTCGGCTGAAATCCGTAATCGATCTTGAAGCTAGCGCCTCGGCTTTCATACTGTCCAAGTGTCTGAGATGATCTTCCAAAGGAGTAAAGTCAATGAGCGGATCCCGTGACTTGATTCGAGCTCTTAGGCGCTCAGAAATTGGCTCTGGTAGGTATGAAGCAAGCATGAAGTCCAAAACGACGCGCTGTTTCTGGAGCTCGAACAGCTCCTTCGACGTTGGCTCACATATAGTAGTGCTAATCGAGCTCGTCGTCGAGACTTCCGAAAAAATTGTAGATTGTGTTGTACTCGCGGCCGAAGATTGCGAGTCCAACCTATCAAGTGCACGATCATCATCGTCCGTCGCTAACGGCACTTCCTGTGTGACTGTGAGCGTGTCTTCCCGCTTGATGCTGAGTATGGGTGCTTCCAAGGCTCTTTTCACGAATTTTTCCAGCAAGCTATCTGGTAAACCTCTGTCGACAGCGTTCTTCACCTTCTGGGCGATCGTTCGCGCCATCTTTTCTTCGCTAGGCCTGTACATCTCCTCGCCTCCTGCTTCGATAGTGTCGCAAAGTACCGACATAGCGTTCTCCACCATAGATCGTCCGTGTTCTAAAAGATAGCGTAGTCCTTTATCATCTTGTACCCGCTGTTCGAAGAGATCATCGATCGGTTGAAACAATGCTTTCGCCGTAGTTGTCTTCGCCGGTAAAATCAGAGGGATAAGCATGAAGGCGACATCGAATGGTGCTGCCACATAGAACTCCGCACTCTTGCTCACGTAGCCACTACTCAAGCGGCGTACAGCTTGATTCTCATCTTCTGATTTTGTCGAGTCAGGATGAAGGGTTTCCCGATCACACGGAGCGAAAACGAGGCTTCGAGGGTCTGTCGTGGGCGCAGATATTCTGTTGAAGTGGAACAGACCATGTTCAGGACAGAGCAGAAATCTTTGGGAACTGTTGTCGTAGGGATGTCGCAGGATAAGGAAGCGCGCATCGTGGGATATATTCTTCGGGAGGATGAAATGCTTCAAGGGTTGTGGACTGGTGGACGTCGCTGGTGTGGTTGCGGAGGGTTTCTTCGTGGGGCTACTTGAGCTTGAACGAGTTACTATGGCCATATCGGCAAAGTTGGGGTATTATCTCTCCCCCCTATAGTGTGGACAGAGATATGGCACATAATCAGCTCTGGAAAAGGGAATGTTGAATATAGATGGCCTAGCCAGGCACGCCAGGAGATCCCCCTCTATCACGCCTGGTGGATAATTCGTACCGCGTCACCAGGCGCGTCTTCGGCAGCCAATCGGAGTACATATTCACGCCGCACTCCTAAATGTGTCCTGCGTGCATGTGTGCCTCCCTTGTACCTGATACTCTTTTAAAACAGGCGGTCGGTGCTCGGCGCTTTGTGTAATGTCAGATTCCATGGCCTTGTCAAGTGTACTGATGTTTGGAGACACCCAAATTCGAAGCTATCCAGACTTTGCCATTGGTCCTCTCGTCAATGTACACAAACCCAGAGCCTCAACGCCTATTGTCCGCCTTCGATATCGCTTACGTTCGCCCATAAAATGACCTCAGACATCGCTTGGCCTCCTGTATCGCCTCACGCTGCGCTCATGAGCTCTCCAAGCGGCCGGAAGAAGTATGATACTTACAAAAGCGGCACATCCCCGATGAAACGGTCAGCAACCACCCCTAGCCTCGTGGACAGACTGCGAGCGGCACGCACGAACAACGACTTCAGGTCTGAAAGTGGAAGCGCAGAGGACGAGGAACAAGATGAAGATGAGGAGACACTACGGCTCCAGTTAGCTGCGATTGAAGCGAAGTTGAAGTTGAAGAAATTACAACAGAGCAAAGCCAGGGCAGCAACTCCTGCCAGAGACCTGGACCGCCCGGAGTCTGCGCATCAACCATCTGCTTCACAAGTTGAGGTGAAAGCTTCTCCAAGCAAACGAATCCAAGCGCCGCCGGCAAAGTCGCCCACCAGAGTTCTCCTAGGGATCGACAAGGGTGTCCGGGGCGCGGACGTGTCGCTACGCAGAGCCAATACTACCAACAATGGTCATCGCTCGATGAGAACGAACAGTTCACTTCCTGGCAATGACAGACCACACTCCCGATCTTCGGCGTTCAACTCGGCGAGATCAGCTACCTCGTCCAGGTCTACCTTGCAGAGCGAGCCCAGAAAGACATTCAGCGAGCGAATGACAGAAGTACGCCAGCGGGAGACGACCATTGAACAACGTCGCGCTGCAATAATCCAAAATCGCAGTAGAGGATTTGCCCTCGATCAAACAGAAATCGACCAGTACAGATCGGCCGCAGAGGAGAGACGCAAGCAAGAAGCTTCGAAGTCACCTGCCAGACAATATTTCGAATACAGTCGTAATGAAGTCCTCCAGGCCACTTCGGAAGCAAATGCTGGCAGTCGGCAACTTAAGAAGAGCCGAACCATGCCAAATCTCAGAACATCACCCTCTAGGGACAATACACAGCCCGATATCCACACGGGAGACGCTGCTCTTTACGAGGGCTTCTCAGGACTACACTTGTCATCACGAATCCTGCCGCACTCGTTCCTGAAACGCACCCTTCCCACCGAACAGTATACCATCCTACGTGTCCCGGACCTTCTCAAGGTCGTCAAGTCTCCAGCATATGAGTTGCCAGAGTCTATATGTGACTTTGTTGTTTTTGCGGTGATTGCTTCCAAATCGTCCCCCATGGACCACAAGACCCCTAATTCCGACAGTGGCACGGTTGGGACCAAGGACTGGGAACGCCAGTGGGAAGACGGCTCGCGCAATCACCGCCGCTTCATGGCTTTGACTCTCACCGATTTGCAGTGGACCATTGACTTGTACCTATTCAGCACTGCTCTCCCTCGCTACCACCGGCTCACACCTGGTACTGTCGTGGCAATCCTCAACCCGTGTATTCTCCCACCTAAACCAGGAAAAGCTGACACGGTTGCATTTTCTCTATCCCTGGCCGATGATTCTGATACCATCTTGGAAATTGGCACAGCTCGAGACCTGGGATATTGCAAAACTCTTAAAAAGGACGGGAAAGAATGTGGAAGCTGGGTAAACGCAGCGAAGACAGAGATATGCGAATGGCATCTCAACGCGGAAATCAGTAGGACGAAAGCGAAAAGAATGGGTGTCAACACTGGCACGAATGGTTTCGGGGAGTGGAAGAATCGACCCAAGAGTCGGGATGAAAATAGCGGGAAAGGAGCCTCGCTAAAACGCGACGGAAGACGATATGACAGAATGACAGAAAGTCACTACTACGTCGCAAGCACGGGACCCAAAGGTAGCGGGCATACTCATCGCGCAGGCTTTGGCCCACATCTTGTGGACAACGACGATCCCTTTTTGCCCGGTCAAGACGGTCAACTTTCCCGGCCCAGTGATCGCGACAGCCGCGTGAGGAAGCGCCTCGCTGCGCAAGCGAAAGAACGCGAGATCGCGGAGAAACTCGGTTCGAGAGAGCACGGCGGGTTTGGTTTCGAGAGTGCCGGTGCAGAGTACATGCGGCAGAAGGCGAGGGCGAGGTACGACGATCCAACGAGAGAAAAGCGGGATACAAAGACGCCGGCCGTGGGCGAGACGGATACCCGGCGCTCAGGTCCCATTTCAGGAAGTATCTTGACAAGCACGAGCACCACGACAAATGAAAACAGGAAGCGCACCGCCGCAGATGTGCGTCTCTCGCCCGTCAAGAAAACGCGCTTCGTCACCGAAAAGGGCATTCGAGAGGCAGGCAGAGATTCTCTGGGGGCCGTGGGTGGTCAAAGCTCTGGTATCGGCGTTGGCATCGAGAGTGAAAGCGAGGATGAATTGGAAATCGTTTGAGCCGTCGCTTGCGTCTCGGTTGACATGTTTGCCTCCATCGTGGACCGGGATTGGACCAATTAAGCGTTTATGAATAGAGACCTCCGTCTCAATGATGTTGTATGAAATCTAGTCTAGCAGAGAAAAACACTCCGTGAATGAAAGAAACACAGGGCGCTCTTTCTCCTTTGCCTACCGTTGTAATGAACACTTAGGAAGCCCGGCCATTATCTCGGTCTTGTCATTGAAAAAACATTTCGTCTTGACTCCTGCTCGCCTTGCAATGATGTTCCCAACAAGAATTTCTCCGCCCGCCGTACAATAAAAGACTTGCCAGACATTCGCCGCTAGCCAGGGACCACTTCAATCAAAGAGTCCAATCATCCTCCTCCTTTTCTTCAGGGGTCGGGCTGGATTCGGAAACCTGGTCGCCTGCTAGAAAGCCGCAGCCGCCAGTCAGCTCTCGGCTAAAAAGGAGATGGAATGGAGAGTGACTCACTGGATATTCCGACTGTTCTCAAGCGTCTCAAGGTGGTCATGGTATCCCCAAGCACTTTCAACTTCTTGTTGAGCTCTTCCCGTTCGGCTTGCGACTCTGGAGATTCGCCCGCGATCCTGGTGACCATAGCATCATCTAGTTGGAAGACCATTTCTGGCTTGAAGGTTTCTGGGAGTTCATTGAGAAGACATTGTTCCACGGCATACACCCCGAAGGAGTCGATGATAGACTTCAGCGCAACCTTTCAATGTCAATCGTGTGGACAGCGTCAAAAATCGATAGCCAACTCACCTTGTAGTAAGCCTCCATGGCATCCGTCGCGTCAATGCATGCAAATCTAGACATATCCGACTCTGTATCTTGGAGTAGAGCTGTTAGAAGGGCTCCTGTGTCTGTGGCAAAGTGAAACATTCTCTCTTCCGAGTTGTCCGAAGTAGGGTCTAGGCCTCCGCCAAAAAATGCGCGGATTTTCTCTGCCAGGCCTTCTCGCTCTGCATCGCGCCGCTTCTTCTGCAGATTTTCGGTGAAGTAGTGATTGTATGTGATAGCATGGCCCTTCATGTGTGGTTTGAGCACCTCCTCGGTCTTTTTGTGCAGCTTAGTGACAATGGCCTCTAGGTTGGGTCGGATGAGAAATCTCATAATGCCGTCCCCAGTGACAGAATCAGAGATATGCCCCACCACAAGTTCGACTGTCGTTCTTGCTGCGGTGGCCAGTTTTTCCTCCGTCTTGTGGAGCAGATGTTGCCACGGTCTGCATTGATCAAAGAACAACTCGTCCACAATAGAGGGGTTGAAGAGGCCAGGGAGTTCACGACCTCGGTTACGACGCATACGCGCCTCAACAGAATCGAGATACGACTTGCGAGAGATTAGTTGTGGACCGAATTTTCTCTCTGACTGTGCATCTATTGCTTTGTCGACAATCTCTTGGGCATGACCTTCTGCGCGCATTCTCGTAGCAAAGGTAGTTAGCGTGTGTTGAACAACAGCTCGCAGACGTTTGTTGTAGCCCTTGTCGGTATCTGCGCTTCCAAAAAATGGATCCTCGTATGTACCACGGACGGAAGACTTGGTGAGATCAACAAACTGCTGACTTGCGTGGAAAAGGTAAGTGCGTTGTTCAAGGAGTGACCCCCGCGGAACACCGAGAGCCGCCAACTTGCCCTTGCAGAGCGTCAATTCGCGCTCGACATCTCGTACCAGGGAAGGAAGTTCTGTTAGAATTTGACCGAGCAAAACACGACTGAGTCGGGGGCGCAGGTTATCAATTCCAAGTTGGCTGCTGGGCAGCGCCGAGGACCACACACGGGATTGAAAAAACTCTTTCTCGGAAGCATCTCGCGCGGCAGAAGTTGTGTCTTTGGTATCGTAGTCGCGGTTTTTGAGAACATGCCATCCCAGTTTGAAGTAGACATCCTCGTTCTTCGCCAGTTCTACAAAGGCAGCCTCGCTGTCAGATCCAGCAAATAGCAGGTCTGGCTTGGTGATAATGCCCAGGGTCCGCTGGCCTCTGGGGTCAATTTCGCGCGCGAGCTTGGTGATGATTTGATTTGCCAGGTCGTTTTTGGCTGACACGACTGCTAATATGATGCTTCTCTTACTCTTCATGTATGACTTGACGAGAGATTGTACCAGTTCGGCATCATTGTCTGACTGAGAACGATTGCCCGCCCAGAAGATGCCGGGGAGATCAACAAGGGTCAAGTTTGGCTGGCGTGGACCACAAAGCTCGACTCTCAGGATGTCTGTGGAAAAGACGGTGTTGTCGTTGTCCAATCCCATTGCTTTCTCGGCGGATTTGACAATGTCTGCAAAGTCGGCGACGGAGGTCGATGGAGGTATGAAGTTCGAGAGGCGTTCGGCATCCTGCTCCGTACGGTCGGCATGGGGGATGATAGTGACCACAACTTTGGGAGCAGGACCACGTCTTAGGATAAGTTCAGTCGCGAATCGGGTACAGAGGTTGTCTTTGGTAGGAAAGCGGAGGCCCGAAATGGCTTCTAGGACGCTTGATTTGCCGGAGCTTTGATCACCGCAGACAACAACCTGGGGCAGATCAACATAACGACTGATGCCTTGGAACCGCAGAGTGTCGATGAGGTTTAGAATTTCCTCGTGCTCGGCGGTCTGAAGGCCAATTTGTGTCATCTTGAGTCCGTCGTCGTTGGTGGTGATAGCAGGTTGTAGTCAAGAGCAGGAGTTGTTGAGGATGAAGATGGAACGTCTTTTATAAAGGAACCAGGTCTTCCCCTAAGATGCTGCGCGTGATTATTTGCTCGTCCTGAATGTGGAGGTGAGGCAGAGCTGGCAAGAGGGTCCACCAGGAGCAAAGGCGCAGCGTGCTCTTTGTCCATGGCCTTCACCCGCGGTTTTGGCTAGTGTGACCTGACGGCTGCCTGCATTGTAGATGTCAGTGGCTGACCTGACAGGGAGGGATTGGGTTAAGAGCACTGCCGTGCTTTGTCCCGTCCTCCGGCCGATAGTGTTTCAGGTTCTCTGATCAGGCTTCTACCAAGCGAGGAATACATTAATCCGGGGTGGCTGGAAGCACAAGAGTGCGAGGAGATATGCATGATGGAAGGATTTTTGCTGTCTACGCAGTATTGATGTAACATTGAAGTATAATGGTGAGGGGATAGAAAGGCATTGCTATGTCAGTGAAGGGGAGGTCAATCGATTGCAAGGCGGCGAAGGGGGGAATTCAGCCTTGGCGGCTGCCCGGTCAGCCTTGCCATACAAAGACAAGCGCTTCGAGGGTCGGTCGAAGGTCGAGACAAAATCTGCAATGTCAAGAAATAGGAAATTCGAGGTCGGAATCTCGACAGGCGTACTTTCCATTTTCAATGACTGAGGCTGCCGCGTTTGACTACTTTTCGATTATTTTCATCCTGTACCTGTCCTTCGGCCAGTATTGGCTTGCGCTACCTCGTCGACATGCCGCCGCAGCAAGACGAGCAAACAAACGAGACAGAAGTCGGATGCAAATGGGAAAACCGATGCAAGAGCTCGAGGAAGAAGATAATAATATGCTGACACACGTGGAATGGGATCATTTGAGAAAAGAATTCGCTGAATATCTTGAAAATGAGATACCTGCCATCGAAGCAATCGTTGCTCAACATCTGAACTTGAGATCACACTAGATGTGCAGAGTTGCCGAGAGATCCCAGTGGCTAGATAAGGGGACATTTAACCTCTGCGTCCCCGTTCTCATCAGCAACTGGCGTGCGCGACGGGTACTGATTAGGTGCCCTTTTCCTCACCGACTGGGTGGTCTACACTCGACTGCACTGATGGACGAAAAGCTCCGTTGTGAGGCCGCTTCATTTGCTCACCTGTCTCGGCATCACCCTCGCGTTCCCATTCCACATCTATGGGGATTTGGACTCCCAGGCGCCCTACATGTGAGTAAGTACTCTTTTCGATTATCGATCGACTCACAGATGATAGTTCTCGGCTCTGGAGGACGCGCCCTGGTACCAGCGAGCGTTAACATCTCTGAAATATTGCTGGTCGTGGATCGTTCGAAAACCATATTTCCGGCCATTCGTTCCCTGTCAAAGTCATTTCTCATTGAAGTGCGGCTATCTGTTGATGGAGTTCTTCGAGGAAGAGCGAGGGCGAATGCTCTCTGCGGTAGAACGTCCCACCGCAGAACATCGGAGAACACTTTTCCGGAGTTTGCGAGGGATACTTCTCAACTTGTCGCGCCCGCTAGACAGGATCGGCTCCTTTACAGTTCACGACTCTGGAGAAGTGAGTCTTAGCAATCGACCGTTGACAAGGGAATTAGCTATACTCGAAAATGAAGGTGTCCAGACGCAAATCCCCCGAGACTACTGTTACTCGTCTACCGACTCGTACCTCCTTGATCTCCTAAACTGCCACAATCAGCGGTTAGTACATCAACCAAATGCGGCCCGCAGTAAGCTCGACTTGGAAGGTCAGATGGCTACCATTGTCGCTCTACAGGCACTATACCCGAGATTCAGGAATATGCCATTACAGCGAAAGCCGCCTATCTTTCAATTCACGGATTTGCACGAAAGTAATTTCTTTGTGGACAAAAAATATAACATCACAGGTATTGTGGACATTGAGTGGAGCTGTGTTTTGCCCAGGGAAATGCAACATCCACCTTTCTGGCTCTCTGGACACGAGCTCGATGATCTTGATGGAGAAGGGACAAGAGAAAATGAACAGGAGTTCGAGAGGGCCTGTGAAGAATTCCTTCAGATCCTCGAAGAAGACAATGAGGGGGAGAAATTCTCAATTCGTCCTCTTGACTATGCTCAAGCAATGAGAGATTCTCTTCAGAGAAAACAGCACTGGTACTTGACCGCAGTAAAAATCCCGCGGATCGCGTACACCTTATTCATCAACAAAATACAACCCCTTTTTGCGCTTGCTCACTCCGAAGAGGAAGCCGGCATATTCCAGGACGTTGTGGCCAGATACTGGAGAGTTGACACTATAGGATTTGTCGAGCAAAAACGCCGTGACTGGAGCGACTATCTCAGCCAATTACGATCCATGCAAGGCCCATCAATAAGCATACCAGTCTAAGTCCTTTTCTCTATTTCTTAGATTCGGCCTCCTTGTTGCGCTCGGCCTTGTTCGCTGCGCGTTTCTTCCTCGCCTCGGATGTTCTGAATAGAAGTTGTTGTATCCCAGGGGGTAGGGGCTTATTTTCAATCATTTTGCATCTGCTCAATGTCGAGATTCCGGTCGTGAAACATAGGTTTTCACTGTGAAATTGAAAGGACCAGTTCGTCCAAAGAAAGTCATTCACTTTGATTTTGCGTATATATGTGTATAAGTCGTGTCAAGCTCGACCTGTCTAGCAGACAGTCTTCCAGATCTTCTTCCACCATGGCCACGTGGTTTGAATCCTGCGCTCCTCTTCCAGTATCTCCTTGAGGTTGTGGACTTCTCTCCTCCCGCTTGTAATGTCAATCTCGCTGATCTTTCGGATCTTGGTCCTCTTTATTAGCTTATAGCCAATGAACATGGCGAGGACGATAGGTGCTGCAAGGTAGACTTCAAAGAAATACTCCACCAACTCGGAGGCAGACATGTCAGCATAGCCAACGGGTGCAAAGCCTGTCCAGAACTGCGCCACAAGAATCAGGATGTTCATGACCAGTCCTATCCATGAGCCATACACAGTAGCCTGTGATTTGAAGGCGAGTTCGTCCAAACTACGGCCAGCAAGCCGCCAGGCACTGCGGAAGCGGATGTGGCATAGGCAGATGGTGCCCCTTAGATAGACAGGTCAGCGAGAGCGCAGGGTTTTTGGGGAGTTCAGCACTGCTTACCAGGTGAAGATTGAAGCCAGGCCGCTAATAGCAATCATCCAATTGAAAGCCTGGGTTGTGGTGTCCGGACCAGCCGCGACAATGTAGCAGAGGAACCCGATGAGGGAGGAGACAATAATAGCAACCAACGGACGGCCTTCACGGTCAACGTAGCCCAGGATCTTGGGGGCCTGTCCCATATCTGCGAGTGCAGCTAGAGTACGGCTGGAGCCATAAACGGAGGAGTTTCCCACAGACAGGACTGCAATGAGGATGACCACATTCATAATGGAAGGCACCGCATCGATCCCGGCGTTGCGGACGGCAATGACAAACGGAGAGGCGTTGGCGTCAGATGAGGAGCTGCCGTTCAGAAGTTGTGGATCATTGTAGGGGACGAGGACGCCCACAATGGTAAGAGACACCATGTAAAACAGGGCGATTCGCCAGAAGACTTGCTTCACGGCCGTGGGTAATGCGATGCGAGGGTTCTCGGTCTCTGCAGCAGCTAGGCCTACCAGCTCGGTTCCGCTGAAAGAGAATGCGGCAGTGACAAACACAGAGCACAAGCCCTTGAATCCGTGGTTCTAAGAGTAAATCAGTATCCAGGAAAGGTATGGGAAACGGTGCTTGGCTTACAAAAGCGCCTGGATCATACCAGTAGTGGGTGCCGATATAGCCTCGAGAATCGCCTGGGACACCACCAGTATTGATGATGATACCGAGGATGATAAAGCCGATGACGGCGACGACTTTGATGATCGAGAAAATGAATTCGGCTTCGCCATAGCCTCTGACACCGAAGAAGTTGATGAGAACAATGGCTACCAAGAATATGGTCACCCAAGCCGCCCCATTGACGTCCCGAGTGCCAGGCCAAAATTCAAGTGTAAGAGACGCGGCGACGATTTCAAGCGGAAGTGTCACAAGCCACTGGAGCGCATAGCTGGAGAATGAGTCAGACTCAGCAGGACAAGGGATCAACAGTGATACTCACTTCCAGCCCATTGCAAAGCCCCAGGCCTCGTCCACGAATCGACTGGCGTAAACAGAGAATGCTCCAGCAACCGGATACTGCACCGCAAGTTCACCCAAAGCATGGGTCGTGCAGTACAACGTGATTCCTATCAGACCATACGCGATGATCAATGATGCAGGACCTCCGCTGGCCAGTGCGGAACCAGAGCCTACAAAAAGGCCAGTCCCGATCGAGCCCCCAATCGCGATCATCTGAAGATGGCGTCCCTTCAACTTCATTGCCAAAGCAGGCTCGGCGGGAGGCTGGTCTGCGAGCACCCTGCCATTTGCATCAATGGCTTGTGTCGTGACCCGAGCATTGGGGTTGCGTTTAAACCCATCCACGAACCGACCAAACGCGGTTGAGGCTCGAGGAAATTCAACCTTTCCTTGGGAGAAGTCGGAGCTGCCACTGGGGCTTGCCGACATTGCTTCAACGTCCTTCTCCATTGTAGCTTGTTATTGTGGGAGTGATGACAAGGGGGTAATCTCCTGACGGGGAAGGGTTGATGGCTAGAGCTGAGGGGGGATTCATATTAAGATATAGACCAAAGGGTCGGCAGCACGCGTCGATCGTCGGCAATATGCGATGGCATCTGATAGCAGGCAACGAATGGAAAACATTTACAGAACATAACCGAAGCGGAGAAAGTGAAAATTTTGTGGATGACAAAATGTCGCATATTGAAAGTATTGGGGCAAGGCTACCTTATCACTTGGCTGAAATGCAAATCCAGATGTCACTGTCCCACTTTCCAATGGCAAAATGGTTGATGGTACCAATGACACACTGTATACGATCAACAGTGTCCTCCATTGACCACTGAGTGCTCGGATTTTACAGGAGGATGATCGGTAGAGTGGAGCTGGGGATCGTTTACTGAAGGGCGTGAGGTTACAACGAGATCACGGCACCCCGTGTGGACATACCGAGGAGACAATGGGAGCTGGGTAGACCAATTTAGAAAGGGGGCAAAAATAGACACGGTGCTTTGCAGCAGACACGGGCTCTCCATGTATCGGTTGTGCCTTAAATGGTGGTATGCGATGCGAGAATAGACGTTGTTGAAGGAGAAAACTTCTTCGATAGTGCCAGGCTGCGTGGTGGCGGCAACGCGTGGCTGCGTCAGCCAAGCCAAAGTTTTTCCGAGAGTTCGGAGCAATGTCGGGAACTGGAAAAACTCTGTTCCGGGACAACGGAAAAATTCCCTCGAGCCTTGCACGCGGCTGAGCAAATGTGGACAAGATTTGGTTATGTGAGGAATGTCCTCAATTCAAGGCTGGTTCCAGCATACGCCTGGATCGATACTACCAAGTATCGTGAAGGCAGGTGAAAGGACGATGTACACCATTATGGTAGAAGGAAATTGGGTAATGATTATGGAAAGGACTATCGAAGGGCTTCAGGATTGCTGCCAATGCTAGGTCCGTGTATTCTAGCATCGCACAATTCTCCCTCCACCACAATCTAACTTGGCAACAAACCCGTATTATCAAACATCTTCAGCTGCTCTGGATGGAAGTGTAGTGCTCTCCAAAGCACGCGAGCTCCTCACAAGCAAAAAGGCACTGTACCTCGTACCGAGTACATATTATGCAACCATTTCAACTTTGTAGCGAATCCAGGCGGATGTGTTCCAATTGGAAAAGCTGGCGTGCGAGATATCCTAGCCACATCGTCTGTCCCCCCGCAGATCGAGTGTCATCTATATGTATTCTTTCATATGTACTCGGTAATGAGATCGCCATCCTTCTGCGCGGACCAAATAGGGACTATTCTGGAGGTCGGGCCAATGGAAGAGCTTGGTAATAGGCGAAACCACGGCGTTCGAAAGACCAGGTCAGCGGTGGCTGTCAAAGGTAGACTGAGTCTTTCATTCGCCGTTCTTTGATTGGTGTATTGAATAATAAAACAGAAAATGATGGTTAATGGGTGGTCGGCGCAGGCGGCGGCGTGGGGAGGAAAAGAGTTGATGGTAAATAGTGAAGCAGTGCAGACTGTGACACAGTAGTGACTTGTCCCGTGCGAGAGACGCTAGATAGTCACCTAGTACTTACCTAGGCAGTAGGAGTAAGAGTTACGAACAACTTGTGCCGAGTAGTATGATACCTAGCGAGCTAGGTACCACTGCATTTTCCCGCTGTACGAGGTGACTAGCGAGGCTACGTACGAGATACTTGGTGCCTATGTGCTCAGTGTTCGTACATATTGATGAGGAACAGCATCGAATCTAGGATACTTGCTTTGGGATGTTTGGTGACTACTGAAGTCTACGAGGTACAGTACACAAGATACAGCTCCAGAAAGTACCTACCGTGGGTGCCTGGTAACGAGCGAGGTTGGGGTTGAGAAAAGTGTGTTGATCGACAAGTTCATTTCGCTGATCATATTTCGTTTGAGGATGATGGGCACTCCACCTGCCCTCTAGCATCGTCGTCATCCTTTTTCTCACCTGTCCGCCATGGCCACCATAGCACCATGGTAATTTCTTCTGAGACTCGGTAAGCGAGAGCCCTCGAGTCCTTCACAGAGTTCATTCTGCGCCTTTTAGCTGCAGGTCCCGACCGAGGGGATGGCCCTTGACGTATCCGCGCCTATCAAGGCCCTTCGGATGCAGCTGAGATTGGCCCGCCTTCACCCGTCACCCAGCCCGTAATGAGCCTGATTAGCTAGCAACCGCACAGACCTCAACTAGCTAGCTCCTCCGTTCTCGCGTGGCAGCTGAACCTTCAGCACCTTTAACTCCCCCCCGGGCTTCAGAACGGGCTGGACAACTGTGACTTTGTGGCCTGGAAGGCACCCGCAGGTGACCACCGGCGACCAACCAAAGCCGCCGCCTTCCTCTGCTTTTCCCTCTTTCGCTGTTTTTCATGCCTCTCTTTCCACACCTGCGCCCTCCTCCACTAAACACTACTCAACCAGTACCACTACCAACGTCCGCTCCCTCGACTTCCCTTCCCACTCTCTTGACTGACCTTTGCAAATTGTCATTCCCTTCTCGCGAATCGTCGTTCCGTCCCTTCTCTTACGTCTTATGCCCCAGTACCTTCTGAATCTCGGCCAAAGGAGCGGCGGAACCATATCCACTTCCTATACAATCGAGCCTGTGTCGCGTCGCAGATGAGTCCTAATTCCCAACCACGAGGCCACTGATTTGCCGAGCCGGCCAACTGTGCGTGAAAATACCATCACACAATACTTAGCAAAATTGTCCTTCCGGCAGTCGCTATCGATGCCATGAATTCGTTGCTGGTTGCTGGCATTCACAAACTTGTGCTTGGGGTGGCTTGCGCATGACCATGAACCTCGATATTCCACTTCGCCTTCCTCGCTGATGCAATGGCCGCCGCCATGGTTGCCTCCGAATCCTCCCTCAGCAGCCGTGTTTCCTTGATCTCCCTCGACCCGGCGGTTGCTAGTCACATTACTGGCACTACCAGGACTACCACCGTCCCTTCTGCTTCGCAGTATGGGTCGAGTCCGAGAAAAAGTACCAAAACGCCTGACACCGACGTCTCCCGCACCCACAATCGAAACAATTCTGCTCCCAGTATTTCAGACAGGAAGGCACCGGCATCGCTCAGGCGCGTCAAGGATAGTACAGAGGTCTTGAGACAGCGCTCAACGAAATCATCTAAAAAGCCCAAGCAGTCGCTGGAGACGGTCCCAGACAATGTCCATGGTCGCAACTTCACTGTTGGCAATGTAGGGACTGGTGGGATCCTCTACCTGACGCCATCAACGCATCAAACAAGCAATGCATCTCCACACTCTGTTGCCTCACCAGTACATTCACCCTCAACAGCACCAGCTATTCTGAGCAATGGCGAACAACGATCCCTGGTGAATGAAAAGGTCTCAACCACCCGATCAGTAACCTCTTCTCATTCGCAGCAGACAAACTCTTCAAAACGGTCTGTTAGACGTTCACCTAGGCCCAGGGTCTTCTCGAGCCACGGTCGGTCACAGTCCTTCTCTACCATTGAAGAACATCGCCAATCATTGCTGGCTCCACAGTCGCGGACACTGAGGATCGTTATCAATCGCCCCGAGACCGCAAGACCAAAGACATCACAAGAATCCACTGAAGAAATGGCTCTAGAATTTCATCCCACCCTAGAAGTTCCTATTCCACATTATCGTATCGGTACATTCCGCCTCAGTTCCAATGGAACTCCAATGCTGAGGGGGTCCTCATTCACCAGGGGATCTATCACTCCCTCGGATGTCACGCCTACTCAAGCTATTATGCAGGCAGAGGGATTCTTTGCAGCACCCCCGCCTGCTAGCATCAAAGCCTTCGCAAAACTGGAAGCAACAGAGATGAGCGGCGGAGAGGAGGCGGCGGCCGCACAACCTCCCATGCCATTACTCGCCAAGGCATCATCTACCTCGACGTCCAGTGTGTCCAGCATCATCCAACCACAAGTTTTTGACCGGTTGACCGAAATGTATGATGACCCCTCAGTTGTCCGTTATTGCCAGAACGTGAGGGAAATCACCGCGGCCACACCTGCTCGGATCATCGCCCAGATATCGTCAGACTCTTTCATGGACTATGAGCTGGTCTCCGATTTTTTCCTGACGTTTCGGTCTTATATGTCGACTTATCAAGTGCTTGATCTTCTCCTTGCGAGGTTAAGGTGGGCCATAGGTCGCTTAGAAGACGACGGCAGGATCATCCGCGTACGCACGTTTGCCGCCCTTCGTCATTGGATCCTGAATTATTTCATGGATGACTTTTTTGTTGATCACCGCCTTCGGGTACGTTTTTGTAACGAGGTCAACAGACTGTACAACGACGTCAGGGCAAATCCAGCGAATGGGTTCAGCGACCTCAAACTCCTGCGCGACTTGAAGCGTTGCTGGAATGGGCGATGCTCGTTATGCTGGGGTGCTGAGAATTTCGATCTGGACGGTGAACAGGAAGAAGACATTCAGCCCGGGGGAGTGGATGAGACTGACCGTACCCCAAGGCAAGGGACCGTCGCTCATCCTGCTCAAGCACAGCATGCACCCTCTCAGACCGCAGTCTCACGAAAGCCGCAACAAAGTTGGTTCGAAGCAGATACTGCCGTTAGGCCAAGCCATGATCGCCAAACATCGGGAAATTCTGGTCTACTGAGCGATGGCAGCGTGCAAGCAACCTCTTGTTTTGTTCCCAAGCACCTTCTACGCCCTAGCGGTAGTGGCAGTGAAAGTCACTCGAAAGCTCCTCATCCGGTCTCTGTTCAATTAAGGCGAAAGAACGCACCCGCGAACTTGCACGTAGTCACTCAACTCCTGCCAGCTCAAAAGGTCATTGGCCACAAGAGAGGAGCAAGCTCAATCGATAGCAACAGAGAGCCAACCCCTCGCAAAATGCAAGCCGAACCTCCCGTGCAGGTCGTGGAAGATGGAAGCATTATTCGAGGGCTTCTTTACAGCCCAAGCACTCCTTTCGTTCAGATTGTGTCTTCGCAGTCCACGCAATCTCTCGACAGACAAGAAATGGGGGGCCCCAGAGGACCTAGAAAGGAGCATGGTACACACTCTGCGGCTCAACCTGTTGCAAGGAATATCTTTGGTTCGTTACGAAAGGTTCTCGGGAGTAAACATGGTCATATCGATATGACCCTGATCACAGTTGCTCCGTCTGCCCAAGATGGTCCGGTACGTGGTCAAACGGCACATTTGCCTCTTAATGTTTCTAAATCTCATGACGAGCTACGAAACAAGCTTGGAACGGTTGTTCCTAGAAAGGGCGAAATGCGTATCGATCTTCTCTCGGCCGCGGCATGTCAGAACTACGAGACAAGATTTCCTTCGAAACATCGAATCAGTTACGCCCCATTCTTTGCCATTAATCGTCCTCTTCAGCCAGCCGCTTCAGCTGAGGATGAACAGGAGCCACAGCGAATGCCAAGTCATGCCACTCGTCAAAGTGGCTCAATTTTAATAGTTGACGATACGCGTCCAGATTTCCCTTCGATGTCTGGCGCGCTTCCAGTCCCAGACATCGACTTTGATTACGGGGAGACTGCTCCTTTACCTCTGCTCAGTGTGCCTGCTGCCACACTACTGGATGATCGAAGAGCAAGTCTTGATGGTGTTGCAACACAAAGGAGTTCGAACGTCCTTCCACATGATATAGATCTGCCACCAGCACAAGAACACAGGAGCAGTTTGGAACTGGTCACAAGAGACCTCATCGAACCCGATGCTGTGTTCGATGTCCAGGCTGAGTTCCCGGTTGCGGTTGATACAGCACATTCTCCTACGACGGCCAGCTCCAGAACCGTTCGGGAGGAGATCAAGCCAGTCGATACTTTCGCGGATGCAGATTTTGTCATTGAATCTGAAGAAGCCTCTGTCCCAGAATCCATGCAGAACGGACACATCAATGCGCAACACTCGAATCCCGAGACACGACTCCCGCCGCAAACCCTCAGACGGAGGCCAGGAGGAGACCTGCGTCGAGTGGAAAACGTGCAGGAATTGGATCATACATTTCACCATGCTTCACTGGATACTGCGAGCGTCATCTCTGAATCAACTCATGGATCATTACTTATCATGAAAACGGATACTGTCCAGCGTATCGCTTCGGTAGAGGTCCCGCCACCGAAAAAACCCATATCTCTGATCAATACTCACTCGTCCCAGCACCTTCGGCCTTCCTTCGAGGCTGCTATCGCTGGCTTTTCTGCCATTCCCGATGACGAGGATGGCGGACTCGAAGCAACCCTGATGAAGCTTGAGGGCCGGTACGAGAAGAGATCACCACCAATGGAACAGAATCCGCTGGACACTGCTGCAAGGAGACGATCCCTACCAGAGCTGAGTCGGATGTCTCAGCCAGGAGCTAGTAATTCGGTACCGACCACCGATCATCCGGTGCCAGCTCCTGCTCTCACCAGCGCCATTCGCACGACAGTGGATGAAGTCGCCTCGGAGCAGTCTGGGGACGAACCTCTTACTCCAGAGCCTCTGGTGGTGGAACTGAAGCCGACGTCCTCTCGTCGATCTTCCATCTTCGGCCTTCCCACGGAAAGTGTGGCCGATTCTGACGAGTCTTATGGATCTCTGCCATTATTGAAACGGGAAGCAGGCCATGAGAGCACCGCTGAGGCTCTGCCCATGAAACCAAACGCAGACTTGCCTATGGTTGCACCGGGGTATTTTCCACAAGATCCTCCTCAACTATTCCATCTACCCAAGGGACCTCCACCGAGCGGACTCAAGCACAGGACAAGTATTCCACGACCAGAGACTGCCAACGACAGTGCACGGTCCTTCCTTCTAGATGAAGATGAGAACCTCTCAGACCTTTCTTCAGAGATATCTGTGGACATCATCAATTATTCTGAAGCCGCGGGTCGTTCTATCTCGCCCATGCTTGCCGCCCCTGGAACAGCTATATCTGGGCTGGAGATACCAGCACACCCGTTGACCTATGCCTCGGTGGTGAACTTGCGCATCCCTACTCCACTAGAACGAGCCTCGGATCCCATGCCACAGAGCAAGACAGCGCAAACGACTCAGCGCCAGAACAAAGATCAGCCGACCACCGAGCAAAGAAACATATCATTCACACAGCCATTGGCACGTCTCCCCGCAGGTCCGGCGCATATGCCTTTCATCCTCGCTTGCGACTCGCAAGTTCTTGCGCAACAAATGACACTGATAGAAAAGTCTGCACTGTCCGAAGTCGAATGGTCCGACCTGGTCGAGATGCGGTGGAGCAGCAAGACAGATGACGTTCTAGATTGGGTCGAGTGTGTGTGCAACGGAAACGTGCGAGGCATTGACCTAGTCAGCACGCGGTTTAACCTAGTTGTCAAATGGACCTTGTCCGAAATTGTTCTGACACAGGACATTCATGAAAGAGCACGAGTCATCACCAAATACATCCATGTCGCGGCACACGCTCGCCGACTGCACAACTACGCCACAATGCTGCAACTCACGCTTGCGCTGACCTCGACCGACTGTACGCGACTCGCAAGAACCTGGGAGTTGGTGTCAAGCTCGGACAAGTCGTTGTTGAAACATATGGAAGTACTCGCGCAACCGTTGCGTAATTTCCACGATCTGAGGGTGGAGATGGAATCATCCGATCTCAGCGGCGGCTGCATCCCATTTCTAGGTTGGTCATTTCCTCATCACGACCCATGACGCAGATGCTAACGTGTGCCCCAGGATTGTATATTCGTGACTTGACATATAATGCACAAAAGCCCTCTCATGTTGCAAGTACTCGCGGGAACGAGTCGCTTGTCAACTTTGAACGTTATAGGAGCACGGCTATCATTGTCAAAGGTCTTCTACGCCTAATTGATGCCAGTTCCAGGTACACCTTTGAACCAGTCCAGGGAATCGTTGAGCGGTGTCTCTGGCTGGCCGCTCTCGGCGATGAGCGGATACGCAGCGCAAGCAAGACATTGGAAAACTAATCAATGGACATAAATATTGGATATCAAAAGAATAATGGCTGGGAGGGGGTTTGTTCCGGAGGAGCCGCCACTCAGCTTATACAGGGTTTATTGCCACAATATTGATTTCCAGCAGTTTAGCGATTGGCAGCGTCAAGCTAGCAAGCGTGCCTCTTGTTTATTGAGTTGTCTGAGCCTTTTTGTATTTGAGAAGTCACTCGAGATATTGGATTGCTGGTCAACGAGCAGGATAGTTTGACTCTAGCGTGGTGTTGGAGGGAAGAGGGTTGGTTGAAGTCATGGAAAAGTAGAAAACGACGCGGTGGACCGAAGTCTGAAGCGATTCAGCACTAGGATTGTGTATCACACAATATAATTTGACGACTGGAGAGAGAAATCAAGTCCCCTATCTTGAGCGGGCCTGTACTCGTATCTCAATCGCCAACCACATCCTGACATATCATTGAAATAGTCTGTCGTGTCGTGATGGACGCATGGCGAAAATTCAGGCTTCCACTTCCTCGGCACCGCCAAGTGGCCGTTGGACAAAGTGTGGAATTCATCCTCCTCTCACACCGGCTCAAGAGAGCATAGAGCACGACTTCTCGGTCCATCGGCATGCATCAACCAAGGGGACTTTTGCCATTAACTTTTCTAACTCATGGACTACACGCTCGACGGCAAGATCCTCGTCTTCACTAGCCAACGCTAAGCCATCAAGATCATCCACCTGTCCCGTCAGCGACCGGGAGTAGGGACACTCCTCGAGGCCAGAATGGCCCATGGCTGGGCAGCAAGAGACGGCCAGGCATCGAGGTATCTCTCTTGTACGCTGGGCTATGATACCTACGAAATCTCACAGTTTGATGACTGACTCTAGAGATCAGGGGAAGTGGCCAAATGGTCTCGGTTCCTTTGACTTCACTCCCCTCTTTTGCCGTGGAACAGGAACCTTGATGGCGCCGCCCGTTGGACGACCCTAACTCCGATCCGAGATAATGGTCAATGGGAAGAAAAGGGAGGATAATTACTATTATGAACAGCGCTATTTGAAAAGATTGATCCTTCTTGGTGGGATATGAGTTTATGCCGGTTGTCGATGGCATCATCTTGCTATACCGATGGCATCATTTTTGATATGCAACAACAACCCAATGAGGTGTCTAGAACCACCACACAACTCCGCATCTAGTCGGAGAAGTCCCTTTTGATCCCAGAGAAATGGTAAGCAATGGGGAGCGTTCCGATGTTTCGCTCGAGTACAAAGAGCGTGGCCCGGCCAGATGTACCTTGGGCTTGGGACCGAAGCATTCGTACCAGCTTCTAAGCTTCTCCAAGGCTCTTGGGATACAATGGCAGACAAGCTTTTTGTCTCGGATGACAAGGGAAACGCAAGCATTCCTGTTGTCTCAGAGACCAAAGAGGACAATGGGATCCATGTCGCCCGTCGTGGTGAAGAGATTGCAGAGGACTCTTCCCTTGAGAATGAGATCGTCGGTTTCGATGCTGCGAGGATGAAGGCTCGCACTCTACTGACTGCAGCCGAGGAGAAGAAGCTGATGCGGAGGGTCGATTGGCATCTCATGCCATTGTGCAGTATCATGTTCTTACTCAAGAACATGGACTATCAGAATGTATGAACCAGCTACTTCCACTGTCCACTGACTGGGACTGTCGATATCAGGGACTGATCCAAATTTCACAGGCGGCCAACGCTCGAATCATGAACAAGGGAACCCCGGACAACATTATGACCCAACTGCATATGACCGCCGATGAGTACAACTTTGTCTCGACCATTTACTTTGTGAGTTGGCCCGCTACATTCCCTTACACTTGGTCTACATAAGTCCTCATTGCAACATAGATACCTTACATCATCTTTGAGGCTCCGAGCAACCTATTCATCAAGAAGATGCTTCCTTCACGATGGCAGTCCCGCATCTTGGTAAGGAATATCCCTCTCTCCGAGTTTCTCGCAGTATGTTGATGATGTCGCAGATCTCCTGGGGTATTGCAATCGCATGCCATGCTGCAGTCAAGAACAAGGCTGGACTCTATACAGCCCGTTGGTTCCTCGGCATGTGCGAAGCAGGCATGTTTCCCGGCGTGCTGCTGCAAATGGTGTACTGGTACCGGCCCGACGAGATGTCGATCCGTCTCCTCTACTTTTATGCTCTGGGAAACTTCTCCAATGTCCTCAGTGGCGTGTTGGCATTCGGCTTCGACACCATCTCAGGGAGCCATGGCCTTTCTGGGTGGCAATGGTAAGCTTTGGAACTGCTTCCTCCTCAATGAAAAGGGAAAGGTCGACTCATGGAGATTACTGCTAGGCTGTTCCTCGTCGAAGGGGTCATTACAATTGCGTTCGGTATCTTGCTATTTTTCGTCTTGCCAGACTGTGAGTACAAAGTGATTCTCAGGAGAAAATCGCGCGCTGATCAGTTGTACAGTTCCGAAGCAGGCCAAATGGCTGAGCGAGAAGGAAAAGGCCTTCATCCAAGCCCGCTTGCCCGCCAATGCCCCGCGAGCGGAAGAATTGAATTTCAGCTTCCGCGAAATCGTCACAGCTTTGAAGGACAAGAGGATGTGGTTGTTTACGCTCGTCTGGGCAACGATGACTGTTGGCACGACAGGTCTGGGGTTCTATCAACCGACGGTCATTGCGAACTTGGGATTCACGTAAGTACCAGCAAGCTTGTTGAAACGCCCGGAAAACACTCATCTACGATACTCATTCTCTTTTCTCAACAGGTCAATTGCGAAAAGCCAACTCCTGAATATACCTACGTCCTTCCTCTCGATAACGATCATTGCCGTTTCCGGATACTTCGCAGATAGCGCTTGGTTGCCTCGCCCTACAATCCCACTCGGCTTCCTCGTGTCCATATTAGCATGTTACAGCGTGCTGTACACGTTTCCTAACAACGGTGGCGTCTACGCAGCGACCGTGTTGGCCAACTCGATTGCACAAAGTTGGTACCCCATGATGTGGCCGTGGCGTGTTCAGACCACTTCTCGTGCAACGGGATCTGCGTTCGCCATCGGTTTTGTCAACAGCTACGGCCAGATTGGTGGGGCAATTGGACCACAGATCTTCCAGTCCAAATATGCACCACACTACACTGTGTCATTTGCGGTGGCCATGGGCATCATCGGCGCTTGTATCCTGGTCACCTTGTTTACCTGGTGGGTTACTCGGGAAACGGAACGCCAGACGAGGAGGATCAAGAAATTGCGCGTGAAGGCTGCGAAGAGAGGAGAATCGGTGCTGGACGATGTCGACGCGAACGCAGATATAAAGAGAAAGGAAGAGGTGGGCAATCCGGCTTAGCCCAGAAGCCTACAAGGACCAGCGTGAGAACGCGAGCTACAGACATCGCCTACGGATAAACGGATACATACACCATGCTTGAGAAGCAGTAGAAAATAAAAGATAGAGCAGAACCCAAATACAGCCAGTCAGTCAATCCACCTATATCTGAAGCTGTTTGACCTGTACGTTTCGTTCCAGAGGTCCCCGTATAGATATAATCTCGTCAGTGGGAATTGAAGCAAAAGCTTGTCATCTTGTCGGAGCCAGTGAGAGCTCCGATAACTGCTTCAAGAACCTACAGTACGCTGTGTGCAAAACCTATTTGCGAGGTGCGAGCGAAGACATCGGCGGGAGTGGAAGAAGAGAATGGTGGGTGCCCGAAAAGCTCCGAGCGCCAAGCGATTCCACAAAAAATAGAAGTGTATATATTTCAGATGCCAAATTTCAAGCAAAATGACTGTTATTCGGGCGCATAGCTCAGGGGTAGAGCGCTCGCTTTGCATAACCCTCAACAACCAACACAAAGGGAATAAAATGTGCGAGAGGTCATGGGTTCAAATCCCATTGTGTCCAATCTTGTCAGGTTCTTCAGAACTATAAACTGAATGTATTTTTTGCTTCCTTCAAAAGGGGAGTTCATTCCAACTCACAGCCTTGAATGTTCACCTAGTACGAGGTACAGGCACCAGAACTTAGCTCACTAGGTATCCAGGCTGCCTAGGTGGACTAGAATAGAAAACAGCGCAAACATCGTCACTCTCAGTTTGCCTAGACATTGATCACGTGTGCCTTTCCCTGTCTGGCAGTGTTCGCTAGTCTAGGCTCAAAACTTTATTTTATTTTTGTTTAGCCTGGTATCAATATTCATGCTCACCGGCTGGCATAGAGAGTACTATACCAGTGACTGCTGCCCAGTTCAATCCTTGATTTTCAACATCAGCAGTCATGAACGGCACGAAGCCTGGCCCGTCGGTGGCTGATATGGCCAATATGTCTACCGAAGAGAGGATGGCGGGCATGGAACATTCTGAAGTTCGCTACTTTACGAGGTTGGTACGGCTACCAAAATGACAATGGCGTCAAGTAACCCTAAGCACAGTTACGATCATCATGGAATCCACGAAGAGATGCTGGTACGGAACCAAACCCACCTCCCACCTGTGGTGAATCGCAAGCTGATCACAATCGCAGAAAGATGAAGTCCGGACCCGATCTTACCGAGACGCTATCTACCAAAATCCACACATCTTCAAAGACAAGGTCGTCCTTGATGTCGGCTGCGGCACAGGCATCCTCAGCATGTTTGTGCATCCCCTGACCTGCGGTTGCAGAGACAATAGTTGACTCCGACTAGGTTCGCCGCAAGGGCGGGTGCTCGACATGTCATTGGTGTCGACATGTCTAGCATCATCAACAAGGCCAAACTCATCGTCGAGACCAACGGGCTCTCAAAGAAGATTACTTTACTCCAAGGCAAAATGGAAGAGGTGGAGCTACCTGCACAACATCTGAACAATGGCAAAGTCGACATCATAATATCAGAATGGATGGGCTACTTCCTGCTATACGAGAGCATGCTTGACACGGTCCTTTACGCTCGCGACAAGTATTTGAGGCCCGGCGGCAAAATCTTCCCAGACAAGGCCACGATCTTCATGGCGGGCATTGAGGATGGAGAGTACAAGGAGGACAAGATCGGATGTAAGTGCGGTCAACAAGGTGGTTAGGGCGCAGGCTGACTTTCCATTTCCAGTCTGGGATAATGTCTACGGATTTGATTTCTCCCCTATGAAAGAGAGCGCTCTGAGTGAACCTCTAGTCGACACGGTGGAGTTCAAGGCACTGGTCACGGACCCGTGCCCTGTCTTCACTATTGACCTCAATACGGTCAAACCGGCCGAGCTGGCATTTTCAGAGCCGTTCCAGCTTCGGTGTCAAAGAAATGACTTCATCCATGCTCTTATCGCGTGGTTCGATATCGACTTCACGGCGTGCCACAAGCCCATCAAATTCTCCACGGGGCCTCACACCAAATATACGCACTGGAAACAGACTGTCTTTTATCTCCGACAGGTTCTGACCGTGGAGGAGGGAGAAACGGTACGGGGTTTCCTCTCCAACAAGCCCAACAGCAAGAACCGACGAGATCTCGACATCAAGATCGACTATGAACTCGAGACCTCGGACCCCAGACGATCCGCGCGCGGAACCTGCGAATACCGAATGTAAGGCCTCCCTGTCCCCCGACGTAGCTGCGAATTACTGATCATTCGCAGGTGCTGATCCCATGACAACAATGGGAACGACATCCGTCCTTTGCATGGTTATTCGGCGTGATCATGAGGTCTACATCCGTCCTGGATAACACCTTGGAGGTCCCGTAGCATTCATTGACCTGTGAAGGTGCGATGAGAACAGACACATGGATGAATACCTCGTTTACGACGAAAAAGGTGACCGAGATGGAGGCCCCCCGGAACAAACAAACCCAAGCTCCTCGTTATTTGTCTAAGATACCCCACGAGTTGACGCTGATTTTGATAAACGAAAAAGATTCATTAATAAAGGCACATGACGATAGATGTCGTAGCGACCTCGAGCTGAGATCTCACATCTGACATTCCACGCTGCATTCGATGAAGTGTTCTTGTTTCGATAGAAGTGATTAATTGATTGATTACTCTTCGTGGTGGTGGCCTTTTGCCGGCTAACGTTGTAATCGAGGTATAACGACTTACCTCGGCACGCGGCTCCCCACATCCCAGTCCACGCACCTCGAAGGACCCCCCAAACTTGAAGCTGACTTTGCCCAATGTAATCCTTTCCTCTCCCAAGTCCTCTGTTTGATTTTGGAGCTGCCCAAGGTGCATTTGAAGCCCGTATACTTTTCTTCCTCTCCAAAGAATACCTCAGCGCTCGAATCAGAATGTCAGGTCCTGGTGTTGGCTTCGAATATCCTCCGACCGAGGTGTCATGGTTGAAGAGAGATGTCCTGCTCTTCGCCGTGAGCATTGGCTGCACGGTGGATGAGTTGCACTTCATCTACGTGAGTGCCTGATAGCGAGACGCTTCAAGTACACTGGACACCTCTCACTGACAACCCTTTAGGAACTCCATCCCAATTTCGCCGTGTTTCCCACATACCCGATCATCCTGCGTGAGTCCTGTCCTCGTCCTGGATTGTCCACCGCAGCCCCGAACTCACAGATGCGTTAGCCTTCAAGAAGACCACACAGGAAGTCATCGACTTCTATGCTGTTCAAGCCAGCAATCCCATTCCGGGCATCCCCAAGATGGACCCAAGACGTGCCGTCGATGGCCAGCGCCACATCGAATTTCTCAAGCCTCTGCCACCGACATCCGCGGGCCGAAAATTCGAGCTGCGGTCCAAAGTTATTGGAGTCTACGACAAGGGCAAACCTGGCACGGTGGTCGAGACTGAGCAGACCATCGTAGACAAGGAGAGCGGTGAGGTGTACAGTCGGGTGGTCAGCTCTGGCTTTTTTGTCGGCCAGGGCGGTTGGGGTGGACCCAAGGGCCCGGCGTCCGTCAACTATCCGCCGCCCAAGGGCCGGGAAAACAGTCCCGATGTAGTCAGCGAGAAGCAGCTGACTCCGGAGAGCGCACATCTGTACAGGTAAGCAGCTCCAACCTAGTTTCCAATACCAGCGTCTCTGACACTGAGCGACTGCAGACTCAACGGCGACTATAACCCACTCCATGCGACACCTGAACCTGGTAAGCAGATTGGTTTCGGGGGCGCCATCATGCATGGTTTGTCGACCTGGAACTTTGCGGCACATGCCCTCCTCAAAAACCTTGGTGGAAGTGATCCAGCCAACATTAAGGAATTTGGGGCTCGCTTCGCCGCGCCTGTAAAACCCGGCCAGAAGCTTGTGACGAAGATCTGGAGAACTGGCGACATCAAGGACGGCTGGGAAGAGGTCCGATTCCTCACTGAGGTCAATGGCAAGGTTGTCCTGAGCAACGGTCGGGCGCTGATGAAGGTTGTGGGTGGAAAGAGCAAGCTTTGAGTAGCTGCTGGGAATCAAATACAATCCCGGATAAACATGAAAATCTCTTTCGAAGTTGAAAGATACTCGGTCGCCCGGTAATCAACCCCTTTCCTGTGGATTGTGACGTTTATTCTATTCTCATCTCATTTGCTGCCCCCTCTTTCATCCCATGCAGTTCTTCATGGCCGCGCGCACGCCTTGCGACACGGATAGCTTTGTTCAGAAATACCCCTGCAGGAAGGAGAAATTCTCGGCGCGGTGTCAGACGGCCTCAGGTCCGACACAGTGAAAGTCTGAAAATTTCTTTGATGATCCTCGAGCATCGTTGTCGTTGGGTTCCGCTCCCAGAGTCGGATGAAAACGGCGCCAGACAGAATAACGAAAAGAAGGTCGGCGTTGAGAGAAAAGGCGGAGGGTGCGATGATGGGGCGGATCTGGGGGAATTGCTAAGAGGAGTTGAGTGGCGCCGTCGGCTTTTGAGACGACAAATCAATGGGCGCGGGGCGGCATTCGACTTTTGCGGAGTGGAATTGCTAGACACATCAGGGCAACCACACCTATTTCGACACCCTGCTCAACTCCCTGTCTCCCTGCTCCGTGTCGCGCCGGGTCGGGCTTGTAACGCAGAACGTCAAGGGGATGTTCTTTCGCTCCGACCGGAAGCCTTCCTCGATCGGTTTGCTCCTCTCTTAGCCACTCCTACCTTCCGCCTCAACCAGGTCACTATTGGTGCTGTTCTTGTGCTCGCATGACGACGTGGAGTCTTGGCACCTTGAATGATCGACATCTCAGCTCGCATTCCGCCCTTGGTGCTCCCTCTGTCAATGGAAATGCTGTTACATCAAAGCTGACCTCGCTTCTGCTGATAGGCTGATGCCGCCGCTCATCTCCTGTACCATCCCTTCCGGGGGACTTCCTCCAGAGGAACATGTTCCATCATGTTGCACCCGACCCCCGCAAGTTGACGGTCTTGACCTGCACAACGAGAATCCAACTCCTTGGCGTCCGCTCGATTTTCTCCGTGGATTTGCCAGATCTGGCATGGGGAAGACATCGTCAATGGCGCTGCGAAGAAGGGTTCGAGTGCCAGCAAGGTTTTCTGAAGCAATTCCAAGCCACCACCCAAGCCGTCGGGCGAGGAGGCCAGTTTCTTGGAAGAGGTCTTGGTATATTTAAGATGGACGAACTCGCCCTTCGTCCTTGCCCAGATCGCTCATGCCAGTGTGACCCTGCGGATACGTTTGCCATACTCTCTTGTCCTTCTCAAAACATTACAAAGAAATCTACCGCCAAATCGCAAGCATGGGTGGAGGAGGAGGTAAACCTCTGAACATCTTCCGCCTTGGTAGTTCCCTGTCGGATGAACCCAAGGAAGTTCTAAACTGGAGACTTTGGTTTGCGGTTGTCTCTTTTGGCATTATGGGTGCTGCTAGAGGAATGTGAGTGGCCACCTGTATCATCCCATTATCCAGGAACGCTCGAGCTGACAGTAATGTATAGCGATGAAGGGTTGATCAGCGGTAAGAGACACAACGGGGACGTCACCGCCAGTCGATCTTTACTGACCGTGTCCGACCAGGCACGTTTAACACGGATGATTTCCAGCATCTCTTAGGGTTCGACAAACTTGATGAGGATGACTATGCAAATGTCAAGGGCAATGTCTCCGCAATGGTTCAGATAGGTAGCGTCGGTGGCGCCCTACTGGCCTTTGTTCTCGCCGACCGTATCGGTCGTCTCTGGGCCACTCGACAACTGTGAGCTGTCTCGTTCTTATAGTGCTCAGAAGCTTTTGCGCTGACTACGTCTAGATGTCTCCTTTGGATTCTTGGAATAGTCATCTTCATGACCAACAACGGACGATTGGGCCAGGTGTATGCTGGTCGCTTTATTGCAGGATTAGGAATTGGCCAAACCACCGTCATCGCTCCTGTTTACCTTTCCGAAATCTCACCCCGGGCCGTCCGAGGACTTTGCACTTGCGTCTTCTCAGGCTCGGTGTACATTGGAATCATGGTGAGGACGATAATCCCTCCTCCCGTCAACTCAGCAAAATGACCTTCTACAGCTGGCATACTTCTCGACTTGGGGAAGCAGCCTCCACATGAACCAAAACAAGGAAGCCTCCTGGATGGTGCCGACATCCCTCCACCTCATCTTTGCCGGTCTCATCTTCGTTCTGTCGTGGTTCAACAATGAGTCCCCCAGATTCCTGATCAAGAAGGGCAAGGTAGACCACGCAATAGCCAACCTAGCCAAGATTCGAGGCCTCGCCCCCGACGACGAATACGTCACGGCAGAGATCAACGGTATCAAGAATCAACTGAATGAAGAGCAGGAAGCGACCATGGGCCAAGGCTTTGTTGGCATTCTCCGAGAGATGTTCTGCATGCCTAACAACTTCTATCGCATCTACCTGGGACTTGGAACTCAGTTGCTGGGTCAATGGTCCGGTGCTCAAAGTATCACCATGTACGTATTGGAACCACCCCTTGTCCCTTAGAACATTTATTTCAGATTAATTTGCTTCTTAACGCTGTTGCTGACATTGAGTCGCTGTTTAGATATGCTCCTGACGTATGTTGCCCATTTACGATGGCTGTCTTTCTCCTTTGGAGAAATCAGTGGCAGTTGGAATTCCGCTATATTGATTTGTGCTGATGTATGATTTACAGATGTTTGCGCTCCTCGGCACCAAAGGCGACAATGAAAAGGTAAGTCTGATGCCATCACACTTTTATGCAGCTCAGGACTGACTGGACAATAGCTGTACGCCACAGCCATCTTGTGAGTTCTATCCTCCCCCCAGGTGACACCCTACACCAGTCACTGACTGCGTTTTGATCTGCAGTGGGGTTGTGAAGTTCGTTGCCTCCATTTTCTGTGCCTTGTTCTTGGTCGACGTTATTGGACGAAAGAGATCTTTGTCCATCGGCATTGCCCTACAAGCCATCTCGATGTGCTACATTGCAGCCTTTTTGACAGCTGTGCCCAACATCGACGACGACACTGTCTTCACAGCTTCACAAAAGCATGCTTCAACTGGTGGTATCGTCATGATATACATTTCAGGTGTCGGTTGGGCTCTAGGCTGGAATAGTATCCAGTACCTCTTGAATGCTGAGATCTATCCTCTCAGAATCCGCGCTGTCAGCAGCTCACTCGTAATGTGCTTCCATTTTGGTGAGTCCCGGTTGCTCCTCAGGGTTAGGGTTCGGATGCTAACACGGTCTGCAAACAGTCAACCAATACGGCAACTCGCGCGCTGTGCCAAATATGCTCCTTGATCTTAGCCCCAAGGGAACATTCTGGTTCTTCACCGCGATCACGATCCTGGGCGGGGTGTGGGCATGGTTCTTTATCCCGGAGACGAGCGGCCGCAGTCTCGAAGGCATGGATGCATTGTTCCGCCTTCCCTGGTACAAGATCGGAAGGTATGGACAACGGGAAGCTAATGTCAGTGATCAGTTGGAGCGAGAGAGAGTGTTGGAAGAGAAGGCAGCCGTTGGCGGAAGTGCTGCGCAGGTCGAGGTCGTGCAGCAGGAGAAGGTATAAATGAGGTTCGGAGACGGTACAGCACTATGACACCAAGAATGTCGCTCTGACATGGCTCGGTCTGCAAGACGAGAAGTGTATACTTGCTGGCGTCTTATCTTCCGAGAAGAAATTGGTATTGGAGAAGGGACACTGGTGCGAGTGTTAGGTTCACTGCAGTACAGAAGCAACAGGTAAGGCGCTGTAGAAGACGTGGGAGTGGTAAGTGCGAGGAGTTAGTCGTGTTTCATGATAGACGTTGACGGCTGGCTGCCATGAAGTCATTAGTTCATACAATACAGGAATCCATTGAATCTCACAGGCATTTTGTCGGGTTGTTGTGATGAAGAGAAAGAAGTCTGGGGCCGGTCAGAAGCGCAGCTTTAGCAGAGACACCTCTCTGTCTCCCAGTCACTTTCTCAACTATGCAAATCCTCGTCTGCTCGATATTGGCCCACGAAACCAACTCATTTCATAATTGATATAATACAGCAACTCATCAGACTGTGCAACCCCGCCGTGTCCCGATGTGTGAGGGTCACCAAGCAAACTGTGGACAACCGAGCCCAGAGTCAGCTCAAGCCTCACGGCCCCTCAGTTGCCACACTAACGCAGGTACCCGACAGAAACACGCGCAACACGCAACGCGCGACGCGCACTGTCGAGCGTTTCGTCCTAGGCGTTGTTGCCAACGACCTATCGTGATGCCTCAAGAAAGCCGAGTCCCCAGTGTCCCTCGTTCGATGGGTGTCGTGGCAGAAAACGTCCTGTTCAACGGTCCGCCCAGCTTGTTCCCTCTCAGGGGTTTTTGCAGACACCACATCTCCTCTGCTCTGATCCCTGCCGAGTTGCGTGGCTGCTTGGATCGGCCCCCGATTTACTCGATTGAGACCCCTAATCTGTCAGACAGACGCAAGACATGTGATAAATTGAGGGCTCAGCAAGAGCCGTCAATCTGTTAACAGCAGGCCATCCAAATCCTCTTCTGCATCCTCGCCATCTGTTTGCTCACATTTCGCTTGGCTGGGCACGGGAGACTGCTCGTTGTCTCAGCACACTTGGAAAGGAAAAGTTGGACGATCGGAAAAAAAACCCCCTGTCCACCAATGACTGGAAGATAAGGACGAGAGTGGTCGACAGAGGCAGAGGCTAGATCCAATTTTGGCGCGCCACAGCAGCCTATCTCACTCATCCCCTGAACTCTGAACATGCTTTTGGGCAGTTTTTCAACGTGCACCAGTCCCCAAACGTGTCCCTCCATCCATGCGACTTACTCGTACCAGCAAAACGCAATCTCCGCAGGACGGTCGAGGCTTTGGCTCTGACTGATGTCAAGTACCCTTTTTATGTTGCCATGGCCTCCTTCTCTCCGATGTACGGGGAAGAGAGACTCAGGCATGAATTTGTTCTGGTCTATCAACACCCCTGGTCAATCCCCCCTATGTGAACTGACGTCTCGATTGATACCTTGATCGATCCCCGACTCTCGTCCCGCCTTAAAATCGGATCCTCCCACCATGTTCCTGGTCGGGCAAGACTGGAATCTTTTGACTGTGGGCGCCGCACCAACCATAGACACTAATCTCATCAGTCCCCTTCACTAGCGAACCGACTAGATGAAACCCATATCGATATAACGTTCTGGGACTTGCTCATGGAGTAAAAGCTTCGACCCCCACTCACCGAAGCAACCGGTCTTTCTCCTTCTCGTCTCCCTCCCCTCCTCGCGACATTTGCCCACGAGGAGGAAGATACGCAATATGGGGATACGTCCGGCGCTGGACAGATTCTCTGCTCCCGCAAGGATACAACGGCTCAGCATCTTCGCCGTAGTGACTATTCTGATTGTTCTGTTTTTCCAAAACACCTTTGTGTCTGAGAACTCGGCAATCGCCCATCACAAAAAGGTGAGCGGCAGTCGACATCGAAGCCGTTTGTTCTCTGCGCTGTACGCTAACAAAGTCCTAGGTCGACCGATCGAGGTCTGATTACTACCTGCAATGGGGACCCTTCGAGCCGTTACCGATACCGGGGTTCGTGAATACTGGACTGCCTGGGAAGAGATCGTGCGATACTCTGAAATACAACTCAACAGTGGGGGTGCAGAAGAGCTTCTTCCTCGACGATGACATCAAGCAAATAGCCCTGTCCCTTGACTCGCACCCGATGGTCGACTATCCAGATGAGATGATGAACGACCCCATGCTAGAAGCGAATGAGATCATAGACAAGACATGGGCGCGCCTTTCTGGGTCCAGTGTTTGGCTGCCAGAGCAGAAGGTCTTTCTGTCCGTCACTCGAGTCATCTTCTGCCCTTCAAAAACACGTTCGGTACCAAAGATGAGCTTCTTGCGAGGTCAACTATATAATCAAGACTGGGAACATTTGGACAACCATACCATTACTTGGGGTGGACAGCAATTCACATTCCCTCTGGTCTTTGACGTCCCGACGCAGTGGGAGGAAGACGGAAGCTTGTACGGACCCGAAGACCCCCGGATCATCCTGGAGGACAATGTGGAGGGTGCGGAGCCAGTGGTCATTTTCAACATGATCGCAAGACGAACCGAGTGGAAGAGAGCGATGTATATTTTCCGACCGTTCTCTAACTACTCGACTGTTCTCACTATCAAGGACGCCGACCGACAACATACCGAAAAGAACTGGGCACCATTCTTCATTCCGAACGAGCAACAGCACAGAGCAGTTGGTAACAACCCCTCGAAAGTGGTTGCAACTGTACGTCATCCCAGCGATTACATCCATTTCGTCTACAGCTTCAAGCCTCTACGAATCTTGAAGTGCCATCTCCGGTGTGGTGACTGCGAGTTTGAGTACGAGCAAGAGGTGCCTGACAACTTCATGACCAAACACAATGAGGACGGCGGGAGTCTACGTGGCGGAACCAACTTCGTCCCAGTTCCCCTCCCGTCAAGCATGCAGATCGACCCCCGAGTAAGAGTTTACGCAGCTTTCCCCCGAACCAACATTGAGAAACATTGTGACGGGAGTTTCTATCGTCCCGAATTTGTGGTCATGATCAACATTGGCACTCAGTTCCACCTCGCCTTTGCTTCTGAGTCACTCGACTTTGGCATCTCCCTCCTCGACCTGGGCCCCGAGGATGACCGCTGTGACAAAGGCCGCATTCTTATTCCCAACAGCGTCGCCGAGTGGGATACGAGCGATGGCCACGACGTGATGAGTGTGACGTTCAGCGTCAACGACGAGACTGTTCAAGTCGCTCGTGTTCAGGGGTTGTTGGCGTTTGTCCGGAACCTACCTCAATTCAAGACACTCCTGAAAAAGGACGGCCTTCTCAAGGGCGCTGATTCCGATCTGATGAGCACATTGTCTTCCTGGGTCGGGGACGACGTCCGTGGTTGTCTTGTAGAGGCAGCTCTCAACTACGCCGCAGCAGCACAAGAGATTACGCACCCGAAAGAGGGAGGAGAAGTCATGGATGTGACCAAGGAGCTGATGCTCAAGCTCAAACAGGAAGCCGACAGCGCTAAGCAGAAGGACGAAGAAATCTTCAACCACGGGTTTGAACCAGGGCATGTCTATCTCGAACATCCTCCTGATGTCGACGGTGCCGTTGGCCCAGAGCCCTTCCGCTTCGAGATGTTGGGCGAGTTTTCCGACGTCGAAGGTCTGTCCGTGGAGGGCTTGGACGGCGATGGTCAACAAAATGAAGATACGAAAGACGATGCCAATCGAGAAGAGGGAAAAGAAGGCGAGGAAGAAGATGAGAAGAAAACAGATGGAAACGAGAACCCGGACGAGGATACAACAGGGCAGGAGAAGGGAGCGATGGAGCCAGATGAGGAGGTGAATGAGGACGATCCTCAGGGGGAAGACCAAAAAGACGAACAGGCGCCACAAAACGAACCCGAACTCAACCCCAAACCACAGCATGCTCACCATCGGTACCACAACCATCAGAATAATCGCAGAATGTGGCCGTAACACCTGGCAAAGACATCAAACACCCCTTTTCACGTTCGGTCCACGTACCGCGTCCTGGAGTTCCGGAGTTGGCCATCATCTAATGACCTGGCAACACGATTCTGTCAGCGGAAATTCCGGGAAATATAACGAGCCTGCATGCGACCATATCTCCACTCCGAATTCCAGCGCAGCTCCGTGTCTTCTTGACAATAAGCTGGCTAGGAGATTGTCTTGGATTTCATTGCTGAGCACTCCCCAGGTTTTCACGTCTGTTCTTCGATCGGCCCTGATTTCCTTTTCTTTGGTGTTCAACGACGACTATTCCTTATGAAATTGAAATGGGATAGGACGGTCTTTTCTTGGTCATAGACGGTAGACGGGCACAACAACGAGGAATGGGTCTGGGATTGGTTAAGGGTGTTTAGGGATTGAATGTTGTTGCTCAGCGAGGAGTTCCGGGTCTGATTGGAGGAAAACTTGAAGGACCTAATGATGGATGGCACTTGGAGTCAATGCAGAATAATGCACGTATGACCAAAGACATGAAGGATGACTCAGCCAGGTGAAAGGACACCAGGTACAGGATCGAAGATGATGAGTGACAAGAGTATATCAGGCGGGCGAAGAGGGAAACAAAAGATTTTGTCACAATCTCTGTCCCACTTGTCTCTGTCGGATCCTGACATGTTGAGCCTCATATGCCGCATCAGGCTTCCGAGAACGTTGCAAGAAGCCGGCCTGCTGTCCTTGGGTTGCAAGTCTGCGTGTAGTTTCTTGGGGATGATTTCGCTGGTGGAGCTCGGATGAAGCACTTAAGCCACGCTTTGTCCCTCCTCTTGGTGAGATCCTCGTGTTCCTTCTTTCCATCGACCTAAAGCACGCCCAACTTGGCTATTGCGCCGTGATCCAACCGGACCGAGTCGATACAAGAAAGGATAACATCTCTCGGGATGAGATCAACCAAGACGGAATGCGGGCGGTGTTCATCTACTGGAGCCAAGCCAGTTCGTCCCCGCATACCATTACTTCCCGAGTCGAAGTCCCGGAGGATGGTGGCTGATGGCGGTGTCTGGGCACGCTAGAGATATGCGCAAGGTCTTCTGGGCGATGAAGTGAAGAAGGGCTAATGGGCGGAACGGATGGCACCCAGGAGGACTTTTGACCAGGGGCGGGCACCCGGAAGCATTTGGTTCCTGAACGGAGGACTCGAACTCGAACTCGAACCCGAACCCGAACTTGAACTTGAACTCGCAGGGGGCAGGAAAGTGCTCGTGAATATCGATGAGTTGTGTCTTTTGTCTGGTCTCCGAGTATGGAGAGTGTTTGGGAGACACAGTAAGACTGGGAAGAGAGACAAAGACACGAGTCAGTCAATCAAGCTTGATCGAAAGAGCCAAGCATGGCACTATTTCCGCCACAACGAGACCACAAAGCAGACAGAGTTGAGTGAGAGGAGCACAGAGAAGGTTTGGTTTACAAGTCCTTTCACTCACCGCAGTCATCATTGGTTCCCCCGCAAAAGTTGCAACACCATCCATTTGCTCATCGTGCCATCGTGCCATCTTGGATCCGTCATCTTCCTCTCCCCGTCATTTCGTCTCCAGGACCCGCTGCACCCGCAATTCTAGACCCCCCTTCGCTTCTTCGACCAGCCTTGTCCTTTGCTGACAAGGGTGCCAGGTGCGTTTTCCGGATGGCCAGGCCAAGACTCACGGTTGTGACCCTCGCTCTGTAAGCCCCGGATTGTTTATTCGTCCCTGACCATTCGATAGACGATGGAAGCGGATGATGGACCTTGCCAATAATCAATCAGCAACCCACGGCTGCCCTCGGCGATGCCATGGCGACCCAAGACTACTTAGACCCAGTCGCCCCCTCCTCTCCAGATAATGCTTTTGTCTCGACATCTTTCATTATCGCCACACTTTGTACATTTATCCACACTCATCCAACATGGCTTCTAAAGATCACAGCGCAGAGGAACGTCAGGTGGATCATGCTGTCCGGCAATCGCTTCAAGATGAGGCCATGAACGAGAAGGCTGCCGCCATGCACACGGAGAATTTCCATGAAGCTGCGGAAAGAGGCCATGCTGCTACCGACAGGTATGCCAACCATATTCTCGCCGTGAATGGAGAATAGGCGAACGGCTGCTGACGCTCGCTACCCTAGATATGGCCACTCCCTTGTGACCTTCGACCCCAAGGCTGAAGCCAGACTGCGCTGGAAGATTGATCTCTACATCGTGCCGACGGTTGCTCTGCTCTACCTCTTTTGCTTCATTGATCGTGCCAATATCGGTTCGTTGCACAGGGTCTAATGTGTAATGCCGTACGAGGTACTGACGGCCTTCCTCCAGGTAACGCTAAACTCGCTGGGCTTGAAAGAGACCTTCATTTGACGGGGAATGACTACAATGTTGTTCTCTCCACCTTCTACATCAGTTATATCCTCTTTGAGCTGCCAGCAAATATGGCGTGCAAGTACTTTGGGCCCGGCTGGTTCCTGCCCGCCACCTCGCTTGCGTTTGGAATATTTTCCATCTGCACAGCCTTCGTACACCATATAGGCGCGGCATGTGGTGTACGGTTTCTCTTGGGTGTGGCCGAGGCGGGTATGCTTCCAGGCATTGCTTATTATATGTCTCGATGTGAGTTTTTTCTTCGTTGACAGATTGTTTTTCTCTTGTAGCAACAACTTGCTTCAGGTGCAACCATGGTTCGTTGGTCCCAGCTCACAGATTTTGTAGGGTACCGTCGAAGCGAGTTGGCATTCCGGCTTTCGCTCTATATCGTTATGGCGCCTCTTGCGGGGGCTTTCGGTGGCCTTTTGGCTTCTGCCATTCTCAAGCTGAGCCATTTTGGAGGCCTTCATGAGTGGCGGATGATCTTCGCCATCGAAGGGATCATCACTTGCGGTCTTTCACTCATTGCCTTCTTCACCCTGACCGACCGACCCGAGACTGCAAGATGGCTGAGTCAAGAAGAGAAAGATCTTGCGATTGCTCGGGTCAAGTCTGAGCGCGTTGGTACGACCGAGGTCCTCGACAAGCTGGATGTGCCCAAGATTCTCCGCGGCATAATGAGCCCGGTCACCCTCGCCACGTCATTCATCTTCCTCCTGGACAACATCACCGTGCAAGGCTTGGCCTTCTTCCTTCCGACTATTGTCAAGACGATCTATCCTAAGAACTCGGTTGTGTCGCAACAACTCCACACTGTTCCGCCATATGTCGTGGGAGCTTTCTTTGTCCTTCTATTCCCGCTGCTCTCATGGCGGTACGATCGTCGCAACATCTTCTTCATCCTCTCTGCGCCATTGATGATGTGCGGATACATCATGTTCTTGGCCAGCACCAATTCTCACGTCCGCTACGGAGCAACCTTTTTGATTGCAGCAGGCGCCTTTTCGTACGGTGCACTCTGCAATGCCCAAGTCTCCGCCAATGTCGTGTCAGATACGGCTCGCTCAGCGGCCATTGGCACGAATGTCATGTTCGGAAATGTTGGGGGCTTGATATCGACCTGGTCTTTCCTCCCCTTTGACGCGCCCAACTACCATATCGGCAATGGATTGAACTTGGCTACCTCGTCGACTATATTGATTCTCTCCATTCTCCTACTGTTTTGGATGTGGGGGGATAATAAGCGGCGGGAGACCAAGGATATTGATACCGAGTTGGATGGACTGTCATTGAAACAGGTGCAAGACCTTGATTGGAAACATCCCGCCTTCAGGTGGAGGCCATGATCTAGAATGAACTTGTACAAGTACAAGGAGGCTGTGAAGCGAATGGCGCTGAGGCTGTGGGGAAGGAAAGGTGTAGTTGGTTTTCTGACAGTTGAGCCTTTCTATCTGGTAACCCGAGTATGCCGCATCCATTACATGATACTTGGTCTCTCCTGAACGTAGACATTACCTAGTATTGTATCATTCTCACTCTGACATCCTGGTGAGGCTCGTACTGTGGTTGACTGCCGAGCCGGGATGCGACAAAACGGAACATCATTCGTCCGGCCGCACCTACAGCCGAAGCTCTCTTTGCCTTGTTCTTTCTTGTAGACGATATTTATTTCCTGCTCTTCTCCACTGACCATATCTTTCATTCTGGAACACTGCTACAGTCTATGTAACTGAGAAGACTCAGCCTCATTGCTCGATTATGCCAGCTTGTCCCGTCCCGACGCGGGCAGGCTGGCGTCAATTCAGCCTCGCCAGGCAGACATGATAATTCCACCATCTAACCAGAGCTCTTGGAATTTCCGTGTCGACGCTGCGCTGTGCGGTGACTATATACTGTGCAGTGCTCCCTAGAAGGAGGTGATTGTTTTTCTATTGTCTTCTTGCTCTTACATATTTCAGTCCTTTTGCTTCAGCTGCTCTACGATAAGCTTGGAATATACTTGCCACAGAAGACCCCTGTCCACACATCTACATACAAGACACGAGCTTGTATTGTTCGATAATCAGCTATTAGTCAACGCCCTCGAGAGCCAGCGACATTTCCAAATCTCACAATCCCTGCGCGACACCTCTTCATGCCAATGGCACCGACAACCTTTCTACAGCGCGCACCGAAATCCTCAAAACCAGAACCCTCGTCACGCAACACCCACAAGAGTCTCGCTTCTCTGCCGCCAGAAATCCACCACATCATCGCCGACTACCTCCCCTACCCGGACCTGCTCTCCCTGAAGCTCACCGACACGTACTTCGCGGTGCTGGTCGGGCCGAAACTCACGGTCAAGTCGCGCGTCAGCTGGGTCCAGTCCCGCTACGCCCAGCGTCTGCCCGTGCCCACGAGCACCAAGCTGTCCTTCAGGACGGATGAGCTGTTCGTGGCGAATCCGGAGGTGAATGCCATCCTGCGACGGCGACGGCGTCACCTGGAATGCGCGGACCGCCGTGAACCCAAAGTTACCCTGGGATTCTCCGCTTTCACCGAGGTCGACCGCAACGTCCGTCGCCTCCGGGGAGCCCAGCAACTGGATACGACGGCGTGCTTGGTCACGGGGGCCCCGAACTGTCCCGCGATTCCGGACCTCGATACCAAGGTGCAGCGGTACAGGAACAGCGTGGTGGGCAAACTCACCGCTCCCGTCCTCCGAACGGTCGGCTGGCTGAGAGGGCTGCAGCCGAGTTTTCGTGATTCCTTGTCGTGCGCCGTGGCTGGATTGTCGCACACCCCGAGGGTTCTCTGGTCGTGGTTCCTGGCGACCTTGAAGCTCGCCTTTATAGTCGTCGTGGCCTCCGTGGCATGCACGGTTTGCCGTTGGCGCCCGCCTCCTGTCGCCTTTACGAATCCCTGAAGCGGAATCGGTATCGGTACCGACATCGACATCGACATTGACATAGCGGCGGCCGCGCCGCGGCGTACCCTCCTCTGCACTGAGGACTCTTTACAAATCAATAAATAAATCCAATGATCCTTAGCGAGCGATCCCACTGTTTTATCTGTCCCTCGTCCAATCAATTAATCACTTTGAAGCATATTCTGACAGTTTTACGACCGACGGAAGAAAGCCTGAAGCGACCAAAACCGGGAGAGTTGAATATGTCTGTTCAGTCACCTGAATGAAAAAGAAATTTTGCTCGAAAAAAACTCGAGATCCGGGAAACGAACAAAGTCTAGAAAATTGGGGAGGTCCATGAAATGAGTTGGTGGGATCTGTTGTCATGAGAAGGAATATCGCTGTCTCGAATCTCGATCATGTAGGTGTCTATGTGGCTGTGTATGTATGTAGCTATGATACGAAAGGGACATCGAGTATATATGTTTTGTTCCGCGTGTAGATTCTCTAGCACTTGTCGAACTCTCGTGAGGGCCAGAAGGTGTTTTTCTTTTCTTTTCGTAAAAAAAAAAGTCGTGGGCAATAAGAGTAGTATCGGTGGTCTATCTATGTAGTGTGAAGTATGGACTTTGTCTCAATCAACCACTCCCGCGGGCAACACCGAGATGTAATCCAGCGGGGCGGGCTCGATGCCGTCTGCCACGCCCACGATCTTCAAGACGTCTCCCCGTCCGACGGTGACGTTGTGGAATGTGATTCGTGCGGCGGAGTGGCCCTGGGAGAAAAATGGTGTCAGCTTTTTGTTCTGTCTGTCCACAAAAGACGGAATAGGGCAGGCATGGCTCAACGAAGAAGAAAGCGCCAACACTTACATCGAGATATACGCTGGGAGCGTGGCCCAGTCGGTCCTCGAGATCGCCAACCCACGATCCGATCTGGTGGTTGTTCAGGGATACTGTCCATTGAGACTTGCCGCCAATCAGATCATAATAGTTCACAGCCAGGCTGTATGTGCCATTGGGGAAATTCAGCGTCGTCGTCGCTGTGCCGGTGGTCGTGTTGGCAGAGGTCACGATGGCCGTCACATTCGAGGCAGCCTCAAAAGGTGACACGTTATACGGCTCGTAGCCCTGCAGTGTCATGCTCTCTGCCTCGACACGCCACGAGTGGTTTCCAACCCGATTTTGGCTGTCATCAATGCCCGACAGGTTGTGGTAGAAGTTGGTGATTGCGTCGCGCCACACAATCGAATGACCTGCCTGGTACGTCAACCGGAAGAGAGTCTCGTTGTACCGCTGCTGGTCGACCTTGCCCTGGAGACCTTGCCACTGCGTGACAAAGGTCTGTGCAGTTTCTGCGCCCGCATAGTGGGCGTTATAGAAGTGCTGGATGACGGTCTCGCCAGAGTGCAACTGCTGTGTGTAGTTGACGTGGTGGAACCAGAGAAGGAGATCGTCCGGTGTGGTCGAGATGTTCTCGTAGATGGCTGCGACCTCCACAGGATATTGTCCAGCGAAGCCTGTCCCGTTCGACACGGTGCGGTCCATTCCAATGGTCTTGCGGTCTGCCCGGGTCCATTGTCCCCAAGGGTTGTTGTCTTGAGATTGGGGATTGGGTCCAAAATGCGTGTACAGGATATCAGTCAGAGTTTGAATGCCGAGATTGCCCGTATAGTTTTCGTACGCGGGCCACGACGACATCGACATGTTAGTGATTGCAGCCACGACAGCCGGATTCGATCCAAACGTGAGCCGGATCCAGTCCTGTAAGATAGCCTCTGGATCGCTGGAAAAATCCCAGGCTAGGCGACCGTAACCATACACATTCGACATTGAGAGATGACTTCCCAGCCAAGTGTCATTAGTTCCAACATTGACCACAGCCGCGGCGCCACCAAGAGGCCTGTTGAAGCGCTTGCCAGTGACGATATCGCGGACGCGGGACTCGGTATGATTAGCTCGCATATCGAAGTCCAGGACTGTCTTCCACAAGGGAGGCAGGTATACCAGGTGACATTGCTGTCCCAAATACTCTTGCGTGACTTCTAGCTCGATTGAGGTGCTCGTATTCCGCAGGTAAGCAAAAAGAGGCGAAGCAGGCTCGCGGACTTGGAAATCAATCGGTCCGTATTTGATCTGAATAACGACATTTTCTGCAAACTTGCCATCCAGGCCAGTGAAAAACTGGACTGCAGCATTTGCGCGATCCTCGTTCCAGATTGATTCGTTTAAGTGGACACTGTCGTAGACGAACGCGCGAAATACGAGGATACCACCGTGTGGCTGTAGAGCGTTGGCAAAAAGGTTTGCTCCTTCAGCCAGGGTTCGGTTGTATGTCAGGGGTCCAGGCTGCCCTTCAGAGTTGGCTTTGACGAGGTATCCTGCCATGTCAGGAACACGCTCGTACAGAGTGTCCGTAACATTCGTCCACCATGCTATGACATCAGGATCTATTGGGTCGAATGTGCTGAGATTGCCATAGACCAGATTGGCTGTTGGCGAGGCGAAGTTTAGAGAAATACCAACACGCACGCCGTACGGCCGAAAAGCGTCCGCAATTCTTCCGAGTCCTTCCACATTTTCGGAACTAAGAAGAGAGGCGTTGGCATTGACATTGTTAACAATGATCCCGTTGATGCCTATCGATGCCAGGAGACGTCCGTAGGCCGAGACACGATCCAGATCACTGACAACCGTGCCGTTTGTGAAGAAGATCGAAGGACCACCGTACCCTCTCTCAATTGACCCGTCCAAGTTGTCCCCTACTTGGGGTTAGTAAAAAGACTTACAGCAATCCAACAATATAGGGTCTGCAGAAAACCTACACTGATTCACCCAGCGTAGAGGGGCATCCGGATTGGAAGCAAATGCGACGTTGGAGAAATTGCCTTGGGCGATCATCGAAAGATACTGGAATGCACCATAGAGGGCACCGCGTTCATTGTGGCCGAGGATTTGGACCGTTGACCCTGTCGTATTGAGCCAATATCCATCATCCACGAGTTTTGGGATCTGTGGAGGTTCGCTTAAGGTGTTCGCATACTCTGACACAGTGCCGACCAGGATAGATGTCGTTGTGTTGCTGAGTTGGTAACTGGTTGGGTAGATGACCGAGATGTTGTGATCCAGGATGCCTGCAAGACCTTTCTGTAGCTCTACGGCTGCAATATGCACCGGCCCATTTATTGTGGCATTCAAAGAAATGATGTTTGAAGGGAGACTCTGACTGGGCCTAGGAGAAGAAATGGGCGCATAGCGCAGCCAGGCGTCGATACCAGTTTCAGCAGCGGCAAGGCTGGCTGCCACGAGCACAAGGAACGAGCGCATCATGCTGAGTTCGCTGAGGATGCTGCTTGCTCGTTCGCTGGCGTACCGGACATTATCCAGACCATATATACTCACCATACAGCAGAATAGCCGGCTTTTTTCAATGCGGCACCTTTCATTTCGAGCTCAAGGACGTTCCCCGTACCCCAGGAACAATGGCTAACCTCGATTTGAACTTCTCCGCACAACGACCTGTGTCGTTCATTGGCTGCATGATGTCGATCAGCCCTGACTATGACTTGAACAGGGAAACGGCATGCTGCTCGGTGGGCTTATGCCGACAGGAATATGCAAGCATCGCTCCCGGAAATGGTGACATCAAAGCATCGGCTAAACCTCGAGGACCGAATTCAGGCTGAATGCACCGATCGAAAGCGGAGGAAGGAGGAACAAGACAGACGGTATGTCCATCTTGACGGCATTCTCCCCTTTGGTAATTAGACTACAGGGCAAACCAGGTCCAAGAAAGAGTGATGCAGTGTGGAGGGAAGTTGAAGGTTGGAAGAAGGGACGATGTTTGATATCCGTGGCGTATTAGTGAGTAGCGCTTCACCGTATAATGACTAAGCATTTATAGGGCAGAGCATAAATGCCAGTTCTTTGCTTTACAGCCTCGTGGCCTTGCAGGTCTAGATCCTTCTACTGCCCTCCCTGCCTCCCTACCTGTCATTTTCTTCCAAGAGGACTCGACGGTGGCAAGAAACATGGTATCTGGGTATATACAGACGGAGTATACTCAGTGGCATAAAACGACATGGCCACCTTCCTCCCCGACAACTGGCTTTCTCTTTAGTCAGTCCAAGCATATCGTACTGCCGGAAGAGTCATTCGAGGGCCTTCTACCACTGAAATCGACTTGCCCTTCCCGGGAATGTCGAGGTTTCACCGATGACGGTATTTCATAGCTTAGGGGTCTAGAGGACGCATATTCTGCGGCACCAACTCGACGATATATCCATCCTGAGACCACGTCCTCGGTTCAGCAACAAGACGTATTGGGATTGGACAGGGAAGGGGGAGAAAACCGCACTCACCGGATCCTTCACAAAGGCAATCCTGTCAAAGACCTTTCTGTACTCGTCGTGGATCTCGCTTTCAGTCCCCTTGACCTCGACGCCGATGCCGCGCTCGTTCTCCCAGTCACTGATCGGGATGCTCTCTCTTGTGCAGACGCCTAGATCCTTCAAGATCTCGACGCCGTGCTCCCTCATTCGTTTCAGGGCCTCTGGAACGCTGGGCACGGTGAACCCCAGATGGCCAAACCCAAGGTGCCCCGGCTCATTGCCCGTCGAGTAGTAACCCGGATCCTGTTTCTCCGAACCATGGACGTGATACAGCTCCAACAATCCCAAGGTATGTTGCAGCTTGGCGGCGGTGTCGGCGCCGAATTTCATCAGGTCTGCCCGGTGTTCGTCGGTCTGCGGGTACCCGAGGTAATAGATGGTGAAGGGGCCAACGTTCATGGTGAAGACGGTCCGCATCCCCATGATGTCGACGTAGAATGGAATGGATTTGGCCGGGTCGCGGATCCGCAACATGAAGTGGTTCAGCTTATACCCGATGGTGGGATGGTCGGGAGGAAGAGGAGGATCTCGTTGCTGGTTGTCGAACTGACCATTGGGCAGAAAGGCGCCATGAGGGAAAGGCGTGGGTTGTTTATGGCCGGAAGAGGATGCCATGGTTTTGTACAGAGTATATATGTATATATCTGTATACACTACCTCTGCGCCAGCGACGGCCACGACAATCAATATATCTGGCTAATCAGTACTCACAGTCGGCGCCACTTGGTTGACCAAGTCGATTATGTCGGGCAATCATTATATGGCAGTTTTTTTCTCAATCCCTGCAAAAAGACATTCGAGGCGGCATCGAAAACCTACTGGTGCATTGCAACTACCGAAAGCCGTCTGGGGCCCACGCCGGGATAGACCCATTATTACTCCTCGACCCTCATAATTGCGAGGGTCGGATCTGTGGGGCATACTTAGATTGAGTGCGGGAAAATGCCGGTGGACAAGCCTGACGTGCTCGAGCCTCTTCTATACAAAAGGACCATCCCAAATATACTCTCTTAGGAAGTGGGCTCACTTGCTCGGGGACTCAACCACGAAAGATAGCCATGGACAATACCCCCCTTCGCCATTATATGTTTGCGGATGGCAAGCTCATTTGATATGACATTCATCGCCGGAATGGCACAGCCCTCGCTAAGAGACCTTTCCTAGTATCGACGCCCAAAATATCATACCATTCACAATCATCTACTTATTCTTTCCTGGTCAATGAAACATGCTACTACTCCCTTCCCCACGCTCAGCAATGACTCTGCTCAAAGTCCCGGCAAACCGTGTGACCCGATCGGTGTCAAACTTGGCTGTCTCAATGGCTTGCAGCACATGCTTGATGCCGACTCCTACAACGTCGCTGCGCGTGATATCTCGAATCTCTGCGACCGCCCTGGAGATCTCTCCAGCTTCGAAGGCTTTGGATTCCTTCATGACAAATTCCAGTTCGTCGTACGTCCGCACGTTGGCGACGGGGACGTCGCTGTTGAAGTGGCGCCAGAAATCTAGTTGTTGGAGGACCGAGCGTTCTGTGGCTGTCACAAGGATGAGGAGGCTTCGTCCTGGTGGAGGCGCTTTGCGTAACAGTGCAACCAGTGTCTTCAAGATGGGGTTGGAAAATCGAGGGCCAATGGGTGTCCATTCGGTGTATTCCTCAATGTCATCCAGCACCACGCACGACATGGGTGATTTGTATGCGTCCATGAACACCTTGCTCAGGTACGAGATCTTCTGGGATTCCGACATTTCCAACGTATCCTTGTTGCTGACCAACTTGATGAACGGGTATCCGCTGTCGATCGCAATCTTGGCTGCTAAGGCCGTCTTTCCGCAGCCAGGAGGCCCGTGGAGGCACACCGAGAAGAGCGGCGTGGAATCGGGGTTGCGCACCTGTTCCACAAAGAGCTTCCCTTCCTCAAGCACGTCCTTGATATACTGTGAAAAGTGGATGACGCCTCCACGGAGGCAGTACGAGAGCTCTTCCTCTGACACGCCAAACGCCGGTTTCACTTCTTCCAGAGCACTTTCGAAATCGGCCCGCTTGACCTTCATATCTGCCACGTCATCCGTGATGCCCGCCATCGTGCCCACCTTGATATGGCGGGAAAAGGCAAACGACGTGGCGGACTTGACCAGACCACCAATCTCGGCGCCAGAAAAGTTCTTGGTCTTGCGAGCCAGTTCCTCGAGATTCACATCCGGGTCGAGGACCTGGTTATCACGCATTTTTTGTGTGTGAATCTTCAAAATTTGCGCCCGACCGTGTTCGTCCGGCAGGGATATCTCCATATGTAGCTCCAGACGTCCAGGCCGTAGGAGAGCATCATCAATCATATCTTTCCGATTCGTCATGCCGATAAGGAGGATGTTGTTCAACTGATCCACGCCATCGAGCTTGGAGAGGAGCTGGTTGACCACACTGTCTCCCACTCCGGTGCCTCCGCCGGCACCGCTACCTCTCTGCTTACAGACAGCATCCAGCTCGTCAAAAATGATGATGTGAAGACCGGATTCATCTCCCTTTTCTTTGTATTCCTTCTCTGCATCGGCGAAGAGTTTCCGGATGTTTTCTTCAGACTGGCCGACGTATTTGTTCAATACTTCAGGACCATTGATAACTTTTGGCTCTCTCGCATTGAGCATCTTGCCAATCTGTCGCGCAATCAATGTCTTTCCAGTACCCGGGGGACCGTAGAGTAGGATACCCTTCACGTGCTGAATACCCAGCTTCTCCACGAGCCCAGGAGGGAAGACGCGGGAGGCAAATGCTCGCCGGAAAATAGTCACAAATTCCGCATCCAACCCACCAATGCCCATATCCTCAAATTTAAAGTCGGGGGCGATGATGGAATTGGCAGCAGGCCGACGAGAGGAGGCTTTCAGGTTTATAGGAGTCTTCCCATCTTTGAAGAAATTGATCTGGGTCTGAGGTGTCAAAATGCCTCGTGCCAGAGGATCAGACGTTGTAGGCGCAGCTTTTTCGCTTAGGTCCGCCAGCTGTACTGTCTTGACTGTGAGGTTGAGTGGAATGCTTTTGAGGTCCATGAGGAACCGCTGACCGGGAGCGAACATCTGGCTGTTGAATAACTATCGACTAAGATTAGTATTGAACCATGGCCCAGGTACTTCTCAACATACTTTTGTAATCTCTTTGGCCAGATCATCCTGATCGTACGGCGCATCTGTGGTTTTCCTCGTGCTCGCAAAGCCAATTTCAATATCCATCGCACCAATATATGCCTGGGCCCCTTGGCTGAAGGGATCATAGACTTCTGCCTGCACAAGGTCTGTCAAAGCTACACCCATCCAAGATCGTTGGGGTTCGGAAAGGCCAATGCTGCCCCTGGGAAACGCATCAATAGGCCGAGATGAGACGACATACATGCCGTTGATAAGCAGGAATACGTCGGTGCCATCGTAGGAAGGAGGAACGTCCTGTGAGGATACGGCCACGAGGTTGCGGAAGGTATAGGAATTGTCTGGAGATTTTGCAGGTTGTAGTGTCATAACACCACTCCGACCTCTGGCAGGGGCACCACGACTGGGACTCGACTGGTGGCCCACGGGGCGCGGAGGCATGTTTCTCGCAGGCAGACCAGGACTGTCATATCTTGGCCTAGGAGAGTCGTAACCGTTCATGTGTGTGTCGTAGCCGCCAGCGCTGCCGGGCGGGGGGTAAGAAGGACGCCCTCCTCGCTGAGGAGACGGCTGCTGGCCGTATTGATCGCGCGGAGGTTGCCCTGAACCACCAAACAAGTTGTTTCTGTTGAGGAAGGACATGACTGGAGCGAGGGGTGAAGATGGGAAAGATTGAAGTCTTGAAGGGGGTTGTAACAAGACCCAAAGCTGGAAAGAGAGGACAGATCCACAGATATGATGTGGAAACGGATACAAAGCGACAGAACAACTGTAAGTCGTCACAAATAGGCACAGCAACTCCCAGACTGTTTCAAGCCCCCAAAACTGCACTGCGCCTGAGGCGGCGACTTCGAGGATGACATCCAGCACCTCCACTCCCCGATGTTTTGCCGGCACAGCCTGGTGGCGATAGAGACGAGGCTGAGGTGCCTCAACCTTGTCCCGCTATTTGTCCCCGCAACAATCTGTCGCAGGCACACCTCGACCACTTGATGGTCCTACAGCTGACAGTTTGATTTGAAAAATGCCTCTCCATCTCCTCCACAAAAAATCCTGGAATGTCTACTCCCCTGCGAACATCGAGCGGGTCAAGCGCGATGAAGCCAAAGCCCGTGACCAGGCTGCCGAACAAGAGAAGAACGATTTGCGGCGAGAAGCAGACGATAGACTCTCCATCTTACAACAACAGGGCAAGGGCAAGAGTAGGACCTTGAAACGCAAGCTACCGGGGGAAGATGACACGGATCGTGATATTCGACTCGCCCTGGAAAGTACATCCAAGTCCACAAGCAAGCCGAGGCAAGACTATGCTTCCCTTGTTGACGCCGGTGGCCATATCTCCCTAGTTCCAGCGCCTGAGAAACGGTCTCACGTAGATCAACAACAAAGAAAAGATCCATACACGGTCTACCTCTCAGACGCTGTAAACGGAAGAGATGGACCTAAAGACACATGGTATACATCCATCCAGCCAGAGCGAGAGAAATGGGGTGACGAGGATCCCCGGAAACAGGAAAGAGAACTCACGCGGCTCAATGCAAATGATCCTCTCGCCGCTATGAAGCGGGGTGTCAAGGCTCTCAGAGAGAATGAACGACAAAGACAGGAGTGGATGAAGGAGCGTGAGAGAGATCTCGCAGAAGTCAAAGGCACAAAGAGGAATGAACGGCACCATAGAAAGCGCAAGAGGAGAACGGCCCATGACAAAGATGATTTGGAGAGTCTGGAAGAGTTCAATCTGGACGAAGGATATACCAAAGCAGAGGTCAGCGCTCGACACCAGGAACGAAGAAGTGAACATCGACATAGGCGTCGCCACGAGCACCATCGCCATCACCGCCATCATCGTCATGGGCGACAAAAAGAGAATCATCAGAGTACAGACGAGGACCTAGGCCATCGCAAGGAACATGAGCACCAGGGGAGAGGCGTTGCCGATAGATTCGGCGGCAAAGGGGCCGAGACCACATGATGGAATCAAGATATTCAGCCACATCTTAGTAATTCAACCCCCGAAAGGATCTCAGATTGCACAGGATCCCAAGTGCTGATGACAATCATTGCTGTGACGGAGGACAATGTTCATCTCTCGCGCCTCAGAGGTCATACCCATCGCCTGCGAGGCACTTGTGTCTCTAGGAACTAGCCTTGATAAAGTGGCCACGTTTCAAATAGAGCTCTCTATATTGTCGAGAAACGGACGTATTTTCCAGGAAACGAAAGGCCCGGCAATACCACCCTGACGGAATATACCACTCTTCCGTGAAGCGGCTCCTCGTACAAGATATTGGGGTCATGTCTACCATTATTCACCATTCCAACCGCGAGTATTCGGGGTTTTGCTGTTGGGCATGCCCCAGTCGCCCCTTTGTAATGAAACGGGATCATCAAGATCAAAAAAGATACGACAAGGTCGTCACGCAAGGCGCTCATGGCATCTGGCAAAGCAAAGACAGAGTCACGTTTCAATGCCATTTCATGATCAAGAACATTATGTCCGCCTGTTGTCTAGATCCTCTCTCCGTTGCTCTTGAGATAGGGTTAAGACTTGCGCGATGTGAGCAGATTGAGCGTTGAGGTCACCGTCAACAACGGCTGCGTGGCACTTGGTGTATCTGCATGGCCTTCTCAATGTCCTCCGCAACCTTTGAGCACGCTGATGCAACTTGTCATGGCGTATATTGTTCAGCATAACCTCCAAAGCAAACACGAGAGTCTCCTCGACATTTTCATCGTCTGGGCTAGGCTTCTCTTTCTGTCTCTCTTTCAGTATCTGCTCGAAAACGTCCAGAATATGCTTCAATGCGTTCGGATTGGCGTAATAGCTGAATATGCCTGCTTCGGTTTCTGGGAGGAATGCCATGCCGACATTGAACAACATCTGGACGGTGATTTTGTATAGACGCGACTCTGGACCATGGCTGCAATAGCGACGGATGGCCTGGTGCCAGTTTCTCACAAACAGGCGTTGCCGCCGAGCGTCAGACTCCGTCCAATCCTTTGTCGAAAATGCAGCAATCGAGTCCAACAACAGGCCTCGTGCTTGTGTGAGCGAATGGACAACGGGGACGTCGCAATCCCTTTCGCCCACAAGACCTGTTCCATGCAGCAACGGACTGCTTGACGGAGTTTCTTCAGTCAGGACAGCATACGCGTACGACTCGCATACTCGAACCGCTCGCTCGATTGGCGCCATCGTGTCTAAGGTGGACCGATCAAACCTGGCTGATGACGCTTTGAGCTCTCCCCAGAGCCGTGATGCTGCCTTGATATGGACAGCTGCTGCCATATAATTCCGCTGCATGGTCTCGCAGATCCAGGCAACCAAGCACGCAACCGTCAGGCACAACTTGTCAGATGCCTTTGCGGTGGCCATCCTCGTGATCGCTGCGTGATAGTGCCAGAAAACCCGCGGTGTCACTCTCGATGTCATCGCTTTGCGGTACAAGCCCAGCTGCTCATCGACCATGGCTGCAGCCACCATTAGATGTCGGAGGATAGGGGATTGCCACGCCCAACGGGGGATGAAGCCGCACCAAAAGTCATTATCGGGCCCGAAATTCCCCAAGGTAGGCCCGGTCTCTTTCAACCAGAAGTCCAAACTGCGGCGCTCTTCTTGCGTGTCGCCAAACGAGACATTGATGGCTGTCGTCAAGTAAGGATCACACCAGGTCGAGAAATATTCTGCTGGTTGGGAGCTGTTTTCCCCGCCACCTCCGTCTTCAAGGGGCAATATCTCAGGCGGTTCCTTTGAACACTGAGTCTCATTTCGTTTCTTGGACTTTACCACGTCAAAGATCCACGCCCGAGGAGGATCATAACCCAGGCAGACTTTTCCGGAGCGAATGCACCTGATTCACAAGGTGAGAAACAGTCTGTACGTACGGTAGGGAAGGGCGACAGAGCAAGGTTGGTACCTTTGGCAAGTTGGTTTCTCCTCGTCGCATTTTATTCTTCTCCGTTTGCATGTTATGCAGCCGCTGCGCACCTTGTGATGAAGCTGCTTGACCCGAGGCTTTTCGTCCGGAGCAGCAAGACTTGATTTGTTGTCGTCCATGTCGCTGCGACCGCTCTCCTTGGGTGTGGGCAAAGAGCCATTTGTCTTTGCTCTGCTTGATTGAAACATTAATATTGGCTCTCAGAGGGTCCTTGTTGCTCCGCACATACCCACGCCTTTGGTGTGAACCCGTCTCTTTCTTCACTAACGCCTGAGATTCAGACATTTGTGAAGTTGCTTGTCCAAACATCATTTACAGGATATGTATCGTGGGATGAAGCGACTTGTCAAAGACTGAGAGTTACCATAGCACAGCTGATGTTTGATATTCAGCGTCATCCCAGCTGAGCGGGGAAAGGAATCGAAGACGCTACAAGATTACATTGAACTGCGGCTCAGACCATTGAGGACCGTGCATCTCTATCAAGGCCCGGCCCATACCTCTTGGCCCCTCGACGTCAATCAGGCGTCCGGCATAGACGGCAAGGCTTAGTTACAAGCACGAGTGGACAACTAGTGGTAACGTGGCACAGCGGAGGATCGACCGCCGAGACTCTTGTTGCTCTTATTCGTATTGACTAGAGGGTGATCTTGCAGGATACTGGTAAGTCGATATTGTTCAGCGTCTTGGGTGACGTCCCTGTTACACGGGCGGGAAGTTCGTATAGAGCCCCCAAAAATGGACAAGCTCCTTCAAACGGATCCAGCACGCAAGCACCTAGTGTTGAAGCATTCGACAAGGTATCAGCCTATCGTTGCGACGTCGTATGCTAATGCATTGACCACATGTGGAAGATGACTGTCGAGGCGGGGGAAGAACCAATCAAAGATGTACAGCTTTGTCTCCATCAAGCAGATCATGCGGGAACCCATCAAGGATCAGTCGAAGCCGTCCACGCCGTCAAACCATTGAGCCGCAACCGCGTAACATCGGGCGTCGATCTGGAAAGGGATACTTGTGCCGTAATCAGCTTCTACTCTGGACTCGCCAGGACTCACCAACGCGTCTATTCTCATGCTAAACACATTCCGAAGAAGCTGGTGGGCACCGGGTGACAAATATCGACCCTCTGCATACCGAGTATTCGGAGAGGAACCATCCCCGACTTTAAGGCCCAATTATGCGAGACGGTAAGCGCACGGCCACAAGGTAAAAGGACACTCTTCCTCCACCTGACCAGCCATGGAGGAGCAAATTGAACTTGTCATCGCAGGCCCAATGACTCACATAGGTACTCCCATGTCCTTCGAAGTGGAGGTCTGAGCGCTCTGATCAATCCGGGAACAGTGTGAACAGTTCTAGGCCATTCAGGCAGCCAGCTGAAAACAGATCCTCCTGGCAATATCTACCATGGGTCTGGGCTATCCATGACCCCAGAAACTCCCTGTCGTCTTTGGCATGGGGCCCATTCTGCTTGCAACTGTTTGCAGAGGGGATTTACTCAAAAGGGCGTCTTTCCAGACCACGCCTTACTGGTTACAGAACTATCCCCTAAGGTCCCGGAACCAGTCAGCCTTGAATATTCTTTGTTCTGTGAAAGTGTGACCATTGGTTCGTCCGCCGCTCTTCGTCGCAGTCCAAGTCCGGCCCGACCCTGATTTGTTGGGCGTTGCTTCATCACCAGTTCCCGGTTCACGGGCAAAGCAGACTCCAGACATTAGCCATGTCTATATCCTGGGACTCTAGGTGTCTCTGCCCAAGGTCGCCGGTCAGGAGGAGATCAAGGCAAGTATATATCAAAAAAGACTGAGGTATCTAATGAATTACATGACTACTACTCCTACGAAGCAACCGTACATCCTACGCAGGACAACTCACGATAAGTAACGAGTTGTCGAAAAGCACGAACGAAATTCAGGGGCCATGTGCTTGTGCAAAAGTCCATCAACATAAACAGCGACAATAGAGTCTATCCCCGTTGCATCTCTATCCCATCCATCCCATCCATGGCATTTCTCGTCGGCCGGCCACTTCACTCCAACTCCATCAGGTTCTCACACCCTGTAATACCGCGGAACGCCATCCTCGTCGAAATCGACCGACCATGCACTCCGCTCACCACGTCTGCTCGTCTGGTAGTGGTGAGGACTGCTGCGCACGCGACCGTCCACGCGGCCCTGGGCCGGACTGTGCCGGACCTGGAGCGGACTGGGTCTCGTCCGTGCCGCCGTTGCTGGCGTGGCTTGTCGTGGCCCGACCACCGCGCGCGTGGGCGTCGACGGGAACCGGCGCAACAGGTGCACCATGGGCACCCTGCGCCCACTGGAGATTTTCTGGTACAGCCACGGTGTGGGCGACGTTTCGGTCGAGGCGTCGTACCGTTCGTCCGCGGGGACCATGTCCTCGTAGTCCGGGAGAGGGCTTTCTTCTTTCACGGCCGTGGGGTTGAGGGGGTGGTGGGTGTCTTTGATATCGTCGTGACCATCCTCTTCCTCTTCCTCCTCTTCGTCTTCATCCTCGTCATCGTCATCTTCGTCCTCATCCTCATCGTAATCATCATCATCATCATCCTCCTCTTCGTCCTCCTCAAGCTCTGCCTCCGGCCCAAACACATCAGGCAACTTCGCGGGCTTGACAACGTCCCCGCCGTCCTCGGAGTCGTCGTAGAGCCGGCCCCCAGCCGAGTCGTAGTGCAACTCGGTTAGCTCACGCGAGTCGTAGTCGATATCATCCTGCAAATGGGTCGCGTCTCCCACTTGGCCAGCCACGCTGCTGTTGTTGTTGCTGAACTTGACTCGCTTGGGGGTCCTGGGCCGCGCCGCACGATCGTCGAAAACCGACTCCTGGTGACCCTCGTTGATCTGACCGAAGGACCTCTTCTGTCTGGCTCCTGTCCTCGCTATTCCTGGAACCACCGGCTGCACTGTCTCAACGCCACGTATGCCGAGACCAGCCCCAGGCCCGGTCGGGTTGTAATGTTGCCACGCGTACTGTGCGCGGAGGGCGCGGTTCTGCTCCTGCAAGTCGGCGATCCAGCGCAGATTCTGCTGGTGCGTCTCCAGCAAGCCAGCCTCGCGGGCCCTCCAGTAGAAGAGCTGCTCCTCGGCGTCGTCCGCGTTCTCCCCCAACAGACGCTCGTACTCTGCGATTTTGCCGTTGAGGGCCACGATCTCGGCCTGGTAGTTGGGGACGACGCCCGCGTGCAGGTCCCGCTTGATCGTGTCCTCGTAGTAATTCTCCATGTGGGTGAAGATCTGGCGCAGCTTGGCTTGCACGGTCGGCGTCTGGTACAGGAACGGCGCGCCGTTGTCCAGGGATGACGGCGACCGTTTGGAATCCCGCGAGGATCGATCACTGCGGTTCTGGCGTTCGCCCGATCCAGCACCGTGGGTCCGGCGAGGGCGGTGTTGGCTGGGACTGTGGTCAGGGACGTCTGGCAGAAGCGCAGGGTCCAATTCAGTGTCGCCGCTCGAAGACCTCTTGAATGGAGACCTGTTGTGTGGTGTCTGGGCGGTGCGCTGGTCAGATATGATTTCCACCGATGCAACAGGCGTCGATCCAGGCGCGAAATTTGGGTTCAACATGATAGAAGAGGCGTCTTCGCCATCTCCAGTGCTGTCAGGGCCAGGTCTCTCGAACGAACCAATCCCTTCAACCTCTGTCCGTTGGCCCAGGGAGTCCTCCAGACGCACTTTGACGTAGGCGTCATTCTTGCCGTGGGAGTCAGGCACGTAGTTTTCCAGCACGAGCGTTGGGAACAAGATCTTGTAGCGGCCGAAACCCGCCGTGATGTTGATGGACAACTGTCCTGGACCTGGACGTTGGCCGTTTGCTGTGGCAAGCTTGAGCTGGGCCGTTGAAGACTTGGACACATCGTGTGTGCCATTGGAACGGGCTTGACTACCTCTGTTCGGGCTGCCGCCATCTTCATTGGTGGCGTTGTTGCTGTTGTTGTTGTCGTCGTCTGGCTCAATGCCAGTGTCTCTCGCACTGGCGTCGTCTCCAGTACCGCCATCAGCACTACTAGCATTACCAGCACTGCTCACGGAGTGTGTTTCGCGTTCACGGCCAGCGGCGTCGTGATTGGCGTCAGGGATCCTTTCGTACAGCAACACATAGGGCGTGAAACCATCAAAGTGGTCGAGAATGACTTGAAAAGAAATCTTTTGGACCTCGCTGGAATCGTCAAACACGTACCAGCTGTCTCCGCGGTGGACGTAGGCGATATAGTGGCCCTCGTCTTTGCCACCATAGTGGCTGACGATGCCTTCTAGCCGGTACTTGGCCGAGATGTCGGCGGGCTCCCCTCGCCTCTCAAGGAATGGAGTCAAGTCCAGCTCCTCCGGGATCGTCACCTTGGTGGCGTCCTTCCCCCACTTGATGTTGCCTGCTCTGTCCAGCTCCACGGTACCGTCCTTCCCGAGTCGAATCTTGAAGCGCGCCAGCTGCAGAAACAAGACCTCGGGAGGAGAGTAGATCTTCCTCCAGATATTCTTCTTGGCCCCATTGCCATTGTCTGGATTATATGCTGTTGTGCCGTTGCTACAGGCGCTGCAACGCCACTCAAAGTCATCCTCGGAGTTTTTCGTGAAGCAGTCTTCCAACGTCACTGGCACTTGGCTGTTGGCTGTGGCGGGCAACTGGAGGGACAGTACCGTCTGCTCATCGAGGCGTGAGAATCGCGTCTTCACTCTGCGGACGGAACCGCACTGCATACACCGGGCGCGTTGTGTTTGGGTGATTTGCAATAGCTCTGATATTGTGACATGGCCCAAGTCCACAATCTTGTCCAGGGTCGCCTGGTCCAGTCTATTCTCTACAGTCAGCTTGATCAAGACACGTCAAGTTCGATTGTTGGGGAGGACTTTACCTGTTCTCACGCTGATTGACCCTCTTCTCGGTGAAGTATTTGAGCTGCTCGATACTGAGGGCGATCAACCAGCCCAGGAACTCAGAGGCGCACTGATCTTCTGCGGCTTCCCTCATTTTGGTTGTGAACCGATCCTCCACGGCATATGTTTCTGTTTTCATTTCCTTGTCGCGGCGCGGGCTGGTTGCGTAGTCCCAGAAGAAACCCATTGCAAGGTTGAGAGTCTCCGGTTGAGCTTGTCTTTCATCC